GGCTGCAAAATATGTGTATATTACTCGACCTGGCCCATCCTTGAACGGAGGGGCAAGAAGGCCTCTAGGGCCGCGAAGGATCATACTTCGTAAAACTTCTCCCTTTAAAAACGCCTAGCTATTTGCCATGACGCCAAATCGCTATCCCATCCTTTCACAATCCAATTGTAACTCCACCTTCCGACCCAAAACCGGCATCCTAGCTCAAAATATCAGATTCGGGTTGTCACCCTCGAGCAAAGAATAATCCGTAAATGCCCCGAAATCTCCCATCTCAAAAGGACTCAGACCGCTCTCCAGCATTATTTCATTATCAGAATCGCCCGTACTCCCTGCAAGAGTATTATTCTGCGTTGCGAAATTCCACGTCGCTCCCAGGTCTAACCAGCTGAAAGCTCCGCTTGGTCTGGACTGAAACTGTTCATTGCCGCCTGCATTGGCCATTCCCATATTTTCTGAAAAATTGCCGGTCCCGTGCGGGTCAAAACCAGAGTGTTGTGGATTGTTGGAAGAATTTTGGCCGAGGTTCAGACGGCCGTCCATGCCGTATGGATGTTGCCCATTGCGGTCAGTGTTCCGTTTAGGTGCTTTGCGCCAGAGCAATTGGAGTAACCGCGCATAACGAGAGCCCATGTGGTTCGCCCCTACTGAGGCTTTCTGAAGGCGCTCAATGGTTTGATTAATCATATGGCGTACACCGGTTCGCTCCTCCTCCGTCATCGTAGTGGTGGACCTTGCCTAGTCCAAACGTCAATTTTAATTTCGCGAAATCAGGAAAAACGTACCTTGTAAAGAAACACGGCGCTATAGATAATGAAAAGATAATATGACGATGGCATGTACCGAAGCGTTTCGGGGTCGACGAAATTGTTGAACGTTGATAGTAATGACTTTGCTGCATCCAGAGCTTCATATATAAAGCGTGCATCCGGAGCCGACGCATTTATTAATGGCATTGGCCGGTTGGGCGTATGTTGACTATCACGTTGAAAGGTCAACGCACGAGATATCGTGGCCTGGTAAGCAAATGCGTTTACATATAACCGTAAATAATCATATGTCAACAGCAAGCTAGCTTTTAGTCGAGGTGAGCCTGCATTTTTGTTAGCTGCCTTTCTGGTTGAGGGGTATCACTGAACTCACATATTAATGTCCCCCAAATATCATTCCAGCTTCTGATGCTGGTGCGGAAATCGTCAAGGTACTTTGCGTATCGTCCTTCTAGCATTTCCTTCCACCCATGTCCTTTGGAAGAATACAAAATATCATGCACATTGCCGAATATTTGTGTCAATTCAAGATTTGCCTGGAAGATGAGAGCCCAGTTATCCAAATTTGGCAACAACGGCTGGAGGGTGGGGAAATCGCTGGATTTCAACCCAGATAAGGGCCCTGGGCCACGAGCCCAAAACCCCTTTCCAAGCCTGACAGACACCTGGCGATCGCATATATAGCATGCAGACCACACAAGTCTTTTTCGATTGTATACGGCCGGATCTTCACCTGAATCGTTCCTGAAGGACGTTCGATCGATCCCAAGAAAGTATCCCAAACGTAATGCGGTCCCAATATACATCCAGGCTACTCGGTCTTCTTCCCCACGACCAACAGCAATTGACGCCTGGGGGCGATGGGAAACCCATTGTGACAATAAGAGAAGCGCTTCAACAGCCTCTACATTTGCATCGGTACCAGCAAGGAGCATGGAAATAAGTTGCTGGTTATGGTCGTAGCAAACCTGGTGCACTCTTTCGTTGTCTTTTGATGCAACAGTGAGGATTGCCGAGAATAGGTGGGGTTCATGACGAGACAACCAAGGTAGTCTCGTGCGATCGAACGTTTCTCGGGGAATGATTGGGAAGAAAGGATGGAAATATTCCTCGTAACTACAAGCTTTCGTTAACAGGAAGGAATAGAAGGGGACATGTAACCTACCTTGAAAATAAATGGTAAATCATCTCAGGACTTAGCGATCCATCTTGAACCGGCTTGTAGTGAAATTGATCATCCACTTTAGAATGATTTGGACCCTGTAAATGAGAAATCGGCCTAATATGCTTCTGCTTTGACAGTCCTTGGTTTTGGTCACTCGCAGAAGAATCACCTTCATCTACTCGGTCTGCAACTTGGGCTAATATGTCCAAAGCATCCGACGGATTTTGTAAATCTGCCGATGCAATATTCTCTTGAACAGTCGTTCGCTCTCCAGACTTTGTGAGAATACTCGCACTCGATCCTGCCCGGTGTAGAAATGAAGGGTCAGTAGGTTGGTTAAGAAGCTGTGTGAAAGTTAGTTTAGGATCCACTAAGCAAAGGCATCCCGCCAGGAATACGGAAAAGGTCGAGGAAGGGTGAAAGTAGAAACCACCTACATTTGCTTGTTCCGTTGCATTTCTCGATGCACCAGTGCTGTCGGAGCGTGTAGTATTGGTCGGGGTAGGTTGCTGGTGCCATCCGTAGGCCGGTTCTTGTCTATTGTCGTACTGATCATGAATTGGCTGAGGTGGCTGGGGGGCGTGCCGAGTAGAATGGGGGCTGTAGTTTGCATTGACTGCACCAGATGAACTATATCCGGGATTCGATGCCGTAGTTGGAGTTTGTAACGCGGTTTGGAAACCTAGACTTGAGGAAGGGTCGTCGGGTGTTGGGTCCTCATGATCAAGCCTGGGTTTCTTCCTCACTCGACGGCCGCCGCGGTGGCTCTCTCCAAGTATGCACTCCTTCCCTTCTCTTTGGCATCTGCGGCATGGCTATAAAACAAAAAGTAAGCAGTGAGGTCATGGTTACAAACTGGAAATGCGGCACCATAGACCTAGTTAGACCAAACTCATATCACGTGTCAACGAACATTATCGTCACGAACCCTGCTCATGTTGATATTTAAAGGCATAAGAGAATATGATAGCACTTAGATACCACTCGGCCCATGAGATATCATATTGCCTAGCCTTTTCTGTCATAAACCTGACCATATATGGGCGAATATAGGCATATATGAACATATGCCTATAAGTCAGGATAACTGGCCTCAGCTAAAGCTAGGGAGAAGCACTCAAACAATTGTGTATATTGCTCTTAACTTAACAAGCGTTCTAATCCGACGAAATAACGAAAATAAATTCGGCTCAGCTCACCGGTCTCCCTTGATTGGCATCCAGATCACATTTGCTCTTCCTATTACGACAATTCAAACACGCCCGATAAGCCCTCATGGTATCAAGGGGCGGAGGGAGCGGACGCGAGGAATCGGGCTGCTGATGTTGACTTTGCCCTTGATCCTGGTGTTGCTGGGGCTGGGTAGGACCGTCGGCATTTGATGCTGATGCCGCGCCCGACTCCATCAATGGTGGCAAACTCGGCGCCGCGCTCGCCATCATAGAGAAGTCTCCCGGACCGGTAGTAGAAGGTCGAATGGCTGCCGGAGCAGAAATATCGGAGCGACGATGCCCCAAAGAAATTTATGCGTTGTGTTCTCCGAGAGAAATGGAGTTGCGTGATGGGATGAGAGGGCGAATTCCAGTACAGAGGGGCCGGTGTCTTAGGCGCAGGGGAGGTCGCCGGGCGGGGACTGACGGCGAGTCGGCAACTCGATAACGGACCGCCCAGCGGTTATAAAATCAAACGTATTCGGAGGAGGACCCTGGCGGATTATCGAGGATCAGGTCTCACGGAATTATAATGTAACCCATTAAATTGCAGGAATGCCTGGAAGTCTCCGCCGAGTGGCTCGCTGACTGTTGATGTGGATGTTGGATGAGTGAACTCAGTTAAGAGTAGGAGACTTATTAGACAGACGGGCCGTGCGGGCACCATAGACCGAGGGGTTGCATCCGGAGGATCTTATTTCCGTTTCACGTGCTTACGAAGTATATAGGTACCGAGATAGGAGTCCTTGGACGGCTACTTGTATTTCAAATTCAAATGCTCTTAAGATTAGTTAAATTGTTTCCAGAAGGCGCTCTTCTATCTCCTCGAGCACATATAAATTTAGGTATCTAGTTGCTACAGGTTAGACCATCTTATGTTGGGGGATGATCGCCTCGTGGAGCGCCAGGAGAGGCACATCAGAATCTGAGCATTTGGCAGTCCGGTAATCCGATCTAAACCTATGAAACCGGCAGGTAGGGCGAGTGAAGTACCAGTTGGCGAGCCACCGCCAACGGGTATGTATAAATGAGGTGTGTCTGTCATCATCCATCGTCGTCACTAGAATCACTACCGAGATTTTTCTTCCAATCCGTAAAGGCGGAACCGAAACTTCTCCCACGATCACAAGGCTCCTCTAAGCCAATGCCCGGCAATTCCACATGTGTAATTAGTATCCCCAAGTCAACCAGCGGTACCAAGCTTGGCCTGCCATGCGCACACTGAAACGGGAACATGCAATCAGCCAGTCTTCTTACCAATTCCTCACATTGCTCTCGGCTCAGTTCGTCATTGAACATGATCGAACTTCTACAAGCACGGGAGTTGAGCATGTCGATAATACCTTGGGGGCAATTGTGAATGCGATGAATCCAGGCACGCGTCGAATCTAGTGTATCGTTGGATACAACCGAGGTAGCCGGAGAATTGCTTGCAGTTCCATTTTCTGCGCATATCCAGGCTTCTGCCCTGATGAGTTCGAACAGCACACGTGGGTCGGTTTTGCACCTTGCGGCAATTCCAGGAGGAAGGCTCCAAACAAGCACCTTGCGCGTAGATTTTCCTCTCTCGTTCTGATTAGAAGCCCACTCATCGTCCGGCAAGTTGTATAAAATACCCCAGTGAGAAAAATGGCTCCTATGTAAGCGAAGGAGCTGGACTTCCTGAGGAGAAATCTCAAACTCAAGAGGTTTCTCCAAGGCTGTGGTTAACACGTCCGATCCGGATGTACTAGCCGACGAGGAGTCGCTCGGCGTACAAAGCTCCTCCATCAAACCTTCAATCCGAACTCTTTCGTCTGCTGCATGTTGATCGATAATCACAAGCATCGAATCTTGGCCTAATCGTTTATCTTGTCCCACCGGGATGTCCGCCGCATGGAGTTTCACCAGAATAAACTTCTTGTCCACTTGCGATATAATCTTTGCGCTACTCAAGGCATCCTTGGATATACATGCACTGATGCTACATGAAAAGTCTTTGAATGCTCGATCAAGCTCGATCTGTGAACAATGGTGGCGGCGACCATGCAGTATATCCTGAGTAGCATCGACCAAGCCATTTAAATTAACCTGGGGAATTAAAGCTTCGGCTGGTGCGAAGACTGGGTTGTCCCAATTCCTAAGTATATTGCTGACCCAAGGACTTGTCTCGCCACTTATAGCTGTGAGACCTCTTTTGAGATTCGCGCGGCAAAAGGCAGGACCTTGGCTCACGGTTGGATGAGTCGATCCGCTTTTCACATTTTTCGTATTTTTAACCACTGTGTGGCCGGTCCTCTGGTTGATAAAGGATCTGACTTTGGTGATAGGGTTCATCCATTCGACAAGCACGTCATCATTTGTGGCTTCGGGGATAGAGGTCTCATTCTGTGGTAAAGAGTTTGACAAGACCTTCTGGATTGGAGCTGTGTATATTTCAACCTCTGCGAAGGGTCGGCGAGTAATTTTGCCACTCGAGGATAGAAGGGCTGGCGGGGCTTGCGCCTTGCCGGCCGATCTTGATGCAGTAGATATCAGGGAGGCATTATCCGCATTTTTGGGGCGTTCAGATGCTGGAATGGGCACTGGGTTGCTCTTATGATCTGGTGTCTGTGTCTGTGGATGTGTAACCCCTTGTTTGATATGTGGCCAACTGTCAAAGCCGGATGCGAGTTGGAACGAAGATCTGCGGATGATTGGAAGCTTGACCTGCACGCCCAAGGGGTCATGCTTAGGGTGCAGAATCGCCGAAGGCCCTTTCTTCCTACTAGCCAACTTTTCCTCGGTGGGTGCTTGGACAGACGAGGAGGGAAGAGGTCTTCCAATACTATCAGAAGGGCACCCGTCCTGTTCCTTGGCTAATTTAAAAGTGTTTTCAAAAGATTTGTTCAAGAAATCTTCACTGCCTAGGCGAGGTTGATGGCCTTGTCCAACTTTCGGCCGAAAGAGGTTTCGATTAAGAAATTCCAAAATCATTACTTGTAGTAATTCCATAACTGAGCGAAGAGCAGTCCCTTGATTATCCAGAATATCGTCCACTTCGTGAGGCCTATGCTGCATCATACGTATATTGATGTAAAATTTCGGCCATCGATCTACCCCTTTCTTGCTGCCTTTCAGTTCTCGGTTTGTATACCCATCAGATCGATACCGTCCGTCCTTTGCTCGCTTTATTCTCTCTGCATCATCTAAAGTATAAAAGTCTTCTTCACTGCCGAAGGCAGAGTTCATAAACAGCCGATTAATATCGTCATGCACGATTGTCGGACCATTTCCGGTTAACAATGGTTGTATACCTAAGGAAATAAATTGGACATTTTTTGTAGGGGACGGAGAAAGCGAAATTGCCCCTTCAACTTGTATTTCATCTGTACAGGCAGCAATACGAACCCATGAAGGCCGTTCATCCGGAGTAATAAAGGAAGCTTGAGAGAGAATGGTACAGACTTTGGAGATACTAATCCCACCCAAAGCGCCTGGCCTAGATTGTGCTTCTGCCGATGGCAGTCTAATGTTCATCTTCTGCAAAGTTCCAACCTCCCGGATGGTGAGCGCAACGTTGCTAGGCCAAGACAGTAAGAGCATGACAACATTCCATTTCAGACTATCCCAATCCTTGTTATTACCCCGGAATTTCTCGGCAGCTATGGCTCTCTGCTTGACCCGGACCGGCATATTCCCAAACAAGTCACACACCGTGACGCGTGTTCCATGAGCAGGATATGGGAGATTCTGATGTGCTGGAGCGGGAGTCTGGCGAGCAATGACCTCGGACTTGTGCATGCTTAGAGTATTATGGGAGTGGTGAAAGTGGTGATGGGAGGTAATCGAGACTAGGGCCATAGCAGAGAGAGAGACAAGGAAAGTCCCACGGCAGCCATGGAGTTGGCTCTCGTCACCGAGCTTGGAGGTATCTATCAATTCCACGTTAGTTGGGGTTTGTAGAAACCAGCATTTATGACTATGTCCTACGGTATAACTTTCCAAGTCCTCCACTCTCGCGGAACTCAGAAGGTAATATCCCTAGCCCGTCATCCTCCACATCACAGGCCCCTCGAGCGTAGTCAACGGCGATATCAATCTTAGTCGATCCAGCATCAAGGGAATTCTTCATGAGTTCGCATACAACACCATTGAGGCTGGTAATTGTTGTCGCTGATTTGATCTGGCTGATGACGTTTGGAGGTAGCGGTTGTATAGACATGTTAGAGTTGGGGAGAGATGGGATTCGGTTTCGTTGAGGCTCCTGCAATGTCAAGCTAAAGCTTTATATTCTATCTGGGAGGGATGCAGATCAGGGCAAATATGCTTGGCTGGGCATAGGTGGCGCCTTCCATCATGGCATAGCATCTAGAGACCTGGTGCGAAATAGTCATCTTCAAAAACGGAAGTGATGATGCTCTGCTCAAGACGGCGGTGGAAGCAGGGCGATGGGTGGCATCGATCAGGTTCCGCAGGCCATTCTGCAGAAGTAGTTGCACGGGTTCGATGTTAATGTAGCTGATATTGTAGGCACAGAATAGTAGATTCTTAATACCATATGAAAAAGTGCTTGTTATACTGTAGTTGTAGTTGTAGATGTACTGTAGCTGCAGTTGGCCGTGTTGCTGGATTCCTTGAGATCGAGATTCCGGTCTGCCGTTTCGAGGCGCTCTCGGCCCGCTACTATGGCGCATTCTTAGGCGAACTTGGTGCAAAACTGTTTTCGCTAGTATTACAAGGCCCAACGACCATTACTCAGATATAAATCTGATATCGTGCTCCTACTAGTACACTCTTTTATATACAATCTAGATAGTCGGCGTATAGTATTATAATGATTATTCGAATATCTAGCCAATCGCAAAGTGATATTATTCCTAAAGCTAGGCCCTTATACCTACCTCGAGACCTAGCTAGAGAGAGACCTAGCGCCACTGACTTAGAAGTGCAAGTACCTAAAGCGGGATAGCAGCCATCCCCTCTTATCAGGCCTTCTCGCCAGGCCTTTATGCCCCGTAGCCTAGGCCTCTATATCTGACCGAAATTGGGATATTCAAGTAGTATAAATACCTAGGTATCTAACCAAAATTGAGATATTCAAATCGCGCGAACATCTCACCAAAATTGAGATATTCAAGTAGTGCAAATATCTCAATTTCAGTCAGATATGGCGAAAAGAGTTTAGCACCAAATTCGCCCAAGAATGCGCCATACGCTGCACATCAGATCAGATTGCACTGTTGCAGCCTCGTCTAGCAAGGTACGCAATCCAGGCACGAAGCATCGCCCCGTTCCATCGCCACCCTGACTCTCCAACTCCAACTCCAACTCCAACTCCCAACTCCCAACTCCCAACTCCGCCCATCGCTGCCGTACACTACAGTATTCCAAGACACTCACCACTCCTCTCCTTTTCAGTGTCGTGTGGCTTCGTTTGTTCGGTTCCCGATATATCGCTCTTCTCCGCGCTCACTATCATCCGTCTCTTGATCCCTGGCTATCTGTACCTTTGTCCGCCCAAATAGATAGCTTATTATGGCTACCGCCGAGGCAGCCCAGCAGCCTGTTGGTATGTACCTCCTCAATTGAGGGCTTTTCTCTTGAGTGCCTTGGTCAAAGCTATATCTATGCTGCACCCCAAGTCGAAGTTCTACCGGGATTGCGGTTGCGATTGCGTGGTAATCATCATGGTTTCCCGCGCATCGTCATCGTCATCTTAGCCTCCCCCTCGTCCTCTTTCTCCTGTTGCGTCTACTAAGCTAACCAAGAATTGGACGGGACAGATCGGCCATCCCGTCGCAGACCGTTCTCAACGTGGGTAAAGAAGATCGCCAACTTCAAAAGCGCCTCTACAGATACGAATGCTTCCTCCCATCCTACCCCCGCAAAACGAAATACATCCCAGATCAAATCGCACTCGAAGCGGCTTACCGCCTCAAAGAAGAACAACCCGTATCCCGAGTCGGGCTATGTAAATGGACACTCCTCAATACCAAACGCGAATGGCCGTGGCTCCTTCTCTACGGGACCTACCAGCATGTCCAGAAGCACACCATCCCTAAATCAAAGTAGAAATTCTGTCCGGTCGTCCCATGATGGCCACTCTCCGCCCACTATCGGCAATAAGTCAATGGCAGCGACCGTGTCCACTGCAGCACACTCGGAGGCAGCAGCTTCACACGCGCCATCGTCCGGGCAGGGCACAAATGCTACGAATGGATGTGGACTTAGCACTGGACAAGGCGCAGACAGCACATTCTCCTCTCCGACGCCCTCGGTACGCTCCCTCACTACAACCCTCACGACGATACAATCCGTATCCGGTCCTGCTGCTCATATCCCGCATCAGACTTCTAATACAAACAACCAGACGATGCAGTTCTCTCATCAGTTTCCCATCTCACCCCCACCAAGCGCCCTCCCAGCACACCTTGCTCCTTCCGGGAGCGGTGGACATCCACCAACATACAATACTGCTACTGCAAACAACCTCCTAACAGACAATGCGTCGATTCTTACATTGGCATCGTCTTCGAAGAGGAGAAGACGACGTTCGATGGATACCGATGCTTCCGTTCGCGCGCTTGCTCCGTCGTCACTATTTGGCGGTAGTCGAGAGTCTCTCCCACTGAGCGTCTTGAGCGCAAATATCGACCCATCTAACGTTCCGCCAACTCCACATCAACCACGCCCAAGTCTTGGAGGGCTGAATGAGCGAGCCAGTATCTACTCGGCCACAGGTGTTGCGCCAGCACTACCGAGCGAGCGGAATAGCTACTATGCTGGAAAGCAATCAATTTTAGCTGATGGAGGGAGTGTCAAGAGCGGCCTTGCTGGGCATGGTAGGAATGATAGTACCAGCGGAAGCATAGGAGGAATAGCGGCGTCTGGCAGTCCATTGTCCAGTCCTAAGGACACCGCTGGACCATCTTCGGCTGGCCGGCTCAGCCGCACCAATTCTGGATGGGGCGAGGTGGACGATGCCGACAAGGTGGAAGAGCCCAACGGAGGAATGCTTAGGACAGAAGCATCCAAGTCGGACGTACCAAAGGCAGACCAGTCGAGTTAGAACAGCCAATAGCGAAGGTCGGAATTTTGCCAGAGAAGGCATGAAGTATGCAACACAGGTTATGAGGTTTTACTTAATGGCCTTTATCGCTCCCAAGTCCAAGTAGAACGAGGTTGTGGGAATGGGCAGGACAGAGTTATGGATAGCGCGATTAGTCCCCACATGCGGGAGTGGCTTCGAATGATTGTTTAATTCACATCAATGATACCCAAAACCTTAATAAAAACCCCTGCTTTCTCTAGATCGTGTCCGAAGCAAGTGTGATACCTTTGTGGGTGTTGTTATGTCCTCGCCCTAGTCATAGGAAGTGTTAACCCCTCTTTCAATGCCACTTCATTTGTTAAAGGGGCCTCAGGTGGTGAACTGGGATGGAAACATTCTGTCCAATTTAGCCTCTACTAGTTCTATAATCCACTGCCGTCTACTGGGTTTTTCTACAAATGCAGATGCTTGTTCCTCCATCTCCACTTTCCTTTGCCTTCAGCAAACAGGCTTCGTAGGCATGCCGAACTCCAATGAAATATGTGTGTGGCAGAAGTGTAAAAGGCCAACTAAAGTTCAAGTGTCGTATGGCCTGGATCACACACTTAGCTACCTACTCCGTAGTACCTACCCTGACAATACTTTGCCTCAGCTTCAATTTCCGATTTCATGACTTCGTTTCGAACTCGCGATGACCGCCTTGCTAAATGCGTACCTCGCACGATCTTCTTCTAACGACAGCAAGCCATCGATAGTTGTACCTTTCGGACTGGCGCATCTCTCCCGCAGAACAGCAGGATGCTCACCATTTTCCAGTAATCTAGCAAGGGAGAGTAGAGATTGCGTTACCATCTTTCTAGCATCGGCACGCTTCAGTCCCTGGCTTACGGCGCCATCTAAGATCCCATCTAAAGCAACAGATAGAAATGCGCTTGAAACGCCAGCCGTGACACCTGCAATGTCAAAGTTCTCCGGGGCCACGGCGGCGGTTTTGCCAACCTGGAGGAAGATCCAATCCGTGATTTCTTCCATATGCTTGGGCATGGAGGTCACCTCGATGACGGACATCGACTCCCCCAGCTCAGCAGCAATATTCAACATCACTCTTTTGATATACACTGGCTTTTCACTTTTTTTTCTGAGACCAGAATGATAAATAGCGCTTTCCAGTTTGGCAACAGGCGACCCAACAAGCACACTGATAATCAATTTCCCCTCGACAGCTTCCCGCACGCCCTCGGCTTTGAGAACCGTGTCTGCCATGTAGGGTTTACATGCCAACAATATGATGTCCGCACTTCTCATCGCGGAGGCATTATCGCTGTGGAGGACTTCCAAACGATCTTGCGATTCCATGAACCGTGTCCGTAATGCTTCCTCGGATTCAAGGCTATTCACGGTAGCGATGAAGTGTTTAATCCTTGGCTCTGTCCCGGCAGATTGGGTGCGCGTAAATGACTTAATGACGCCGGCTAGAATGGCCGAGCCCATAGTTCCTGGTGGTATGGGTCAGATAATGTTCTATATTGGGGATTTCGCTCCTCGCTGGCGCGGGTTCCGTGGTTGGATTCGCATACCGCAGCCTATGATGGCGAGAGTTAAACCCCCATTCGAGGGGTCCGTAGAGTGCATATCAGCCATGTGGGCGGGCAAGGTGGGCCTGGATCAAGTTGTTGGGTGACCTTGGGTTTTCAGGTTGTTAAACACGCAATTCTTTTTTTGTGTTTGTTTGGACATGAATAGCTGAAGGATTGTGGAGATTGGACGTGTCGACAATAATAGACGGCAGCCAAGAGTGGACGTGCTCGACCAAACGGACCTGGGGTCAGCAGCTCGCGTAGAGGGAACGAGAAACAAAACACACGATTTCCCCCCATCTCACGTCAGGATCAAACCATGACGAATATTCCCAGAGCTGAACCAGTTACCTCTGCGATCATGTCCGTTATTGATTGTTCACCAAGTCATTGTCGGAGAAGCCCCACATCCCCACACACGGCGCCACGACTGTGGGGTTAGTGAAGTGGTTTCTTGGGAGAAGGAAGGTTTATATACCACACCATTCTACAATAGTTAGCCTCTAGTGCTTCATCGCCACGCCTTTCGTGTCTTTTTGACCAATTAAAATTGGTCTACGGGATGCGGGGATCAGCCCGTCTCCGAGTATTGTCTTCGAAAGCCTGTCTGCTTTGGTGGGGTTTGAGGCTATAGAAAGCCACTGGCTTTTGGAGGCTTTCATGCCCCTGGCGAGTTTGGTTTCCTAGCCGCACATGTGCATTTATCGAGTCTGCTGCTAGCCTGCTACCGATGGACGAGTACGGTACACATGGCACCATGACTTTCGTCAATCTTTGCCGGTCAAGCTTAATATTTTGTTATTGCTATGTACAGTACTTTCTCGTAGCGTCTCCTAACTCTATCCATCCCCTATCTCACAGTTGCAAGTTCAATCACCACTCCAATCATGCCTTCTTCTGTTCCATAGCCTCAGCACTTATTCTAAAGTAAAGAGGCTTGAGGGCAAACTTGGTTTAGGCAAGTCGCCCGCCGGGCTCCCGTCCTCTTCTGACCGCGTCCGTTGAATGTAACCTCATAACATCAAGGCCCGTAACTCGCACCACCCTCTCGGGATAACCTTGTCACCGACTGTTGGTTAGGATGGGTATTGTTGGCCTGCCGCCTATTATTTTTTGGAATACTACGTACAACCCCGTGTCCGAGGCAAGACATATTCCGGGGCCGTGGAAGCCTGGCCATTTCGGGACTTGCACATGGATGCTTGCGACCCTCGCTGGGGATACCGATGATGCACAATTTGGAATTAAATTGAGGGTGTGCAGCGGGCAAGCCAAACTGTAAGGTGTCCTGCAGCCTCCCGCGAGATGGGGCATCTGTCAGCGATTGATAATTGTTCTCGATGTGGAAGCTGTCAAGCATATAGCTATCGCAATTCGTGAATATGTGAAAGCGGATTTCGCCTTTGTGAAGATAATATTAGCATCGAGAATTATTTCCGTAAACCATCAGACTTGAAGCTCTAACCGCAATTATGTCTATACGAACCAGTGGTGATCAAAGAAAAAATGGAGTAGTTGATTCCAATTATGAAGAGTCGGGGGGGATCCACCCGATCTCCCAGGTCAAGTCATTAGGTGGGATATCAATCTCACCTGAATTGTTTGAGAAGGTTAGTTATCCAGCCTCTATAGCCAATCTACCGTTCATTGGCCCTATAGTGTTTTGCTAACGAGGGCCTAAACAGCTATACTTGACCCCCAAAACTAATAATGTTGGCGACCTTCGACAGCGCTTTGCAAATCCAACTCCATTGGGCTTGATGGGGTAATGCTCCCCCCCGATGCAAATTGCGCTAGTCTAAATATCTTCCGCAGATTCGTTATTTCATCGTTCACATTTTCAGCAATTTTGATGGGCTGGGGAGGAGCTACCACATTAGTTGGCGTCGCGTAAGATATTTCTCAAACCTCCTTGGTCTTTCTATCCAACGCGGGATATCTAGCTCTAAACCTCACCAGGGGCATCTTTTACTTCACCGGTCCGATACTTCTTCTGTTCGCCATGATCTGTGAATGGATTATGGGCAATTTCTTTTCCATGATGGTCATGGGAATGTTTGCCGTCTTCTGGCTATCATTCGGTGTCCTACAGACGCCTGCGTGGGGAATAGCAGCTTCATACTCAGCAACCGGGAACGCGGCTGAAGGAGCAGCATCGGTTGGGTATAATGCCGCCGTTGCTCTCTATCTGATGGTATGGGGCTTTTGGCTGTTCACCATATTCCTCTTCACATTGAAAACGAATACTGTCTTTGCGCTCATTTTCCTGCTTGCATTCACAAGCAGCTTTATAATTGGAGGAGCCTATTGGAAAGTCAGCACTGGTGACTTTGACATGGCACTGAAATTGCAGAAGGTGTGTGATTTGATGAAAGCGATTTCACATGAGGTTCCATGGGCGCTAACTCGAGACAGGCTGGCGGGGCTACCTTCTTCGTCGTTGCCCTCCTTGGGTATTACATCACGGTTGTCATGATGGCTGCTGAGATGCGGATAACCCTGAAACTCCCGGTTGGGGATCTCTCACACTTTTGGCCAAAATCCGATATTGAGTTGGCGGAGATGGAGAAAAGAGATTAGGAGAACTGCAGGTGCACGGAACATTAGAGAGAGGTGTGACATAAGAGAGAGCGTCTTACTCGGGACAGCGACATAGCTACTCAGCCTGCTGTTTGTTATATGATATTATTATCAACGACTTGGAGTTATCCGGCATAACGCCCCTCTTGTGGTAGAGAGGTAGGTTTCCGGAATTTCTCCAACTAATTTCGATATTATAACAGCGAACAACAGACTTTACGCGACTCAATGGAACTGATCAAAACCAGATACCTACACTTGCAGAGGCAATTGATTGACTTCTTCCAAAAGCATTGTTAGAGTGACACACTTGATCACCTTGGAGGCATATCTCTTATTTATATCTTTCGCTTTCCAACAACGACGAAGAAGAATGGGTTTTCAGTGGTGAGATCAGAGCTTCCCAACAATATGTGTACCTATGCACTCTACACCCGAGTGCAGCACTAGTAACCCCCACTAGAGAACTGTACGTGCAGGGGCGTTAGGCCCAGATAATGGTTTCTAGGCGTCGCATCGCTAATCTTACCCCGCAATTGCGTAGTTGGACAATTGCTCGTACGACAACGCCAAGCTCGAGCTTCAACAAGCTGTCTGCCGCTCGTATCCGCATTACACTTTACACTTACACTTCACACTTCTAAGTTCAATATTCTATATTATCTATCAATTACTTACCTCCAGATCTCTATATCAATCTCTTGCATTGAGAATCAGGATGGGAGAGACAATTCGACTCGCAGTCGCACAAGCGTATACCCTCTCCACAACACCCGAGACCCTTTCAGCGCTCGAGGACACTGTCAAGCAAGCCCGCCGCCAATCTATCGACCTCATTCTCTTTCCTGAGGCATATCTCGGTGGGTATCCGCGAACAGCAACATTCGGCGCTGCTGTCGGGGCACGTGAACCCCACGGCCGCGAGCAGTTCCTACATTATTTCAAAGACGCGGTAGATTTCGGTGACACGCCGGAGGGCTCAGGAAAGAGTTGGGTCGAGAGGCAGTTGGAGGCTCCCAAGAAAGGGGTAAGGGGAGATGGCACAAGAGAGAGGCTGGAAAAAATTGCAAAGGAGACAGGCGTGTTTATTGTGACGGGATGCGTGGAACGGTGTGGAGGGACGCTATACTGCGCTGTTGTTTATGTTTGTCCAAAATCCGGTATTTTAGGGAAGAGGAGAAAAGTCATGCCGGTATGATTCCCCCGCCATCTATCTATCCCTAGGTAGCTTTTCATCTTTCTAATTTCCCGATAGACAGGTAGCGAACGCCTCGTTTGGGGCCAAGGTCAACCGTCCTCACTCCGCGCGGTTACAACGACAATTCGTGGGGTCCATATTACCCTTGCATCGGCGATATGCTGGGAAAACTACATGCCGTTGCTTCGACAATCGCTTTATTGCCAAAACGTCAACCTTTACCTTGCACCAACGGCCGACGCACGGGATACATGGCTACCACTCATGCGGACGGTCGCTTTAGAAGGCCGATGCGTGGTACTGAGTGCCAACCAATGCATGACGAGGTCAAATTTGCCTAGTTGGGTCACTAACTACGACAAAAACAACAAGGAATCTCCAGACGAGAAACAAAACCTAAACGGCGATCCCCCAGCCCATTCTCGGCTAAGGAGAAAGTCGACGATCACCGAAGACGGCAATGAAATTATTTTACCGGATTTAGACGAGTCAGCACATAGATCGACCAGACCGACAGTTGAAAGACACACCCCGGAGTATGTCTCAAGAGGAGGGTCATGCATTATTTCTCCGCTTGGAGAGGTTTTGGCGGGGCCGCTCTGGGACGATGAAAATGGATTGTTGACTGTCAACGTCGATTTTGATGACTGTCTTCGAGGCAGACTCGACCTTGATGTTGCTGGGAGCTACTCCAGGTGCGTTCCCAACCCCTCAAACCACTGCAATATCAAACTGCATTTCTGACCAGCCTCAGAAACGATGCATTCAAATTAACAGTCGAAGGTCTCGACTTAAGTCCCCCTCCGTAATATGACCGGTAAGTTGGGATATATTATTAATATACAGCTTAAAATGTCTAAATTAAAACATTGGCATTGTGTTTCCTAATCTAATGTGCCTAGATTATTCATACATACGACTAAAAACCTGTTTACAATGGACAAGGTTCTTTTGCTTTCGTTTAGTTCTCTGCTTGTGGAGCGGGAATGTCCCACATTCCACATACTGTTGCGTTTTTGGCTTAAAGTGGTTAATGAACTGCAATTTAGAGCCACCATCCCTGATAGTCGCAAGACTAGTGACGTAGTCGTTCATGGTAGTGTTCTTTGTTTTCATTTGTGGACCGTCAAAAAGCGTCGCGCTTTTGTAGTCGCCGTTTTCAATGTGGTCTCCGCGGCCTCCTGACATCATGTTACGCACACAACGGGATGACGATTTTAGTAGCGCATTCCCCGCGCTAGGTTACTTCCTAGGCTACAATCCATCAACATAGGGATTGTATTTCCCCTCTATATAAGGTTATTCTCATAGCATATATGCAAACTTTATCCAAAACCCGGAACTTTGAGCTCCTTTCTCCTTTTGCAGGCATACCTGCCTACAACTCAATTTCATCATGGTAAGTACTCTACACGCAGTATTGAGTGGGAAGCTATCGAATAAACCCCAACATGCACCATCTTTGAGAAAATAAATGCTCATATTTTCAATCACAGTCAAGTTCAGGCGGAGATCAATCCTCCAGCTCGGCTTCGGCTTTCCTGTCGACGTTAATCCCTGTTGGCCTACTAGCTGCAGCATTTGTTGGGGTATTCTTGACTGTTCGAACTAAATACAAACGCGTATATGGTCCACGGACATACCATGAAACGCTTTCCAAATGGTGAGCATAGCCTCATAAGTCCCACAAGCAGAGCTAACACTAGATAGGGAGATGACTAGAGACCTTCCTACCGGCCGGTTTAATTGGTTAAAACCTTTTTCACATATGCCGGATGAAGATGTCCTCAAACACCAGTCATTGGATGGTTATCTGTATCTTCGCTTTCTTAAAATGTTGATCCTTATCTGCTTTGTCGGGTCATGCATTACTTTCCCTGTCCTATTTCCGGTAAATGCTACCGCCGGTGGAGGACAAAAACAGTTTGACATGCTATCATTTTCGAACATTGGAAAAAATGCCAAGAATAGATACTACGCCCATGTGTTCATTGGCTGGATATTCTTTGGTAAGTACTCCGGTTGAAATATCCCGCATCGGTATAGTCTCTAACATTGGTAGCTTTCGTGATGTACATGATCACTCGAGAGACTATGTACTGCATCAATATCCGCAACGCCTATCTTCGTGCTCCTTTCTACGCCTCCAGAATTTCCTCACGGACGGTTCTATTCACCGATGTTCCTGCCGAATACTTGAACCCCGACAAGTTACGGACCTTATTTTCTACATACATGCAAAGATATTGGCTGGCAACCGATTGCAAGGACCTAGAGAAGAAAGTCGAGGAACGAGACAAGGATGCCATGATGTTGGAAAATGCAGAAATCCAATTGTGCAGTAAAGGGAATAAGAGGCACCTAAAGTGGGAGAAAAAGGGGGACAAGAGGAAAGATGCCATATCCGAGTATGACCCGGAAGCTCCAGCTACATCCCGATACCTGAAAAAGAAGGACCGCCCAACTCATCGTCTAGGCAAGATTCCTTTAATCGGAAAAAAGGTCGATACCATAGACTGGACCCGGAGCGAGCTGCGACGACTTAACCCGGAGGTGCAGTGGGCTCAAGATAGGCACCGCAGTGGGGATGCCAAATTACTCCCAGCTGTTTTCATCGAGTTCACTACTCAGGAGGCTGCAGAGGCTGCGTTCCGAAGGATGACCCCCTCGAAACCACCACACATGCGTCCTCGCGCCATAGGTGAAAGGCCGGACGAAATCATATGGAAGAATCTTGGGCTTAGCAGGAAACAGCGCTGGCTAAGGAGATTTGGAACCAACACATTTCTTACTCTGATGATCATCTTCTGGGCCATTCCAGTGGCCGTCGTTGGTGCCATCAGTAATATCAATTACCTGACAAACAGTACGTTCCTATTGAACTTGTCCACCCTACATTAGCTAACATTTCGGCAGAGGTTCCTTTCCTCGGATTCATTAATCACATCCCTCCAGTTGTCCTCGGTGTTGTCACGGGCTTACTACCGTCCGTTGCTCTATCGATACTGATGTCATTGGTGCCCGTTTTCTGTCGATGTAAGTGTCATCCCAAATGTCTAGTCAACAATATTAACAGAATTAGTTGCCGCGAAACTCAGCGGAGAGGTGACCCTTCCAGCCGCCGAACTGAGAACGCAGTCTTGGTATATGGCTTTCCAGGTGGTTCAAGTTTTCCTGGTCATGACCTTGGCCTCCGGTGCTTCATCAGTCGTCACGAAAATCATCAACGAGCCTAGCAGCGCAACGACGCTACTAGCAGAAAATCTCCCCAAGGCATCGAACTTCTACATCTCGTATTTCATTGTCCAGGGCCTCGGGATTTCAACAGGCAGTCTGTTAAACATTGGAGGCCTTGCCATGGGAATTATTGGTCCAAAGTTCCTCCAAAACACTCCCCGGAAGAAGTTCAACAGTTATATCACACTCGGTGGCCAGATCTGGGGCGCTCAATATCCACAGTTCGGTAACTTGGGCATCATAGCGTTAAGTTACTCTATTATCTCGCCGCTCCTCCTTGGGTTCGCCACAGTCGGGTTCCTGTGCATCTATCTCGCTGTCCGCTACAACTCCTTCTACGTCCTATCCAACACCATTGATACCAAAGGGTTGGGGTATGCCCGTGTTCTCCAACAGCTCACAACCGGCGTATATATCGGACAAGTCTGCCAACTCGGCCTTTTCGCTATCAACACTGCTCCCGGACCGATCGTATTACAGGCTATCTGTCTCGGGGTGACAGCCATCTATCACGCTATAATGAGGCATACCCTCTCCGAATACGTCCTATACCCCCCAGACAGCATGGACTACGATGAACGACTCGCTATGTTAGCATCTAAAAAGCGCATGTCTTACGACTCCACCAAAGAAGGCCGACCCCCTAGCGAGAAAGGCGCCACAGGTCCTATCAGCAAGCTCTCTGAAAAGAAAGCAACCTTCCTGGCCCGCTGGTTTGATCCCCGCCGGTCCAAGTCATATGACCGATTCCGCAACTTTGTATTTGAGCAAGAACCTCCACAGTACAGTATGGAAGAGGAGGAATCGGCTTATTTCAACCCCGCAATTTCGAGTCCTCCTCCAACGCTGTGGATTGTGCGGGATGATCTGGGAATTAGTACCCAGGAGGTGAAGGATTCGATTGAGGTTATAAGCATCACGGATGAATTTGCGAGGTTTGAGGGTAAGAAGGTTGTTTGGGAGCGGGGGGAGAGAGTGGACTTGAATGAGGTTCCGATCTGGAAGAAGGATGTCGAGTATTAAGTTGCTAATGCCATGATATGAATTGTTTTCTTCTGGTTGTGTTTTATGATACTAGAACTTGCGCCCTATCATACCATCACAATAGCGTACCATCATAATACCCCACTTATATACTGAATGAGGTCCCGATTCGGAAGAAATATGTCGATTATTAAGTTGCTAATGCCACGGCATGAATTGTTTTGTTCTGGTTGTGGAGGTGTTTTATGACACTAGAACTCGTGTCCTACAAGACCATTATCGTAGCCCTCTTGTATATCTAATCAACATAAAAAATCATATCCCGTTCGTCCCGTTCGTCCCGTTCACCCCGTTCGTCCCATTCGTACCGTTCGTTAGCCCCTCTCTACTTGGAATCAGCTGCACACAATCTCCCTGATCATCATCGTAGACGAAAGCGTAGACCTGCATCCCTCTCTCCTCCATCGCCTTCTTCACCTTGGGCTGCCGCTTCAGCCACGCCACCTCAGCCAACACGTATCTCTCTTCGAATCTCCGGCGGAGCGTCTTCTCGTCGAGCGCGGGGTTTTCTTCTGAGAGCTGTTGGGAGTTGAGGTCGTGTAATTTTGCCGCGTCTCTGTGGTTAGGTAGGTGTCAGTCACGTACAGACATCTTGTTATCGGAATAGGTTGGACACGTACTTGTACCACATATTCACGGTGCTGGTCTCCTCGCCGGGCACCAGGGAACAGCCGTGATGTCCGCAGACAACGATGTGATCTACCTATCATATTTCAGCTATCAGCCTCTCTTCCGCTCATATGAAGACTATTCCAGTCCTGTGTGTCTCAAAGTTGCATATTGATCCGGACCCCTCTTCTCTCTCTCCCGTCGCAGCAAGAGGCGCCATCCACATACTCACCCAAGCCAACTTCAAACATCAGCAGAAAACGGAATCCCACCCACCTTAAGCAGTTCCACGCACCACTCGAGCGCACTTAGGGTACTTAAATCTCCATTGCTAAGCACGTGGCCCAGATTCCGGTGCACGAACATCTCGTCGCGGGGAACATCGAGCACATCCGTTTCGAGGATGGAGCTGTCGCTACAGCCCACCCAGAGGATGTGTATCTTTTCGTGGTCGGCGTCATTGATATTGGTAGCCGTCGCCGCGGGCGTCTCAACCGCCACCTCAGCAGCCGCCTCGGAGGGCGTCGTGGACACGATGGGGATCAGATCTCGGGGGACAGGGCGGGTTGTGTAGGGGATGTCGAAGATGTGGGGAGTGATCAACGGCATTCTGGCGTTGGGGGAGAGCGCGTGCTCTGGAACAATAGGTAATGGATAGGTAGTCTAGGGTAGTACTCGAGTAGTGGAGACGGAGAAGAGGAAGGGGAGATTAACTGCTACAGTGCTTAGGCGCGAGCAGGAGAGTACGAGTTGCTGGTAGGGTCTGAGACTCTGAGTCTGAGTCTGGGTAAGAGGATGAGGCTATGAGTACAAGAGGGAAAAGCAAAGACGCTTGCCACTACTCCCACTACCACTACCACCAGCACCACTAACTAACCACTGGCCCAAACCCGCGTAGAGTGGAAAACAACTGCGGGATCTTTGCCTGGTAGCCTCTCGGCATCGTGGGGCGCCGTTCAGGCATCGTTCCTGCGCGGTGCGCAGAGTACTCGAGTACCTACCGTAGGGAGTTAGTCAGCTTCAGCCGAGAATGAACATGGGGGTGTTCGCTGCCTTACGCTGCCTGTGGCTGCCAGAATCAGGTGATTGTGCACCAATGTCACGCCACAACCCACAAAACAGGGGATACTTAAGCTTTTTCTACCTTCCCCCCCGATCGCTGGCTGCATATTATCATTCTTATTTTATTAGTATTGTTAGTATTAGTACGATGTAACCTGTTAGTGATTTGTTCCCCGGTTTCAGGGGCAGTGCGACCGTTGTTGTACAAGGTTCGAGACTCTAGCGTCACTCTGCTTTGAGGTTGTGGTCTGGGCCGAACATCATCCTTTGCTTTCATCATTATCTACAGATTGTTACTCTAGAAAAAGTATTTTAACCAACGACTTCTTATTCTATCCCACTCGACCAATCACCGAGTACTTATGAGCTTTACCCAGAGAATTGCACTACGGCGGCTCGCACGCTCACTTTCCTTAAGTGCCCCCCGCGGTTGAAAGTCCAACATCCCTTCAATGGCCACCTCATCACCTCTAGAAATGGGGACCAGCTAGCCCATCTCTTCATTCGAGCCGCCCCTACTTTGTGCAATGCTGCACCAGTTCCTCCGCCGCCAAAAGCCGTCCTTCGCTATCGAACACATCACAGCTGCATATTTCGTTGCAACAAGAACAAGTTCGATGCTGATAGGATGGATGAGCTCGGAAAGCCCATTCCTGAGTTTCTCGACTCGATAGCGCAACTACGACATACTGCTGCCCATAGGGTCCGAGTGAGTGCAAATAGAGTTGAGTAGTTCGTTATTCTCCATAACTCTTGTGGGAAAGAGCTTGGGGTTTGAGCTCTTCTCGGGTTCCCCCCCATCTGGCTTGAGCTTGGTTGGGGTGCGTCTACTCGGTGGCACCCCACCGCTCGTGCTCTCAACCTCGAACTGATATGTATGCCCCATTGCTTGTACAGTTTTCGAGAATACTTCACCACGGTTTACCATCAACGTGGCGAGTCTGAGGCTACGATGTTGGTCGAAGATGTCGTTTTCCCCGTACTTGGCATCCACGACTAACATTTGCAAGGGCTGCCTAGTTCTAAAGGAATTATCGCCTTATGAAATTGTGAGCAGGGGAGTTGAGATGCTGCTGAAGAGATTGTTGACTACCAAATGACCGATCGCACTCGTCACATTCGAAGATGTGGGCTGGGGAGTTGAAGTGTTGGTTGAGGGCCTGCTGGCTGCCAAATGACCGATCACACTCGTCGCACTCGTACACCGGATCGTGAGCTGGGGAGTTGAGATGTTGATTGAGGGCCTGCTGGCCGCCAAATGACCNGCCAAATGACCGATCACACTCGTCGCACTCGTACACCGGATCGTGAGCTGGGGAGTTGAGATGTTGATTGAGGGCCTGCTGGCCGCCAAATGACCGATCACACTCGTCGCACTCGTACACCGGATCGTGAGCTGGGGAGTTGAGATGTTGATTGAGGGCCTGCTGGCTGCCAAATGACCGATCACACTCGTCACACTCGTACGTTCCACCAGGGCCACCCATCCGCACATTACCGTCGATAATCGACATTCCTCCAGGACCACCCATCCGCACGTTACCGTCGATAATCGACATTCCTCCAGGGCCACCCATCAGCACGTTACCNCCATCCGCACGTTACCGTCGATAATCGACATTCCTCCAGGGCCACCCATCAGCACGTTACCGTCGATAATCGACATTCCTCCAGGACCACCCATCAGAACACGCACGTTTTCATTTTTGCTCCCTCCAAGAGATCTCCCGCTGAATCCATTCCACGTGACATTGCTATCTGATGTTCCACTTCCAGTCCAGACGCTTTTCTTAGAAGAGCGTCGAGCTGATATTTGGTTCGCTTGCGGGTGAGTCACGAATCCGAAGTTAAGAGAATAGATCTCATCGTTTGATATAGAAGTAACAACTCCCTTCTTGAGCACTACGGATATTTTATAGCCTATTCCCTCCGCAGAACCTTCAACCTTATCAGTAAAATCGAGAATCTCTGGTAAGTCGGCTTCGACATCATCCCAGGTCACATCGTGACCCAATCTCTTGTGACGGAAAAGCCATGATGAATATCGGTTGTGTTCTTCTGCGTTGAAGATCCGGCAAAGTGGGATATCTGTGCCGAAATAGATGCACACAACCACTTGGACTGTCGAATCCCCCAAAGTTACCGCACACGAGGCGGCCAGAACGAGGGTTTCATCATCCAGGGGGGCGAAAAATAGCCGACTCGTATCGTCCCAGTGGCTCTCGGGGATGACTTCTTGGATTTTGAACTTTTCGTGCCTGGGAAAATGAACTGCGCTATGCCGTCTCGAACCCTCAAAAACATGAGACTCGAGAATGGTCGCATGTAAATAGAAGTTAAGTAACGTTACCCGAGTACGATCACCACTGTTCGGGTTGGCCGTCAGTAGTAACTTTCCATCTCGCACGAAGACATCCGGTCCAATCTTTCGGAGTTGCATGGCGATTTCAGTCCAACTATTTCCTGTCCGGCGGGAACCGCGAGAACCTAACGGAATAAAATATCTCGTTGTCTCGGATCCGCTGTTGTCATTTTTGACGGGTACCTTCCAGATGAACTTGAGGTTATCAATTCGTAATCCTTTGTTCGTCATGGCAAACACCGGATCTAATGACAATCGACTGAAGGGTTGAATACCATTGCTCTCAGCAAACCCAGCAGGTGATAGTGCAAATAGGCCCCACGGTGCCCCTTGGTCGTGGCCCTGGTCCCAGGCAAAAATGGTCAGATCATTGCTATGCTTAACAATTTCGTCTTGCAGTCGACGAAACGCCTTCACCCCTTCACCATAGATCAAAGGCATGTTCACGTCGAAGATACCCAAGAGACTATAGGCGAGATCTTCGGTACGTGTCGTCTCACGATGCGCAGCCCAGGACATTCTGGTCGCTACCGAATAGATTTTTGGCTGACGATTCCCCAGCAAGACATCCTCGTTGATACTGGTAACTGATGAGATTTTACCGGAGAAATCCTTCTTGGTCCCTATGTATTGCCAGCTTTGATCGTAGAAGCGAACTTCCCTCGGAGCGATTAGCTCTTGAAGCGTCCATCCTCGAGTGAACCAACGGCACATCGCCAATCTATCTTCAGCCGGGACCCCAGAACGTAGATCGCAGAGGAAGACATAGCATTTTTCAGCATTCTGGTACCACTGAAACATGGAGTTGATACTTTCCGCCAGCTCCGTGCTGCTAGTTTTGTCGATGCAGCAGGTGTCAATCCATGCGTACTGGAGACCGTGCCTGAGTGCTCGAATGCAGGTCTCTCTGATCTTGAAATACCCCTTTTTATATACCGCAGAGGGTAGGGCCAGCTCCTGGAAAGTGACCTCCTCGCTCTCCCATGTGTGGGAGAGAATGGCGTACTTTGGGATAAATACCCCGATAAATTTTTCAAGCCTAAGCGTGCTGCAGTTGATAAGCCACATTGTGACGGTGTTCCTTCTTCAACGATTGTTGCAAAGCTCAGCACCAGTCGGATAGCCTTCTGTATGGGTCACATTGACATGATGGTCCTCGATGCTAGTTGGATAGCCTGTGCTAGGAGCTAGTAGGCTGACAATTTCAGGGATTGAATTGTCGGAATGAAAGTCGATGAATTCAGTGCCTGGACCCGGATCTACAGGATGAATTGAAGGTTTGAAGGTTTGAAGGTTGTTCAAGAGTTTCTGGAGCAGGCGAGGCTCTGCATGATGTGCCCAAAATCCGCCTAACATTCCGCCCAAGAAGGAATGCTGCGCCTGTATGAGCTGAGCCATCCCACTTCTTGTGGTGCATGCCCGAACACGGACGACCAATTATGTCCTCAAAAGAGCCGCAGGCCATTTGGAGTCCAAGCATTGGAAGTGATGTGTATTGGACCCATTGGTTCTCTCATTGAGATAACCTCGGGGTGGTTTAAAGGCAGTCCCCCAACTTTTGCAACCAACATCCATTCACGACGTCGAAACTCGACTCGTATGGCGCATTGTCTGATCCGGCGATTCGAACCGCGACATTATTCGCACACTCTAATACCTCCGCACCTCCTACACAAGTCCTATCCTCACCCCCTCGCCCTCACGAGGTCAGGGACTTGGACTCGTTCACTCCTCGGGATTATGACCAATGTGGCCATTCCCTTCTTTTTTGGCGCGAGAATTATTGAAGTGGGAAACTGTTCGTGATGAGCATACGTGGCCAGTTGAATGATTGATTATTCAAGTACAGTACTGGCTAGGTAACCAGCAAGAGCTTCTCAGTAGGTGCTGCTTACCAAGCGAGCTTGCTTGCGCCCATTCATGGATCATTGAGTGGGGACAACCATTGCTTAAAACAGCGACCACGATCGCTCAATTCGGCGGCTATTGCGCCTGAATATTGCATTTTAACTATAATATTCTTGAGCCCAAAGTTTTGACCATAATTATTCCTTTGTGCTAATGGGTGTGCGAACTCGGTGCAGTCCGTAGTAGAATCCAATAGATTTCATCCTTAAAAGTATACCTAATTCGTCTATTAGCTTGATATAATAAATATCTCTAATAAACTTAGGTTTAGAGATATACTTAATTAAGCTATATAAAGCTTTAATTAAGGAGTTAATCTCTGAAAGCGAGTATCACTAGAATATAGAAGTTCCTTTAGTTAAGCCAAAAGTACTACTTAATACTATAGCACTCTACTTAGTATTTCTCTACTATAATCTCTACAAATTCAAGCCAACTTCTTACCTAGGCCAGTGCTTTGGGTTCCTCTTAATATAACCTACAAATAGCTAGAGTTTAGATTTAGCGATGTGGGCGACTACGATATGGAAAGAATAGTTTACAATAACAGATCTACAAAGGCACTGGGGGGTTTAGTATTGGCCCGAGTTACAGAACGTTCTACGTTTTCTAGAAAGAAAAGAGTTTCGGATTTAACTCAGGAATCAATCTCGGTTCCACCATCCTCACGTCCCACATGGATCTTGACTTCCAACGGATTACGAAGATGCAGCCGATGCTTCGTAATGTCTCGCGTAGTAGTATAGGTTGAGAAGCCAACGCACTGCTCAAACTGCATATTGACTGGCTTACCGGGGAGCACCCCTGATCCATACTACTCTGCAAGAAACATCTCCGTCCAGGACTCGCCTAGCTTCGCCATCATTCCCCATATGGCGCCTATTTATTCTCTTCGCCCCCAGAGCAACGTCAATTAGCTCGCGACTATGTCTACTGGGGTATTACTGGGGTATTGTTAGGTGTGGACGGCATATAAACTTCATGTGGCACCCCTGATGCCCAGCCCCACACAAGCCTCCAAAAATGCTTGTCTTCAACTTCCGTCCGTCGTAATCCCAGTGTATCTCCCCCCTGCGGGTAGTAGTGAGTGAGGGATACGTATGTACATGGACCGACTTACATATAAACACTACATAAGTCCCATTTCCCCGCACTGAATTTGATAACAAGCTATATGTGATATGTTCTGAATTGACAAAGACAAGATAAGATGGAAGACTCAAATTCCCACAAGCAGGCTGTTGAGACCGAGACCAACATTGCTCGCCATGAAAGTCATGTTTTACCCCATGGCTATGATGACCCACATAGAGCTGCACTGGAAGACAACCCAGAGCATGCTGAAAAGCTGACTTTGTCAGTCCTTCTCTCGGCCCTCTTTTTAGGAACTTCTTTCTCTGGACCAATCGTTTTTGGTTTCCTCTTCGTTACCCCTGTTCTTGTTCAACTCTCGCAAAAGATTGGCGGCGAGAACATTTCATTCTGGATTCCTTCAGGATGGGGTCTTGCGGCAGCAGTCGGTTTCTCCATCGCGGGTCGTCTTTCGGACATCTTTGGCCGTCGCCATGTCATCCTCTTTGGCCAGCTTCTCACGATTATTGGCGGTATTGTTGCAGCTACTGCAAACTCGATGAACCAACTTATTGCTGGCGAGGTCATCTTGGGTGCCTCCATTGGGACGGTATCTGTAGCTTATGCTGGTGAGTTTTGGATATCTGGTGATATTATAGTAGTCGTGCAACAGTTACTAATATCCACTAGGAATATCTGAGATTCTTCCCAACAAGTATCGCGGTATGGGCTTGGCCTGGACCGAGTTCAATCTGTCGATCTGGGCTATCCCGTCAACTCTCCTGGCAAACCTAATGGTGACCAATGCTAGTTGGCGGATCATGTTCTACATCGCCATTGGCTATGGCGCTGTCTCGATGATTGGCACCGCCTGTGTCTACTTCCCACCCAGCCATCCTCGTGCGGATGGTAGGACAAAGTGGCAAGAATTCAAGGAGCTTGATTTCATTGCTGCTTTCCTCTTCGTGGCCGGCCTAACTGTGTTCCTTTATGGTCTTAATTCTGGAGGCAACGCTTACCCATGGGGCAGTGCTGGCACTCTGGCGCCCCTGATTCTTGGCCTCATCGTCTTCCTTGCCGCATTTGCTTACGACTTCACCATTCCCAAGGATCCACTCTTCCCGTGGTATCTTTTCAAGAATTTCCGCGAGTACTCATCTCTTATTGTGCTCGTCTTCGTTGCGGGTATGGTATTCTTCGCTGCTGCGGCCCTCAACGCACAGACTATCCTTTACCTCCACACACCCGACCCGACGAAGATTGGGGTTTATTCTATTCCGAATGGGTACGTACCTGGAGTCTCTCCCGGTGCAGGATTGTAGCTAATCTCCCCCTCTAGTGTTGGACAGTTCGTCGGCGGCGTCATCATCACCGCTCTTGTGCACTACATCAAACATGTCAACTATCAGCTTACCTTCGCCGTCTTCATGCAGACCTTGTTCTTCGGGCTTGCTGCACTGATCACACCGACTAACCTGGGCTGGCTTATGGCAGTTCAGACCCTCGCTATGCTTCCCTTCGGATGGATCACCCTCAACTGCTACACCACCGCATCTCTGAATGTTCCTCAGCGAGATCTCGGTGTCGCCATTGGTTTGATTGGCACTTTCCGCTCTGTAGGCGGTTCCGTTGGCTCTGTCATCTTCTCCTCCATATTCTCCCAAACCGCCGCCAAACAGGTTGCCAAGCGCATCGCCGAGACCGTGACAGCGGCCAAAGTCTCCTCAGAAAGTATCCCTGATCTCGTCGAGGCCGTGCAGCTGACGCTCGTGGGCGTCCCGGGCATGGCTGCCAAATTCCCCAACATTCCCACCTCCGTCTTCAGCGACTGCGTTACTGCGGCGCGTTATGGCTACGCCTACGGATTCCGCATCACCTGGCTTTCATCTATCCCCTTTGGCCTCATAGCTCTCGCTTGCGCCATGTCTGTCCGTGACCCGTCCAAGTATTTCACTAACCATGTTGAGGTCCACCTTGAAAAGGAACTTGGCGGTGCTTCTAAACATGATAGGAATGATGAAAAAATAACGGATACTACAAGCTCCACGTGATTTGGGTACCCGCTATAGATAGAAAATGGTGGCACTGCCAGTATGGTTGTAACTTTGGGACAAAAATTTAGGGACAGTATGGAATTACTTAGTATACTTGAGACATTTAAGGCGTTTTCATCGGAACCACTTGGGGGGTTAAATTGAAGCATCATATATATAGACTTAATAGTTGAAACTACTCGATGCAAAATGCTAACTCTACACACTGGGCGGAGACAACGCAACTTAATATTTCGAAAGACTGCAAAGAGATGTATAAGGGATATATTATTTATGCACGTGCATTTTTGACTACAAAAAGAAAAGCATCATCTCCCCCTCATCGGCTATGTGTCCTATTTATGTATTTTGAAGGCTAAAGGACAGCAGTAGAGGAATGAAGCCTGGGAGTATTGAGGAGAGAAACATATTGATGAAGAACAATAGACGCAAAGGGAAGGGGGTGTGTTGCATAGTCTATTTCTATTCCCACATCTACTTCAACATCTACCGAACCCCACAATATGATGAGCAAGAGTTCCCCGCATCCAAGGCCTTCTTACAGCACTCAATCCTCCAGCTTAAACATAGCCACGGTGTTGGCCCACGCAGCCTCAACTAACTCCTCCACACTAATCCCCTTAATGCCCGCCACAGCCCACGCAACCTTCCCAATCATACACGGTTCATTCCTCCCCTTAACCAATGCCCCATCCACCCACTTCTCCTTCTTAACCCACTTCCACTTATCGCCATCAAAGTCCTTGACATACGCTGCACTCGCATGACTAGGCCTTATCTCACACCAAGGGCCATCCGTCTCCAACATAATCTTATCCAATGGTATAGCCTTCACAACCTCCAAATTTTCAGTAGTTTTCAACGAGCACCCGTTAACGCCAACAGACCAGCCCTCCTCAACCAATTCCTGCATCTCCTCCATCGTCCCCGTGAAGCTATGCACGACACCTTTCTTAGGCAGCTTTTCCTCCCTCTCCTTCAGCAATCGAATGAAATCCGCGTGCGCCGCTCGACTATGCAGGAAGAGCGGAAGACCAACTTCGACTGCTACGTCTAGTTGGGCGGCGAAATATTCGAGTTGCACGTCCTTGGGGCATAAGGTTAACCTATCGTAATCAAGACCAATTTCACCGAATGCCACGCAGTGGCCCGAGGCTTTTGCTTCGAGGGCTAGGGTGCGGAGGCTGGAGAGGAGGTGTGCGGAGGAAGGCTCGTGGGTTGTGAATTGGAGACATGAGCAGGGGTGCACGCCTATGGTGCTGTAAATCGTCCCGGCTGTGTTTTGGTAGTATGGTAAGTAAGACTACCTTTCAGAAGGGGTGGTCTAGTGTAGGGAAATAGGCCACATACGATAGGCTTTAGATAACTCGAGTGAATGTATTGATTCTTTTAGATCAGAGCCAGTCACTATCAGCTTCCGGCATCCTGCTTCCCGCCCACGTTCGATGACCGATGAGAGGTCCGATGGGTGCCGTTGCGTGCCGTGGTACTCCCCGCTGTAGACAGCATCCGTGAGGTTGATGCCTATCTACTGTGTTTGAGGCTGGTTAGCTGACGGCAGGCTGAGATGCGAGTTGGTAGGAGAGACATACATCTATATAGCGGGGTTTGTAGCTACTGCTGCCCGTTTGCTGGCTTTGCTCCGATGCGAGCGCTGGCGCATTGGCGGACATTGCAAGGCTGCGGATGGAGGATGGGCAACGCAGGACGTGTTTTAGGAAGATTGAAGGGTTATGCGGCGCCAAAGGTGGAAGAAATGATCGAATCATGAAGAAATATATTTATTGCTGTGATGCTAGGACAGACACAAAGTGTTAAGACTTGACTGACGTTGGGCCAAGCTTTGGCCAAGCGAGATCAATGATCACCCCTGAACACTTCTGAGCCCTGCGTTGTTCTAGTATCTTTTAACTTCATTCTTCATCAATGATGCTCGCATATGTAATTAATGCTACAAGCCAATGCTTCATGCATTGACGGGTATTCCCAGGCCACCCTTCCTAGCATATATAGCTACCAAAACGCCAACCCAAATACACCAACCCCACCTAGGTGAACAGTAAACCACAAGCATATCTCTCGTCTATAAGCCACTGCCCTTGTTTCCTTGGATTCTCCCATCTCGTACAATACCGACAGACACGCCCTCTTCGCCCGTCATCCACCCGGGCATCTTCTCACCGTCAATCACGCCCGCCTCAATCAATTCTCTGATACCAGCAAAAACATGCTGGCCATGGAAAGTAACGCGTACATCTGGCCGAAATCCTTCCTCATCTATCTCATCACTCTTCGACTTATCTAGCTCGAGATTGATTGTGCTCCTCTTCCCTTTTTGTTTTGTGGGTTCCGTTCCCAGCTCATCGGCCAATGGGTAGTCATTTTCGACATCCCCCGCAGCGCTGCTGACTGAAAAGACCTCATCGAACCTAATGTCTAGTCGCTCAATCCCTTTCCCGTCATCTCCCTTCGCACTTTTGCCGAACCTGCCCTGGGCGACCAGTTTCCTCCTCTTCACACTTCTCTCATCCTCGTGCATGCTCCGTTTCATGCCCCTTGGGATGTGATCCTCTGTTTCCTTGGTATCCTCGGGATCTGGACTTGATGTTTGTGGTGTAGGAAGCTGGATTTTCAACGGATTATCCGCTCCACCCTTTTTCTTCTCCGCATAAATGCCCCATCCTCCACCTGCAGCATTTGTCCGACCGCCTCCGCGCCGTTCAACCAATGCTTGGAGATTCTTTGTGGAGAAGCTTGTTGGCTTAAGCGTATATCGTTCGCGGGGCCGCGAAAATGCCTTTGGGATGGCTCCCAGCGTTATGTTCCGAAGGCTCCGGTTGTCAGATCTCGAGCTGGGCTGACCAGCCGGGGGAGGGGAAGTCTGGAGAGAGACATAAACATATGGCGAATCGTCTGGGAAGGCGACGTAGAAGGTTTTACTCGAGTCGAAGAGGGTTTGCTGGTTAAAGGCAGTTACGAGTGAAGTATTATAGGGACTTTCGATGAGGAAGATGCGAAGTAAAAGGAGAGGGAGTGTGGCATGTCGATCTAGGTTGTAATGTGCTTTGACATCCGGGAGGATTTCTTTCTGCAGATTCCGAAGAAACGTTGCAGGGTGGAATCTTGGGATGGTCCTTGGCTCCGCGGCGGGGGATTCCTCTTCCTCTTGTCCTTCGGAAGTTAGACGCACAATTTTCAAGGCGGACCATTTTTGCGACGAGGGGTGGTCGTAGAGATACTGCATATCTGCCATAGCAAGCTGGTAGAGGCTGATCCCATGGCGCCAATCGCCTTCTATCAGTCGGTCTACCACATCTCGTTTGCTTCCCTTCCGGGACTGGAGGTCGGCGTATGTTTCCCGCAAGGCATCAAGCGACGACGCGGGTTGATAGAGGTCCCCAGCGTCTTCGTCTTCTTCGCCATCCTCGCTGCGTCTCTCAACCAGGTATGGGGCAGTGTTCTCCTGATTGCGCTCATCAAGCCAATCGAGGACCAGCGAGAGGAGAGAAGGGCGCGACAATCGGCTGAGGATTTTGATGACGGCGGGGTGCGATGAGGGGATGCGGTGCGCGGAGGACAGAGCAGAGGTGGTGGGAATCGAAACAGGAGGCATTATATTTATATTGGTTCTTACCCTGCTCAGGAAAGCAAGGGCGCAATTAACATATTTATAGGCCAGCTATCTCATCGACCACTGCCTGGCCTTTCCTGTCCCTGTCTCTGTCTCTGTTCTCGGTATTGTTGTGGTTGCCGTGGCGCATTTGTTGTCTATGTCTGATTATTGACGTCGCAAGAAATTGTGCCTCAGTCCCCGACGCGTCTCGTTCTGTCCATGGAGTCTTGACGCGTTCCTTGAACACGTTGTGCCGCGCATTCAAGGCATCAAGGTGGGGTGCGCAACGTCACATCACATGACCATACTCGTAGTTCATTCTTGTTTTCGGAAGAATTCAAACGGAGGTCAATAGCTCGCTGACTCATGGTTCGCCAATTTCACCCGACTACCGACGGCAATGCCGAGGCCTGTTCGCGCCGTCCAATCACCCAATCATCCGGCTCCGATCGCGGCTGATACGAACTACGTGGGGGGCGAATAACCCACACGAGGCACTCAGCCGGAGTCAACCCGGATATGAAAAGGCAAGGTACCTCCCACGCATCTCCAGGCGACGAAGATACATATGTACAGTAGTACTGTACCAGGACCGTCATCAAGTGGAAAATCTTTTCCCTGCGCAACTTGCCAACTGGGCCAGGTACAGTACCAGCTCTGTGAGTCTCGGTGCCTTCTAAACCAAAAAGAATAAGAATAGACTGCCCTGTGTCAGCCTTCTACCTGGATCCAAATCCCCTCCGATTACGCGGTTGCGGGTATAATAACAATTTATCTTGCCTATCGTCGTATCGATCAGGGTTAGTTAGGGGTCCGCTTTTGCCACCCCACGCCCGGAAGCAATTGCAATTTTGCACGACGCGAGTGTATTAGTAAACGACGAGAACAGTCTCACCTGGTGGGGTGTTCAGCGCACTCACGACTCACTCACTCCACCACCACCACCACCACCACCGCCATCCGCAATCAACCCCCATTTTCACAGGTCTCCCCACAAGCCAATTTATTCTTTCTTTTTCCTCCATTTCGCACTTTAACTCTGGTCTCTCTGCAACCCTCAACTCGATCGTAATACGGGGTAAAAGCCAAACGTGCACTAGCTTGCCAAACAAGTCTCGCTGACTCGTTCGTCTTTGCCAGCCACGAGCTTTGTGCGAGTTTCTCCCAGCCCAGGCGCTTCGCTCGGCTATCGAGAGTGCAGCAGTCCTTCGTACAAAGAACTTGCCAATCCTCTAATATCACCACCACCACTCCCCGCTCTCACCACCGCTCAACTTCCACGACCCTTTTCGCCCTGAACCACGACAACGAGTCTCGATACCAGCACGCATCGCTCTTGCAAGAATACCAGCGGCAATACCAGCAACAACAACCACCAACCACCGCTGCTGACTCGACGCAGAAACGCCCACCATGGCGTACAATGGACGGAGGGGCCCCAATGTGTCCGAGTACATCGCGAATCTGAACGCGATCCCTACGGCTCAGGACCTGCAGAATGCGGACAACTTCAATCTCGACGATGAGCTGGCTATGTTCACCAACACCCAGTTCTTCGATTTCGACCTGGGCCAGGATGCCAATGTGCAGCCCGCGAACTTTGGCATCGATGACCCGGCCTCGAGCGTTGCACCCGATGGACTGGACTTGAAGCCTTTGGAGTTCGACATGCAAGGTAAGAGAGCGTGCTACTGTCTTTATTTTGCAACTAGGGCCCCGACCCCTCGTTATGCTTGCTTTCGTTGCGTTGCGTTGCTCTGTTTGATACCTTGCGCTTTGCAACGGCCGCTATTCCCCTGCACTATCATCTCTGTTATTCTAGTTGCGCATGCTATGCCTGTTCTTGTCTTTCTATCTATTATCCGCTATCTCGTTGCCTCCATTCAGAGCGCCTTGACAAGATGTCATGTTGCGTGGGCTTTTCACCATCGCTCCGCCAGACCCCGCGGCTGCCTCGATTGCCAGACATTTACCCCGTTGCACCAATCAAGCCCTCACTTCGTCCACTGCTCTCGCCGGGCACGTGCATCGCTGGGTGCATATTCAATGCATTCTGCAAGTGCGGTGCATATTGTTGTTTTCCCCTCGTTCTGCTCCTCCCCAAAAGAGTGGTGGTCAGCGATTGCTTGGTAATTGGGGCGGATGGCGCAATGTCACGTGGGTCGTCAGCGGGTGTCAGCGAGCCTCAACGACGACCACGACGACACTTTCCATCGAATGCAGGTGTGCATTTGTCTAGCAGGCGGCCGCGCACCGAATAAGCGGTTATTTCCCGATTATAACCGCCGATGTTGCTGTTCTCGCTGTTCTTTTATATCTCAAATACGCATATACGCGAGGAACAAATTATGCTAACATGTACATCATGAATGGAACAGGCGATTTCTCCTTTCCCGATTTCAATGCCTATGCGCAGCCACCAGCCTTCAGCGATAACAATGACATCGCACCGCCTGCCCCCATCCAAACCCACCAACCAATGTATCCAACCTCGTCTAGCGCCGGTTCTCCAACTGCGACCGTAGCTCCTTCGGCCCATGCCGGCCAGAAACGAAAGGCTACTGGCTCCATGTCCCCTACCGCCTCCTCTACCGGTGCTGTTGATTTCGAGGAAGCCTCGCGCCTCGCCGCCGAGGAAGACAAACGTCGCCGGAACACCGCCGCATCTGCCCGTTTCCGTGTGAAGAAGAAGCAACGCGAGCAGGCGCTCGAGCGATCCGCCAAGGGAATGAGTGACAAGGTCGCTGCGCTAGAAGGCCGGATCAACCAGCTAGAAACCGAGAACAAGTGGTTGAAGAACCTCATTACGGAAAAGAACGACAGCAAGGAGGATATTGCGCTGTTATGGAAGAAGTTCAGCCAAGAAACCAGCGAGCGGAAAGGCGCCGAGCGGAAGGATGGCGTGGGCACAAAGGCATAGACTACCGCCTTCGCTTGATGCGCAGGTATCTATCTTTGTGTCCATAAAATTTCCTCTGCTTTACAGAGCTGCATATATGGGGTGGTTGGTTACTTTGGGTGGTGGAGCGGGGATAGGAGTTGCATGTCCATAAGAATATGGCGAGGCGTTGGTTCTGCTTTTGGTTTACCTCCATTGAGGCTGTGATATGATGAGCGATGCTGATATTGGGAATGATATATGTTTCATGAAATGACTGGAGGCCCGCTTGTGTCTATCTCCGTTACATCAATCACATAACTCAATAATACGGAGAAAGAAATCTACTCCTTTTAAAGTTCTAACATCTCTTGGGCTACCTGTGATACCTAGGTACATTGGGACAGAGCTGGCATAATATGGTCTAGATGCAGGTTATAAGTTGTTGAAGAGACAAGCAAATATCTATACATCCTAGAGCGTCCTAGATGCAATTTGCGTATTATATGTCATAAATATGGTATCTATCTAAAAGTCCGTCCGATGTGAATCCGCCCATATATACTGTTATGCAATCATATGTACCCGTTTTACCTCTCGTATACACCCCAAACTCAAGGCATATAACCCGCGACTTCCTTCGCCGACCACTCCCACAGCCTCCCCGCAAGCTCTATATCAGAACTAGCAGGCATACCCGCACCCTGCACACCAACGGGGACACAAAATTCCCCACCTGGCAGCTCATTTCGCTTCCCCACCGCAGCCCAGAGCTGGTTTACCGCGCCCTCCTCTACACTCCTTGGCCCAACAACAGGAATATATTTCCCCCAACCAGATATCCAACTCCCGCCAATCCCCCAATTCTTCGCAAACCCAAAAAAGTGTTTCCACAGCCCTGTGGTGATAACCCCCGGGTGCACAGAGATACATGTAATGCCGTCCCCTCCATACCGTTTTTGCATCTCCTTCGCAAATAGCGCATTAGCCAGCTTTGCCTGTCCATAGCGAAAACAATTCGCCAGCACAAACGAACTCCCTGCCTGTTTCAGACTGTCGAAATCAATACCGCCGCCCCAATAGCCCCCTACTATCGTAGCGTACATCCCCAGAGAACTCAAGACCACGACCCGTACATCTGCATCGGGGAACGAAGAAGCGGTCGAGCGCAAGACCGGCAGGAGCAATTGCGCGAGCAGGAAATGTCCCATATGGTTCGTGCCGAATTGGATCTCATAGCCTTGCGCGGTGAGCCCCGGCGCAACGAGCATGATCCCCGCGTTGAGGAATAGGATATCTAGACGCGAAGTCTTGCTCTGTAGATCTTTCGCGGCTGCTTTGACGGAATCTAGGTCTGCGAGGTCGCATTTTATGGGGGTTATGGGCGCGCAGGAGGGGCCGATGAGGGTTTGGATGCCGGTTATGGCTTCTTGGGTGGAGGTTAGGTTGCGTGCGAGGATGTAGATGTGCGAGGGGTTGTGGGAGGCGAGGCGGAGGACGGTCTCTTTGCCTAGGCCGGCGTTGCCTGGGTGGCCATTTGTTTTAGCTGGTGTGCGGAAATTGGAGAGCGAGGGGCGAAATACCGCCTGTGATTGCGATTACTTTCCCTGAGAGGTCGGGGATGTCTGTCTCAGGGTCGAAGGACACTGACGACTGGGTGAAGAGGCTGGCGAGCATTTTGATGAGGCGAAAGGTAGGTTCGTACTAGAGCTTCGGGATTTTAGGGAGATTGGATTGTTTGGAACGATTCCAATGCAATAGATTGAGGGATCTGCTGGCTTTCGAATGCCAATTGAGATTGCTGGTGGTGGAGTGGCATGTTAGAGGTGTTAACTGTTGAAAATACTGGCGAGGCTGGCCTAGAAGGCGAGGGAGTGAAGTTGCCACGGTGTTTTCTGATTGGTCATAATTCTACGCAATCAACTTCGCCAAAAGACGACAAACATCAACCTCACTCCATTTCAGGAACATGCAAGGTACAAGAGTACATGTTCCGACCTGCACGGTCTCGTTCGTCCGTCACAGCTTCTTCAAGAGTTAGAATTGTTCATTGGCAGCGCAGAAGCGCACCAAGTGGTGTGTGATCTGCAGAGCGCTTTATTGATTCATGAGGTCCAAGTATCTGGATACTGTTCTGTTACTACTCGGTTTCCTGGCGCGGGGTTGATTTATTAAGGATCGACCTTAGGAATCTCGAGGGAAAGTTCCCGCTTGATAAATATGCACAATACTTTGTATCTTTGCGAGGTAGTGCCTTGGAAAGACTGGCGGGAGAAGAGAGTTCGGTCAATCGTGGCTTGCACACACTGCAGCATCATGGGTAACAAAAATCTCAACCCGCAGCCTGATTGTAAACGCCCTTCAGAGATCAGCTTTTTGGCCCCAGCATTAGGGCAGTTTGGAAAAGCATATATGGATTCCCTCTCCCCAGTGTTGATTCCTCCGGTCTTCTGCACTTGTCCCTCCGATTTTCCACCTTCTGCTTCCTCTCAAGCTCGCTAGTTCGCCCTACTTGATCAGCACGCCGCCCCATTTCGCCCTTTTCTGCAACGACATGGATCCCAACGGATTCTACTCGTTCGACCAAAACGCCCTCTGGCAGCCTGCTGTCACCGACTTGTTCGAGCCTCCAACGGACAACAACGAAGCCACGGCCTTTGGTGGGCACACCTCGTTCTACAACGAGTTTTCCAACTCAGGCGCCGTTGGCCCCTCTGGTTTTGCACCCAACGGCAACGGCATTTCGGATGAGAACTACTCTATGTCTTCCCACCCACTCCAGCCACCAGCTACGAATGCCTGTCGCGCTTCCGTCGGGCAATACTCCGACATTGTTGGCACCGACAACTCATTGCTTTCCAATTGGAGTGCTTTTCTCGGCACCGACCCAGAGACGCATTACTTTGCGCAAAACACCGGAGATTCCCATCCTCAGCAGACCAGCATTCGACCCACAACCGATATCGATTACTCGACTTCCACGATCTCCAACAACAACGCTACTTCACCCGCACTTTACCCCTTCAACCATACGGACCCTTCGCTAAACTACGTTCTTGGGCCTGACGCCTCTATGAGCGGAGATTTTCAAGTTAACGGATCTTATTCGTTCAACCAAATCAATCTTGGCCAGTGTGGTTGGAATGCTGTCCCCAAAACACCCTGCCAGCCCAAGGTGACACCCAACGCCCTTTCTGCCCCAAGGGGTTTAGTTCCAGGATCATCAACGCATGCTGATTTGGTACCGTCCATATCTGACACATTCGGGTAAGGATTTTTTTTTTAGATCAAGACGCTAATTTGCCCTCTCTTGCTTTTCCAGCATACCGCCACAGAGACAATTCGTAGGACAACCTATTATGTGCGATTGGCCAGCTTGTACGTTAGTGGAGAACTTTGTTGATGCTGCCGCTCGATCTTGCCACATCACAATCGCCCATATCGAAAAGGTTCGAGATGACACTTCTGGCGCTTGCACATGGCCTGGTTGCAAGTCAAAGCTCAAGTTCCCCACCAAGGCCCGCCTTAACAATCATATCGACAATATCCATGTCGACCCACTCAGATGCCTTGTTCCCGGGTGCAAACGCAAATTGCCTTTCGAGAGGAAAGGAGATTTGGAGCGCCACATAGCTACAGTCCATGAGCGGCGAGGCACATGGAAATGCCCTCAACAGGGTTGCCCCCGACACTATCGTGGATTCTCAAGGACAGATAAGCTTAGAGAACATGCCAGATCCCAGAGCCACAGCACCCTTTACTGTCCTTATGATCACTGCTATTTCAATGTTTGCCGTGCATTCATGACAGACGCGGAAGTTTCATCTCATTGTCGCAGTCACCATGCTGAATTTGAGTGTGGGATTGGGTCGTGCGCCAACTCAAACTCCTGCTTCGACGAGAAGAGATTTCAGCGTCACATCGCAAATCATATTCCTCTCGGTTACCGATATGATCCGCTGATGCAAGCCGCGAGTATGCAAGCCGTGCAGTCGATCATTGAACAGTTCAAACAGACTCAGCAAACTAGGTTTACCGAAGCACACTTCGGCGATCTAAAATTCGAACAACACTGTGTGCAGTGTGGCTAAACACATCTATTGAACATCAACACACGGCGACATCCCCAACATTAGACATTTAGTGCATTTACCCTCTTACCGGTACATTCTTGGAAACATCTCGCTACAACCGTCTAAACCCGCACCCTTTCGCTCAACTTCGATGATCTTTTAACTCTCTAGCTACTTGCGCGATGTTCGAGTAGTTTCTCGCTATAAATAATGTTTTTCCTTGGTCCCGCAAGCTCTATTATTGCTCTTATCCATGTTCTTTTCTTCCTCCTCTTCTGATAGAACGGCTATGATTATCCAATTTACTTCCTTGACTCTCCTTATTCTACTATTATATTAGGTGGTTCTAACCTGATCAATCGCTGCGCAATTTATATTACATGGGATATTGCACACTTTAACAGCTAGCGATTGCACTCCTTTATTATTGCTTTTATCGGTTACTTGTTTCGTTAGAAGACACTCTTTCTATCTCCTTTATTATAGTAGCTTTATAAAACCAGTCGTTACCTAATATTCGGACGTCCCCTATGACAGTGAGATACTTAAATGATAGGAGTGACCGGAGACAAATCCTTATTTGACCAATGGTTGGCCCAATAAACTGTATTTTGCTGTGCTAACTCTAGATGATGTATTTTGTTAACGGACATCTGTCACTACTAAGGCGTGGGGATTTTGGCAACAAAAGTTTAGGTGAGATAATTAAATTCCCCCTAACTGGCGTAACTCTATATATTTTAAATCACTCGCGGTCAAACTCAAGGGTCTCTTGGTGGTCATACTTGAGGCAATTGCAGGGTATCTCATCTTTTCCTATTGGTGTCAGCTCCAAAGCCATTATTCTACGCAGAGATTGGCACAAGGAATTATTAGACAGGGGCACGATGGTCAAATTATGGAAATTGAAAACAAGGCCTGGCTGGCCGACGAGGAGCTATTAGATGTCACAATGATCGTTGCCAGGAACCACCAAATCGACCGGGATCTCAGTATTTGTTCCTATATTCAGCCCACAATTATCAATACATCCCTATATTAACTATGAATGGCCCAGTCACTGCAGTCCGTCCAAACCTGTTATATGCAATGCAAGGAAGATAAACGGGCTGGAGCAAGTTATGCTCCCGGGCACTACGAGACATCAAAACATCATGGAATGAGTCAGGTATGGATAAAGATTACAATTTAAAGATTTTATCTACTCTTTTTTGAGCGCCGTCAGCCCTCTCATTCGCCCTCTGCTTCTCTAACGCCTCCCCACCACCAACCACCGTTTCGACAGTAGGAACAGTCCTCTTCAACGAAGGTAATAAACTCCTCGACGTCTGTCTCGCCTGTTGAGCCATCAATGCGTTAATAACCACCTACGCCGCCATAGCCTCGACAATGGGCACGGCTCTTGGCACCACACAAGGATCATGCCGTCCCTTTGCTTCTAAACCCCAGATGAATCACCGTCATAGGTAGCAGTCTGTTGTGCCTGGCCGATGGTAGCAGGAGGATTGAATCCAACACGTAAATAGATGGGTTGCCCGTTGGTAATACCTCCTTGGATACCACTAGAGTTATTCGTCTTCGTGGTGAGTTTCGGTCTGGGAACACCGTTTTTCGCTGCGCCTGTCTCCATGGGAGGGACTTCTGGCGCAACTATGAAGGGGTCGTTGCAGATTGAGCCTGCGACTTCGCAACCAACGAATCTAGAGCCGATTTCGAAGGCTTTGGAGGCGGCGATGCTCAGCACAGCATGCGCAAGCATGGCCTCGCACGAAAGTTAACATCTTTGAATGTTCTGCCTTTATTATTGGGAGTGTGGGATGTGTGTCAAGAAAATGTGATATTATTTTGTCCTTTCAGCCTGGTGTGACTCTCCGAGCTCGGACCTCATCCGGAGCCTCGTCCATTTCAAGCTCCAACTGCTATTCTTTTCCCGGGCAATTGAACTCCCTTCCCAAGAGGGATTGTATACTATTCTCATGTCGCCATCCAGAGGTTTCAATTTCAATTTTCTCCTACAATCTCAAAAACGCATATTAATACCAGTGACCCTCCCGTGTCGAGGTCGATTTTCCACCCATTCCACAATCAAGCAAACAGCGACCTCTCCTATAGAACAAAACCCGATCCAGATCTACCTCTCTCGCACAACGAACCCTTACCTCAACCTCTCAATCGAGCACTACCTCCTACAAAAATCGCACCCTGAGTCAACAATCCTATTCTTATACACGAATCGCCCCTGTATCGTTATCGGCCGTAATCAGAACCCATGGGTGGAAATAAACCTCAACCTCCTACGCAATAGCCCTCTGAAGCCCGATTTGGTGCGTCGCCGCTCTGGAGGCGGGACAGTCTTCCACGATGAAGGGAATGTGAATTACAGCGTTATATGCCCTCCGCGGCATTTCGACAGGGACAAACATGCGCAGATGGTGGTGCGCGCGTTGCGCAGGTTGGGAGTAGAGAAGGCGAGGGTTAATGAGAGGCATGATATTGTGGTTGACACTCCGGGGTCCGAGAAAGGTTGTTTGAAGGTTTCTGGGAGTGCGTATAAGCTTACTAGGCTAAGGAGTCTGCATCATGGGACTTGTTTGCTAAATTCCAAGAATTTGGGAAATATTGGGAGGTTTCTGCGGTCGCCGGCCAAGGAGTTTATAAAAGCTAGGGGTGTAGACAGCGTGAGCTCACCGATTACAAATGTTGAGGTTCATAATAGGGATTTTGAACGGGCAGTTATCGATGAGTTTGGAGAGATGTACGAGACTGTCGAGCCGATCATCGTTACGGAGAAGGAGGAGGATATTCACGAAGTCACCCAAGGGATCGCGGAATTGACTGTGCGTATACATATCCCCGGAACAACCTCTTTGGTATCAATGATTGGACTAACCATTACCTTAAAGTCTCGTGATTGGATATATGGGCAAACACCGCAATTCACATTTACCTACCCATCTAACAATGGGAACTCTGGCCCTTCTGAAGGCAGCACCGAGCATGTATGTTATTTCTCACTCGTTAACCCCTGCCCTCAATCCCAATCCCATTGCGTTTCTTGGAACAATTGACTAATCATTACCCACAGGCTTCCTCCCTCCAAATAGAATTCACTGCTCGTAATGCAGTCATCCAATCCGCTACCCTACACTCCAGCCTATCCACAGGCAAAGATTCCCACCCCATCATGGAGCAAGCTATGGCGTCCTCCCTCCAGGAGGTCCAAGAGACTTCTCTGAAAGATGCCAAGCTCCATGACATTGAAGACTGGGAGAGTGTGCTGAGCCCTGCATTGAAGACGAAGTCAGAGCGGTCGACGTCTCCGAATGCTGATGGAATAGAGGAATTTAGTTTTGACCGAGCCTGGGAGAAGGAATTGCGGTTCGTGGCAAAGAACCTGAACCAGCTTTTCGGATTAGGGAAGTGAAATGAACATCTCGCAAGCACATAATAATGTATGAATGTGATGCTTTGGAATTAAAATATTATTGTCATGTCGCTGGCCCAAGTGTATTGAGCATTCTCTTAATCAAGCCGCTCACGCCTCCCAATAGAACACCCGATGAAGCATGGCTGCCTTGCTAGTTAGTACCTGTTCTACTAGAGTAGTCGTTTACTTACTTAAACGCGCTGTGAAAATATCACTACTCTCCGATCAACGTTGTTTATACTTGGATGGTATCCTATAACAGTTTTAGATTAGTATATAAGTAAGGATAATAGAGAGCATACAGGACTTTGAAGATGTACGTGGGACCAAACACTAGATAAACGGCCATTAAAATCAATCCAACCATAACAACTCTATACACCAGAGCAATGTAACGCGACACATTCGAGGGGCATCCCAAATTGAGATATTCAAGTCGTGCGAATATCTGACTAATAGTGAAGTATTCAAGTCGAGTAAATACCTCTCTAAAATTGAAGTATTCAAGTCGTGTAAATATCTAACCGAAATTGAGATATTCAAGTGGTGTAAATATCTCAATTTCAGTCAGATATTCGTGGCCGTTGGCCCATATAATATGGCGAGAAGAGTTTTGCACCAAATTCACCCAAGAATGCGCCATAGACAATATCGATCTGCACTTCGAAGGTTGGTTTCTCGCGATGGGGATACTGATGGTGACCGACGATCCTTTAGTAGTACGTTGCAAGGCCTGGAAGACATAGTGAGAGGCGTTTTCTCCAAATAATGTGATGTTGATGTTGATGGCGATACCGTTGAGGATATTATTGATGGCGATATCGTTGAGGATGAGGATGTTGAAGACCATGATGATGTGCCAGCTGACCTTGATCTTCGGGGAGGCATTTTGCGGTGTATTTACGGAAGGAAGGAGCGAGGAGAAGCAAGGTGAAGGTCTTATTGAATAATAAGGCACAATCGGTCTCTACCTTGAGGGCCAAGCGACTCACTGTCAGAGATCGGTCGCGTTGTTCATCAAGATAACCGGACTTCGGGACAGAGGAGGTGAGAAGTTGATTGTAGGGGCGAGGGTTAAACCCTCACCCAGGACAGTCTCCTTAGTGTGGTCCTAAGATATAATATTAATATTTCCTAGATTTCCTTGATTTTCGGATTTTGGGAGGTTTTCGGCCTTAGCTACTCTAAGATACTAGAGGAATATTATATATATATATAATATATTATAGTAATTATTACGTATAATAATAGGATATCTTAGATTTCCTTGGTTTTTCGATTTTGGGAAGTTATCTGACTTAACTACATTAATATACTCGAGGAATATCGTATATATATAAGAGTAGTTATCGTATAGAATAATAATATTTTAGAATTTACTCGATTCTACTAGTTTAATAAGTTCTTATAACTTAATATGCTAAGATTCTTGAGAAGTATTAAATATATATACCCGACTAGTAATTACAATAACGTAGTTAATAGACTCAACAGACTTAACACCTAAGCTACCTACCTACACCTCTTATTACAGACCTTGGAGCTATAGACGATATGGCATCGATCTAAGAGTTTGATATAACAGGTGATGTTCTAAGGGGTCGCTCCAAGAAAGGCACTGAGTATCTACTAACATAGGTATACTAGATAGTATAAACAACTTGCCGGGAATCTTAATGGCATTATAGTAGAGATAAATCTAATATATTATGAGAATATCAATCAAACTACCCGACTTCTTGCCGCAGGCGCATTTAATACACCCGAGAATCAAGATATCAAGTAGCGTATCGAAAATCTTCAGCGCTATTGCCTAATTCCAATTAACGGATTCTTACTAGAGGTAGAAAAGTAATCGGAGGTAACTCTTTTATATATCTTTGGCGATAACCTATATCTAAATCCGACAACATCAAAATATATCCCTAGCTCGGTTATATTATAGCTTCACTTACTAATTGATATTTCTCAATTAGATGATCTACATAGATTGTTTAGCTGTAGGCTACGAATAGCCTATATAATACTACCACCTAACAAAAGATACTCGAGGTCTATTAGAACGCGCATTATTTAGCATTAATATTACCTACTTCGTAGCCAACAGCAAGGGAATACCAAACCGCAAATTAGAATATAAACAAAGATCCCCGTTGCTTCTTATGGTAAGGGGCGCAAGGGATCAAAACCCGGCTAGAAAACGGCCTAGTAGTTAGGCGCTAGAAGCCAGCAAACTAGGTAGGATTCACACCAAAGAGCGAAGGGAAAGGAGAACGAGTTGAACCCACTTGGGGTATTCAATGGGCGGCTTGAGATCCCTTGGAGCCTTCGCGGCGTTGCGAAGGTTATTAATATTTAGCCACTTACTTAACCCTTCCACGGGCACGATTCATGTCAACATTTGGAAAATGAGGGATCCGACAATCCCCTAGGGACTGGGATTTCGCGAGAACAGAGAGTTTCGTGAGTGACAATGCTGAAACTGCAAAATGGCGGTAGGATTGTCATCCATGTTTGTAAATAATGCATATCATTCTAGTGATGCCTCAGTGGGGATTTCCTGCTTAGGGGCTGCCTCCAAATGCAAGGAATATTAGGGTGTGAACTCGTGACATCGTTGCCTAGGTTACCTACTTCATAATACCTTTACAAAGAACAATAGAGGTCGCATTTGCTCGAAATGTCTCAGACAAGCCAAAGACATGGGTGGAGTTATTGAGCCTGTGGGGTCGTTACGCTGTGTATCTGTTCCGGAGAAAGTCGAAGGCTGGGAGACATCCGTGATCAGGGATCGAATAATACCTATTCCATGAAAGAAAGAAACTCGCGGAGAAAAGGTATTTCTATCAATGTAAGAAGGGCCGACGTCAAGTGATGATCAATACATTGGTTTTTTGTTATTAATGTGGCTTTGTTGGTGCAAGCGGTGAGCATTAAATTATAGGCCCAGAGAGAAGTATGAATGCTTCGTTTGGATTGTTGGAAAATAGTATCTATATGACGGTGCTGCAGCCGCTTTTCTGAGAGACCTGCGCATAAGGGCACGAAGTAAAGGGCAACTATAAATATATACTTTGTAGAGGGAACCACGAGACATAGATGATGAAATAAGCTTGAGCTCCATTGTCGAGGACTCACAGGTCATTTTCGGCATGGACGTCTTTCTCAGATAAAGCGAAAGGCGCCACGAACCAGACGCAGGTGTGTTGCTCAAAGCAGGGTGCCAGCACATGAAACATATCCGCACCCGCATGCATATCACACAACCTCGCATAGCATTATTGAAATATTTTTTTGAAAGTTCAAGGATCCTCCGCACAGGCCGAAGCTTCTGACGGTGAAGTGTTCACTTGCACACTTGAAGTCGGGAGGGGGATTGAATTGGCGATGCCATTGGCATAGCAACCTTGCCATTCGTATGGAGTACGTAGTATAGAAACGAGATATTCCCATGGGAGCTGAGTACTGGGCGGAGTGGACGTTATCTTCATATCGTACGACGTCATCGATGATGTGGCTGGCGGCTTTAACCATCAACTATGAGCTGGATAACCTATCTCAGCCACAGTTGCGACGACTCTCTACTCGAGTATCCCAGCACTCTCAGCTGGATGGGGTTTTTTAAGTTCTGACAAATTTACCGATAAAAGGTTCACCCGGATAGAGTTTGACCGAGGATGTTATCCGATCCTTGCCCAGCTCCTCCTCCCACCGTGGAACCGATAATCTGGGAACTTGTTGGAGGTGGAGACTCTGGAGAGGGCGGGGCGCCAATCTCGTCGGCAGACTGCTTTTTTCTGTAGCTATCCCACGTAGCAACCATAGCAACAGCGCCAAAACACCACATCTCAGCTTAACAGGGAAGCAATGTGGCTGAAAACAAGCCCCTGCCGCGTCGATCGGACTACCGCTTTCCCCCTCGCGAGCTGCTTTGGCATTAACATCCCCGTTGATTGGTGGCAGTGCGAATATTCAGTAGATTGGGCCGGACGAACAAGCTCCTTCCTGGAGTTGACACGGGCACAAGATCTAGGGCCAAGTCGCTCTGCTTCTACTTTGCTGGCAAGTCCCCCACGGCATCTCCCAATTGCACGTTACCTGGGACACGTAGTATTGCCCACAATCTCTTTTTCTTCTCCTCTGTAATGTGATCTTTCAAATTGACTCTCTAGACAGCTCGAATAGAGTCTTGCCTGGCAAGAGCTGTGGGAAGATCGAGCTTGGATAATTTATTTTCCCTTCGGAGCTGCGACTTGTGTTGCTCCCCAGCAAATCGGAAGGCCGTACGACACAATGATCTCCAAGATCGTTGCGGGGTTCGTTGCTAGGATCAAGGATCGTGCCTGAGATGTGATGTCAGTTAGTTCACTTGATTCCAAGGAAATCCCCCTGGTTTAGGCTTGTGGCGCATAGTTGGAGGGAGCATGCCTGTCGATATCAAGCAGTGGGAGGTGGCTGGTAATGAACCGCAAGCCGCTTGAAATCGAATTCAGGAACACAACACCCTAAACCTCGAATGTGGAAAAAGGAATTGTTCTTGCCCTGCATGCGTATCCTTCACGTTAGTTGGCAGCTGGATGCTGGATCAAGTATGGAACAGCCGTGTAGTCTCGCCCGCTCTGCGTTAGCACCTGCAGCTACGCGCACATCGGGGATTGACTCTGTGACAGTGAGACAGTAACAACACAGCTCTGCGGTGAACCTTGATCCGCCGGAACTTGCCTAGTGACCAGCAGAGTCCAACCTAATCCAACCTACTCCAACTAATCCAGCTAATCCAGCTAACCTCAGTCGAATGCTCTTGTCTCGACTTGGCCGCGGACTTGCCGTGCGCCTGGGCAAGAGTAATCAAAATGGGACGCTACGGAGGTACACTGGTGGTAGAGATCATCGCCGAGGACTCTTATCACTCTAGGAGCTCTTTGCGGGCAGGGATACCGCGGTGGTCGAAAGAGGCCAGTGCCAATAAATGATGAAATGATGCTGTTCTTTGTACGCCAACCTGCTCTTTTACCAGCGAACCAGCAGAGCACCTGGGCAACCAACTACCCAACTAGTGAACCAGAGATCGTCACCATCATCACTGATCACTCCTTGCCCCCCGTCCCGTTTGCATACGGCAGGTACTACTGCATCGACTGCGTTGTTTGTGGCTTCCCGAAAAAAGCTTCCCTCCACCCACTCCCACTTCCGCTTCCTCTTCATAAGCTGCCGTCGTTCCACATACATCACCCGTCTTCCCCCAACGCGTCTCTCTCTTCCATCCGCATCTACATTCCCCAAAACAAAACAAACATACATTCCCATCCTTCTATCCATCCCAAGCTTGCTCCTATTCACATCATCAACATGAAGTCCGCAATCATTGCCGTCGCCGCGTTCGCTTTCTCTGCCGTTGCGCAGCAGGACCTGCCAGCTTGCGGTGTAAGTCAATCCCAATCCCAATTCCAGTTCCAATGGCATCCAACAGCTAGTTTGCTACACCTCGGCGAGCTTTAGTACCTCGTCACCATGCATCTTCATCCAGAGATATACTTTGCTTTCCAAAATGGCTAAAGATCGGTGGCTGACCTCATAATCCTACAGCAAACTTGCGTTAGCAACATGCTTGCCCTTGCACCATCTCTTGGCTGCGAATCTACTGATGCCGCCTGCCTTTGCAAGAACAACAACTTTGCCTACGGCATTCGTGACTGCTCTAATGCTCTCTGCGGCGAAGAGGCTGCTAAACCGGTCATTGCCTATGGCAACAGCTTCTGCGCTTGTATGTGAATCAAAAACAGGTCCGACCAAGGAAGGCAGTTGCTAATTCACGTTCTAGCGGCCGGTAATGGTGCTGCCACTAACTCCGGTGGTGCTGGTGCTACTAACTCTGGTGGTGCTGGTAAGTAAAGTAATCAACGTGACTTGAGGAAAGTGAACTGACCGGATTGAAGGAACTGGTGCCTCGGCCACTGGAACTGGAGCTGCCGGAACCCAAACTGGGGCTGCCGGAAGCGGCTCTGCCACTGCCACTGGAACTGGAACTGTAAGATACTCTTATCATCTTTGATATCCAATATCTGACTCAATAGGGTGCTGCTCCAACTGGTGGTGTAGGTGGTGCAGGCGGTTCAGGTTCCTCAGCCATTACCACCTCTGCTATCGTTACGGTCGTCGGGAGCGGCGATTCTGCCCAGACATCAACTGTTGGTTCAACCACCATCTATGGTAGTGGTGCAGGTGGTGCAGGCGGTTCAGGTTCCTCAGCCATTACCACCTCCGCAATCGTTACCGTCGTCTCCAACGGCTCAACTCTTGAGACCTCAACTATCGGCTCTACCACAATCTTTGGCAGTGGTGCAGGTGGTGCAGGTGGTTCAGGTTCCAGCGGGGTAAGTTATATCTCCTATGATGAAAATATATGTATTAACGGGTACAGGCATCCGCCACAGGTACCGGCGCTTCAGGCTCCCATACCACAGGCGGCGCTGGCAGCTCCGGCACTGGCAGCTCCAACCCTTCGGGCACTAACGGTGGCGCCGCTGGTGCTTCATCCACCTCAAAAGCCGGTGCTGCACAACAGACTGCATTCTCCGGAGTGATGGCTGCTGCTGGTCTCGCTGCTCTGCTCTTGTAAAACTATCGGCCCAAAATCTCGGTCGCCCTGCGCATAGATTTCCTTTGCTGCGTACAAAAATGAGTTTTTCAAGGGAGCGGACTGGAACATGAAAAGGGGAAGATAATAATGGTCTAATGGGATGAATGATGGTGATGGATGCCCCCTGGTTGTCGATACCCTCTGCTTTTCACTTCTTGCTTATAATTGCCCTTCGGGGTCTCTCTGTTTGTCGACGACGTGATGCTTTGATGAACTCAAGGAGGGAAATGATGATTCGATGAGGCTATCGCGTCTTAATACATACTGGAAGGGGGATGGAAGGAATGGCAGGTCTGGTGGAGACATGTGGTCTTGATTATTCGACCGGGTCGGGGTTTCTCTGGCCGGTGGGAAGGAACAGGTGCATGGCGGTAGCCGACTTAATGTTGTTCATGAATCAACCTAGATAAAATGATTAATCGAAGAATTTCCTGTGGAGTTGATGCATGAATCTCTGTCCTGTCCTGTCCTGTTGATGTATAACTTCCAGTCGTTTATGTCCAGACGTCAACGACAACGTGACTGTAGAGCCGAATAATACAGCTACATAAGCGATACATAATCACAACACTGAACAACAACTGCACTGCTCCCAAGAATTTTTTCAAAATGGCTTTCTTTCTTTATTATAATAAGACTGTCACACCAATCTGTCCCTCCTTGTACACATATATGCACACCAAACCAGTCTCTATAGACATATAGAATAGAATATATACAAAAAACTGCTATATACACATATCCTATCCTATATATCTATACCTATGTCCCCTCCCCCTAGAACACGCACACAACGGGGCGCGCTCTGGCGAGAACATATACAACACACCATCATCTACCCACACACCCACACACTCTCCCTTTCCCTCTTTCCCTCCTCTTTCCTAATAATATATAGCATATTGCGTGTTTTCCGCGGGGACAGGTTCGTCCGACACGAAACATTTATGATGAAAAAAAGAAGAAAAATGAGGTATAGAAAAAGAAAATGAGGACGGTGAAAAAAGATAGCTATGCTACAAGTTTGATGGTATATTTCCCTGCCCTGTGATCCCAATTTCCCATCCGAATATGCATGATGACATTGCAAACCCCGGCTACCAGCATGCTGGCTAGCCAACCCTTAAAAGCTCCTGAGACGCCATCGCTGAACCATTCATTGATTGATTGTTTGCTCCCTTCCTTCCTTCCTTCCATGTGCTTGTTTGCTTTGTGAGCTGCGTGCGCAAACTCTGCAGTGCACATATATGCCCCTGCCCCATTCATTTCATCCTTTGACGCCGTATATTTGCTTCCCGGGCCCATGGCATGCATTCCGTGCATATCCTCCCCGTATTAAAAAGTAGAAGTAGAGAGTTGATCATATCCGAAATTTCCCTATCCATTATGTTCCATCTTGCGATCATGGCCTTCATGATCATATGCTTCCCATTTCCCCATTATTACTTCGTTTTCTCGCCCAAGACATCCATTTGCCCATGCGAGATTGAAATTTGACAACCGAGACCCGAACCAGTGCTTTAGAACTTTTAATCAGAGATCCGCCGTCGTACCCTCAGCTATCCATCATAACCTGTTTCGCCGTTTCGGTGCTGCCTGCACTCGCATTTGTGCCCCGTCGCGGCATAGCGCTTGGAGGGGATGCGACTTTGACGGGAGGCTTTTTCCGACGTGTCATTGTGAGACCTTCTTCGTCGCTGTCCGAATCAGAATCTTCACCAGCTAAACAGGCCCTTGCTGTATCACCATCACCATTATACCCTTCCTCATCCACATCCGGGCTCAGGAGGATTTCGCCATTGGCTTCCATAGTCCTCGGCAAAACTTCCGATTCCCTTGTTGACTGCTTGGATATTGACGGCGGCGTGAGCGTTTCCGGAGTGCTCTCGGCTGTGAACCCAGGTTCGGTATGACAGGTGACGCCGGGCTGTTGAAGGAATTCCCCTTCGGTATCGGCCGAGACGGACGAGGCTCCGGAGATTAGTGCAGGGAGTGATGGAACCGATGGAAATATTTGCTCTTGAGAACCAAGATTGTCCGAGGAGACGGGTGAGGTGACATCTGATGGAGAAGTTGCCGAGGCCTGGCCGGTTGAGTATACTGAGTCGTATGATTGTGCTCGCTTGGTGTCCTCTTCTTTACGGGTGAAGAACCTGTCATCCGCTGAAGGGATATCTGGAGTCGTCTGAACTTCTTGAAATGCTTCGCCATCAAATTGCTGCTGCTTCCGTTCGGCGTCCTCCTCCCGCTTCTCTACTCGTCGTCGGTTAAGGGATTCCTGAACGAGTGGAAACGATTCTGGGGTCGCCCCGAAGGCTCGTGACGGTGCTTTCTCCTCCGGAGTTTTGTTCGCTGTCGAAGGTCGATCATCAAGATTCGATGCAGCATATTTCGAATGAGGGAAATTCGGGGTGGATATGGACTGGTGGGCGTGGACCATCGCAGGTTGGAAGAAAAGAGGTGATGGCAGAGGCTTGTCGTGAACATCATTGGTCGGGCTGGCGTTGGCAGACCGCGATGGACGATAGTTGAGTACCGTCGTATGCTCAACGTGCCCTGGAGCAATAGTGGCGCTCACTGCCACACTAGGATCGGAGTGTTTATTTTCAGATTCGAAAAGACTTCGATCAACTGAACGAGCACGGGAGGTAGTCCCCTCCTCTATTTCAGCCAACGCTTCCCGACCTCTGCCATATTGCCACATATACGCCTCGAACATCCCACCGGAGTGATCCGTAAAAGGGAGGCTACTCGGACCCTCGTCGTATCCTGTGTTGGAAAGCGGGACATTTGTCGCTGATTTTGAGTGCGAGTGACTCCTCCGTATAACCGTTTCAATAGATGCAGCCGCGGAGATGCTACGGTCCGGCGGACCTGGTCTTGTCTCAGCAGCTGCTGGTGTACTTGCAAAGGATCCTTTAGGGGTAGCTCCTGCTTTGGCAGGATATTGGGCGGCTATTCGCTCAAATGGATCACCTGGACTGGTGGATAAGTCTGGGCTAGCTGTGAGGCTCTGTGAAAGAGGATGCTCGTAGGGTTCGCGATGCTCATGTTGATGGTCGCGGATCGTTGCAAAGAAGGATTCGTCACCGCGAAGGCTACTCCGTCTGGTCTCACGTATGCCCGGGGTGAGTGGAGTATGAAGAACGTCCGCCCCAGAACTGGTTGCGCTGCTGATGGCTCTCTTGCGTGAACTTTCACCCCTAGTCTCGCTCCGGGTGACACCGATTACTTTGTTGATAGTCTTCTTGACTGCTGACCGTGCACGCTCAAGAAATGTGATCGGGACCACGGCAACTTCCAATTCACGGGCGTCAACTTGGATCCTCCTGCCAGCGGTTCTTCTCGATGGATCTGTGTCATCAAGCCATCCAATAACGTTATCAATACCGCGAATCACCCAAGGGTGGCGCTTGACCTCTCTCAACTTCATCCGCTCCGCGGGATCTTTGACCAGCATCCTCCGAAGCAGATCATAGAGTTCATCATCGACGTCCTCGTACGCAAGTTCGCCATCTTCTCGATATGGAGCGGGTACCGGGCCAGATCGTTTATTAAGACTCGTCTGCGATGTCGAGGTGGAAGACAAGGGATCGACAGCCTTTAGGCGCCGCTTAGGGATATACACATCCTCTTTGGCGATGCACCGAAAGAGTTGATATTCATCATCGGCTAGGAAGGGGATACGAGCAAAGATGAGGCAGTATAGAGTAACGCCTAGGGACCAAACATCAATCTGCTCGGTGATTTTCGGTTGTTCCATATCAAGGTCCGTGTAGCAAAGCTCGGGTGCGAAGAAGGCGGGCGTACCGACAGTCTTTGCCAGTTCAAGGTCATCGTCGAAATCCTTAGCATCAGCTTCCGAAATATTCTCTTCGGTTTCGCCTTCTCTGATCGGTCTTCCAAAATAAGACACGCCGAAGTCTGAGATCTTTACGCGGTGGTCCTTGGTCCACAGCAGGTTCGCCGGTTTGATATCGCGGTGGACGATGCCCTCATAATGCAGATACTCCAAGCCCAGGACGGTATCGCGGAAGGCTGAGCGAGCTTGATCGAGACTGAACCACGGCACATACGAATAATCTTCCTCGAATGCGTCATGCGGAATATCATCAAGAGACGACATGCGCGAGATGATGCTATCGTTTATACTTGGCGACCTTACTCTATTGGGCGGCTCATCAGGATAGGACCCATAGTAGGTGCCCTCCAGAGCTGCTAGTGAACTGCGATTCGGTCGGTGCGGGCCTGGCGTTTCGTCTTCGTTGTCGCTATCAAGCGGAGGGATATCATACTCAGGGAGAGGGGTGTGAGCACGGGAACTGGCGCGGGAAGGTGCTCGCGAAGGGGTCCTGGATGGAGGGAAGGAGCCACCTCCTCGATCAGATACACTAGTAGATTGGCGAGCAGATAGAGCGTGTGTCGAGCCATGAGTCTTCTGTTGTGAGAGGGACACCATGTCGCCATACTCATCGTGATCGTCTCCATGCTCCAAACTCCAGTAGTCGGCCGGATCATGCACCTGTTGTAGAGAGAGCCCCGCTCGCTTCCTTTCTTTGAGCCGCCGTCGTCGTTCCATCATCTTGAAATATTTCTCGTCATTCCCTGTGATATCTTCGGCGAGGCCGCGTTGCTCCATCTCGACGCGCCGTCTTTCGTAGAGGCATATCTGGGGAGCACCCTTCTTACGCCAGGTAATCTCTCCGAGCTCGACATGCTCCAGCACCATGTAGATCTTCTTCAGCTCCGGGTCGTCGATGACCTCGAGCAGGCCGACCACGTTCGGATGGCGGACCTTCTTGAGGATGGCAATCTCCCGCTTCGTCTTGTCTTCGGGCGAAACGGTGACCCTGCCGAGGCGGCGCTTCTTGGAGAAACGCTGGATGATCTTGATGGCCACATTTTCTCCCGTCTCCAGACTGCGGGCCAATTTGACCTTGCCATGCACGCCGCGGCCGATCTCCTCGATGACCTCGTACTGGTTAATCAGTTTGCGTCCCGTGATGTAATCCTGTTCGACCTGCGCCTTGTGGGTTCTAGAGAGGGGGAGGGGCTTGTTAGCATGTCATCGTCATATTTGGATAGATCCCCATTCAGCGGGACATGATTGAGGAGGACCAAACTCACTCTCGAACCTTATGCATCTGCAGCGGGTGCAAGTAGGGACTGGCCTGTGGCGTCCCGTCGGACAGCGGTGGGAGAGGGATGCGGAGGGGATTGGTGGTCGGCGAGAAGAGGCCCGGACTCGAGGAGGGCGTGCTCGTGGGCGTCCGCGAAGCCGTTGAAAAATCCATTGTCGATATGAATATGCAGCGCCCGGAGCCGTACTGACATGTTTGAGTCGTCGATCGGGGGGGAGGATCAAGACCGGACGGAGGACCGTCAGCGGAAAGAGGACATCAGGCGTCTCTGTCCAAGGCCAGGGCCGTTGAGCTGCGAGGCGTGGGTTTGACGGGTGGTCGCGTGTAGGGTGATGCCCGAGGAGATGTTTTGGTGGAAGATGGGATGAAATTGCGAGTTGTGGTATGCGGTGCGGTGCCGTGGATGTTGATGTTGAGTGAGTAGATGGTAGTATTGTTGTAGGGTATGAGTATGAGTATGTGTATAGGCAGAGGTATGTATATGTTTGCGGGAGAGGGTGGTTGAGGGCTCGCCGTGGTGATTTAGTCCAGTGATGGTGGATAGTAGTGGTGGATAGTAGTGGTGGATAGTAGTGGTGGTGGTGGTGGTTGTGGTGGGGAGATAACAGCGTACGACGTTTATTAGCGGTGCAACTCTGGCGACGCTTCAGCACTCTGCACTCTGCACGCTGCAACTTGGTTTTTTTTCCCTGGTGGGCGGAAGTTGCTGAATGGCGAATGGCGAATGGCGACTGCGGAGGGTTGCTGGGCGATAAGTGGTGCCGCCAAGAACAGCTAGCGGGCGACCACTCGCCCCCGATGACCTAATCGGGCTAGGCGCCCTCCGACGCTCGGATGCATCCCGCTATGCCGCAGCGGGTCTAGCGCCATCGCAGGTCGGCCAGGTTCTAGGGCGCGGCACAGGGCGTATGGAGGGACAAAAGATACATCTTGCAGTATTACAGCGTAGCAGAGTACAGTACTTCCTTGGTTGTACGGTACGAAGCACTTGGGCAACTCACTTTGTAACCGTACGCAGTACATGTACATGTACATGTACATATGGATTACTGCACAAAAGAAACGCCCACAACGCCCACGTCCACCAAGGCCAACTGCACGCGAATCAGAAGCCCGTTCTTTATCTGCAGCCGTTGGTTTGGCCCCAACTGGCCCAGCCGAGTAGCCGACTCGAATCGAGAAAAAGATATACTTTGCAGGCTGATTGATGCAAGTGGCAAGTAGCGACTTACTTACTTATTTCGTATGAAGTAGAACTCGGTACGGTACCTTCGTAGGTAGCTGCTCGGGAACAATCAAGACCATCATCACGGTGACAGCGTGAGCAATTCAATCATCCTCCTTCCTGTACGAAGTATGATTATTGCTATTATGATTAACCGTGACTCCGTTTCCTAATCAATTCAAGCTTCGCCCCCGTGGGTGCCAATCACGAGCCGGGTCACGTCGATCGGCACAACACCATACGCTTCCTGCCTAGCTGGGGACTTGGGGAGGGAGCTACAGCGACATATTATTTTGATCCCGTCCTCGTCTCGTTGCCACTACCTCAACACCCCGGGCCGGCTGCGATCCCGCCTCTCAACGCAGCTCAACGACGTCAGTAGTGCCAAGTACATGTACATGTACAGTACATAGCCCGATAGTCGAGACAGCCTCCTACAGAATGGAATAGATAGTCTCGTCGATACCGATCGGGCGTGGCCTGGTGTCTCGGTCTCGGCCTCGCGCCCTGTAGTGGTGGTGAATTGTTGTTGCTGATGGTGCCCCGTGGGATGCTCACGCAACAAAGAGCCAGAGCTTCCCATCGTACAGTCGTAATCCGTAGGGTTGAGCTCTATTACGTACCTAGGGGCCTATGTAGGTACATGTACGTACTTTGGCACTAAGCACAGCGCCATCGCCCCGAACAACCAGCCAAGAAGTTCAAGGCCAACAAAACAGACGTCGCCGCCCGGGCCGCTAGCATGGTGGCCGCTCCAAGGTGGCGTAATCCTCGGTATGTCATAATGTCATCGCGACGGGGCGATCACGCTTAGCAGGAATAATAATAATAATAGGGGTGCAAGCTTTGCTGCCGCGGAAAAAAAAGGGACCAAAAGGCGTAAGGGTTAAGGGTAAGCAGCGAACACCAGAAAGGAAACCGGAACAGCAACGGGCATAAGGCATGGGAATGGGAATGGGAATGGGGATGGGGAAGAAGAGGGAGTGGCAGCGCGAGACAGAGAGTCGGGCTCAGACCCAGACGCAGATACAGACGGTAGACCCCGAGTGTGGGGTAATCATCATGATAATACGGAGGTACAGTCCAGTCCCTAGCAAAACTGACAACCACCTGCATATTACTACGCCTGCGCCTGCACCTGCATCTGCCATCTGCATCTGCATCTGTATCGGTATCGTTGCGTGCTGCATCCATGCAAAGGTCAAGCCCATGTTTATCCTCCACACAAAATGCGAAAAATGTCTTGAACATAACCCAGCGCCCAGCTGTGCCCAGCGCCCAAATGCCCAAGTACTGTACCCAAGTGCCCAGTGCCCGGTACCCAACCACGGCAAAGATATATGTTTTGTTATTCGTGATGGGCATGATTATTGCTGTTTGCAGATAAATCATGTATATAGGCAATAGCGCACTCAAGGCACTCAAAGCCCTCACAGCTCTCCGCATCCTGCTGCCAATATCGAATTGAAGGGTTAGCCGCCGTAGGCCGTGGAAAATAGAAAATGCAGAAATGGAGCTTGGCCCTGGAGGCTTGACCCCTCCCTCCAAACGCGGCCACCCTGGAAGCCCAACCCTGATGCTGCATCTGATCTTTCCCTGTATCTGCATCTGCAGGCTGCAGCTGCCACCTATCTGCATTCCCTCTTTCCAACCCCATCCCTTGTATCGGGACGGGACCCAGCTTAAGGTACAGTTACAACAAAACAGTACCTACTTGCGGTTACCACAGTTACTGCTTCGCACAGCTGCTACAGTTACTCCAGCTTCTACAAGTGTACAGGTGTACTTCGTCGGACGTGCCCCTACCTCACACTCTCACACACAGACACACAGCCAGCTCGGTTCCTTCGGCCACACCCTGTACTGCACCGCCGTACACACGGCGGGGTTCGACGTTTACGAGGATATACGAAGGGGTGAAAGTGTACAGTACAGCACAGCACAGTACAGTACGTCTCTAATAATATTCCTTCCGCGATGTTGGATTCAAAAACATGTCCATCCACTACCTACCACACCACCTCGTAACATCCAATACACCCATCCACCCTTTACGGAGAAGCCTCCGCCTCCCGTGCCTCACCAGAACGGTTCCCACAGAAGAAAACTGGGAATTAGTAAAAGCCATGTTTCTAAAACCATGGTTTTTGTGGTCTGATCGTCGCCCTCGAAACGAAACTAGCCATGAGACAACCCTCCAGCCCCATGTCTGATGGAGGCGTATGAACAAAACACCGCCACAGTCTTAGTCCTCTTACTCATGAGATACTTTGTAATGGAGGGAGTCCGTGATGAGCCTTTTGTCTCAGCACGGGGCATAAGACTCCCGGCCCCACCCGAGCCGGCTTACATTATAGTTCCTTGGGGTGGTGTCAGTGTGCGGTCCGAGTTCACGCCCTATGTTGCTGGAGATATCCAACAAAAGTCCGAGTTATGAAATAAATGTTCCGAAGACTTTCCCTTATCTTTTGTTGGTCCTTGTGTTGGTGAAGCCCCTTGGCTGGTTCGCTTGGGGATAAAATGTTAAGCGGGGGAGCTATGGTAATCTTACTTTATTTCCGTGTGTTTGAGTGCCTGGAGGGACTCATGTGATGGATAGTCTTATCTACTTGTTCTTCTGTTTTATAATATTGCTACATGTAGATATCAATGTTTGTTGGATTCTCAATCCGAGAAATGTCTGAAATTCTAGTGAAGTCTTATCATTTAAAGTTGCTTCCAGCAAAATCAGCTATTTTCATCAGTCGAAATGATAAACAACCGAGATGCTCTCGGTAATAACTTCCCCAACTACCTCCGTCGTCCGCCGAGCTTCTCTTAGCAGAACGTATATAACTGTTCCTGTTAACACTCTACTTGATCATAACCACAATCACGGAATTTAACAAGTTCGTTTCGCCTTGACAGCGGCAGATCGGATTATGCTTACTAGTAGAGGGACGGAGTAAGCACTTGTCTGCCTGGGGTACGCACGTTCCAACCAACGGATCTTATCAGATTTAAGGGTATGGACATGTACGCGGTATCCAAAGTCAACCGGTCCTTCTAGAACCTACAACTATCTAGTAGCAAGCAAGTTGTTCCAAAGGCAGTTGTCCTCTGTTATTTTTGTTCTAACCCGCCTCCTACCCGTAAGTGCCTTATGCAGCAATAGCCGCAGGCGCTTCAAGCGGCAGGGAAGGCATACATCTATTGCCGAAATATATCTGCTTATTACGGAGTATAGTGTTCCAGCTCCAGGTTCATGATAGGGAAAATGACCTATCAATATCGCCAACAGCTCGCCAAGGGCCCATGGCTTTGATCCTTCGAATACCCTCACAGGGCGATAAGGATGAGCTGATGTTGGATGCTCCAAAAGCTCTCATCGTCTCCGGAAGAAGTTCCAGGTCCACAATTAAGTCCGTCACTTTGAAACTGTCACCTCCGAGGAATGAGCCCCGTACCCCTCCATGCCGTTCCCCTCCATGCCGTCCTCCTATGAGACAGACACCCCCATAATTCTTGCCAGCCAGTGTAGCTCGAGATACACATACCTAATTAGCCCAACTAATAACTCGTGGCAATCGGAATCACCAGAGAGGATATTCATATTTGCCTGTTTGCATGCTTAACATACGCCGTAGGTAGACGCGTTACGCCATTCCATGACCCATCCCTCTCATCCTTGCCCAAAGGTTTTGTGCCGAAAAGAGGAGACACATCCGCTGCGAAAAATATGATATGTCGTTTCGGGCCACAAAAGATATCCATCTGGGCATCATTCCAACGGGCCACATGCGCCAACCACACCTCCAGAGGCCGCCCAAAGAAGAATTCCGTGCACCTCCAATAAACTCCACCCGATGCACTCGTCCGCTATGTCCCGCACTCGCACTTTTCCTTTCTCCTCGAACCTCCATCGTCCACGACATCAACTTCCCCCCCTTACGCCGTCAGCATAGAGCATCCCGGAGCAAACGTGTCCTACTTCCCATCCAGTCTCGCGCCCGCACTCACACGTACGTACAGCGTACAGCGTACAGCATGCAGCTCATCACTTGCATCGTCCGTCCCGGAGTTCCAGTTCCATGAAAATCAACGGCGCCCTCCTATCAGCCCCTGCATTCCAGCTCAGCTCAGGCAGCGCGGCGGGACGATCCGCTGTAAATCCCGCTGCGGCATGGAGCCATCGGGGGGCCCAATCGACAGCCCTCGAAAGTATCGAGTATTGAGCTGTTATCATGCCTTAGAAAAAACTACACCCCTCGACACATTCAACCATCAGGGTTGGCAGAATAATAGAGGCCAGCCGATGGCTATGTGGCACGTTACATCCAAACAATGCAAGGAGTCAGTCAGGCCCGACCCTGCAAAACTTGCTCGAACGGACGTATTACATACTGTAGTATTGTAATGGTTTTTTTGCATTATTTACCCCTTATTTTGGCTCATCCGGTAAGAAATTATTAGAACTTGTTCCCGATTCCTAGTAACATATGCGTGATATATGCTCGAGATTTTAGGTGCTTACCCGTCTCATTGAGAACTAGAGCGTTGCATCTGGTAAACCCTTATTCATCCTTCCGCTCTTTGCTTTGGACCCTTTCCTTTCCATGATTCCCCTCCACCCCCCCCTATTTCCATCCTCCACACCACCTCCCGCAACCCCACGATAACAACACGAAGACTAAGCAGCACTCCCGTGCAAGGATGGGACAGATCGTTACTCGGAACGAGCAGACTTGGTTTTGAGTCCGCAACAGCTGATTGGAGTCACCACCCCCTCCAAAACACGGTAGAGTCTCCGGACATCTGATGCCAATACGGGGGAGGACTCGTAGGAAGTTACCCTCTATGGAACTACCTCAGCCGATGTATCCCCCTTTCCGGGCACTGTTTCCCTATCCCACCACCCCATCAAACCAAACCTACAAATCCGTATCCTCAAGACCCCTCCAATAACCAACCAAGACAGCATTATCATTGCAAAAGTCAAATCCTGGCCTCCCATGGATTTGAGCCCTCGCACACCACCCACTCCAGATGCCGGAGAAAGCAGCAGCAAGCCCCAAGACATTTCACATGCTCCAAACAAGCTCAGTCCATGCAAGCACCCATGGATGTCTCATCGTACTCTCTCACGAACTTACCCCGGATTTTCCCAGGTCCCAAAGAGCCCATCTCTGTGCAAGCCCACGGGAAATAGTGTGATTGGTCGTGTAGCGCTGGCCCCGTGTGGGAATTCAAGTGGTCATGCGGTTTTGGGTGAGACACCTTCGATGGTTGCTCGGAGTACGGAGTAAGCAGGTCGGTTCTGGTGAGACTATTGGTGTTCGTGAGTGAGACATTGTGTTCGATAATGACGCATGTGGCGAGGTTGCTTGGTTGGGGAGTTGGTAAGTAGAATATGTACAGCTCGGATTCGATTGTTTCCATATCATAGAGAGGAAAGCGAAATATGAAAATCAGGGTGTGGATTTGATAGATTGTAGTCTAGACGCTGCCTCAATTAGTACACTAACTACAGCTAGACGGCGAAAACTACCCTCCCCCTTAGCTGCCCTTCTTTCCCCGCTCCTCGACGCTTCCATCTTTCTAGTAGACCACAATCGTTTCTATTTTCGATCTCCTGGACGCCTACCTAGGTAAGTACCGAGCACCATCCACCAACTATCTGGTAGTCACTCACAACGCCCGGTATTGGCGAGACATATTCCCAAAGAACTCTTGAACCTAGGCAAGCCCCCAAAAAGCCAACCTCGATACGAGGCATCCAGTTTACTCATCTCCAGTAGTTGTGCCTATCACGGCTGACCCGACCGCGTCAGTCCCCCCCTATAACACCGCGTAAGATACCCACACACTGGCACAGTGACTCAGCCCTACGCAATGGAGGCTCAGATGAGCCCCAGCCATACCATATTCCATACGCCACCGGTAGCCCGATGAAGCTGTGAGAGCTGTCTCGGATCTCTGTCCAGCTGAAAAGGAGACGGGCAAGGACGGTTGGTTCGTAAGCTGGCCTATCAGCTGTGGTTGTTGGGGGGTTTATGTCGAAAACGGGACGCTGATCTAGATGCCTAGATACGAGTATGTTGGAAGGCTACCAAACTGAAAAAGGGGCTACCTATTGCGTAGGTACTGTTACTTACGTTGGTAGATAGCCTAGGTAGACAGTTTTCAACTACAACTCAAAGAACATACCATGTGTAGTTGTTTGTTTGTGCTCGTAATATGATTAGTAGTCAGTCACATCACATCTGGTCACTGATGCCCCATGTGCTTATCCATTGGTTAAATAAACACAAGCTATATTATAACATAACATACAATGCCTATTTCTGTGGTCTCTTCCTATGTCTAGCCTAGGGAGGCGAGTAGAATATTATCCCCGCGGAGGGCCACTCAATCAATCAATGTTTAATAGTAGCCGTGTGCCATGAGTGTCTCCAGTTTAACGCCGTACATAAAAACAAGGCATAAGATAAGCGTACAACGATCGTATCCATCCATCATAAACTCTCATTCAAAATCAACTTCCGAAGAGTTTCTAACCACTACACATGGTACACTCCTCTTTGTTCTCAATGCTGCCTGTGAGAATATATTAATAACTATTTACAACATCATGGGTGGAAGGGTAGGATCTTACATTGCAAGACAGCATCGGCATAAATATCATGCTCCCGATCTGCACTGTCCACAGCTGTGTCCTCATCCTGCTTCTTGACATTGACTGTGGGCGCACGGAGTTCTTCCTCTGGCACCGCGGTAGTTGGCTCAGTGGCAAGAACTTTAGGACTATCTCCCTCTTCGAGATCCGCCTTGAAAGCCTGCGTCTTGGCAGCGGCCGGTGGTGCAATTTTCTTCGCCTCAGATGCCGGCGGTGGAGTCGTTGTTGGGGTCGGGACTCCGTTCGAGGTGTTGGGGTTTTGCTTCATGTACATCGGCCGAGGAACAGCTGATGGGGATGAGATATATCCTGATGATGGAACGGTCCGCTTCTTGGCGGTACGCTCCCGAGCGACATTTGTATCGGCAACGAGAAGAGCCTCTTGATCAACCGTAAATTGGATGGGTGCCGTAGCAGCCATCGTGCGGAGGTAATACATTCCTGTCTTGAGACCCAGCTTCCAGCCAGCGAAATGCATACTGGTGATCTTGCCCATTGTAGGATCCTTCATATGGATGTTCATGGATTGAGATTGATCGATGAACGCTCCACGATCAGCAGCCATCTGGACGATGTTACGCTGCGAGATTTCCCAAACAGTCTTGTATAGGGCCTTGATATCAGCTGGAATATTGGGGATGTTCTGGATTGATCCACCATCAGCGATGATACGGTTCTTCATATTGTCAGACCAAAGTCCCATGTCAACGAGATCCTTGAGGAGCCAGGGGTTGACAACTTGAAATTCGCCAGCGAGCACGCGGCGAGAGTAGATGTTCGAAGTGTATGGTTCGAAGCACTCGTTGAAGCCAAGGATTTGACTGGTGCTTGCAGTTGGCATAGGAGCAACGAGTAAACTATTTCGAAGACCGTGTTGCTGGATTTGCTGCTTCAGACTGTCCCAATCCCAAAGATCGGAGGGAGTGACACCCCACATGTCGTATTGGAGCTCTCCCTTCGAGGCGGGGGAACCTTCATAGGTCTCATAAGTTCCATGAATCTTAGCAAGCTCGACGGAAGCGGTCAAAGCAGCATGGTAGATGGTCTCGAAAATCTGGACATTGAGATTTTTGGCCTCAGGGGAGTCGAATGGTAGACGGAGGGCTAAGAACGCATCCGCAAGCCCTTGCACACCAACTGCAATGGGTCTGTGGCGGAAATTGCTCTTTCGGGCTTCCGGGACAGGGTAGTAGTTAATATCAATGATCTTGTTCAAGTTCTTGACAACGACTTGGCAGACTTCGTGAAGCTTTTGGAAGTCATAAGTACCGCTGTTCATGTCCACATAAGTAGGCAGGGCGAGAGAGGCCAAGTTGCAGACAGCGACTTCATCCGGAGCGCAGTACTCGACAATTTCTGTGCATAAGTTCGAGCTTCGAATAGTACCGAGATTCTTCTGGTTGCTCTTCTTGTTACAAGCATCCTTGTAAAGCATGAAAGGATTTCCAGTCTCAGTTTGAGCCTCGAGAATGGAGTACCAAAGTTTTTGGGCCTTGATGGTCTTGCGACCCTTGCCCTCCTGCTCATACTTCTCATAAAGTGCCTCGAATTCATCGCCGTATACGTCTGCCAACCCAGGACATTCATTAGGGCACATCAAGGTCCAGTCTCCGTTCTTCTCAACACGCTTCATAAAGAGATCAGGAATCCACAGAGCATAGAATAGATCACGGGCGCGAACTTCCTCCTTGCCATGGTTCTTGCGAAGATCGAGGTACTCAAAGACATCAGCGTGCCATGGCTCCAGATAGATGGCAAACGCACCAGGGCGCTTGTTGCCACCCTGATCGACATATCTGGCAGTGTTGTTGAAGACCCGGAGCATAGGAACAATTCCATTAGAGTTGCCATTGGTCCCAGCAATGTAGGCCCCAGTTGCGCGGATTCTGTGGACGTTGAGTCCGATACCACCAGCATTCTTGGAGATCATGGCACACGTCTTCAGGGTGTCATAAATACCCTCAATGCTGTCTTCCTTCATATCGATGAGGAAGCAAGAGGACAGCTGTGCTTGCGGGGTGCCAGCAGCGAAAAGCGTTGGCGAGGCATGTGTGAAGTATTTGCCTGACATCAAGTTGTATGTCTCAACGACGGCTTCTATGTCATCGCCGTGGATTCCGACTGCCACACGCATAATCATATGTTGAGGACGCTCGCAGATTTTGCCATCAAGACGGAGAAGATATGATCGCTCGAGGGTCTTAAAACCAAAGTATTGGTAGTTGAAGTCTCGATCATAGACAATGGCGGAGTTGAACTCAGCCTCGTGCTTCATCACACATTCGTATGTCTTCTGGCTGATCATGGGGGATTTCTTGCTATTTCGGGGATTTACATAGTGGTATAAGTCTGAAATGACATGTGAGAATTGTTTCTTGGTTTGCTTGTGGAGATTCGAGACTGCAATTCTTGCAGCAAGGATGGCATAATCGGGATGGGTGACTGTCATGTACGCAGCAGTCTCTGCGGCCTGAATAGGGTGTTAGCAGGTGATCAGGAGGTGTTTAGACGCGTTAGAAGGAACTTAACGTACCAAGTTATCAAGCTCTATCGTGGTGACACCTTGATAGACACCAGAGATGACCTTCTGGGTGATTGCTGCAGCGTCTACATGGTCTGCGTCGAGTCCATAACACAGCCGGGAGACCCGAGCAGTGATTTTATCAAATTGGACGCGCTCCTTGCGACCATCTGTGTAGTAGTGAGCAGTAGTCTTGATGAAATAGAGTAACTGGAGTGATCATACCTCTTTTCCACACATACATGATGGCGTTGTGTATAAATAGAGGGGCCGAGAATGGCAGAGGTAGGTGGGGAGAGGATGGCGGTGTTCTGTTTCCTGTGCAGCAATATGGAGGTGATAAGAAATATAGTGTACTTTGCACAGTGGAATGGCTTGAGAGAAGGAAGAGCGAGAATGTGGAAGATGAGTTGGCGTGAGAGTGGGAGGTTGTGAATAGGAAGAGGACGAGGGTCGCGTTGGAGGGAGCGTTTTCTTAAGAGCTCTGAGTTTACGCGCTTCTGCAGAAAACGCGTTCCTGCTTTGGTAATCGAGTGCGCGAAAACAACACCAGATTTTAAGTGCGCGCGTCAACAACCGATCACGTGCATCCATCAATTGATAGGCTGACAGGGGTCGTGATACTTGCCAAAAGTTGGGTTGTAATGTTTCTTAAAGTATTTTTGTTCTCATCTGTTACGATCAACATGCCAAGTCCCGTATACCATGTTTTGTCAGAAAGCAAGTCATAACGCAGCGATATATTCATTGTTTGTTTGCTCAATAGAAGGGGTACGTGATCACACTCGACTAAGCACGCTGCTAAGATAGTCTTGCTACCTGTATAGACGTTTGCTATTATCTGATAGAGTTTAAGCTAAGAAACGTATCATGTTGGCTTACATAGGCTTAGATTTCCTCTTCCTTCAACAGAACGGCCTATGGCTAAGTCAATGGGCTCAGGGACCTACTCGAAGCCGCTCAAGTATAGCTGCTTCTCTTCGCAGTAAAATTAGACACCATATGACATACCCTAGGACATTTTTAGGGAGCAATTTTCTTTTATTACACTCCCCTGCATTAAAATATTGAGGCTAGTTGCAAAATGAATCTAAACCCCAGCATTAACTACCCCTATAGCTAGACCACCTCCTGTTCGATGGCCGCCAACCATTATGCCTCCAAGTCCATTAGCCAAGTCCGCTAAATGATTTGAAATTACTCACGTCGAAGCAGTAGTAGATACTCTGGCAGCTGAAACCGTTTCCGCTGTACAAGTTACGGTTGTTGTCCTTGAAGCAGTTGAAAGGTGTCTCGTTGTTATGACCAGTCCCAACCTTTGCCCCGGTGGCCTTGGTCTGCGCATCTGATTGGATAGTGACACAAAACGTCTCGCCACTGTCTTGGAAGAAACCGCATATCTGCGATCCTTCCCAGTGGATAGTTCCCGACGCATTAATGATATCAATAGCCTGTGGCTGCTCGCCGTGCTGAGAGCCCGACTTGGCGTTGGAGTAATAGACAATTTCGCTCCAGGTAGCACCGCCTTGGCAGTTCGACAGGTAGACACCTTCGTTGGGCCCACGCTTTGTGATCTCGGCTTCAAAAGGCGTGGCTTCGACGGGGACTGCGGTTGCAGTGTGGAGGAGAGCCGAGGCAACGAGAGTAATGAGTGATTGCTTGAACAACATTTTGATTCGAGGTCAAAAGAGTCTTTCTTGAGCGAGGAATGGGTATGTCTGAAGGGCGCGATTGAAGTCTTTTTAATGCTGTTAAGGCTGTCGGTGCTGTTGGTGGGAATGATGAATAGATTTAGGCCGGCGGGACAAGGTAATTTATAGGAAATCCGAAGGCAGAGGTGTTGTTCTAACTTATTGAATTAGTATAGATATGGATACCCGAAGACGACCGTTCGATTTGAGGAGCTCTCGGCCTGTCTCTACACAGGCAGCGGGATATGACTGCATCACTAAATGCATAAGCACATCGGATGAACCCTTGTAGGAAGAAAGGCTTTTGGTAATATCATATGAGAGGCTGACGGACGAGCATGCTTACTAAGTCGTCGACATCACCGGCGCCGAGGTTGTAGTGAAGGTGTTTGGAATTTTGAGGGTTTACCGCCCTAATTAAGTACTAGAAACGGCCCATAAATTAATGCGCGTAGGGATCTATATTGATTAGTATGTAAATGCTACCACAGGAACGAAATCCGTGGCGTTCGGAATTAGTGCATTGTTGCAGAATAGATATACTTCCTGCTCAACCAGGCGTTTGAAGACATGGTACATAATTTTCGGGGACCTTCCTTCTCCAGATTAGGTAAAGATAGAAGTGGTGAGATATATCAAGCTTAAAAATATCGAACGTCATGCATATACGTGCAACCCTACCTCGTATCTGTAGGGCAGCAGAATAGAGTAGATTTTCCGGTCCGGTGATGATGAAAGCGGGATGGACAGAGGCGGAAACGATGCATGGCACTCACTAGCATCAAGATGGGGGGATGTTTTACACGGAGACGCGAGATGCAGATGGCCATCATTACAAGCACACTAGATAGATGCTTTTCTGGGACTTTCGTGATTGTGTCCAAGCGATGTATGAAAACTCTGGAGGTGGAATTCTTGCTCGGGAACTACCACAAAGCTGTCAAACTTAAATTCATTTTGGACAAACTAACAATTTGTGCCGATGCAGCGTTTTGTAGCCTCTGGGGTTGTAAGACACCGGAAATGACATAGACAGAAAATTTCCCCTACCACGGCTATGCGCCTGTCATCAGCGCATGGTATATAAATTGTCTGATAGCATCGTTAAGGGTCGGTGTAAGACCGGAGTAGCAGTAAGATACCCGGGAGGTGGCTGACCCCAACATTTTTGCCATCATATGAAATGCACGAAACTGCTAACAAAACGGACCCGAAGTTGCCGAGGTAAAATTAATACCTCAAATAAACTTAGATTGTCCGATATGCGGGCTGCTGAAGAAGCAGAAGCAACTGAGTTACACAAATCTGTAAATATATATATAATATGATTAAGAATAGTGGAAGTCCTGCCGACCAATGATATCATCGAATTCTTAATACTCTTTGCAGAGCCAAATACGGGATGGATATCAAGGGCAGGCGCAGAAAGAGAGTACTGCAGAACAAGCTTTCAGAAGGAAGCTTGCAATTTCTGCGCGATATCATAACAAGTATTGAGAATCGACGGCGGGGGGTCACAAATCAAACGAATCTCGGGACCCTGTGAGGCTGGTGCCCTTGGCAGAGCTTATTCGTAAGAGGTCAACCCAGGACCAATAAGGCTAGGAGTGGAAAGTAAGACGTTGCAAACTTCATGTTGTGTAACTTTACACCTGCTGCAGTTGTTCTTAATTCCGCAAACGTAACCGCTAGCCAACCTTACTTGGTAAGTAAACATATATATGTGGACCACAGTAAAAGCGATACGATGTAGAACAAGAAAATAATCTAAATATAAAACCTCACAAGGAAAACTAGGAATAAAGGAGAAGCTTCATACATAATATAGAGAGAACTAGAGACAAAACTGCACAAGGACCCATTTTATTATGCCATTCAATCAAGCTCCTCGGTTAAATGTTGTATAACTCCAAGTCTTATTCGAGACATATCGTACATATTCTAAACTTCCTATGGAATCTTATTGGCCATGGCTCGTCCGATTCGAAGAGGCTTCCTAGGCTGGCAAGGAGAAACTCGGTTGATGGGCATGAGTTTGTTCAGCAAAAACCCCTGGGCTTGAGCAATCACACTCGACGATATCCAATATACAAGCATCGCGCTTGGCATGTTCAATAATAGAGGCCCCGCAGCTAGGGCCATGGTGGCCATAATTCCTCTTATTCTCTTCTGCCAAACGCTGGATGGTAGATTACTTCGTGAAAACCTAACCAGGCTGAAGAGCATAACTCCAGAGAGGATGAAGGGAAGTCTTAGTTCCGGGTCGGCCTTCGTAAGATCAGGGAACCAAAGCGCGCCGCCAGTGATAAAGCCCGGCTCAAATAAATCCTTCAAAGTCATTGCACCATCTACAAGCACAGTCGGATCTCCGCCTGATATGCTTGCCACTAGCAGACCCAAGAGCCCCTCATGAGTTCCACACATCTTCCGCAGACACTCCACGGCCACCAGAAAGACGGGTAGTTGTATAATTGGTAGAAATCCCTTCCATAACTCGCAACTCCATCTGCGGTAGAGCTCTTTTCTCTTCTGGCGCAGTTTCTTCAAGACAACCGCAGTTGTTGAACTTGGCCCTAAATGTCCTACTTCCTTAATCGCATCTTTTCTCAACTGGTAATCCCATGATTGAACCAGGGGCGCGAGTGCGGCTTGCTTCTGGGTTATGCGGCGTGTGTAGATGGATATCGGTAGCACGAAGATTGTTCGGATGCTCAGGGCTGCGAGAGGAATAGAGTAGACCCATGGCAACCCCGTCAGGGTATGCACACCTTCAAAAAGAGAATGGACTGGTAAGATCACAGTCTCGAGGAACTGTGGCCTAGGAGAGGCGTGGAATGCGCGATTGCTCGGACGGGGTTTGAGAAAGACCTTGGATAATCTGGAGGTGGAGTGAGCTTGCGACGCTCTAGGGCGAATGAGACAAGACATCGAGGTAGCGGCGTGGAAGCGGTTCCATGGCATGGGTCTAAGACGGCCCAAAGATTATGTTTCTATGTCCCTAATGAATGAGGCCATTGACAAATTAGCATCGTTTGCTCTTCGAGTTGGGGTTGTGAAGTTGTTCATCGCCAGAAAATGGCTTCGGGTAAAGTTCGGAACAGATTCAAGCTCGGGATCGGGCCGCTGAGACACCGAGGTCGCGTCTACCAGTAAGTGACACCGTCGCGATTCCAGACAACTTGGAAACCCGACAATCCACAAACCATGGCCGACACTTGCACAACCCAGTGTGCGCAAAATATGTCGAGGTTTGGACTGAACTCCCAATATGCAGCCATAGCGCTGGTTTCTGCTATTGGACTTTTTCCTCTCATCGTTCTCTTCATCGGCCCCAAACTTGTATTATACTTAGGCGGAACGGTAGGCTATTATCTGAGGAGGAAGACTGCAGGACGGAAATCCCAGATATTGGAGTTGATGGAGAAGGATGAGAAGGAATATGCCGCAGAGCGACATGGGAGAAGGGATAGCGATGATTGGGAAAATGTAGAGTCTTATTCTACTGGTTCAGCCACGAATGGCGAGAAGGGGGACAAGGAGTGGGATGGCATCGTTGGATTTTTCCACCCTTTCTGGTGCGTATATAAACGCCTAGAGTTGTATGCCGATTTGTGCCGTCGCTAACTTGACCAAGTAACGCTGGTGGGGGTGGGGAGCGAGTACTTTGGGCTGCCATTATAGCGACTCAGAAACGATGGCCGAATGCCAAATGTGTGGTATATACAGGGGATCATGACGTTGATAAAACTGCAATCCTGGATAGAGTCAAGGTACAAATACCCTTGTGCTACACGGTCTCGGCCTTCTATGATCCTTCCACTGACAGCCTTGGGAACAGAACCGCTTCAATATCCACCTCTATCCTCCTACCGTTACTTTCCTCTACCTCAGCACCCGATCATGGGTTCTAGCTTCTTCCTGGCCACATTTCACGCTCTTGGGTCAATCGATTGGTTCTCTTGTGTTGGCTTGGGACGCTTTCTCCCTCCTTCCCCCGGACATATTCGTGGATACGATGGGCTATGCATTTGCATCTGGTTTTAGCAAGATCCTATTTAAAGATGTGCCTACAGGATCTTACGTCCACTATCCCACAATATCGACTGACATGTTGAGCTCCCTGGATCCGGCTTCGCCAACAGGAGGCCAAGGAGTGAATGCTAGTAAGGGAGTTGGTGCGGGAGGAAAGGCAAAGAAGATTTATTGGCAACTTTTCGCAATGTTATATTCCTTAGTGGGGGCATCCATTGATATTGTCATGACAAACTCAACATGGACGCAGGAACACATTAACTCACTCTGGGGAGGATGGAGGAAACGGTTCAACAAACCAGTGGCAGTAGCCGTATTCCCACCTGTCGCAGTAGAAGAGCTGGAGAAAGAAGTCGAAGTTTCTGCAGAGAGTGAGAAGAAACGCGAAAAGGTCCTCCTCTACATCGCCCAATTTCGTCCCGAAAAGAACCACAAACTCATTCTCTCGGCCTTTTCCGAATTCATGGCAACCAAAACGCCCGCAACCAAAGGCGCCAAACTTGTTTTGATAGGTAGTGTGCGTGACGACGGGGACTCAAAACGAGTCTATGAGCTACGCCTCCTAGCAAACGAACTCCAGATTAGAGATAGTGTGGAATTCCACCTTGATGCCCCATGGCCTAATATTTTGGAATGGCTTAGGAGGGCTAGTGTCGGTGTGAACGGGATGTGGAACGAGCATTTTGGTATTGGGGTCGTGGAATACCAAGCTGCGGGTCTTATATCTGTCGTACATGATAGTGGTGGTCCAAAACGCGATATCGTCACCCCTATGGATGGCAAGCCTACCGGTTAGTCCCCTTTTGAGTTTTGGTTTCTTCTGTTACAAAATCTGAGTCTAATAAACTACAGGCTTCCATGCAACAACTTCCGCGGAGTTTGCCTCGGGTTTCGAGGAAGCGCTTGCTTTACCAGATAAGCTAGCAATGAGACGCCGAGCTCGACGATCCGCGAAAAGATTTACAGAGGAGGAGTTTGCGAAGGGATGGCTTAGGGAGATGGAAAGGTTGGTTCTTTTGAGGCTGTCCAAAGAGCATTGAATACCCATTTGTTTTTTGAGCACTAGAATAGTTATCGGGCTATATACACTAATGCGCTTGATTTATGGATCAGTAATTCCGTGAGGCTAATGTTTCTATTGGAGTGGTTGTCCTCTGCTGGCAACAACAGACTTTCCGCATCGTCAATGCGTGTGGCACTACCCACAAGCAGCGCAGTACAGCAAGTTGCATGTAACTCAAAAGAGAATTAATAGCTAGTATATACGCAAGAAAGCCCCGCCCTCTTCTATTCATCACCCATCTATAACGCCCAACACCCTTCTATGTAGCATCTAGTCTTTCCCCTAACTCTACCATCCAACAAGTAACTTTCAAGCGTTCAACAACATGCCAAACCACCACTGTTCTTCTGTCTCGGCTCACTCCCGGCTTCAAACGTCCCATTACTCAACCTCCTCACACCCTGAACAGCGCTTATTGGCCCTACCCATGTAATATTATGACCCTTCTCTCTCATACTCTCAACGGTATTATTATCAAAACCGTACTCAAATGTCGTTGTTGCCGGTACTAGCTGATCATGCAACCTTGGATGCTCCAACGCTTCTGGCAGCGTCAAACCATGATCTAGAATGTGGAGAATAGATTGTGCAGTAGCGGTGATGATTCGGCTTCCCCCTGCACCACCGATGGAAATGTACAAGGTACCGTTGGGGTGCTCGACAATGACAGGGGATACAGACGAGAGGGGGCGTTTGAAGGGTCGTATATAGTTTATGGGTGAAGGAACAAAACCGAATGCATTTGGTACACCTGGGATGGAGAAGTCGTTCATTTCGTTGTTCATGATCACACCTGTCTCAGGAACAATGAGTTGAGAACCAAAGAGAAGGTTTATGGTTGATGTGAGGGTTATGGAGAGGCCCGATTCATCAGACGCGACGATATGAGAGGTCCCGTGGTTTTCCGGGACAGTATAACCTGTGGGCGAGTAGTAAGAGACGTTGTGGGTTCGTGAGTCCGAGATGCGTTTCCGGATCGATGAAGCGGTTTTGGGCTTCAGCATTTGCTCTTCGAAGCTATCCATGTAGGAGAAGAAATCAGGGTCACCTAATTCAGCTCGAGCGGCGTATGAGAAGCGCATGGCTTCATCAAGGCGGTGCGTGTTAAGGGTCAAGAGCTCAGGATCGCTCATGTTGTATCCTTCAACAATCTTGATGATGCTGAGTGCTACGGACCCACCGCTTGGGGCACCGCATGAGTAGAGGTTGTAACCACGGTAGGAAATATTGATTGGTTTTCGGATAGAGACTTGATAGCTCTTCAAATCATCTAGTGTCATGGTTCCATTAGCGGCTTGGAGGGCAGCAATAGTATATTTTGCTATAAGTTGTAAGCAGTTGCTAGAAATATGAGATGAAGAGTGTCAGTACCAACATCTCCCTCATAAAAGCCTTTTGAGCCATGCTTAGCGATAACCTCCAAAGTGCTATTACCTATTAGTCGGAGATATGTACGACTTGGTAGATTTTCTTACTCGGCATATCGCTTTCGTGTTAGGATGTCGCCGACACCAAGCAGTGTCCCTACCAATAATTAGTCCTAGAATAATGATCCAACTTTGTAACATTACCATTTGGTGCAAAGTCCATAGCCCAATTGGGATCTTCAACCAGAAAGTTATTGTCGTCGGAAGTGGCAGCTTTCATGTAACGAACCAGATCCTCGGTCACTAAATTTCAATCAGCAACTATATTTCTTCTGATCACTGGAACTAGTTACCCGGAAAGCCATGCCTGGAAACGTGAACAGCTGGGTTACATACAGCTCTCCAAGGAAGTGCCTTCGAGACGATTGTTAGAATTATTCAAAACAAGAAGCAAATCATTTACCCCGTATTTCTTGTGCAGGTACTCCAACCCATGGACATCTCCAGGCACTCCACTTGCAAGCCCAGTGCGGATGCTGCCATTGACATTGTCCCTATACATATTTTCATGGGCAGCAGCAGGGGCAGTTTCCCGAAAGTCTGAATCGATCAGTGACGTTTCTCTTGTAAAATCCCTAGGCTATTCGTACCTATTGATTCATATGTTCCGTCTGAACCTCGCACGAGCATAAACCCGCCTCCGCCAATGCCACTATGCTGCATCCCTACGCTCATTAGCGAAGTGAACTTTGGCTACTATTTGTAGAAGAATTTACCAATTACTCCCACACAAAGAGTCGTTCCCACCAGAGCATCTGCGGCATTCCCCTGGAGTCATGCGTTCAGTCTTCTCTCTTTCTAGGTAGTTTTTTAATAAGTTGTTAGATTAACGACTCACCCCCATTTTCAGCAGTTCAATCCCGATTTCGCTGCATAATTTAGACTCGCTGGAGACGGCGCCTAAACTATCCGTGGAGGAAACAGTAGCGCTGACCGAAGAGTTTCTACACCCTAGCAGGATCATCCATGAAAATCCGTAGAGGAGGTTATTGATATTCCTCCCTTATATTGTCAGCGTTTGTGGTTCTACTAGCTGGGCAGGTGAGCGCACTGTGACATACTCATAATGAATGTTTTTATTCGTCAGCCCCCTCTACGCTAAGACAAATTCTTTAGAGCGTAGAAGTAACGATCCTTGGGATCTTCGTCGTGCAAAAAGGTGCTGGTAAACTTGCGTTTGGGGAAACACTTCTTGCGGTGGGCGTTTCCGGGCGTAGAGAGGACTGCTATGGAAGACCGAGATATTCGGGATAAGGAGAGCCACACGCGGAAGCCTGCTAGCTTCGGATTTGCCACGCTAGAGACTTGGTTCCACAGGAGTAACATTCACAGAAGCAGTTGGGAGGTGTCGCTGGGTTTATATTATTGTGCCCCATGGGCGGGCCATTTAGAGCATGGTCCGTGACTGCCGCTTGAGGTAGTCATAGGGCATGTGGGCTGGCCAAGATAGGCTTAATTACTCAATCCCAGGACCATCCTTCGACTCAAACTACTAGACTATCTATGGGATAGTACATTACAAGGCCAGCAACTTTTTGGGGAACAAGAATTGGCTTTAGAGATAATTTGGTAGTTGGAAAAATTGTTTAAAAGTCACTGATGTTGCTCAAGGTCAATGCAGCGAATAGAATAGGCGAAACGCCCTTATCTTGGTCCTTTAACACATAGGCTTATTCCGCTATCCTAGATAGCTGAGCAGTATAAGGTAACCATTCTAATAGATTCTTCTTGAATCAACCTCTCACTCAAGCTTGCGAATCCATTTCCTCATCGAGATCTCGCTCCCATCCATTTGCCCGGGCCATAGTAACCGCTTCAGGAGCAAAGCGCGAATCATCGTCGCAAAGATGAACGCCCAAAGGACAACGAGCAAAACAGCCCAGACAGTCCCGAGTATCTTGATAGCATTTGATTCAAACGACTTACCGATCGCAAGAGTCGCAGTAACCAGGGCTGTATTTGGGAAGACAAACGAGAACCTTGACTAAAGTTAGCTACGAGAATTCCAGGGAAAACATTCTAAATACCAAGTCATATCGAAGCGGATTGTTTTAGAGTCGTTAGGTAGCAAGATTCGCCAGTGAGCACCGACGCTAACAATAAAAAACCATAGACATAGGCCCCAAATCCAGAGCCCTACGACCTCGGATAAGAGTTTCAAGAGTATCGGCGCGTCGGTGTTTCCCATGTACCCGTTTGGCATGATCTTCGAACTCAGCTGGCTACCGAGAAGGACTAATCCAGCGACTGTAAAGCCACTTGGACCGACAGAAACAAACTGCGACAGTCAGCACAGGTCTGCTAGACCCTGAATACTGGGGCTTACCATCCCCGGACGACTAGTTTCTCGAGGCAATTTTTGAGTCATCAGGCGATAAATGAATGCACTATATATCATTAGACTCACAAGGAATCCCGTACCTTGGATAGCAACCGCTCCAAGGGCTATGGTAACAGAATTTATGCGAGCAGCTGCAGCAGCATCGGGTAAAGACTGAATAAGATTCGCAGCGAACGGTGCAAGTAAAAGGAGGGGGTATGCGGGGAAAATCCATATCGGTGTCATTGTGTGGATTGGAAACGTCCTTGCGAAAATCGAAAATCAGCACCATCAAGTAATCAAACTTGCAATTTATTGCTTACTGAGTCGACCAGATAATCAGGTACATGCCCGAACTTGAGATGAAGCTCACGGAAGCAAAGGCCCAGTAGCAGACCTGCATGACTGTCTGAAGCCAATCGCCAGTATTTGGAATCCCATATTGAGCCACATTGATCAGAATCGTTCCAACTCTGTTGCATGTCAGCCGTTACTCCACATCGATTACGGAAGTATGTATTTACGAAACGACCTATGGATCAGGACGGTCAGCAAATAGCCTCTTTCAAACTTATCATGTACTTACGCAAGCTGGAATAAACAAGGATTCGGATTGGCTTGTGAAAGAAGTTTTAAATGACCCAGGGTTCCACCTGAATCTCAACGTAATGAGGACGCAATTGATTATAAAAAGTATAAGATTAAATACAAAGAATATTACACCAACAACCCCCAGCCACGCAGGTTGATATGGTACTAGTCGGGGGGGTTAGGAGGAGCCGAGCAAAGTCCATGGAGCCAACTTACTTGTATGGAGGACATTCGCAACCCCTCCCGTAGCCATTGTCATGGTGAACCACGTCCAGGTGTAGCAGCCAATACGGTCACGGATACCAAACTTCTTCAGCTTTGGCTCTTCATCATGGTCCTGCTGCGGATCCGCCTTATCACCGCAATCCGGATGTGCTTGATGCCGTGGGCTCTCTCGCTCCGTTTTTATGTGAGTGCGACTGTCAGTATAGCCAGCACATTTTGCCTCTGTGTCCTTGCCCCCAGCTCTGCCATCAGGACCAAGAAAGTATGATCCCTCGCCGCATTTGGGTGTTCGAGGAGTTTCGTAGCCGTTTTCGGGGAGTTGTATCATCCGTCCTGGCCCTGGCACAAATGCCGGTGTTGGCATTTTTTCAGGATCCCTACGTCCGGCGCCGTCATGAAGATCTTCGAGATGGCATACAGGACGAAGATGATGTGCGGCTCGAGGGTGGTGAGGGCGTAGCTAAAGTTCACCAGCGTCGTGATGAAGATGAGGAGATTGAGCACGATCGAGCCCACATTGGTGATCGCCATAGAGGGTGGAGGGTTTTGGGGGGGAAGGGCCCTGTTGTTGCTGGTGGTAGTGGTTCTGGTGCGTCCTGGTGATGGGACGGGTGGTGGTAGCAGTGGGATATGCTCGGCTACTCAGTCAACAAAAAGTCCGGGACGGCGCCTTGGTGCTGTATGATGACGGTCGCGAGGCTGATCGGGACGGTGGATGGCGGCAGAACCCTTTATCAACCCTTTATCTCACTCTCGTCCACCACAAACAAACACAAACACGAGGCATGAGCGCCCATGTCTCATCCTAGTCTGCTACAGTACTCGTAATACGACTATGACGTCTATTTTCTACCATACCATCCCTACAACTAACTAACTCTTGCTACTCATATCCCCAGTCACTGCCACCGTCTTATACGCATTGCGCAGACCAGCTCCGACTTCCACTTCACCATCATAAATTCCGCTGGCCATCTACAGAAGTCTGATTGCACTGGAGGTGATGTCCAAGGCCCTGGAGTTTGATGGGTTTTGTTTGGTGAGCGGGTTAGACAAGATAAAGCTCTGTGTAACGTCTGTCGTGCATCTCAACACGCCGACTTGTCTGTCACAGTCACAATTAGACCGAGACGAGAAGGACATCTTCAATGCCCTGGCGTCTGGTAATGTATGGGTATCCCGTGGACAGCCATGCTCTCTTGATTTCCATCTTACGTTTGATAACATGCTTCTGGAGAAAGGGAGCCGGCTACGCCTTCTGGAAAGCCTTCGGTACCGGGTTCGAGACGCACAGGTAGGTGTGTGCCTCTGGGTTTCGGATCTGTTTGCTGATTCCACCAAGCTGTGGTCTCAGCTCTCACTCTTTCCATCGCTAGAGATCTCAGAAGCCAGCAGATTATCTAATCTCAAACCGGACTTTTCGATACGTCTTGGCCCGGACAAGGCATCTCCAAGTTCAGCTTCCCAGCCTCGCGTTTGGTTGCCAAAAGATATTAATATCCGTCACCCAAATAGTCTGCCTAATGCCGAACTTGCCAGACTGCAAATTTGTCTCGGCTTTCATATGATCCCTGGGGAACATATGGCAACGGTGAAAAGGGTGAGAGGTGTACCTGTTGTGAATGAGCATGTCGATATCATGCTACTAGATCAAACTCCGGCCGGCTTTGGAAATACTCACCTCCACGAGTTTCAGGGAATTGTTGAAAGACCTAATCGGGACCTGCCAGAGCCTATATCGAGATGTTTCGAAACCTTGGAATCAGATAATATCACGCGTGGTTCCGTTCCCTTCGGGCAGTCCTCCACTCCTCTTCAGTCCCAGAGTCGACACAGAGATTCAGAAGGACAGGATGATATGTTGTTGTCAACTAGTTGGAAAAATTCCTTGAAAGAAATAATCGAACCACCAGAAGAAGATATGCTTCTATCGCAATGGAGTAGTAGCACACCTTCACTTGGATCCCAGTCAACTTTGGTCTCAGACCTGTCGCCTTGGCCACCCCCTTCCTCTCTGAAGCGGGCGGCATCGGAACTCCAAATACTCAATCGGGTCGAAACACCCCCGAGTTTAGATGTTTCTTCGGCGTACAAGCTTACGGAGGCTGCAATGCAGATATTAATCTCAGGCTATGACTCTCACCGTCTCCGAGTCGGAGACATGAAAATTGACGGACCTCTCCCCGAGAAGTCTCTCTCAAAGCTCGCTCCCGTGATATTCAGCCCTGGCTTCAGAGATGTACAACTTTTTCTTACTTCAAATTTGGCTTGCACTAATCTTCATCCAGTCAATGGCAAATAATGTTCGTTTCATCCCGACGATCTCTCAAGCAATATCCTCTACCTTGCTACGAAACGTGCAGTCCCCAAGCCTGCGGAAGAAATTGATTGGGTTGGCGAATTTAGCAACTTCAACCCCTCAAAAACAAAATATGGGCCCGGCATACGAAGCTAGCGGGTGCCTTGCGGCTGTAGCGCAAGCAAGGTTATGGAGCATGATGCAGAGGAAATTATACGACCCTTCCGAGTCGAAAAAACTGTCTTGGAAGACTTCCTACTCGGCTGATCAAGCCACGGCAATAGAATGCGAGGACCAGCAACCATTCGAAGACCTTTTGGTGCAGGTGAGGGACGAAAATGGTCAAGCTACAGAAGATTTGTTTAAGGGAGACCCGGAAGAGTTAATAGAAGGAGAGTTTAGTGATATAGGTGATGACTTTGAGGATCTCCTTGATGACATTGGTGACGATGATGATGAGCTACTAGAATATTTAGACAAGATCGAGACGGGGCGAATGAAGGCCAGGGAGGATGCAGCTGAGACATCCTTTGACAGCAGCTTCAAAAAGAAGGCCAGTATATTATTGTTTGCGCACGAGACCGCAGATGAATTCATGCTTGTATGATCAGCAGCGACAATGTTGATATATGCCTCGAAGCCAAGTGTAAATTCGCATCATAGCACATAGAGGCTACATGGGTATGGGATTTCGGTTAGTACGTCTTTCGTCTCACGGCTTGGAGTTCCGAATTTGTCCCCATTATGCGCGCTTGGCGTTTGTTTCCAATACAGTATAAGCTACTCCATAACACATTAGTCTCTCTTGAAGTTGGGGATCGGGATACCCAAGGTATTGAGCTATAATCCCCAGGCAATAGAATATCTCACTAGTTGCCAACAACTAAGCTTGGGGTATGGAAGCGAGATGAACCAGCCACAGTCGGTACTACATAGGTACGTGGTGCATCGGGCGAGTCTGCACATAAACTCATAAGCTCATAAGCTCGGATAGACTCTAATCCAAAAGGTTATAAGTAATCACTAAACAATAAGCTCGAATGGATTACCTATCACTGATTCTACTACTGAACATTTAGGGGCCACGCGGGGTGTATTACAATAGCCAACTTGTAAGCAATCACAATTGTTGTTTCTCGCCCAAGTTGCCTGGTCGAAAGCTGTTTGAACAATCGCTTCGGTTTCTGGATCTACTGCACTGATAGCTGGTCGAGATAGAAATGCAACGCTCTCCTAGTTCCAGGTTAGTGGTTAGAACGGCTGTGCCCGTGTACAAATAAGGGCGTCGGCGTCGGCACTCGCCCTCGTCAGCCGAAATGATATCATCCCCTAGGCCAACCCTTACTCGAGTGCTTTTTGCTTCTTTTGGGTCCCTTGCGGGAGTAGTAGAGAGCGAACTCCGACGGTCCCCTCGAGCAGACCTTAGGTTGAGCTCCATGCACCTTGTCTGCCATTCCCCGCTAGCACCTCTCCTGCCAATTTTCATTGCCGACTTAGCCGTTTTGGACGGAGTCGTCGATCCATCAGCCTTGACTACAACGAATAGAAGCCTATTTGATTTATAAGAGCGCCCTTTGCTACCCTAAAATGTATTTCATTCTGCACAATAGTAGTATTATGCCGGCGGCGCAATGTTCGCTCGGACCCTCTTCATGTTCATTGTTCTTATAACCTAGATAGCTGTTACCTGTCTGGTATCGTTTGCTACTTCCTTTGGCTTTCCTTTTCCTACAAGCACTGCCACTAGGTTGGTTGTGACGACATATCCTGGGCGTCCCTTGGATATAGTCATTCTTTCCAACTCGGAAAGAAGACCAGTCGCCACAAGTTCCCTGATGGAACGCCTCGAGCGCATACTCTCCCGCCCCGTTGCCAAACCCTATCGCTCACACGCCATCCACAGTACCCAAGATGTAACCCTAAACAAAGATGGGCACCTCGACTTCGCACCAGGGGACATTGAGAACCCCAAGAACTGGTCAAAAGCCCGGAGATGGTACATCACATCGGTCGCCGTTCTGCTGGTCGTGAACGCCACATTCGCATCGTCCAGCCCATCCGGGTGCTTGAAAGGAATTGCAAAGGAGTTTGATATCTCGCTCGAAGTAGCTGGTTTAGTGGTGACGCTCTTTCTTCTGGGATATTGCTTTGGGCCTCTGTTCTGGGCGCCACTGTCCGAGTATTACGGCCGGAGATGGATTTTTTATATCTCCTTCCCACTATACCTGGTGTTCAACTTCCTGTGCGCATTTGCAAAAAATTTCCCCGCCTTGCTCATAGGCCGATTCCTCACAGGCACGTTTGCAAGTTCGCCGCTGTCAAACTCCGCGGGTGTGCTGGCTGATATTTGGGGTCCTGTGGAGAGAGGGAACGCCATGGCGGCATTTTCTGTCATGACATTTGTAGGACCGGCCTTGGGGCCGGTGATTTCTGGATTTCTGGAACTGAAAGAGGATTGGCGGTGGAATTTCTATGTTCTTCTTTGGTTGGCGGGCATCACTTCCATCTTCATGTTCACACTCCCCGAGACACTACCGCAGGTAGTACTATTGAACAAGGCACGGAGAATCAGAAAATTAAAGACTCCGGGCCATGAAGATTTAAAGGCGCCGATTGAAGGGACTGATCAGAAGCTGTCATCAATCTTCAGGGTAGCTCTGACGAGACCGTGGAAGATCATGATCGATCCTATCTCCTTCTTGATCGCTATCTACCTCTCGACTGTGTATACCCTACTCTACATGCTCTTTAGCATCTACCCGATCGTGTTCCAAGAGAAACGTGGTTGGAATTCGGGAGTGGGTGAGCTACCATTGATAGGCACTATCGTCGGTGCCGTAACAGGGGGGATAATCATATTCTTCTACTCCTCACATCAACAGAAAACAATGCTAGCAGGACAAAAAGGGCGGCCCGAGGATAGGCTCCCGATAGCGATGGCCGGGGGCATCCTATTCCCTATTACGATGTTCTGGTTCGCATGGACAGCGGAATACAATAGCATCCACTGGATTGTGCCGACCATCGCGGGAACGTTCCTCTCCACGTCCATTGTCCTCGTCTTCGTCGCCTACTTTAACTATCTCGCCGATACATACCTCATGTATACGGCCAGTGCCATAGCGGCGAACACAATAGCAAGATCGGCATGTGGTGCTGCTGCTCCGCTCTTCACGAATTACATGTTTAGCGCCTTGGGCATTGCAGGCGGCGGTTCGTTGATCGGAGGGGTTGCGGTGCTATTATCGCCCATTCCATTCATCTTCTACCGCTATGGCGAAGGTATCCGCAAGCGCTCGAAGTTCGCTCCTACGCCAGAAGCGAACGCTAAGTCGCCGGAAGTGCAGCAGAATGATATTCTTTCAAGCAGTAGCACAGATATTGGTGCCGCTAGTGATAGCAATAGGCATTCAGAGAATGGGGATATGAAAGAGTACGTCGCCTTGAAGCCGGGGGCCGCATCTCGTCAGGACAACGACAGGGCAAGTGTTGCGGAACAGCTTCGAGGACCACGAAATTCTTCTGATATAGATGTTGAGAAGGGTGAGCAGCCCAATCTCAAATATACCACATGAATGGCATGCTTGTCAAGTCTGATATCGAACGTATTGGATGCTGGTTTCGCGATGTTCTTCAGCTGCGATGCAGTTATGTTATGCCACTTAGACAGATTAAGACGGCACCGAGGCCTCAATAGAGGTACAATTGAAAATAGGGGTAAAAGGGTTTGGAACAAGAGACCATATAATAGACCCCGGCAGAAAGGTTGGGCCAGGTTGGGTGCTACAAGAAATTGAACATGGTGTTGCAATAATAGTTAGTCTTCGAGGAGCAAGATGGGGGACTATGATAAATCTTGTAGTAGAAATGGAGAGAAAACGGGGCATGAAAGACTGCTTGATATTTATATAATACAGAAACATATATGCTCGTGCCAGAAGAATCTTTCCAGTCTACGAGTCTTTTCGGTTAAATTCTGTTATATGAAGTGTAACTTGGTAGCAAGCAATTGATACTATAGCCGAAGCGAAAGCGCTCCGTATAGCTCCATTGAGAGCCCAGGTACTTGCTGCAAACACTAGTGAAATGTGCTCATAGCTTTGGCTTGATGTTCTTTGCTAAAGCGCTAGCTTCTTTATTGACCACCACGTCACCACTCTTATCACCGTTCCCAAAGAAGATAACTTCGACAGTCAAATCATCCCTATGAAATGTTAACGATTATTCATTTAGGCATGCGCTATGCCGACTTACCGATATCGTCTTGAATATGGCGCTGGCAGCGTCAAAAGCGCGCACACCATGTCCTTATCCTTCCCACCTAACGCATTTCTCACTAAGTGAGTCGCGACGTTCTTATCTTCCACCACGAATCTGGCATTCTCGCCACCTTTCACGCCCCATTGTTGCTGTCTGATTGGCGTTTTCTGACCATCCTTCTCCTTCGAGGCTGTACCCTGTTCGACCGGTAGCCCTTTCTGCTGAGTGGAGAACATCTTGACCCAAGAGTTTCCTACACTTCCATTGCTTTCAGCGGATTGCTTCTCAATCCATTGGCCTACTAGCCCGACCACTTCTTCATTGGTAAGCATTTCCCATAGCCCATCGGTCGCCATCACAACAAAATCCCCTTTCTCGGGTTCAATTTTTGTAGTGGTAACCACGGGTTCGGCGGTAACATAAGGAGGTGTTTGGAGGAGTTGAGATGGTGTCCGCCCAAAGAAAGACCGTTTTAATCGTTCGGAGACTTCGCGAGTCCATTTGTAGGTAGCGTCTCCAAAAGCTCGAGTAGGCTCAAGACCGCCCAAAACTCGGCCATTCCGTATCACATTGGGTTCTCCAGGATGGAGCTTGCGCATTCGTGCCTCCTCATCGGAGTTGCTGCCAGTTTGGTCAACTGATAGCGATGTAGCAGCCCACTTTCCGCTTGCTCCTCGGCGGCCTAGAACCGCTCGAGAGTCTCCTGTGCAAGCCACACGCAAAAGTTTCGAGTTACTATCGTAAAACGAAAGAAGAGCGCAGGACCCTGACAACGCGGGTGCTAATAATTCGGCGGCGACAAGCTTCGAATTTGCCTTCAGGACTTTTTCAACGCTTTCGTGAACGATCTCGTTATCGAGTCGTGTGAATCCCGTCTTGATTGCAGCCTCAATAGCATCGGATGAAGGTGAATCAACTGACGGATCAGCTAGGGCAGCCTTATATGTCGAGTTTAGTTCTCTCGCGACGAAGCTTATCAGCACTTGTCGGAGCTTTGCCGATGTAGTCCAGCCCCTATAAACGGTTATTAAATGATTCCAAAGACCATAGCTTGCACTTACGAATGTCCATCAAATACGCCCCAGAACATCCAGTCACTTGAAGGGTTCCGTGCTGCTGTAGCTGTCGCCAATGCTTCTGGCAGTTCAATTATCTTCTCTGAATGATCGTCCTCGATAGGATCGTTGCTGGCTATTTGAACCACATCATATCTCACGACGCCCTTTCCTCGCCCAACCAGATATGATTCTTCGTTTCGTCGCAATATCTGCGTGGCTTGTTCTGGTGTCAACATTTCCAATACCTTTCTTCCTGCGCCATCCGTGTCTTTGGTAATGGGCTGGTTGCCGGCGATAGCCCCAGTGTATAATGTATCCGGGCCCACGATCACGGCCTTCCTTTCCACCTCTTCGGTCTCCTGTACCGGCTGTGACGAAGGATAGCTCGGCGATGTTGATAACGCCCGGGACTGTTGACCTTGTGCTGTTGATATCGAGTTCAAATATCCGCCTTTTGCTGCCTCACCGCCCTCTCCTTTGTAGGTGTACCAAGCTCCATATCCAACCAGGCCGGAGACGAACGCGACAGAAAACCGTCGGATATACATCGACGATGTTCCTTTCGATGCGGCCTCTATCTTCGAAACCGGTTCGGATCGTCCAGATGCGTGTCGGATGCCTAGAACATGGCTTGAGGATTGAAAGTGTCCACCGCGGCTACGTGAAGCAAGGTTACGAGATGGGCAAATCTGCGCGGTCCGAAATGCTCTGACTGTTGCTCGACGCATTGGATTGTATTTCTGGCGACTGAGAACTGTGTTTGAGCCCCTTTGTATCGACGTTGGTCACGGCTTGAGGCTGAAGGTGCCGCGCTGCTTTAAGGGTGTTGTATCGCAATAGTGAAGCTTGAGAACCCCAACTTGTAAAGGAATGATAGAGTTGCGAAACGAGGGTATCTGTAATTACCGCTTCATTATGTGCGTATTTTATATCACCAAATGTCCATCCCACGCCAGGAAAATGTTGATTCGGGTGAGCTGGCAACCTCCTCAGAGCCTTCAAATGTTCGCCTGCTGGGATGCAACCTCCGCCACAAAAGCGGAATTCTGCCGGCCGTGATGCGTCATGCGCCGAGACCCTTTGAAAGACTTGCAATAATTCTCTAGAATATTGGTACTTGATTCTCAACACTGAAGTCGCAGACATTTGCGAGGGCGTAAGTGCCAGTCTATATTTCCCCCTCGTTCGAAGCTGTTTCTACATTAATTCAATCTATCCGATATCCAATCATGTCGAGTAGGCAACTGCGGAAGCTGCAACAGCAACGCGAGCTCGAACAAGCCAAACTGCAGCCGCAAGCAGAAGCAGAGGCTGAAGAATCCGAAGAGGAGGCAGTCAGACCAACGAGATCCAAGCCCAGTCTATTTGCGAATCTAGCGGCCCTACAAGATGAGGACGAGGACGAAGAGGACGAGGAGGCAGTTGCGAAGGACGAGGTTGACGGTGAACAAAATTTGAATTCGCCGGAATCTAAGCCTGCCTCGTTATCGAAAAAGGCTAAGAAGTCCAAAAAGAAGAAGAAGAAGGCAAAGAGTAAACCTAGCGAGCAGCCTGTCGAACCCGACGATGGCGCGGACGATATTGATGCTGCATTACGAGAGCTAGATCTCAAGAAGCCTTCTGGAACTGCGGAATCGGCGGCAGTTAAAGCGGACCCTGAATACGAAAGGATATGCGCTCTGCTCGGGGTTAGCACGCAGCATCTCAAAGTTGCGAATGAGATGAGGAATTTGTTTGGGCGAACGGCTGCGGATAATCATGATGATGCTGGTGGACCAGTTGGCAGAGGTGGTCGAAGGAGGCAACGTGGTCAGGATCGCAGAGTGGATTTGGAGACGGCATTAAAAGGTCACCATGCCCCTGGAAAGGGATTACCAGAACTCACTTTACGGCGTAATGCTCTAATCCAAGGGAAGGACGATTGGCCAAAGGGAACTACTGGTGGGTTGACCATGGTAATGGTCGATGATCAGCGGGAGAAAGACGGTACTGTCGAATTCCGATATGATCACAACCAATCATATCAAGCACTTCAGCAGGCATTTAATGGGTATGTCCAAATGGGAGATCCTGAGAACTTAATAGGGCTCCTGGTACGAAACCGTAGGTCATATCGTAGCTTTTAAGTTACTTCCTTCATGCTAACATATCTCAGCCTACCACATATCACTACTTATACAAGTGAGCAAAGTCGCCAAAGATCAGTCGGATCACTCTCTATCTTCAGATTTACTCGAACGTGCCCTATTTACTTTCGGCCGAGCAGCGACATCACTCTTCAACACCCAGTTATCTGCAGGCAAAGCCCGCCTAGACTTCCTCAGACCGGAGAATAGAGAGCTATGGCTTGCTGGGTATCAGTACCTGAAAAGCCTAGTGATGAAGGGTACCTATAGGACGGCGTTGGAGTGGGCAAAGCTTCTACTTAGTCTAGACCCGGAAGAGGACCCTTACTGCATGCGGCTTATGATACACCATCTTGCACTTCGAGCTCATGAGTTCAACTGGCTCTTGGACCTTTTTGAGAGTGCCTTACCAAAAATATGGAACCTTTCAGATGACGACCATGGCACTGCCATGTCCCACTTCACTCCGTCTCTGGCTTTTGCTGCACTTCAGCTTAGAGAAGCGGCCCAATGCAGGCAACTACTCGCGGAGTCAATGCAAAAAGTCCCCTGGCTCTTCTGCCGACTTTTCAAAGACCTGGATCTTGCTGCCCCACCCTCAATCTGGGGTGTAGAGCCTCGGACGGATGCGGAATGTCTCTTGACCGAGATATACGTGCTGCAAACGAAAGATTTATGGAATACGCCAGAGGCTACTTCTCTTTTAATGGAAGTGGCACACACCATTTCAAAACCCGATGTCGACTCCATCCCGGCAGTCAGAAATTCCGAGATGACTCTAGATGTCGTTAGGTTCGTTTACTTAGACAACACTCCCGCATTGATGTCTTTAGCACCATCGGATCTTCTTCATCGGGAGAACAACTCGGATGCTGATCCTCTTCCGCCTGATCACAACATCTTCACCTACGAAAGCCAACGAAGGGTTTTGGAACGCCATGATGATGTGCAGGGCTTAGGTGGAGATATGTTCGATCCCATTGCAGCATTGGCCCGTCTGTTACCTGGTCTACGGCCGCGTGATGGTGAGCAGGGAGAAGACGATGATAGTGAAGACGACAATGAGATGTTGAGGAGAGAGTTCGAGGAGGCGGTGACGGCAAATGAAGAAGAAACTGGCCATGATCGTGGTGCTCCTATACCTGTATCTCTCGCACGGAGACTGTTGGATATGATATGGCCCGCGCCTCAGCATACCGATTCCGATGATGATGGGCATGGGACCGATGATGATGATGACGATGATGACGACGATGATATACCAGACCTGGTAAGGCTATAGTGAACTGCTTTTGGGGCCGCAAAGGACATCCATAGATCCAGCGGTCCCCAGATGCCCAAGAAACAATTACACTGCATCTTGCTCTATTCTCGAGGCATTTTTAGACTCGCCTTGCCCTCTCGCGTGGACCGCATCTATATCTATGTGTATCGGGCCCATCCGGAGACCATCCATGTCCTGGCTCTTACAGCGATCGCATCATCGACTACACCGAAGACGTGCATTGCCTAGCATTGCATACCTAGAACCCGGATATGCTCAACGTCTAGCTAGGGATGAAAGCAGGCTGAAACGCCACAGGAACTTGCGCATCTGGAATTCACCTTATCGGACGGCAATACTAAAACTGTAGCCGATCAATTCAACCCAATACTCCGCCTGACGCTCCGTATCATAGACACCCGTAAAATAGAGTAACCTTTAGATTGTCATGAGCACGTTTCAGAGAATCGTCGAAACAGCTCGAGCTTTGTTGGTGCGGCCCGATGCGACCGTTGGTGGGGTTGAGTGATATCTGCTCCGTGAGGCTGCGGTGCAGTGCTCATAATCTGAATGCGGTGCCGGGACCCGACGGGAGTATCGATTATTTGTAACATAGAGGCATTATTGCGTTGTGACCACGTTCCAACTTTTGTGATTAATATAGATATAAAGGGCCTACGTCTTCACTCACCTCCCCTTCAAATTCCGACCAGACCGCCTCCTCCCACCTACAATCACAAGCAACCACATCATCCCTGCGCCTTAGCCAAACATCATCCCTCTTCTCGCGACTTCATCCCACCTCGTCGCACCAACACAACTTCACCCAAAAACAAAGCAATCCCCGGGAAGAAACAAGTCAAAATGGCGGAGGTCGCAGAACACAAGTACAAGTTCGATATTGCCATGTCCTGCGGCGGATGCTCGGGCGCTGTAAATCGCGTGCTTGGCAAACTTGAAGGTATGATCTTCTATCTCTTTCCGGCGGTCCGTCGCCCATGCGCTCAGAGTCGCGTGGAAAAGACAAGAATGAATGCACATAAACAAGGCGAATATATGCTGATATGTATGTCTGGTGCCAGGCGTCAAATCCTACGACGTTTCCCTCGATACCCAGAGTGCAACCATCGTTACGGAGCCATCGCTGAGCTACGAGAAGGTGCTGCAAACGATACAGAAGACCGGGAAGAAGGTTACAGGTGGCGAAGCTGATGGGGAGAAGAAGGGTGTTGAGCTGGTGAAGGATGAGTGAGAGGGTGGTGACAGTTAAAGGAGGTGCAAATGGTTAGCAAATGGGATGGCCAAACCACATGAGATACGGACTGCACCGAGGCATTTGAACCGTTACGAATTATGATAGGGTTTGGGTTAATGCGAAGCGTTTCTATGACTTGGTATTATCTGGGGAAGGCCGACGTGTGTGATGTTTTACTGCCATCGAAGGTAGCAGGTAGGCAGTTACATTCCAGATTCCAATCCATTGCTCTCATCTCCAATTTATCACATCTCGCAACTACTTTCAATGGCAAGGCTTGGACTAGTACAGCCAAGGAACTGCTACGACAGGGCCGAAGCAAAAGCAAGACATCACGAGAGAATCAACAGGATGTTCTTTTTTGACTTCGTGCCACCCCTGTCCCATTCTCTCCCAGGGATAGAACATCAGGCCTCTTCTGTTTTCAACTTCGTCGTGTAAGGATTCGTTCCGCATGCTATTTAGATGCATTCACATACGTCGGACTTTTCAAGTGAAACGGAATGATGGCATTGTCATAATACTTGCAAAGAGAGGAAGAGCCGAGCTGGATAATGAATATCTATTTGAAAATAATATCGAGGTCCTGAAGAGCCGAGGAGGACCAACCAGGAACACCAAGATACCTTTTGGAGCACAGCTTACAAGAATAAGGTGCTTGTACATTTCCATTGTATTTTGTAGAGATAGTAAACACTGCGTCAAACGATACAGCCGATACAAGCAAATGGATTACATATTAGTAATCCTGAAGGTGCCTCGGTCCCCCGCATTCGCTACTCCAGAAGACGAGCCACCCCCCATGTGCGAGACCCTGCAATAACAACAACCCGCTCTACTTTATATGATGTACATTATGTGCTCCTGATCCTTCATTCTGTTTCAACTCGGAGCTGCATTACCTGGGTCCTTGCCACTATATTAAGTATTAAGTACCCCACTACCTATCAGCCATTGAAACCTCTTTCCCTCAAAACACTTCTCACATCGCACCCAACACCCCGCCACCATGGTTATCAATCGCAACCAGCCATGCTACGTCCTCGGCGTGGGCATGACCAAATTTATCAAGCCAAGGGGAAAAGTCGATTACACTGAACTCGGGTATGAGGCAGGCGTCAAGGCTATGCTCGATGCCCAAATCAACTACGACGATGTTGACCAAGGTGTGGCATGCTATTGCTACGGCGACTCGACCTGCGGACAGCGAGTCTTCTATCAATTTGGCATGACCCAAATCCCCATCTATAATGTAAACAACAACTGCTCAACTGGCTCCACCGGCCTGCACATGGCGCGAAATATTATCAGTCATGGAGGTGCTGATTGCATGCTCGTAGTCGGCTTTGAGAAGATGATGCCGGGAAGTCTGCAGAGCCACTGGAGCGACAGGGCCAACCCGACTGGTACCACTGGGCAAATGATGGTGGAAACTCGCGGTATCACAAATGCCCCAGGAGCTGCCCAAATGTTTGGCAATGCTGGTCGGGAATACATGGAGAAGTAAGTACATCTAACGTCCTTCCCTGACAAATTAATCGATCCATTCTAACAATTACCCAGGTACGGTGCCAAAGCAGAAGACTTCGCCGAAATTTCCCGCGTGAATCACGAACACTCCCAACGGAACCCATACTCGCAATTCAAAGATGTCTATACTCTCGAGCAAATCCTACAATCGCCCATGATCCATGAACCCCTCACCAAGCTCCAATGCTGTCCCACCTCCGACGGAGGCGCCGCCGCCGTTCTAGTCTCGCAAGATTTCCTCGATGCCAGACCCCACCTTAAAGACCAAGCTATCCTGATTGCAGGCCAGTGTATGGCAACCGACGCACCTTCTCTATTTTCAAAATCCGCCATCGACCTTATGGGATTTGAGATGACTAAGTATGCTGCCAATATAGCAATGCAGGAAGCCGGCGTTACTCCTGATGATGTGAATGTCTGCGAATTACACGACTGCTTCTCGGCCAACGAGATGATCGTCATCGACGCCCTTGGACTGAGTCCGCCTGGAAAGGCCCATGAGCTCGTCCGAAAAGGAGATATTACCTATGGTGGAAAGTATGTCATCAACCCCTCTGGTGGCCTAATCTCCAAAGGCCATCCTCTCGGCGCGTCCGGTATCGCGCAATGCGCAGAACTTGTCTGGCATTTACGAGGATGGGCAAATAACCGCCTGATTCAAAATACCAAAGTTGCCCTACAACATAACCTGGGTCTTGGTGGTGCCGTCGTTGTCACTGTATATAAGCGCGCAGACGGACAGCCTGCAAAGGAGGTTGGCTCCGCAGAGGTGGGCAAGAGGAATAAATTGGGATATAACCCTGCGGTGGAGGCGAAGGGGTTTACTGAAGCCCAAGCTAATAGTGTGAGGAGTAAGACGAAGTCTAGCGCTTGGGCGTTGCAGGATACAGCGACCAAGGTTCAGTCGAGATTTTAGGTAGTATATAGTTTGTATAATACATTTTTGGATGACTTTCGGTCTAGTATCTAGGTGACGAGTTGCTATGTGCATATCAGTTTTCTATTTTTGCTTCATCTTGTCGTCTTCGAGGAGTGTTCTCTCAGTTAGCGCTGAAGCATGCATACACCCCATCCCATCTCTTATTTTCATCTATATTATAGCTGAATAAAGTCTTGGAAGGAAGATTCAAGTACTCCAGCTATTGTACTACTCTCAAGCTCCATCTTATATATGCGCTTGAGGCGTTGAATTCCTCATATACAAACGTGCCGGTATCGACGCCCACGAATATTAAAAGAAAGTTCTTTTTCTATTGTGTTTAGAACTTTAGTTCGCTATTCCATATTACTTTTATCCTTCCCCAAGTACAGTTCCAATTGACCAAATCAACGTTTCGCAAGTGCAGTTGTAATTGACAAAAATCAAAGCCCCTTTCCCGTTCCCATTCCCAACCGCAAGCCCAATTTGCATAGTCCAATATTACATGACTTGCCTAACACACCTTTCAACTCTCTTCACCACCATATTCCGATGCCTAATGAAGATTATTAATCATCTGTTCCACCAAATTCACAACCACCTGAACAAAAATCCCAAGGGGATCTGCAGTCAACAAGGGACCCAGATTGAAGCCACCGGACGATCGTTTACCCAACATCTGCATCTCGCAGGCACCTCCTGTGGCATTTTCAAACTTGGCCTGCAGTCCAGAGGTGGTGTTCGCGATACCCACGAATCTGCAGTTATTATCCTGCCCAGGGGCTGTGGAACCGCTGTCTCGCTTCTGCGGGGCAGTGAAGGCTTCATTTGTGACGTGGGTGCGGTTCCAGTGAAGCAAGCTTGAAGGGATGAAAATTCCATCAATACCATGGACCTCTTCGGGTGCTGATGGGGCTGGCAGTGCAGATACCGCCATACCAATTTTAAAAAAAATACACATTAATACTTGTCACGTTTGCGTTTGGTTTTTTTTTTTGGCGGGGGGGTTATGACGAAGGGGGTTTTTGCTTACACAAATATAAGGCAGGCTCCGAGCACGAGGAGGAGTTGGCGTGGTAAATGCATTGTGTAGTGTAGGTGGTAGTGATGTATTACAGTGAGTATTGTGGCAATGGTGCAACGGAATGAAGAGGTGTGCAGAGATTCTTGGAGGGTATTGGAGACTTTGGATGAGTGGGATATTGGAAGGCGATTGGGACTTGTGACTTTTCTTGAAAGATGAGGGCACGGAGGAAATGGGGAACGTGTGTGGATGATGTCCTGGGATGGAGGAAAAGGCGCTGTCTGGGATTTTATAGCCGCAAACCTTTGAGTATCAATCCCCAAGGTACGAGGGCTTGCATATTGTTGTGTTTTGTGCCCTACCTACCTTAGATGGGTGCATTCATACCGAGGGAGTGAGTAGAGAAACATCTCTCAAGGTAGTCGATTAACAGACGGGCCGGGCCAAATTGGATGCAACTATGTTAGGAGTTAAGGTACTTAACCCGAGTAAAGGGGCCTTGGCTCAACCCTGGTATGCCATTTCTTTCTTGCGTGGTTATGGTCGAACAAGACACTCAGGGTTCACGGTAACACTAAGAGGAACTATAAGTACCTAGGTAGGGTTAGGTTTAGAGATTATGCCCGGGGAACCTAGATAGCTAGAGTACCTTTAGGCAATGGACCCTAAAGGGTTAAACTATAGGTTGTAAGGCACGGCCCGAGCCTGACTACGTACCTTACTAGGTAGGCACTATGCAGAGGAAGTCTTCAAGCCTCTAAGGATAACGAAATATTTCCAACAAGCAGCTTGTAGATCAAGTCATAGATTCATCGTTTATTACCGTGCTATCTAGCTACGTCTGTTCGTATTCCAACGCCGCCGAAGCTGGGATTCCGTATATCACCCACTGTTACTTATATCCTGAACGTCGTACCTCGAAATGCCGTCTATGGCATGATATTGTTGCTTCCGTAAGTCCACTCACCTCGCCCTTGATATGCCATACAGACGGGCTGGATATTGACGTAGCTTTTCCCCCGACTATTCAATCCAATCCCTCCATGACTCCATGACTCCATGACTCCATGAACAACTGTATGATTTTAGAATAAAGGCGGGTACATATAAGATCCGAGTCGTTTGAGGATGGGGGAGACTCTGTCACTCATTACCTTCCACACTCTATGGTTTCAACCAGGTAAGCAATGTCTCCCGTAAGAGGGGAAGTCTAACAGGCTTTTGAATATAACCATCCATTCCTTTGGCCAAATACACCTCTGCATCACCTTTTAATGCGTTCGCTGTCATTGCAATAATCGGTATGGTCAAGCCAGCGTTCCGGATCTCGCGCGTAGCGCCGATCCCGTCCAAAACCGGCATGCTGATATCCATAAGTATAAGGTCAAACATTTGCGGGTTCTCTATCACGAGTTTCGCCGCTGATGCTCCTTCCAAGGCCGTGTCGACTTGTTCAAAGCCAAACTTTTTTAACACCTTCAGCATAATTCTCCGATTGACGTAGTTGTCTTCGGCGAGTAAAAGGCGCTTTCCTGGTGCAATTTGTTTTAGTAATGATCCCGGATCGTCCGGTGGTGAGATGTTGACTCCCTCCATCTGCTTCTCTAATTCATCAACTTGCTTTGGTTTGTTTATCTTCTGTATTTTGGTGGTAAACCAAAATATGCACCCGTGTGTGTCGGAATTCGGGCGAAACCCGATCTCGCCACCCATCAACTCTACTAGGCTTTTGCAGATAGTTAATCCGAGTCCAGTTCCCTTGTATCGTTTTGTGGCTGAATTGTCAAATTGATTAAATGGAGTGAATAATGATTTGACGCCATGATCTGGGATACCGATGCCCGTATCAGTAACCTCAGTGAGGATGGTGTATGAGGCTTCATCATCACATGCGACCGATACATCGATCTGGATAGAGCCTGCGTCTGTAAATTTTGCAGAATTCGCCACGAGATTCTCAATGATCTGGCGATAGCGGAGGGGGTCGCCCTTGGCAGATCCGGGGGTGTTAGGGCTCAGCGAAGACTCCAAGGTAATACCAGGCTTGAGGGTAGGTCTAATGCTTCTCACAACAGAAGTGATGATATCTGGGATGCTGATTACATCAAGGGATATAGAGAAGACGCCAGAAGCAAGTCTCGAATAGTCGAGGATATCATTGATAACTTGCAAGAGGACAGAACCCGACTCGTTGATGATACCTCCAAGTTCCCGCTGTTCCTGGGTCAGGGGTGAGTCCATGAGCAGGGTGAGTGCTGTAAGCATCCCATGCATCGGCGTCCGGATCTCATGGCTCATGTTGGCCAGAAATGCGGACTTGAGTTTCTCTGATTCCTCGTATGCCGAAATCAAGCGAGATTCTGCAGCTTTCCGCTCCGTAAGATCGCGAGTGACTTTGCTGAAACCAATGTGCATGCCCTTCCGATACACGGACGTTATTACGACATTCGCCCAGAAACGTGAGCCATTTTTACGATACCGCCAAGATTCATCCTCCACCTTGCCCTCTCGTAAGCATATCTCTAGTTCTTTCTTCGGCTTCTGCGCCTTGATGTCCTCATCGCCATAGAATGTAGAAAAGTGATGACCGATGATTTCCTCAGGTTTGTATCCTTTCATGAGGGTGGCAGTAGCATTCCACGTCTTGACATTCCCCCTAGTATCCAGCATGAAAATTGCATAGTCCTTTACCGTCTCAACTAGGATTCGGTAGGTGTCATTGACGTCCAGTTCGCCGCCGGAGGGTTCGGTTTGGTGACGGGCCACATTAACCTGGGCATACAGGGCAATATATGCAAGTTTGCTATCCTGAAACACAGGAACCACGCGGAGACACCAATATTTCTGCCCGGTACTGTCTATATCTGCGGTGGCATAGGCGTCTTGCTTGGTGAGAGCATTGTGAATGGCATGTCTCCACGAGTCTGGCTCGGGGACAAGACCGTGCATCTTAATAGCATCAAAGACATCCAGGCCGGCAAATTGGTAGTGGTAGTGGCAGCCATCGATGGGAAGGAGGGAGTTCAGGGCTAGGTAGCTCGCGGATATTTGTACGATGCGCATTGAGGAGTCGACGACAATATCTGCACCTGGACGGTCTAGGGGGCGGTCAAGGGGATGGGCAGCTGCACCGTCCGCAACCACATCGCCTTTCACGTCTACATTGGTCGTAACCCATTCCTCCTTATTCACGCCAGCCTGCGCATCTGTCGGCTCTGGCGTATGTGCGGCCATAGGCTTCGGCGGGGACTCTAGAGCCTCACGGTCCGGCATGATCAGAAGCGGACGTCGAAGTGGAAAGTGGTAACCGAAGCCCAGCGGTGGTCTCCCCAAGGAGGTCAAGCCTAGGCCAGGAAGGCTCTAGACTTCAGATCCAAGATCCAAAGAGCGAAGAAGGAGCGTGGGCTTGGTTTAGATAAGAACGAAGGTAGAGGAGAGGTGGATTTATGGTCTGGACTTGTCAGCGCAAATGCGACTGCGCTAGGCTGGAGATTGGACTTGGATGTCGTAAAGGATGCAACCCAGCCGGCCGCCAGTACAGCATTGTAGCTGGGTAAGGTAAGGTACGCATATAAGTTAAATACTCTGGGGAAATGCCACGGTGCTTGCAAAGTATCTTGGAAGTAACCATGACGTCAAACGCTAGTCGTGGAGGGCGACATAGAGATAGATAACGGGATACATACATGTACCTCGGTGCAACCACAGCCACAGGCACAGACAGCCCATGTTTGGGAGGGGAGTTTACGGAGGTGCAACTACAAATTAACGATAACATTGTCTTCTTCAAGGGTAATATATGGACACAGCTATTGCTGCCTATTGCTGCCAAAAGGGTGCTGCCTGCGTACGGAGCCTGACTGCGAACAGCGTCGCGTACGCAGTGGTTCTGTGGTTCCAAGCGGTGAGACAAGGTAATAAGGGTAGCTTACGGAGGGCGCCAGAAGGTAACATTGAGGCTTGAGGTACTCGTACTGTACGGAACAGGTACTCTCTAAGTAGCGACTGTTGCCTTGAATTTAAGGCGAGGAAAACTGTGTATCTGCACCCTGCTTATTATTCTCGGGAATTTCAAGGAATCTTCATAGTGGCATCCAGTTCTAACGTGTCCCACGTCTCCCCAAGCAGCAGAACAGGTCCATTACGGTACTAGTGAATCAGTCATGCCTGCGATGTTTATCCTAATGCTCGTCTCGTGTACGCACCCATCATATGTTCTACACCAGCGCATCCACTTCCCTACAATTGAATGTACAGGTCATCGGCAACGCGCAAGATGCAGCCCATGGCCTTTGTTACTCATTGTCCAGATGACGGCCTAAAACACCGAATCGTCTTTCTTTTTTGTATGGCCCTGCAAGCTTGTGGGTGGTTATCTATTAGAGGAGAAAAAGTGATGATTAGTGCTTTCTTGGTCACTGCTAGACCCCAACATCGACGCAATAAAAGAAGTCCCCCTAGTGGCTGAGACACAATGCTTCCCCCCCATCCCTCATCTCATTGTTTGGTTAATTGATATTGAAAGTGCTTTCTAGTTCCCTTGTTGATCCATTTATTTTCTTCTCTTCTGCATAGTTCCGTTTGAATAAAAGCCAAACAAACACGCTGTACAACCAATGCGATCATCAACACAGACGACGACGTGTAAGTTTAAATATTTCGAGCTTCCCCCTTACACATAACCTCCTACTCATAGCCCTTACACATACCCTCTAGCACTAACACTAACACCACTACTACTCCTACCCCACCAGCATGGAGCCACAAGTCCCTTTCGAACGTATGCCAACATTGGGCGAGTCGGTCACGCAGTTGCTCTCTGGGTTTACCACTTGCATCGAGCTCTGCTACACAATTGAGAAAAATGGACGTCTGGGTGCATCACAAGGTGCTTTTCAGGAATTGCAATTAAGGCTCGAGCATAGCGCCCAGGAAATCCAAATTGTATTCGACGCCCTACGGGACTACGTTGGGTCACTGATGGAGCTCGGCGACGTAGAAGCTCGCAATTGTCTGAAGGAATCAATTTACTTGATGCAATTCCGGGTTCAACGAAAACTGGATGGTATTGCCTCCGGGCGCTCCGACAGAACTTCGCATAATCCTGAGTTGCCGGGATTTAGAGATTTGCGGAGCCTAGTGGAAACGGTTGAAGATAATGTAACACAGGATCTGGAAGCGCAAGCCCAGAGATTGCAGGACAGGCTGGCCAGAGCACGAGCAGATATCTTGGCCGAAGAGAGAGCCAGAACAGGCTAGGGCTAAAGTGCTGTGTTCGGTGGAGGATGTTGATGGGATAAAGTTTGAGCCAGTATATGTATGCAATCTAGATATTCTTTCCTTTTAACAGCTTTTTTCCTTTGTTATATATTGCCCACTTCTAGAGAAATATACCCTTAATAAAATAGAGATGCACATTAACCTAAACTTCAAACGTCCCTCTTAATTATTTATAGTGCTATGTCTCAAGCTCGCTAGGCAGATGTAAATATTGGGGGCGATCGCTCCATGCAATTGCTATTATTGCTCAAGCCAGACGTGAGACAGCCAACGGGGAAAGGGGGAGGTGGCACGTGATACCGCCAAGGCCACGCCCGGTGTGGCTTCATTAGGCAGCGACTAAATACTAAGGTCATGGCACTGGCAGTGCTGGCCCTCCTGTACAGCCCCAAGCGGAGCTGAAAACAGCATGATATCAAGACCTAGGAACGACATGGATTCTTTTCCGCACCTACTTAACATCAAGTCTAGCATCATCACCATCAGCATTATCCCCATCAACATTTTGCTTAACCCAAATGAAACAGGTGGATCCTGTGCCTTGTCGCCACTCCATCAACCGCAACCACAGGTACCTCACTTAAACACCCCGCCATGTCCAACCTCTTTCCAGCGACGAGCTTCTCAGACAGCTCGCCCCAGAGTCTAGACGCAGGAAACCAGATGTTATGGACCCCGGATCATTCCCCAATCCCAACAGCGTCCGCTGCTGAGGTCGAGTTCTCGCGTAATGACAATGATGTGGGTAACAACAAGAAGAAGTCGGGGCGAAAGGGGCATACAAAATCTAGAAAAGGATGTTTCAATTGCAAAAGAGCTCGGATTAAAGTATGAGCCTTCCTATTCTTAATGCCTATTTAGTAAGAGAGAATCAGAATAAAGACTGAATATATATACAGTGCAAAGAAAACCGCCCCTCATGTGACTATTGTGCGCACCGAGGCCTCCGGTGTGAATGGCCCGATATGCAGGTCCAAATGAACATGAACCAGGCCAGGTCAACTGTGCGGGATACAGCTGCCCTTGTGTCCTACTCTCAATCGTCCTCCTCCCCTTCGTCCTCATCCTACTGTTCTCCCTCCTCCCTGGTGCCGCTACAAGTACACGGCGGTTCCCCGGTCCTCAACATGAGGGATTTTAGATTTTTCCATCACTTCATCGAGTCAGCCTATCCACATCACCCCATTGGGAATGATTCTGTTTGGAAGCATGAGATTCCTATTATTGCTTCAGATGTACCTATCCTTTCTTTCCCCCGTATATTTTACGTTATATTCGATAGGCTAAGCCGATTGCTAATGCTCTTTTTCAAATGACAGTATGACTATCTCCTCCACTCCATGCTCGCCCTCGGCGCCTCAGACCTCGCGGACCACGAGACCGACCCCTCTAAGGCCAGCGAACTGAAGTGTGCCGCAATGTCCCACCGTGTGCAAGCCATCAGCTCTCTCAACGCCGGGATTTCCGCCGGGCTGACGCGTTTTGAGCAGGGAAACGCCATGCTTGCAACTTGCTTCGCGCTCCTCTTCCAGTCGGTGCTCCTCAGCGATGGCTTAGCAGAGTACATGACTTTCATCCGAGGCACTGTTGCCGTTGGGATCCAGATGGGGATGAAGGGTATGCATGTACTTTTTGACCGGCTGTTTCATGGTCGGGAAATGGAAATTGTTGATCCCTTAATTACAAAGGCGCCGCTTATTACGCCGCACTTAGCCAGAGCTGCGATACGGAGTTTGGAGAAGGTTGGGCCATTGTGTAAGAGCGTGGTCGAGGTTAAGCTCTATGGCATGTTACTTACTACGGCGCGGGCGCTGGTTACTTCTTCCCGGGACGGTAAGTCTTCCCTAACCTCAATTACTCCTTCAAAATCAGTCACAGTGCTATTCTAAACCTTCTCGTATGATGACGCTAATATATGCCCGTTACTACTACAGCATATTTGGAACTCGGCAAGATCTACGGCGCTTTTTCCTATTACATGCCACACAGTGAATTCGCGGAACTAATCAACCCCTCAAACCTCGTCTGCCAAGTTCTACAAGCACACTTTGTCGCTTTGCAGCTTACCATGACGCCAATCACGAGTCAGGAGTGGGCGGGAAGAGAGTCGAGTAAGGGAGGCGGTGGAGACACCCTTAGGTGGTTTACCGTGCTGCACCGGAATGTGCCGGACGAGATGATGAAATATTATGAATGGACAATGTGGGTAGAGAGTGAGGTTAGCGCTGGGAGGATCTTTAACGGGGTTGTGGCGATTGACGAGAGTATGGAAGAGCTGCATATTATAGGCGAGTGATGGATGTATGTTTTTATTTAGAGGCGGAGTTGGGGTTCCCGGGTTGGAGTTCTGGAAAGGAAGCGCGGCACTGCGCAGAATATATTATATATTATAGGTACTCTGCTGATTCGAAAATCAACACCAGTCATTACAGCGTTTCCGCCCAACGTGCAGAAAATCGTATCATGCCTACCTACCTAGGTAATATTTCCCAAGTTCCCCCACACGCGTTCCCGGCCCGCTTTGCCTTCAATTAAAGAACTTTTAGGTATCCAGCTCTGATATGTCTCACAACACCAAATTTTTGTGCACCAAACTGCAACCATCAAATCCACCATCCTTTCCTCAATGCCTGGCTCAAAGTTCAAACCAGGATTTTCACTCAGTCCCGACGGGTTTTCCTTCTCTTTCCCTTTCTTGCTCTTCATAGTAACTTCGTTCACTTCCCTCGCCACAGGCTTACCATCCCCATCTTCCCACTTGCCGCTTCTGCCTTTCAACATGACTTTGTTCTTGAATTTACACTCCCAGTACTTTCCACGGAGACCAGACTTCATTTGAATGGTTCCAGAGCCTGGATAGGTACTCCGACGTTTCCCTTCCAGCTCAAAGAGTAGGTTGCTCATTGGAGGCCTTGTGAATGAATAAAGATCCTTGTCAACGAGCTTGCTAGGCGCTCCACTTGCGCGCTCAGGGGTGCGGATAGATCGGCGGAGTGTGATGGAGTTACCCATAGAGTTTAATGTATAATTCAGAGAGTATAATGCTGTCGCTGGGACGACGTTGGGAAATATAAGGTCTTTATCCAGGGTTAAGGATAGTGGACCAGATGCGGCGGGTGACGGAAGGTGCTCCGGAATTGATGGGGCTGCTTCTGGGTATGGGGTGTTCCGGGGAGGCGATGTATATGTTTCTGCAGTGGGTGGTATTTTAGAGGTGTTTCCTTCGACATCTTCTCCTTCAGATGGTATTCCAGTCCCATAGTTTGGGATTGGACTGTTGCCAGTATAAAGTTCGTCTGCTGAATGCTCAGCATACGTGGGAACAGCTGCTGCCGCTTCAGCAGCTTTTTCCGAGGAGCCAAAGCGGTCGGTCATAGTTACTATATATTAGATGAATCGGTAGGAAATTTGGATTAAAAGCTGGGGAATCCTTCCGTACACATCAAAAGATTGGGATCTGCAAACTCGTTGTGGCTGTGCGGAGCAGGAGAACGTCGGAAGCTTGCATCGAGGCTGAGCACCTTGCACCAAGTCTCCCAAGCCAATAAGATAACACTATTATCTCCCAAGGCTTTGCGGCCTGTAGCTCAGTCCACAGCCACCTACGAGATCGCAGGATTCCTATCTGATGTCAATTTAAAGTTCAAGGGCGTTGGGGAGTACGAGGCTACGAGCATAGTGGGGCGCATGGACGACCTCAAATATTCTCGTGCTAAAGCATCGCCCCAGCAGAGACGAACGTTTTCTAAACCTCTCTAGATATCGTGATATTACTCTGTCATAATCTCTTGGTTACGGCCTTTACCCAGACCCTCTCCTTGGAATACTCGTCAAAATTTTGAACGCCCAAAAATTAGGATCGATTCAGGAGAGGCTTGGCGGTCATTATCAAATTCGACGCAGACCTTTCGTAACTCCACCAACATATGGCACATATGCGTACGATGTCCTCCTCCCTTGGCTCCAGGCCGCCCTCCATGGGGCCATGCTCGCTTAGATCCTTCGGATGACGACGTGATTTGCTCCAATCGTGGGCCTACAGCATGATGGGTACAGATTGGTATACTTCGTTGTCTGTAAGATATAATCCTAACTAAGGAATAGCCATAGCCCATGTAGCCGACTCAGCGCTTGTAGGGAGATTAGCCATTCGACAAACAGCTTGTGATCATTTCAAAACAAGCAAAGGCGTCTCAAATAGCAAGAACCAAGAAGTAGAGCACGGCGGTGCTTGTATAGCAAACTGTATATCTACGGAGGTACGGAGGTACGGACGGAGCTTAGGTACGAAGTAAAGCGCTAAGACGCATCTAGCTACCTCACATCGATCACGTGCAGCTCACCAGAGCTCAGGGATCCGACACGAACTAAATTTGATCAACTACAGCTATGGAATTCGAGATTCCCATTGCCCTCAAGCAACAACCTATATTTCGTATATAATATAATGATCCATCCCGCTGCGCCCGAGCCACTTGCAGGTACGGCCGCCAGCCACGGTTAATCCCGCCGTGAACATCTTTACTCGAACAAGACATTCCAATCCAGTTCCTCGTCGTTGAAGCGTTCAACTCTATGTGCCTCCGTCTCCGCAAACCGCGATTGCTCGCGTCTTTCCCAACAGAAGTACATCCTTCTGTCGCCACCTCCACCGGGGTGTCTAGCACGGGAGAGTGTCTTTCCAAGTAGATGTCTAGGTACCTAGGTACTGTAGACTTCTAGAACAGACAGAAATCACAATTCGCCCCACAGCGAGCCAGATCGCGTGCTGACAAACTAGACCGCGCAAAGCACCACTGAAAGGCACCTAGACCAGGCTGAAGATTAAGAAGTGGGAGAGGAGAGTTAGGCATTGAAACCGCTCTTGAACTCTCTGCCTGCCCGGGCCACAGGGGAATGCTTTCAGCTTGAGTCTCAGAACAATGCCACGTTCCCTCCTACCCAAGTCCGAGGCGATGTCCTCGTCCCCGTCCCCGTCGCTGGACGCGGCGTTTGCTGGTGGCGAGGCACCCCCAAAGCGTCGCTGCATTTCCAGTGCCTGCATGCCATGTCGGAAGCGCAAATCAAAGGTAAGTGGCCTGGTTGTGACGACATCGAGATCTTCCTTTTTATATCTGCTATATTGAACTGCGGAGCACTGATTACTCCATCGCCTTACAGTGCGATGGGCTTCAACCGGCCTGCCATGCCTGTACCACCGCGTATCACTCAGAATGCTACTATGATATCGATAGTGACCATCGGCGGAAGGGAGCCTTGAAGCGCGACATCGCCCAATTGAAGGAAGACCTTGGCCCTCGAAATGCCATTCTGGATGCCATCAGAAAAGGCTCCGAATCCGTTGTCGATGATATAATTGAATTGATAAGGTCTAATCCGGATGAAAGCTGGGATTCTATAGCTGAGCGTGTGGAAACCCCCAGCTTCGGTGCGACGGAGAAGGCGCCGCTGTCTTCGTATCTTGAAGGGGAGGTCGATAGCTTCTCGGTGAAGGCATTGGCAAAACCTGGGGACAGTCGGCAGTATGGGCATACCTCGAATCTCTCATCGCTCCTAGATGATGATATTGCGCCAGTATCGGAAATCAGTCAGTGCGGGGCTTGGACGAATGTGACGGACAATGAGGACCTCATCAAACACCTTTTGGACGTGTACCTTGCGTGGTCTCATCCATTATATATGCTCTTTTCCGAGGAAGCCTTCTTATACGGTATGCAGGAGCGAAAGCTCAAGTACTGCACCCCTTTGCTGGTCAATGCCGTCCTGGCTGTTGGATGCCATTTCTCAGACCGCCCAGAAGCCCGAGCCGATCCCAACGATACCTCAACCGTTGGTGGCCACTTCTTCGCTGAGGCAGTTCGACTGTTTCAGGAAAACGGTCGGCCGTCCCTTACCAGTGTCCAAGCTCTCGCTGCAATGTCACTTCATCAGGCCATGAACAATAATGACAGTAGTGGGTGGCTCTACATGTGCCAAACAATTGGCATGGTGATTGAGCTTGGCCTACACACAAACCAACCTACTCAATCGAACGGGGAGATGATAGAATTAGAAGCTGCGGCACGCAGAATCACGTTTTGGGGGTGTTATTTTCTTCAGACTGCTTGGGGAATGTGCGTTGGACGTATTTCCATGCTACCGAGGACAGCCATTCGGGTTGGGAAGCAGGATATATCAGACCACCTAGAGAGCAAAATCTGGATACCATCCGGTCATCCAAATTATCCTAGTCTAGCAAGTGGAATCGAACAGCCAGGCATGAGATATACCCTTCTCCTACACTCCAGCCTCCTTTGTGAGATTGTGGACGACATCGTACAATTATTTTACGCCTCCCGGGACCGAATCACCAGCCGCAAACTACAACACCATCATGAAAAGCTTCAAGAGTGGCACAAGGCTCTTCCAGAATCTCTCGCCATAAAGGACACGCCAACATTACCTCAAGTTATCTGTCTACAGTTAGTCACATACTCCTTGTAGGTTAAGTTGCTAATTAAGTCTCTAGTGTCTATTACCATAATTGCGTTATCCAGCTCTTCCGACCTTTCCTGCGCTACCAATTTGTAGAAGGTACCCGGACGCCTCGTCAGATAGCCACCAAAGCTGCCAACAAAATTTCCGAATTAATGGCCCTTTATACCCAAACTTACAGTCTTCGCAGACCCGTATTCATGTCTTCGCATTGCATAGTGACAGCAGCTGTCATCCACCTAGTCACTCTGTCCCCACCAAATGTCCCTCCAAAAATCCGCGAGCAAACAGAGATACACGTCGCCAACGCTATCCGTACCCTACACGAAATGCACCGGAGTTTTCCTATCGTGGTAAGGTATCTAAAATCCATCCGAGTCCTCATAACGAGATGGTGTCCTGTCATTCCAGAAAGGATACAGGAAGCCATGGTGGACGCAGGCATGGGGTCACCGATCTCAACATCCTCAAACCCACCCGATCTCAACTCACAACGATACACCAACCACGCTAATCACACCTATCATACCAACCAAATGATAATTGACGACCGCAAACCGTCAGTCCATGACGCCAATCCTCATCCTCACGTCATTGGCCCCCCCGTCCAAAACCAAACCCGCTGTCAAACGCACAACTACCAACCCTTATTCTGGACTCCTTTCCCACACGAAGGCGACGGCGTCCCACTTGCTCTACCACCCGAGCTGCACGAACCTGTTAACCAGCATATGGGCATCGCCGGTATGCCCCCCCTAGCCATTGATCGGGATTGGTCGCAGTTGAATCGCTATGGGTTTACGATGAATGGGACTGGAGAGGGGGATGTGGCGCTTTGGGAACTTAATTGGGATAACCATCTCGGTTCATGATTATTACCTCGAGATGGTATATTAAAAGTCAATTTCGGAGTTTTAAAGAGCTTGGAGTTTCGGAATCGCAGCAGCATTTGCAGATGCAGGTAGATACCATGCGAGCGAGCAAGTCCGTCCTTAGAATGGAGTTCTTAACGAATATTTATAATAAATCAGTATAACAGTCCCTCAGATTCATTCGATCTCTGGCGCGTACTTTATACTCTTCTGGACCTACACCTCGTCGAGCTTGATCTACACGACGACACCGGTCATGGAAGTAGCGGTCCTTTCCTCCGCCAACTATCCACCCTATTCAAAAATGCTTTTTGACTCTTAAGATGCAATCCACCCCTGTAATGCACTGCCTTTCCCACGTCTCTCCCCTCCAAGACTATCCCCTATCCATTCAAAAATGCCTCCCCCGGCCAAATTAGACTCATTTCACGCATCTTTCTAATTCCATGCCTGACACATCGTTTCCTACACATAGTCTCCCGTTACATCCCAAACATACACCCTTACTTCTCAGCAGCGCTTCCAAACTTAAGTGTAGAATTCCCCTTCAGATCGCTCTCCAGCTCATCACCGGGGGCATCGTGACGCGAGTACATCTTATACTCAATTGAATCTTTGAAGCTGAGTTTACCAGTCTCGACTTCCTTGCGGGTTGCGGAGAGCTTGGATTTTGGGAGGCCCATGCTTTCGAGGAAGCTAACGGCTATTATTCACAAGCGTTAGTTAGGAGGAAAACGGATAGGGAAGGCGATATTAGGGGAGTCGGGGGGGTGGGGAGGAATCTAGAATGAGAAAATGGTGAAAAGAGGACTTACAATCTCTCCACTCGACTTCTTGTCTCTTTTTATCCCACTTCAACTCCACAGCCATGATATCAATAACCTTAGGCAACGCCTCCAACGCAGCCTGTGCATTCAAAAAGGCCAATCGTGTTCTCCTTGCAAGGACATCGACAGCCGTCTGAGCATATTCGTGTCGTACGGCATATCTGACCTCTCCATCGACGAATGGATACGGTGCGCTAATCCGGTCTCCTCTAACCGGGAAGCGTTTTTCAGTCGGAGCACTCAATGCAGCGACCGTCCATGCCCTATCACCATATGATTCCGTCAAGTGCTTAGCCACATCGGTTTCGATACCGAAATGCTGGATTAAGTTGATGAATAGCGTCTTTGAGAAGCCGTGCGCGCCTACTAGCTTCACTTGATGCGTTTGGCATGATCCGTCAAGTTTTGCTCCGTCATTTACCATTTCCGTGCCGCTGATATCGGGGACGTTAGTGACGGGCTTGGTTTGCAGGTGGTACTCGTTGATGGCTTCGTCGACACACTCCTCGGCCATTTGGCGGTAGGTTGTCCATTTTCCTCCTGCGCAGGTTAGCAGGCCGGAAGGCGAGACGTTGATTAGATGGTTTCGGACGAGTGATTCGGTGTTTTTGGCGTTGGGGTCTTTGACCAGTGGACGAATTCCGGACCATGCCGCAAGTACGTCGCCACGGCGAACGTTGATATCGGGGGAGAGGTAGTGTCTTATCTCGGAGAGGATCCAGTCAATCTCATCATCGCCTGCAACAGGATTTTGAGTTATTGTTGTGGGAGCATCAGTTGTGCCCGCAATGGTGTTTCCTTGCCAAGGGAGGAAGAAAATGACTCGACCATCAGATGTCTTGGGGTCGATGAGGCCCATCTTCTGAGGACTGTAATAACCTGGAAGAACTACGTGAACCCCCGAACTGGGAGCCACGATTTCCTTGGTATCCGCATCATCCATCTTCCGGATCGAATCTGTGAACGGTCCAGTAGCATTGACGATGCCCTTCGCGCGGATAACGAATTCTGCAGCCGGCTTGCCGTTCTTCTCCTGCACCAAATCCTTCACCCTTGCCCCGCAAAGCTTCCCGGATGCATCTTTCTCTAAGCCGGTAACCTCCATATGGTTGACAACGGTGGCACCGTACAAAGCTGCCGTCATCGCCAACGACACATTCATCCTCGAATCATTGTGGGCACCGTCATAGTAAACCAAAGCACCAACCAGATTCGTCCGCTTCAACATGGGAAAGGCATCCAACGCCTTGCTCTTGGTTAGAAAGTACGATGTCTCAATACCCTCCGACCCGGCCAAGAGATCGTAGCATTTCGTCCCCGCCCAGTAGTAAGGAGCCTTCCACCACTTGTCCAACGGCAGCATGATGGGCAACCACATGGATAGATGCGGTGCGGTATCCAAAAAGTACTTCCTCTCTCTCAAGGCCTCCTTGACCAACTTGTACTGGTTGTAATCCAATTCCCAAACGGCCTTCTCCAAATACCGCACTCCGCCATGCACCAGCTTGGTACTCTTGCTGCTCGTGCCACTGCTGAAATCATCACGCTCCACGATGGCGACCTTCAATCCCCGCGACGCTGCATCCAACGCAACTCCGGTTCCAGTCGCCCCGGCCCCGATGACCAGCAGATCGTATATGCCATCATCGGCATCATCTGTAGCTCCCTCACCGGTGCCAGCATTCAACAGTCCCTTGAACGCCCCAGCACCACTGCGCTTCAGATCCGCAATCTGCTCATCCCTCGTCTTGACCTTCGGGAATCGCGGCGGGCGTAAACCTCCCTCTTCGCCGTAGCCTGGAGGAGGGACGGCGCGCAGGTCAGACCCGGGGATGTTCCGTGGGCGGTAGACGAAGTAGAGGTATGAACCACCCGCGGCTGCTGCAGCGGTGGTGTAAAGGAGCGGCTTCGCCAGGCGCTGTCGGAACGCCATTGTTGCTTCGAGTGAGCAGAAGGGCGATTGTTTGCTATCGCGAGGGATATCGAAATAACTTTATAAGTATAATAAGCTCGCGGCAGCTGGTCGTCGTTGTTTGTTTCACGGCAAGGATTGGGCTGCTCGTGGGGAGCCGTCAGAGCTAGCCAGCAGTGAGTGGGGGAGAATTGCTCGTGAAGACCCGCCCTCCTCGTACTTGCGTGAATTACTCCCCGCTTTAACTGAATCAATCGATCAATCAAGCACGGGCGACGGATGTCCGTCAGCTGGAGAGCAAATTGGCATTGCAATGACAACGATCGCAGCGGGAAAAAACCAAGGGCAAGCGAAGAACAATGCTGGCGCTGTGCGGATGCGATGCAACCGGCGAAAGACAACTGAATCGGTGAATATGAAGGAGAACTTGGATCACGACGACCGAGGATGTGCAAGTGCGCATTCCGAAGTCGCTGGTTTCTGTTAACCGGCCTGCGCTGCAGCCTCCCGGCGCGGCAACCGGATGTTACTGCGCCTTATTCTTCCGCCAATAATAGGGATGGGGAAATGGGCCTGGCAAATAGGTAGCGACACAACAACAGCACCAGAAAACATACGTTATTAGATAGAATCTAGACCCTTTCCTACAGACTAAGTAATCCATTCCATTGCATTGAAAGGGGATTGTTTATTTTCATTTAATTGCACCATGAATACCCTACAGAATAGCATAGCAGACACATACAAAAAAGTAACCTGCCAGCACATGGCGTTGTGCCCGTGCTTTCACAAAACGAACCCGGAAAGGACAGCGGTGTTCTCCCTCCTATTCCGAGGATGCATCCATTTGCAAATCCCCTTTTTTTCTTCTTCAAAAATCACAAAAGCAGATCATAGAGAGCGAGGTACATGTGTACAAAAGGATCTGCTGAAACCCAACAGTCCTGTTTTTATTAGGCGCGAGCCCACTATCATCTCGCACTAATTTTTATCATCCGTCCTTACGGCCGTTCCACGCAACAGTACAGGCAACAGTGCCACCAGCTTTGCAGCAATACACTAAAACAGGGGAGACTATACAATTATCAATAAGTGCCGCCCATCCAAGTATCCCAGGTTCCATTTCCCCCCTATCCGTCCCCCAATGCTCTTTTCCCCGGTGGAACAGCGCGGCCAATACAACATCGCTGGTAGTAGCGCGGATGTCAAATAGTATTTCAAAACAATAGTAGTACTCTTGTGGAAGAAGAAAATATCAAGATAAGGAGCCTTGATCAGCTTGACTGATTATACGGAGCGTCGTCCGTTGTAAACGCCTGAATTCGCCGGCCCCAAAAAAAAATGCAAAAATCATCCGCTAAAACGCTATTCAAAGTGGGTATCAAATCAATCAGTCGATCGTATGAGAGTTGGTAAAAGGCGTGTCTAATCGGGTCGGGTCGTGTGTAGGTAGGCATAAAAGGTTAATCCGCCTTGCGGATTCAAATAGTAGATGTGGGCGTCGAGTGAGCCTTGTCCCTGGAGTAGGTCCAAGAGAAGAGGTCGAACTTGTCTTTCGAGGTGGTGGAGAAGGGGTTTTGCCCTTCGATGGGGCTGGCTCTAGGGTGCATGTTCTCGCGAGGTTCGAGGAGGAGACTCTTGCGGTAGTATTGCTGTACATTCTCATGTTCGGGAGATGACTTTACGCGGACAATTTGCGCTTGCATCCACTCCTGCAATTCTGGAACCTCGGTCAGGCGGTATGGGATTTGGAATCGCTGCAACTCGCCGATGATCTTTGCAGTTCGAGTATGTTTGTCAAAATTTATGACAGGCATGGACTCGCCATCGCCCACACCAGGAAGTTGTTTCGTGGCTGGGTTGCCAGCGTCCACGAAAGTCAGATCTGTCAGGTAAGTCCCAACAAATGGAAGGCAAGGCGGAACGTGGTCGTGGAGCCTTCGTCTGAGGACGGCGTAGTTCTTATCAGGTTCCACAATAGCTTGGAGACCTTTCAACATGTCCTTGCGCTTCTGAGATACCATATCCCAGGTTCTCTTGAGACGGACGATAGTTGAAGAGTTCAAGGAGCAGATTATGGCCATGAGGGTGTCGTAGTTGTTAAGTTCAAGGCACTTGTGTGCAATCTTAATCCAATGCTTGATGATGATTGCTCTCTTCTTCGCATCCTCGTATTGGAGGACAGTGTCAGCCACCAAATTCGACAGATCTGTAGATAGGGTGGACATTGCCCGAACGTTAACGGCGTTAGAACCCGATCGCTTAGTCCACTCAGATCCCAAGAGCTCTTCGGGCATGATTGAGCAGAAGATGTTCATCTCCTTAATAGTCAATTGCCGTGCTAGTTCGAGAGGGTCGAAGTCTAGAATGGTGGGATTGCTACCGCCCATTTTCCAATTCTTCAGAACACTTGTCTGGCTCTTGCTCATGTTCGACGAAGGGAGGGGTGTATCGGCGGGGATGTATTGTCCAATAGATGTGGAGGTCTTTCCCATTGACGATACTAGGCGAGGTACGAGAGGCCCATCGGTGGCTGCCACTTTCTGAGCCAATTCCAAAAGCCGCTTTCCGGCAGCGGGAAGTACCGCACCAAGCTTATCCTTCGCAAAGGGCTCAATAACCAACAACGCGTCATTGTCGGTAAAAGGACGCCAATGGGACTCGAGCCAGCCTTTGAAGACATTGTAAACCCTAAGTCGCACGGGACCGGCAACATGAGGACTTTCTCCAACGTAGTCGAATCGTTCTACTAAAGCGTTGGCCAACCCGACCGGTGTGACAAACAACCTGAAGGTAAGGTAGAACGTGGAGACAAACATCGCGTCGGGGGTCGAATCATGCGTCGTGAGTCTCTCAACGAGAGCCGATAATGTGCCGCCAGTAATCTGGCCTTCTTTGTTGTGAAGGAGCTCATGTGCGAAAGTCTTTTCAAGCATCTTCGACTCTCCCTCGTCGACCTCATCTGCAAAAGTTGACTGGCTGCCAGTTACGCTGAGGTCGGAAATTGAAGGCTGCGCTCGTGGAACGTACACGGAGTGCTCTGGTGTAGTGGCGCGTGTAGATGTTCGTGAAAGCAGGCTTGATTCCGAGTCACGCATGCCACTCAGGTAAGTACTACTAGCACCTGAACTTGATATAGTCGCTGATCGGAAGGAAGATTGGAAGTCACTGTCCTGTGCCGATGAGATCTCCGAGGGACTGTAATCATCATTGCTCAACAATGGGCTAATCATCTTGGGAAGTGGTGGCAAAAGGGACTTCCTGGATGACCGGTTCGAGAAGTCTGTAGTCGCGCTTTCGGGGGGTTCAGGTTCTCCTTGATCTACCGGCCCTGGTGATATCTCGGTACCAGTACCTTCAGTATTCAGAGTGGGTGAGCATAAGGGTACTTCCGGTAATGGTTTTTCATAACATGGAATAGTCAGAGGAGGGGGCGGAGGTCGACTCGCGGGTTCTGGAGGGGGAGGTTCGATTTCTGTCGTTGGCGGCTGGGGCTCCTCTTCAACGGGCACCTCTACCACTGCGCCAATCGATGCTACATCGATCCCAAGCCCTTCACTATAAGGTTCGAATTCAAAGTCCCCGATTCGCTCGATAACGAATTTCGTCTTGGCCACACATTCTCCTGCCGCCTTCACACACCCAGTGGCAGCCATAAGCAGGCCCCCGTTTTGTTGCGGCATTACCACATCATCGTCCTCTATGCCAGACGATATGATGATATCCCGTGCAGAAACGACCAGGTTGTTGATCCGATTGTACATGGCGTTGCGGGCCACCTCCAATGCTTCGGCGCTTTGAGGGTCGTGTGAGCATATCACCTCTACTACCACCAGAAGCGCCCGTCCTGCGGTGACAGATTGTCGAACAGACAAGAGAAGCTCCGCAGCAGATTGCGACTGGAGATGTAGACGGCCAATAAACGAGCCAAGGTACGAAAGAAATGTATCGTGGCTGGTATTTAGTCTCTCCGATATAAGATTCAGTCGCTGTGCTGCTGGGATTGATGTTGTGAGGGACAAACGGTGGGAAATAGACTGTCTCTTCATATGCACCGACGATGGTCTCGTCACGGACAATGGCCGCGACGAGGACGGTGCGCTGGACGAGTAAGCTGTCGACATGCGTTTGAGTGATTGTCGCTTCGTTTGCTCGTCGGATTGCTGCCAGCCAGACAGGCCGCTTTCCGAACTGCGATTCGAGCTCCGGACGGATGCTCTATCGTCTGTGGTATCGACATTCCGCATTCCAACGAATGAGGTCGAGTCCGCTGGCGGCGTTGGCGGGTTGTGAGCCTCTTCCGCGACAGTCGCCATCACCTGATGAACTGGCTGGCGGGATCGGATATCATCCTCCAAAACGTCAAGAAATCTGACACCCCTAACTACAATCTTGAACGCCTTCAAGATCATCTCGTCGATCGTATTGTTAACATTATCTGCATCAGCTTGAGTTTCAACTGGGCCGGCGTTATATTCCTGCAGTCGCTTCGCTGTTTTTACGAGGGCCGAGAGATCTGACAGCAGCGCTTTCCGATTCCTCCGCAGCCCTTCATTGCTCTGCATAATCGGTGATTCTCGAGTAAGACAGCTCGATTTCTCCTGGTTCCATGTTAATATTTACCTCCCTTGCCACAGCGCAAAACTTACAAGTAGGTATCTGACACCCGCGATGATTCCGCGCATGAATTCTTGGTTTCCAAACACTTCGCTGTCGCTCGTCAATCCACTCTTCAGTAGATCCCAAAAGTTCAGCAGTGCCTTGAGCAAGTTCCTCATCGGACCGGGCTCGTAGGACTCGCAATAGTTTGTTGGCAGCCAACCTCGGGCGCCAGATATGAGAAGTGTTCCATCCGCCCAGCCATTCGTGTGTATAGAATGGACTAGTATAACGTCTCCTTCATTTAGCGGCAAGGTAACGGTGGTATCCGAAATTGGCAACGCCGGGTGAAAAGGGTAGAATGCTCGCAAGAAATTGTGAAATACGGGCTGTGGAAGCTCCATTTGTTGATTAAGATCCTCCTGGGAGCCATTTGGGGTTGCTGGAGGGGTCATCTGCGACTGGCTGCTGGTTGAGCCGCTCTGGATGCTACTCCTCGAGGACATGTTTCTCTTATGTATCGGCTTGTCACCGGACCCTCGGGGTCTGTCCTTGTTGATTGATAGAGGTGCTACGAGGGCGCTTGAACGCGTAGAGAGCTCGCTCGCCTTCACCATGATGGGCCACCCTAAAAGGCCAACATGGGATACTGATGGTATGTGTTTGACAATAGGTGGACCGAGGTTACCGAACGCGTTGTATAGAATGGTCCAGCGTTTCTTTCGATCCTTTCAGAAAACGTTCCCGGGGTGGTGGAGAAGAATTGAAGGTATAGCGTCGTCGAACTAAGCGGCGAAGATTCCTGCTTCCTGCGCTCCTTCCTGGTGAGTAAATTAAGTTTCGATGTTGAAGATCAGTCTGGAGAGAAAGTATCAGCGAGAGTTGCCAATGTTGTTGTGTGAGCGGGAAGGAGGAATGCCGTAGGGGGGCTGGAGGAATGCTATGATGCTCGCCCCCAGCAGAGGGCTACATACCAATTGGGTTGGCCTCCAAGGTTTCGGGAAGACCTCTAGGTCAAGATCTTGTCATGCAGGCTCCGAACGGTAATGCCGGGCTGGTCTTGTTATGCCGATCGTCCTGCTCCGATGCTTCGTAGTGTGCCTCGCTCAGCACGAGATCCTCGCCACGAGGGATCTGATCTGTTGTCAGGGAATGGTGGCAAATAATGGCTCGGAAGGTAGGCCCGTCGGCAAGTCTCTATTATGCTTTGAGGCTGGGCTCGTGGTATGACTGACGGTCGAGTCAATCGATGGCTCTGCAAATCGAGGTGTATCAGGCGGTGGGGTGGAGCCGTGAGGGAAACGGCCAATGCGTTCGGTCTCGGATGAGGGTTGTGTTGTCTTCGCGCGGTGATGCAGGGCACCGCAAAACTGCCAATGCGTGAAACTGGGCGATGTTCGAAGCAGTGTTTTTGTTCTTTTCCTTCCTGTTCTGCTGTGCTCGAGCGATTGACGGTTGACGAACAAGTCCACCCTTGTTACACCGTATACGCAGGATGCCTGATGTGTACCGCACAAGATTCCGAGCACCGGCTCTTTCGAGATTGCAACAATACCAGCTATCGGCGAGGACGAATGGGCAAAAGAATGAGGACACGGCCACGGCGGGAACGATTAGTATAATTGGCAGGTGTTGTATATCTTGGGCCCTTGTGGGGAGGTCCCGTTGTTCCTCTGTCAGTTGCTAGGGAAAGGATGGGGCCCTGCAAGGGTTTTGAGAAGAAGCAGCAATAATGGAAGAGCTGAACCCGTACTGGAGACTGGAGACTGGAGACTGGAGTCGTGTGTACTTGGTGGTCTGAAGATAGGATAGGGTGGTGGTCAGGACAGGGCTGCGAGGGAGTTGCTTGGACCGCTGGGGACTCAGGGGAGGCGGGTTGAAATAATGCAAGGAGTGAAGGCGAAACGGCGAACGGCCAATTGGGGGACACAGCGGGCGAAGAATTGGAATTGGGATTGGAATTCAATCTGTAACGAGAGCAGATGACACGACCGCTGGCAATACGGCGAGCGGAGGGAGGGAGGTTTTCGTGGAGAGGGAGATGGAGATGGAGATGGAAATGAAAATGAAAATGGAAAAATACGAAGTTCGGGAGGAGTGAGTCGTTTCGTTGTTTTTCCTGGTCGACGGAGTACCAGTACGTAGGTAGCACAGTGCCTAGGTAAGCCACCGAGAAGGAGTGGGCTCCGTGGACTGGGTGGGAGCTGGTTCCGCGGCCCCAGGGGAGTGGTTCTGGAGGTTCTAGTGGGTGCCTTTGGCGCTGCTAGTTGGGGGGGGAGGGCTAAAGGGGGTTGGGCTTCTAGGGCTTCTAGGGGGTGAGGAGTGGTAGTGTAGTGGTGGTAGTGGTAGTGGTGGTAGTGGTAGTGGTCGTGGTAGTGTACATGTAGTGGGTGAGATAGTAGCAGGCCGTGGGATAGTAGGGGTTTAGGGAGCGGCGTAGGGGTGACGGCGGCCCTAATTCGTAGCGTTAGGGGGGGGGCGTTTAGGGAGGTGGGAGTACTGTAATGTACCTCTGGGCCCTCTGTAGGGGGGGAGCGCCCTCCACGCCGCCAATGGGCATCCCCAGCACACCACGGCGCCCCCACCGCCGCCGTGCTCAGTCCCGGCAGGGAGGCAGGGCGGGTTCTGGTGGCAGTTAGGGGGCAGTTAGTGGCACGACTGCCCCAGCGCCGGGGACTGACCACTGCCCACCATCCCTCTGGAATGCTGGGCGGGCCAGCACGCGCAAGGGGGGGGCCCTCGAGCACGCACGCACGCACGCACGCACGCGAGCCTGGGCACTGGTTTGTTGACACTGGACCCGTCGAGTCTTGGACACTCCCTTGGCCCCTCCCTCCTCCCCCCTTGCCTCCTGGCCTCCTTGCCCCAAATGCCGCCTTCGATGCCCCACCGTATCTATCCCATCCGCGTTCTCAGTTCCAAGCTCCAACGCGCTCCCCCCTCCGTTGTCTCTCCCACTCTCCTTCGCAGTACTCGTACGAGGGAGGGTACTGGGGCGTCTGCACAGCGCTCGAGTCTTCGCTACCAGTTCAGGCACCAGTCATCGATTCCTGTAGTGGTCTGCCTCTTGAGTCTTGAGCCTTGAGCCTTGGGCCTTTACTCTACTCTTGACTCTTAGCCCCCGTCCCCGTTGTTCCCGAAACCAACGGCGAGAGCTTGAGCGGCCGCTTGCCTAGTGACAATGCCTACTCGTACAAACGTCGGACACTCACTCCATGTTCACCTACGACGTACGCAGGACGGACTACGGCCACGGAACCAACTCCATCCAAACTAACCCCATAATCCTGATCTTTCATCACGATTGATTCTCGACGTTGAACAAACAGTCAATTCCCCCCCCCCCCGGATTCTGCCAATACGATGTGGTGGCACGGCCGGAGCTGCTTGGGCCATCATGTATCTGACGGCGCCGCCTAGAGCGACATATCCAGACGAGGCATTCTTGATCGTTTGGTTTTGCTAGGCTGTGTGGGCTCATCGACATGCTGGTCGGAGAGGAGCATTCATGGGAGAGGGTCAGGGTGCCCGCCCAGTATTGCGCCAGCGAGACCGTTGAAAGTGTCGATCCGTAGGCTTTTGGGGGAGGATTCCCTGGGCTTGATGCTACCTACCAATAATTACGACGATTCATCCATAGTCTCGTCGCCCGGACGTTTCCACGACTTCATCCGCCAGATTGGAGTTGGTGTATCGAAGATCCTCCCCGTTGCTTTTTGCGCCGCTGCCTTCCGCCTTCCGCCTTCCGCCAGGCGAGGCCAGGCCACTATTGACGGAAGGCGTCCGAAGTGCTCGAGTAAATAATCGCGCGATTATCGTCTCTCCAACATTTGGCCGCGCTGGGTCACTGGAGAGCACAACACGGACAGCACAGCGGACCGCCAGCCGGGGGAGGGGGAGGCCTGGGAGAGGGTCTGAGGGAGGGGCTTGGGCAGAAATGGAGCGTGGGGTTGTCCATCTTCATTAACAGGGCAATACGAACGAGCACTACTTACGGCATATCTGCGCGTTCCGTGTGTTCTGTGTGTTCCTGTGTGCTGTGTGTTGTGATGTGTGCGAGTTTGGCTGCACACGGGGTTTTTCCTGGCCTATGGCTGGGCAACAAGCATTGAGCGTCACTCCCATCTCTCCAGCCAACGGCTTCAAAGCGGTTCCTCCAAAGCTCAACCTGCAGTATCGGGATCTTTGAGCTTTCTTCAACGTCACCTGGGACTGCACGATCCTGATGATCCTCATGCACACACTCGGACGGCTCTATACTTCGTACAACACACCGCGCAGGACTCCTATCTCCCTCATACAAGAGGGTATGGGCGAAACCGTCACGATGCGGTACTCCAGAGTCCAGATTCCAGCTCCCAATACTTCGTACCCAGCGACGTGGCTCGGGAGGCCAGCAGCTGGTACCCGCAGTCACACCCGCCGCTGCGGCATCGAGGCACCAGATGCACGCCGATAAAAGGATTCCCCGAGTCTGAATCGCAGCGAGTCGGTGGCCTAGCAAAGTCTCCGCAAAATCTCCTCCCAGTGCAAGAAGTGGATAGAGGCATTACTGGGGCAGGTCGTCACAATTCCACTTTCTCAATCAACCGTCGTTGGTTCTGGGTGACATTACGTAGCCAGGTCACCCCCAAGCTCATCAACTGGTAACCCGGCACGCAGATGGTACTGCAGCACAAACAACCCAGCGCACAATTCAAGGCCGATAATTCGAGGATTCCAGCACGTGCAGCTTGCATTCGCACAGTCCAAACCGCATATGCAATGTCGAACGCAGCCATTAAACAGCCAAAACGTCCAAATGCGTGCATTCTTTTTAATGTTGCTCGCTTCCTGAAAGTCGGCTGCGTGCTCCCGAAATCCATGATAAGCCAAGGACACCAGACTCCGGCTGTCCCTGTATCGATCGACACCATATCGGCCCAAACAAGGAGCACTCCAACCGGGTCCCTAAGGTACCGCACTGTTACAGTACCAAATAACGATTTATCGGAAGCCAATCCAGTCTAGCGTTTGACACGAAATCTTGGGTTCAACGGCCCAACATCGGCGTGAAGGCTGGATGAAGAGTGGTATTATTTGAGCGCCATGAGGATGGAAGTCGAAGCTCGAGCGACGAGGTTCAGAGTTGAGGCCACGATGTCGTGCAATGGAAGCATAGTCTTAGACTCTGATCATCCCACGAGATCGCCCAGTCGCTATTTTCCGCTGTCATGCAGCCTGGAGCCCAAAACTCGTCCGGCCTATTCTCCTGTCCTTCAGCAATTGGTTGATACTTATGCGGCACACTCATTTCCTGCACACCGACGAAAACGACACTTTCAGAATGATATCTGAGTGGACAGTTTGTAAGTATCGCGTGCATTTCGTACACATGAGCTACGGAGCATTGTAATTCTACGAGGACGCACTCATCATCAGCCAGATCACATCTCTACATCTTGTCACACCGTTCAGCAAATATCAACAAAATCGTGTAACACCAGATATTTGTGCCTTTTGCTGACTGCAGGACCCTGGACATGCTAATAATAATAATGTCAACCCTTCGGACCGCTTCCGTCACCCGTGCCGCCCCGGCCAGCCACGAATTCTAGGCGCAACACGGCAGACATCACGTCAAATGAAACCCCGGTAGGATCCATCACCAAGATACTCGTACGGTACGCCGTGCACTTTTCCATACTAAGTTGTCCGAAGCACAACGAAAAAGCAACGGTTACGCAGGTCCCCCATTTTCGCGGGATTCCAGCCTCTTGGGCTCTAATCCCACAAGCCCCCACCACTGCCGTTATCCAATTTCTCGCGTCGAAGCCTTGCTGGCCTGGTGAATTGCGCTATTGCTTTACTCTTTTGTTTATTATTCTGTACTCGGTCTGGTATGGTACTGCGGTTGGGGCGCATCACCTCCTCTTTTCTCTAGTCATCACTGCTGAGCCTGAAGAAAACCCTGCGGGCGTCCGATTTGGGCAGACATTCCAGATTTTACCATCAAGGAACGGTCCTAATGATAACAGAAGAATACTGTGCGCTCTAGATCCGTGCCTCGTCCTGAAATTCGGTAACGAGGTACGTGAGGCAAAGAAGCTGTGTTAGATCCTGTTGGTCGGCGGCGTCAAAGGCCACAGAAAGCCCAATGGCAATCGACCGCGGATGCGGCCAATGCATAAAAACGATTCTTGGGCCTGTGATGGAAAAGTCAAAGCTCAATGAGTAAGCATATATATCTTAAATGCCACGGTCTGTTGTCGAGCCGTCTTTTCGTCCCAACTTCCAGCACCCTACAAGAATCCATCAGCATCACCGCAAGGCTAGCACAAGAAGTGTGCGGGCCAAGGGGGGAAGGTGTAAAGAGATTCTTATCAACCCCACCCCGGTTTGGTAGATCTTTCCCATTCAAATACCGAATTTTTGGTATTTCCTACAAACTACTCCGGGATTGAAGTTCAACCCACGGACTCAAGGAGCAAAGTTGATCTTGGCAAGCCCGTTACGGATGTATCTACTCCTCCAGGGTACTCGAAGCCTACATAGAGTCGCGGGGAAGATAACAGTACGCCGACGGCTGCGTCGCGCCGTCGCCTACGTTTTCGTTGTGACCGTGACCGTGTTCCTCCCACAATCAGCAATTCCGTTCCATTGTGGGGTACTACGTTGATACACTAGAGATGTTCCCAATCTACGCAGTATACCAAGTATCAGAAGACGGCTCAACCGGCGAACACGATACAAGACGAGCTGTATCAAGATAGACGGGAACCAGAAGGTCTTCTGATCAGCACGGATGATCGTCCACGAGAACATCCACGAAAACATCGACGAGAAGCAAGTTAGGTCAAGCGTCTACCTCGGCCTAGCTCGGCCTGCCTCAATCCGTTGTCTAGTTGAGTTTCCACGTTCGAAACCACAGACAAATTGCTCGTTTCAGGAGTTTCAACATCGTTTAGTTTAGTACTAGTTACGGGATTTGTAAAAAGTGACCGGAGGTTTCGGGATCGTTTGCATCCAACATGTTTTCCAAACCAGTGTTCCACCCAAGTCAAGATTTGAATAGCTTCAAATTCTGCCCACATCCGTCTCAGTCCAAAACGAATCATTCTCGCGTATTCCAGCTAGATTACTAGATGTCTATAGTACGTAGGTACGTAGTACCTGGTTACAACCAACACGGGGCACAACACCTGCATGCATGAAATATTCTTTTTTTCTCTCACAACTGATTCATAAATTGTTGCAACTTCAAACTCGTTATACTAGGCCAGATTCACCTTTTTCTTCTATTTGTCAGTCTTCATTTTCGCCACCAGTTATTGAAACGGCCAGATCCGAGCATGAAACATGAAGATAACATTCCAACATTCAGCTATAACTATCCCGCACGCCTGCCGAGTACGGATTATCAATACCATCATTACCCTCCAAGATGCGCAGGCCGAGGTCAAAGGTTCTCCCCGAGAGCACACAGCGCATGTTTCAATTAACTCTGTGAATACGTTATGGAGTATCAAAAGGTCGTTATCACGGTTTCGGGAAACCGGCCAAAGCGTGCTGGCCCCTGCTCCAAACGTCAGAACAACAACTCACGCCTGAGCGCCGCCTCGGATCCTCCAACCACGCTCCACGCGATACGGAACCGTATCATGCAGTCAGTTTACCCACATCACCAGCACCACCAATCCTTCCAGCGACTTTGCGGCAAGGCTGAGATTCCACCTCCGCAACTCCCGAAGGCTGAGTCTCCCGCCTCCAAGCCCATATATCATTGGTGGATCCGCGTCTAATCTATTATTTTGATCAATTATTCAATTATTCAACGTTCCGGACCAGAAGCCGTGCCGTTTGATCTTCATGGCGTCCCTCCAACCGAGCAATGCGGGCAGGCAGCAAAAAAAGGTCTGCCTTGTCACTCCTTGGTCAGGTTTCCTGCGAGTCCGTCTGTTATTCCTGCCCCGCTCCATTATCTTGCTGTGCCCTGGAGTCATAGTTACTAGTGGGCAGGTTTCTCGATAATCGCTGACTGATACCCAGTACTCTCGTCCTCCACAAAGATATCCATGCCCAGACTTCAATGACAGTGAAAATCACATGGTTATCCTGGACCCGAGTCCAGGGTTCAGAACTCTGCCGGGCGCAGGATATGCCCGTAGCTTATTGAATATCCAGCACCGGATCGCCTTCCGAGCTTAGCGGCTGCACCGGTTACATGGCGCGTCATATTCTGTTCATGTATTTTGTCAAGATGGTGTGAAGCCGCTGGGAGTTTTATGCACAGGATGCGGTGTGGGGCCACCCCCTTATCCTCGTCGTCACAGTTGTGATTCCTCACGATGACATCAAGAATACCGTCTCCGATGGTGGCGAGCCTCGCAAGCTCTTCCCAACGCTCATTTTGCATTATCAAGTTCCTTTTTGTTGTGTCAAAATCCGACTTGTCTTCTTATGCTAAGTAGCCATTCCCCACCGTTTCTCACATTTTTTATCGTTTACTACCAAATTCTACCACTTTCTTATTCCCCACAAATATGTCTCAGCCGCCCTCACAATCTCTTATCCGCTACGGGTCCCCTCACGTTGGCAGAGCACCGGCAATCACCCCATTACTCCTTCTCATATCAGCGTCCTAGTCCTAGTCCTGCTTAGCCCTGTATTTCTACCCCTACTATCACCCTCCAAGCCTTTCGTATTGCAAATTTTCTTCTTGTCCATACTCCATATGGTTTACTTTGCCTGTCAGGAACGCGATCACTTGTTTGAAGCCGGGTAACTGTGCTCAAAATAAGAGAGGAGTACTGCATAAAAAAGCAATCCATTCCGACGGCTTAGTCCGCCTATGCCAACGGGTAAACGTGTCCAGAGTGTTGGGTGGAGACTGGGATACGCTACACGCTACTTCGCAGCCTCTTTCCGATGCTGGAAGCGGGCCTGTCTACAGCCTGGACCGTGCTTCAAGACGCAACCCCTTTTCTTTTTCATTTGAAATTTCTATTTACTTGCGCCGTCAGCGGCTAGGGCCGATAACGCTATCACCGCGGTGAGCCTGGAATTGTGTCATTAAGAGCTATCTGTTTGCTTGGTAGTGTTGTAGATCTTATTGGGAAAATTGAGGGGTACGGTCCGATCTTTTGGCTTGGATACCTTTGCAAACTACAACTATTGTTTACTAGTGACTTATCTTGTAAGATACAGTCATAACAGTGGTATGGCAGCCTTAGCTAGAGCAGTTTGCGGGCCTAGACACCATCATAGCCTTTGTTTACATTTGAAGCTGGCAGCAGATCGGCACTGCTGTTCTTGGCATTGGGAACTTGGGAAGGCTCCCAAGCGAGGCGAAGATGCGGCTACCAAATGGAGGCGGGATCTGCGGTTAAAGGGACCAATTGTGGGTCTGAGCATGAGTTTGTTTATACGCGCGGAACGAACTGGATTAGAGTTGGATCGGCGACCATGGACTTGGGTGTCCCAGAATCATCCTCTGGTACCCCGATGGGCAGGCCCAACTTCCTAACTCAGTAGAGATCTCTGAGTTGAGATCTGAGAGCACCTTGAGGGGTTCAGGACGCTGGGTCGGTTGCAATGTCTTCACATATAAGCGAAGAGAAGAACGCCGAGATCGGGAACCTCTCCGGGTATTATCAAAGGTCTCTCGATGTCTCAAAAGGTCATGCGGGGCGGTTCTTTCACAGTTAGCTTCAAGTTGAAATTCGGGGTGCAGATTTTGCCTGAGCATTGAGACCTGGAATCCTCTCTATCTTAGTCGAGATATGTTGAAGAATCTTAGGTCTCTCTTTGCCTCATGCAACTCGTGGATAGAATAGAAATGTCATCTCAGTTCCACCCCCTTAGCTTTCTATATCTCTTGCTAGCATAATCAAATTTATATACTATTCACCCAGATCCCTTAGCGTACTTCCTCTTATCATTGAGTCTCTTTAACTTAGAGTTAACTTACACTTGTATCCCGGACTTTTGTGCTCTCAACTTTCTCTATCTCCCTCTTTTAATCTACCCGTACACAAAACATACTACTTGACTGTACTTAACTGAAATCTTTTGTATATGATGAGTTCCTTACCGTCCCTCTTTGAGACCCAAATTTAGCCTCCACTCTTCAAATAACCCCATAGCCTCCTCTTCCTCCCCAGTATTCCCTAGGCATCATGAAACCTTTGTTATCATCCTCCCCCCTCAAAACCCTCCTTTTAAACTCGGTCCATATTTCCTTGTGATGAGGAGTTCCACAACCTGCTTTTCTTGGTGCATTGTGCCAATATAACAAGCAGTATTGTGAGGTTGGGAAATTTTGTCTTTGTTTTGTTTATTTGCTATACTTCCATTTGCGGACGCTGCTAGGAGGAAAATGGAAATAATATATATACCTAAGAGGGATGCTAAGGTACTTTAGGAGTAGGGTTGAAAAAATGGCAGAAGAAATGGTGTTGAATGGGAGGGGGATAGCGTAAGGTGAAAGGGAGGCGGAAACGGCACAGGGAAGGCGAAAGTAATATGATGATACATATCATATATATTATAAATATACAAGTTTATCAAAGGGAAGCTATATATATAACGCGTTGTATTTCTCATCTCATATAACAGAACATGACAGGAGATAAAATATTATTTATTTTTCCCAGGCCAACTTCCGAATAAATCATCAAACCTAATCAACCAACTATTCCACGTTATCCCCAGCCTATTTACTCCCTTCCACTTCCTTTCGCCTTTCCGCTGTTAGATATCTAGGAACCCTCCGATCCAAAAACCTGGTGTGTGCCAAAACTAAAAATTGCATATATGTAGAATAGGCAAGACTCCTTGAGCCATTTAATGTACTTATACGCTCATACCTACAAATATGGAGATTTCCAACCGGAGATCTATCTTTGGCATGTATACAAACTAGGTAGGTTTTAATTAAATATCAACCCTATAATATAAATATATCGAAACTAGTTGCCATTTTCCACTCTATAAATCCCGTATACTAAAATCCATATTTATCTTGAGAATATCATAAACAGGGAGGATATTAAGTTACACTAAATGCCAATCAAGGGTTGTTAGAGGTTTATTATTAGTTAGCTTATTGTTATATTCGAGATTCGTACATTAAAGGTTCTAGAGTATATATTTATTGTATATCTTCAAAGGGATAATCCTAATAATGAGATCGATGGCAAAGCAAAACCATTGCAGTTAGAAATCATAGATGAATTCGAAATACCTAGCACCAATAGCAGGAACAAGTATTACGTGGGCTGAGTTATGGTTTCGAGGAGACTGATCACCTAAGTTAGATTTCATTTATTTATGGCGAAAATTGCAGCTAGCAAATACAATTCACAATTAAAGTATTCATCAAACGCGATGAACTCGATGCCCGGTTGAAGAGGGTTATATTTTCTAATCTTTTATCTCCTTCTCCCCTTCGAAAGGATACAGTCAAGAGCGTACTCTTGAAGCACAACGTAAAATCATGACGCCATATCTACCTAGATGTCCGGTTGATGGATCATCTCCATGCTGTTGAATTCCACGCTACCATACTTGGAACAAAGCTTTTGTATTTATGCCCCCACCAGAAACGCCGATGTTGAGATCGTCCACTGCTAGGTTATAAAACAATTTCATAATTCGTTCACTCCCGTCACCAACTCCACTGACAAAGGGAAAATGTTCACATTAAAGCTCTTACTGCTTGGAGGCATACTTCTGGCGGTAGAACTTGGCAGCGTTGACCATGTTGACCAAGGCAGCCTTGGTCTCAGCCCATTGACGAGTCTTGAGACCGCAGTCAGGATCGATCCAGAGCTGCTCTGGCTTGAGGTATTGCAACATCTCCTCAATTCGGTCCTTGATCTCTTGCTCACTTGGAACACGAGGGGAGTGGATGTCATAGACACCAGGGCCGATGTGGCGGGGGTACTGCTCATCGACGAAGACTTTCAAAAGCTTAGCGTCAGACTTGCTGTTCTCGATAGACAGAACATCAGCGTCAAGGGCGGCAATGGCGTGGAAGAAGTCTTGGAATTCGGAGTAGCAGAAGTGAGAGTGGATTTGAGTTGAGTCTTGAACGCCGGAGACGGAGAGACGGAAAGACTTAACAGCCCAGTCAAGGTAAGCCTCACGAGCCTTGCCAGCACGGAGAGGAAGACCCTCACGGAGGGCAGGCTCATCGACCTGGATGACGAAAACACCAGCGGCCTCAAGGTCGACAACCTCATCACGGAGGGCAAGAGCAAGCTGCTCAGCCTGGACAGATTGATGCACATCGTCACGAGGGAATGACCATCGGAGACAGGTGATGGGACCAGTCAACATGCCCTTCATTGGCTTCTTCGAGATGGAGACGGCATACTTGGACTCCTTGACGGTCATAGGGGCAGGACGAGAGATATCACCGACGATGATGGGGGGTCGGACACAACGGGAGCCGTAGCTTTGAACCCAGGCGTGGGTGGTGAAAGCATATCCATCAAGACGCTCACCGAAGTATTGCACCATGTCGTTACGCTCAGGCTCGCCGTGGACGTAGACATCAAGGTCAAGTTCCTCTTGGATCTTAACAACATCTTGGATCTCCTTCTCGATGAACTTCTCGTATTCCTCGGCGGTAATTTCACCCTTGGTGAACTTGTTACGCTGAATACGGATTTCCTTGGTTTGTGGGAAAGAACCAATAGTTGTGGTGGGGAAGAGAGGAAGTCCCAAGCTCTTCTGTTGTTGAGAGATACGGACAGGGAACTCGGACTTTCGGTTGTAGAAGTCTGGAGTAATGCTTGCTTGACGCTCCTTGACCTTGGGGTCATTGGTACGCTTGGAGCTGGCACGAGCCTGAATGGACTTGGCGTTGGCCTCCAACTCGGCACGGACAGCCGCAGGGCCCTCAGTGACAGCCTTGGAGATCACAGCAACCTCAGATGCCTTCTCGACGGCGAAGGAGAACCAGTCAGCAATCTCGGCGTCTAGCTTCTTCTCACTGGCGAGAGTGTGGGGGGTGTGGAGCAGCGAGCTGGAAGTAGCAACGATGACGCGGTCCTTTCCGAGCTTTTGAACGGCAGTCTCAACAGTCTCAATAGCACGCTTGAGGTTGGTCTTCCAGATGTTACGGCCATCGACAACACCTGCAGAGAGGATAGTCTTTGGGCCCAAAGCACCAATAACGTCTTCAAGTTGCTCTGGAGCGCGGACCAAATCAACGTGGACAGCATAGATATCAGTTGGCAGAGCATCGAGGTTGTGGACGATGTCACCGAAGTAGGTGGCCAAGACGATCTTTGGGATCTTGTCACCTAGGCTGGCGAGCTTCTCATAAGTTGGCTTGAATGCAGCCTTGACCTTTGGTGACAAATCGAAAACGAGAGTGGGCTCATCGATCTGGACGGTCTCAGCACCGGCCTCCTTGAGCTTAATGAGAAGTTCCTCATAGACGGGAAGAAGCTTCTCGAGAAGGTCAATTGGGTCGACGGTCTGGTCACGGTCTGGCTTGCCGAGGGCAAGGAAGGAGACGGGACCAACAAGGACAGGCCGGGTAACAATGCCAGCCTCCTTAGCCTCAACAAACTCATTGACAGCCTTCGAGTTGGGGTTGAGCTTGAAGGTTTGTCCGTCTTGCAGGGTTGGCTTGACATAATGGTAGTTCGAGTCGAACCACTTCACCATCTCCAAGCTGGGAACATCAACACCATCCTTCTGGTGACCACGGCCCATAGCAAAGTATTCATCGACAGGGTTGAGGTTGTATTTGGTATAACGGGGAGGTGTGGCCTGTGCAAAGATAGATATGGATTAGCATGTGATTGGTCTAGAGATGGAGGGGAACCTACACCGAAGTCTTGGATGTGGCTGAGGACTTGATCATAGAGAGCGAAGTCATTGCTGGGAATGACATCGACGCCGGCATTCTTCTGGATGTTCCAGTGCTCAAGACGAAGTCTCTTGGCCTCGGCGAGGAGATCGGCTTGAGTGATCTTGCCGCCCCAGTAAGCTTCTGTGGCCTTCTTCAGCTCACGGTTGGCTCCCATGCGAGGGAAACCGAGGATGGATCTGTTGTTGAAATTGTATTAGCATTCTGTTATGTTCAATGTACTTCTGGGACAGCGTATACTCACGATTGAACCATGATTGCGGTGTTGTGAAGTTGTAGAGTGGTGGTGTGAAATGGAAAATTCGCTTGTGCAAGGTCGTGTTAACAACGATTGCGTGCGAGGGCAAGTCTCCGAAGATCGGACCGAACCTTTTCAAGCTCTGGAGCGAGGTATTACAGAGAAGAAGGAAGAATGGATGAAGGAAATCACTTGGAGGGAGATCCAAGTAATATACTAGAGAGAGATATTGGGGATTGTTGAGGAGGGGTAAAGAGGAAGGATGAGGAAGAAAGAGGGATGAGGAGGGAGCGGTGTGAGGAAATTGTGCTGAGGGGTTGTTCAGAAAAAGAGAAAACGCCATTAGCTTGCTTTTGGCGGGGTTGGGGTTAGCGTGTTCTGCACGTGATATGTGCAAGCCATCGTCCTGCGGTGAGGAATCCATCGTGTCCTGTGTCTGGGAGGTGGAAAGCTGTAAACGTCATGATATCGAAAAGGCGAAGTTTTGTGTGCATTATAATTTCAGCGGAAGGGATCATCTTTGGATCCGTGATGCACGACAAGGCCCCAAGGCGACAGGGAGCGCATCAACCAACCCGGACGCTGGTAAGCATTGTTTCGATATACTTTATGGCGGTGTTTTGGGAGGATGGGGTGCGGTACGGGTACGAACTTCCCACGATAACACCGTATCGAAGAGCTTATAGCATGTAAGCTGGCTGGGCAACGTGTTACTGCGTTTTCAATAAATGGAATTGTTAATTTCGTGGCCAGTTTATAAACGACCTCGGTTTTGGTAGGCTTCGAAATAAGTGTAGCGCACCCGATCCTCCTAAAACACCGCTATACATAAGCACCAACTAGGTAACTCTATCTGTCTAATAAACGGCTACTAGGTAACTGCTACTGTGAGCCAAGTACCTAGCTGAGGCTAGCTCAATTACTGGAGCATAGTAACTATTAGCCCTTACGTATCTTGTCAAAGAATTCCCACCGAGATGTTAGGTTACTACCATAGCATGCGGCCATAAAAATAGAAGGATCCATGCCAGTGAGCTCGCCGGCGAAGGGCTCAAGTCTTTGTGGATAGTCTGTAACCGCCCTTCGCCCAAACCCTACACAATATTCAAGTTGCGGACGACGTATATAGCTAGTGCCAGACGCAAGGAACAATAGAGGTGTAGTATCTCGCTCATTTTGGACTTGTAAATTCTGACGGGCCGATTTAAATATACATGTTATAAGATAAGGAGTTGCTAAGAACGGATTCCTCAAGGGCAAGGAGCGTTTGAACATAGCCTTTGCTTTTATCTTTAATACCTCTATCGAACCCCTCCCACAGCTGCCCTTGGCTGCAAGGCTAGCTGCATAACGCGCATCTTGATATAGAATGCATTTGGCTTGCCTTGGCTTTTGATTGCTCGGCGTTGTGGAGCTAGGCGTCACAAAACTGGCGGCCAGTGGTCGACCGGAGGATGACGGCCTTTTCCTTGCAAATAGACAATTTGTGCTGTTTGCTGGCACCCGATATTTCTCGTACAAGCTGTCATTTCTAGTATCTTCCTAGTCTTACCGCCCTGTTTTGAGGTGTGGTCCGGACAAGGGCCCTTCACTATTCTAGTATGAAGTTGAATTGTAGTACGCCGAGTGGTCACTAGATGTGTTCTTAATAGGGGATCGCGGAAATAACCGTTGCGCTGCTTTCGAAAGAGATGGTGGAAGAGAGCCATGGTCTGCATTTCGGCTTTGGTTTCGAACTCTACCTGCGGGGACTTGGTTTGAGTTAGCTTTATAGCACGTCGGAGGAAAGTAGCACGACTCTTTGCCGGGAGTGTTGTGAGCTGGAGGAGGAGCCTTATGCTCTTGCTTGCATGTTTTCTAGGTGTGCGCTCTACGAGGCAAATGCTGTTGTTCTTGGTTGTTCTATTTGATAGCCCGGGTTTTGCCCACGGCGACAGGGGCGTTCAGCAGCGGTCGGCATGGGGCGTTAGGCGAGGCTGGGAAGCTGACGTTAGTGAGCTGCGGGCAGACTCGTATTACCGGCCAGAAAGTGGCGCGTTACCACCAAGACGATGCCAAACCATCAGGATATAACATTAAATGGCTAGGCGGGTTCTCTACTCCGTAACTATTTTGTGTATATATATCACTCCTCATGGGGCAGGAATCAAGGAATGAATTCCTTCGAGATGAAGATATGACGAGGAACCGTACCCCGCGATAATGGCCCCCAACGCAGTGAACGCACACATATCCGTGATTAGTATCAGATAATAGGGTGTCTGTAGAAGTCTGACGTAACACATCTGTTACAGCTTTACTCTATTAAGCCATATTTCAATAATTCCACCTGTTATTTCCTAAAGACACAATTAAGCTTCACTGGAACCCCGCCTTCTCGGCCGATTCATGTTCCATTTACGTCCTCGGTACTGAGTGTAATTATTGGCACTACCATTCATACTACATCTTCATTTCGAATTAAGAACCCAAAATCAGATTTCCGAGAACCCTCTGCTCAAACAATACGATGCCATCTTCAGCAGCCGCAGATCAACTCGCAGACGCCCGCACTCGCCTGCTCTCGCACTTCACTGGTGACGTCTCCCAGCACGGCAAGAAATGGGACGACCTCTGGAAGGAAGGCTTTGTACCTTGGGATAGGGGGTTGCCAAATCCCGCTCTTGTCGATCTACTTTCTGAACAACCGGGCCTCCTTCCAAATCAACCAGGGCGGAAACGCAAGGTGCTAGTTCCCGGCTGTGGGAAAGGATATGACGTTTTGCTGTTCAGTGCGCACGGGTATGATGCATACGGTTTAGAGATTTCGGATGCGGCGCTGGAGGGAGCTAGAAGAACTGAGAAAGAAGGGAAGCAGGAAGGTGTTTATGAGACGCAGAAAGAAGTGGAGAGAGGGACCGTCAAATGGTTGAAGGGCGACTTTTTTAAGGATGAGTTTTTGAAGGACGTTGAGTGCGAGGGGCTATTTGATTTAATCTATGACTATACTGTTTGTCTGCCCCTTCCGCCCATCATGGATTTTCCGGTCTGATAATTTGCCATAGTTTCTTTCCGCCCTACCGCCTTCACTGAGGGCCGGCTGGTCGAAACGCATGGCACAACTTCTTAGTCCTGAGGGACGACTCATTTGCGTCGAATTTCCCACCTATAAGCCCCCATCCACCGGTGGCCCGCCTTGGGCTCTGCCGCCGAAGATATATATGGCCCATCTGTCACGGCCAGGAGAGGAGCTTCCCTATGGGGAGGATGGCAGTCTGCTCGAAGCGCAGCTTGGGGAGCCAAGTAAGAGTGGTTTACAACGGGTGGCACATTTCCAGCCCAAGAGGACACATGAAATCGGTTATGATGCCGAGGGAAATATAACGGATTGGGTTTCGGTATGGGCACATCCAAAAACTGTTAGCTAGTATCCAGAAAATATAACCAGCCGTTTCCGCGCAAGAACCTGGGACTTCAGGGTGCTTTTCGAAGTGAGTTGTAATGCTCTCCCAAGCCAAAACCATGGCGATAGTATGCCAGCCAGATTTTTTCCGGTTCCGATGCACCAGCAAGATCAGGCTCGATATTCTGTGCTACTCCATTCTGCAAAACGCAAATTTCGACATTATACGTCTTGGCCAGCGCAAGTAACTCAAGGTGCCCACCCCACTCAGCCGTATCACGGATCTTATGCACGTATTGACCCAAGGGCTCATCCAACCAAGCCACAAAATCGTCCGGATGTGCTTCGATGTATCTCGCTGCTGCTTTCCGAACGACTTTGTACCGTTGGTCCTCTTTTAGTTCCGCGTCCGATTCCGCGCCTAGGGGTATGCCGACTTGTGAGAGCTGATCTGCGACTGCTGAAAACAAGCAGTGGCCATCTGGTCGGATGGTCTTCTCCGTTAGTCCTCTGGCCTTGAATTCCTTCAGCATTTGGGCTCGTTCCACGGCTTTTGGATCGGGTTGATTTGCAGCTTCTTTTTTTGCCTCTTCTACCGCATTTTCTTGTTCTGCAGCGCGTCTTGCAAGCCGTTCTTTCTGGCGGTTGCGTTTCCGGGGCTGACCATTCTCAGGTGGGGCTTCTGAGACTTGGGATTTATCGAGGGACTCTGTAATTTCTTCAACTCCATTCGATAATTGCTCAGTATGTTCTTCGTCCATGGTTTCGTCAAGTCTGGGGCTGTCACCAGCAGGGGGCGCAGTGTCCCCCTCCCCGTTCAGAGCAAGCCTTTCCCCCTCCTGTCTTTCCTTTACTTGTCTTTCAAGCTCTTCACACTCGCCATTCACACCCTTCCGTGTCTTTTTGGTGGCAGCCTTCTTCTTCTGCATAATTCGTGACTGGAGGTCCTTCTGTTCTTTGCGATGCCGGCTTTGCATCTCCTCGAGGGACTCCATCGTGGATGCCTTTAGGTTTGCGAGGTTTGCCAGGGGCTTTTCTCGGTCGAGGGAAGCGGAGGGGCAAATATGCGCTCAGAAGCCAGCTTTGGGCTCTGAACCAGTCACAACTCCCAGAGCCTCGAGGCGCTGCCAATATTGGAATCAAATCGCTATATGATGCTGGACTGCGAGTAGTAAGGATGGCATTTGTGTGGGCTGGACCCTTGAATTTGCTCGTTTGGCAAACAACATCCATCGCCTCCCAACCTAAACCTAAACAACCCCTGTACGGAAACATATCCGAATAAGTTTCGTTTTCAACCTCGGGCCAATAAACATCACTATTGTCTACCTTCCAGACTTGATGCAATGGTGCCGCATAGCCGGCCACGGAGCACAAAGAGTTCCCCGCCAAACTCGCAGTAACTGCCCGCAACAAGCTGTTATTATTATTATTATTCCCGATAACTGCGCACGCACCCTGCAACCGTGGTAGAGCATGGTGACAGATGGATGGATTCTTCCTCCAATATTGGATTGCGCCAGCCTCGATTCGAGCGGATGTCGGCTCAAGAAGTGCCGGCCTTTTTCGTCGTGCGGAACCAGAGAGGAAGTACAGGTAATAGTGTTGGTAAAGTATCTTAGATGCAATTTCCAAGTCATACATTCTCCTTCTTGATATATCTCCATACTTAGCTCTCGTTTGCCACATCGGGCTTCTCTCCTCACGTTGCGGTCCATACTCAGTCCATGATCATCATCCTCGAGATTCTGCCGTCTCCGCATTCGCTGGAGGGCTTGGCTATTTCTCAATAACAGGACCATAGAATGGTCACAGACCCAGAGAAAGCTGGGTTGGCAGCCCAGCAACCTATACCTCAAAACGGCAGTGGCCCAACTATACACCCAGCACTTCCCACGGCCAAAGATGGTCACGAGAGATCGGGCAATGAAGACGAAGTCTCAATTCATTCGCACTCTTCTATAGAAACAGTGGAACCTGCTCCACAGGATCAAGAACAAGCTCCAGCGCAACGTTCCAAGTCAAGAACCTCTTCAACCCGCTCTCGCGCCTTGACCATAGTACCACGTTCGAAAAGAAGGGGTCTGCTGGGGAGATTCGCTCTCGTCCCAGAAGTTGAAAGACCTTTCGATTACAAGAGGAGTACCAAATGGTTTATTACCGCGGTGGTTGCTTTGGCTGCGGCTGCTGCACCAATGGGTAGTGCCATATTCCTCCGTAAGTTATGCCAGCCCAAAGATTCAGAAGCTCAATACCGGATCTGGCTAACAATCTCATCTGGCAGCTGCACTTCCCGGCCTAGCAAAAGATTTAAACGCCACACCAACGATCACCAATCTTTCCGTGGCCTTGTACATGTTGAGCATGTCGATATTTCCTCTCTGGTGGTCATCCTTTTCAGAAACATTAGGCCGCAGAACCATCTATTTGGTCTCCTTCGCTCTATTCACATTATGGAACATAATTTCAGCCATCAGTACATCAATTGGGATGCTCATCGTTATGCGGATCCTTGGTGGTGGTGCTGCCGCGTCAGTCCAAGCCGTCGGAGCTGGCACAATTGCTGATATCTGGGAGGTGCGCGAGCGTGGGCGTGCCATGGGGATGTTCTATCTGGGGCCGCTGCTAGGTCCGCTTTTGGCACCCATATTTGGCGGGGCACTATCCCAGGCCTGGGGCTGGCGAAGCACCCAATGGTTTCAGGTAATATATGGAGGTCTATTATTCATTACATTAACATTCTGTCTCCCCGAGACACTTCCACACCGAGTGGTTGCATCAAGCCAACCTGCGGACCAAAATACGACGAAATCCGGCCTAACACGCTCCTCGACCCGACAATCCATTCAACAGAAGACAGGCAAGGTTGCTAAGGTCTTCAAGCGGTGCATCATTGACCCGCTTAGTGTCCTGGCATATTTGCGTTTTCCCGCCGTCTTGTTATCGGTGTATCTCGCATCTATTACGTTTGGCTCTTTATACGTACTCAATATTTCTATCCAGCAGACCTTCTCTGAGTCGCCTTACAATTTCTCCGTAATTATCCTTGGGCTCATGTATATCCCCAACGCTCTCGGCTACACGCTCGCATCCCTATTCGGCGGAAGATGGACAGATGTAATAATGCACCGGGAGGCACGAGCTGCCAACCGCTATGATGAAAGCGGCAAATTAGTATTCATACCGGAAGATCGTTTGCGAGAGAACGCTTGGCTAGCAGCAGTTATGTATCCAGGTGCGCTGGTTTGGTACGGCTGGACAGCTGAGAAGGGGGTCTTCTGGGTTGCGCCCGTGATTGCCAATTTCTTTTTTGGCATAGGGAGTATGATCCTATTTGGCACCATCACCACAATGTTAACAGAGTTGATGCCACGACGCTCCAGCTCTGGAGTGGCCGTGAATAACTTTGTCAGAAACATATTCAGTTGTGTGGGAGGTGTGGTTGCTCATCCAATCATTTCAGCTATCGGCAATGGATGGTTGTTTACCATCTTGGGCATTGCCTGCTGGATCAGCTCTTTCGGTGTAGTTTGGGCGATGAGACGATTCGGACCAAGATGGAGAATCGACATGGAAAGGCAGATGAAGTCTTGATATATGATCCCAATATTAGATGAAATTAGGCACGCCGCTCGAAGTGCCAAAGTCTCCGGCTGCTGCTGAAGCTTGTTTGGACGATCTCCCGGTCTGAGACATGACGTCTTTCGAGGTTTTACCCCATGAACCTTTTTCAACTTCGATATAATCGATTGGTGAAGTCAGGGTGGCAACTCGGGAGTCTACCTCGGTCCAAGCAAAGTTATCAACGTCCCCCATCAACTCTGCACCCTTTGCTTGTGCCTCTGTAGCAATCGCTCCGGGAGTACCTTCATGGAATTCCAATTTCCGCCTCAAGGTATTGGCCTCCTCTTTGGACCATTGCAAATACCGGTCCCCATTCGGCGCACGACCAATAAGGGACCTCCAGGCACTTGCGACGTCAAAATCGGGATACACTTGCTTTAGCAGCCCTTTCACAACAAGTGACGGGGACCATTGCAAGGAGTTGAGATTTTGCCTCTCATAATGCTCAGCGACGTGGGTGACTCGACCTATTATTGCAGTCAGAATTGAGCATTAGAAGACACTGATGCATCTAAAGGCAGCGGGAGCATGTCCTCTCCCAGGATAGGAACACCAGTAGGTTTGTTTGTGTTTGCTTCTTGAGTTCCAATGGCGGCAAGGATCAGGATTGAGACGAGTATATCCCAACAAGAGCGCCGGCAAAAAAACAAAATATAGCAAAAAATTTAAAACCAAGCGGAAAATGCAATAGCACAGAATCAAACAAATTTCAAAATCTGCAAAACACATACCTTCCCAAGTAAACGAGCAACCCCCACAAAACCCACACCCCCAAGCCCATTTCCTCTTCGGCGGCTCACAGTGCCACTCATTCCACCCAGTTGCCCCTTCCGCCAAATTATGCATCTGCTGCAAGTGCTGCTTCAACTTATCTTTTCTCCCCCACTTCCTATTTGAAATATGTTTATTCGTGCACTCATTAATCTTATGCCTCTTCGTGAGATGTAAGACGATATCGTTCCGGGTGGCCTTGATAGAGTCGCAGAATACGCACATCCAGCCGCTGGAGACGTGAATGGCCGGGTCCGTTAGCATGCATATCCAGTATGTTTGTGGGTCGTGGGACTCTTCGTGCCGGCGCCAGTCACCTTTGCGAGAGAAGGGTCGGTGGCAGACGGTGCAAAGGTAGGTTGGTTGTGATTTAAGGGGTTTGATGGGGACTTTTTGGGGGGCTTTTGACGATGAAAGTATTTTGGTGTCGGATGGATAACGGGGGCAAGGAGACCCCTCTTCCTCGGGTATTGGTTTGAAAGGAGAAAACTTGGATCCAAGACCTGTCGATTTCTTCTTATCTAGTTCAGTGGGCTTGATGGTCTTATTTATATCCGTCTCGGTATCCTCGAGCACCATATCGTCCAAGTTCGGATCATAGACAGAGACCAGTGTCGATGTCGTATCCCATGTTCGCAACGAGGATGAATAAGAAGACCGTTCCACCCTTGTCATATTTCTTCCATGGTCCGCTATGGAGGAAAGTAAAGGCAGGGATTCCGTGGTTGACCATGAGGTATGGTGCTCGGAGCTATCGATGTTGAAGGACTCTATCGTGGGGAAGGTTTCGTCTTGGGGAAACTCAATGGGAGACCAATTCTGGATCTCTTGTGAAAAGTCCATATCCATATCCAGTGGCACAAACTGAGCGTCGGTATGAAAAGACTGATTCGAAGATGGATTTTGATTGGAGCCGTTCAGGAGACCAGAGTCTTGGACTGAGGTACTGCTGGAAAGTCCGTATACAGATTGTGCCGGCAATTCCGCAGTGTTCTCGCCATCTATACCGATCAATTAATGGCACGTTCTCTCAATAGCTTGATAATTTCTCACGCTTCGAAGGCTCAACGTTCTCCCACCAAAAGTCAATTTGTTCCCCGCTCAGCCCTTTCTCAGCGTGGAGGAAGGCTTTATCTTTCTTCCCCGGCCTTCGATTCCCTTTCGTCGCGACCCAGCGCCGTAGAGTCCATTCTTGAGCTTCCGTGATCGGTTCCATTGCGCTTCAATGCAATGATGGTTGCCGACCAATTATGACGAATTGGTGCAACAATACAATGGCAGCGCTCTAAAAAGCAAACCGACCGTATGGTCTCTAACTTTGAACGAGTGTGTGCGACCAAGAAGCCAATCAGTCAATTATGTCGATCAATTACCGAAAATCCATTATCATCAATCATAAATTTTCGCTCTGGCGATGACGGCCAGCCAACCCCCCCTTTACATATATACCTACATAAAGTGCTATAACCTGCCAACTCACCCACAAATGACAGCTTGCCCTCGAGTCGAGGCGGGGCGAGGCGAACACGCCCCAAAGGGCGAAAATTCTCGAGTTAGAAAGAGCTTCTGAAACGAAACGAGACCTGCGTGCGCCCTCTCAACCCAGGAGTCGTTCGGTCTGCATACAGTAAGTCACCCACCCAATACGCGGTGAGTATGGGGATGCGGACATTTAGGTGATGTTATGGGGAAACGCAACATCCGTCCAATGGGTACCCTGGGGACATCACAAGAGGCAAGAACATGCGAAGAGGCAGGTTTGCGTCAAGGTGGTAGGGTGAGATTTGGGCTGAACTTGAAACGTTGTGTTGTTTCTACTATACTGCGATCAGCCGGTGATTCGCTGCGGGCGTGAAACGGGGAAGGCGAGCTGGGCGAGCTGCGGAAGGATGACGGTGTGGCATGGCATGACATCCTTCTTTCGAACTTCGCGGATCTTTGTCAATTTGACCTTGCTGCGGATGATCTGATCTCCAAATAGTTTTTGGTAGTAATAAATGTTGGAGTTGGACGTTTCGGAGTTGGGGTGTTGGTGTTTTTGCTCAGCGTCGTCAAGGTATGTACCAAGTACCTTACCTTACGGAAGCCAGGTTGCTCCTCTCTCACTATGACGGGATAGGTCGTTTATATACCTCTCATTCTCTACCCCACCCATCATCTTCCTCTCTATCTTTTGGAGGACAAGGTACGGCTACGAGGACAGCAACTATCAACGCCCCGCTTGTCAGGTTCACACAGAGGGGCAACTAGGCAATGGACATTACAATAGCTGGAGGTTCGCCAGCTAACTGTCTCCCTCTAGCCATTAGCAGGCTAATTTATGATCTATAACCTAATCGATAACCTGATTAATAACTAATTAATAGCCTACCTACCTAATCAGTCTATATGTTGGCATCACCTGACAGCCCTGACAGGTGTCATAGTCACGTGGGTGCGGGTTTCTGGAAACTTGAGGTCACTCTTTCGCTAGAAATATCAAGCTTGCTAACTACTACTTAAATATGACTCCGCTATCTCGATATCGGAGTAGTATATGGGTGATAGCTGTATGTTTGATATTGATATTCTAGTTTACGCTCGTTACGACTTGTGCTGTTAAATTATTTTTATTTTTATTTTAATGCTTATTCGAACCAAGGATTTGGCTCTTGACCCAATTATAAAATGTTAAATAGATGCTTTTGTTAATACTGGGTTACATCTCCGTGGGGTTGGACTCCATTATCTCCGCAATTGAGACTTGAATACCAGCGGCACGCATGCAATGTAAGTTTAAGCTTTTTCATATAGCGAGTCTGGCCCAATGACCCTTGTATCTACAGGGCTATACAAACTGGGAAACCGACCCGCTCCAACTCTCAGCATCCAGCTCCCAACTTCCAAACCCAGGCTTCAACACTGCAATCTACGTTGTGTTGAGTTGGGAATTGTATAAAAGTATTTAATCGACCCGTTACTTGCTAATGGGAGCGATAGTAGCGAGGGATAAAGGTATGGGGTATGATCTGGTATGATGAGATCTAGTATACAAGTAAATCCCGGCTGGCCCGGAGATATCTATGACAACGGGTGGTCCCAGGGATTCGAAAGACGTGCTAACGGACGATACGATCGCCCTACGGAGTATACGAAGAGCGTCATACCCTATTTGGGGAAGTTGGTATGCATAGAATACGAAGCATTCTCGCTGTATAAAGGAGGCATGCCGCCAGAAGCCTCTACTACCACGTACTTACATAGCGCGTAGGGTTCCCGATTGGGTGGAGCGGCGAGATGTAAGAATACCTTAATAAGTGTTGTTCTATGGAGGCGAAGCCGCACCCAAGGGAGATATATTCTATATGGACATACCTCCGCCTTGGAAGCCGTAAAGTGGATTCTCCAAGAGAACAAATCATACTGTATCTGCTCAATTTGGCTTAACTACGACGTATACCAATTTACTTTCCCAGTTAAGTTGCTGATTCTACGCTCTATTAGACGTGCAACAATGCGGCGTATGCTTGAGCCGGCCGGGAAAATACACCCACAGTGACCCGTCTCTCATAGTGGCGTACATCCACACACCGTTTTCATCATATCATGGTTGCTAGTTATAGTAAAGGACTGATCGAAATTCAAGAAACCTTCTAATTGGATTGTTAGACAGGAGAATAACGTAAAAGGATCCTAATCCCAACATTGTCCGCCGGACATGCTACTAGTAGTTGCTTACGAAGTCTGCGGCAGTGGAATTGTAATATCGTAGCTACCAGCCTCTAGAGATATAAAACCCATGCCTATTCCTGATCTTTGTAACTTTTACTCACTTAGACTTTCAAGCGCAAATATAGAGTTGTCTTCTATACTACCGTCACATTTTAAACCGAGGGACTCTATGCCATTAGCACTCAACAATTCACAAACCGCCCCCAATATCCTGCTCTACAGCCATGAAGTTCACCTTCGGGGGCCTCGTGGTTCTCCTTACTGCCACCCCCATCGCTGCGGATATTATTAGCGCCATCGTCACCCACTCTCAAGCAAACAATAGGGGTTGCACCGATAACGCCGACTATTACCAGATCTTCTCGTCAATCAACCAGATTCAAGGACGCCCGGGTTGCTCAGGTATCGACGCGCGCCTAGTCGCGGCTTCGCAGAATAAAAGGGGCTCGCAACTCGAGGGCTGCAATTGGGGATATTCAGGCCACTGGGCGGTTTGCATGACCAGCTACGGTTGCAATGTGCATAATGGACAGGTATGATTTGCTCTTTGCGACCGGAAGCAAACCGGCCGTGTTGACTAGTAAATAGGGCCAACATCAGCGCTGCGTTCCGGATAGTACGACGGTCATGTCTTGCCCACAAGCTGGTGGTCTTTACGGTTGCTGGACTTATCAAGAGCGTGTGATGAAGTGCTCTGGGGTTTGGGAGCAGGGCTAAGGAGCCTAAGGTGTTCAAATATCCTAGGGCTCGGACGGCACTATTAGTCGTTAGATAAGTGTCTAGAGAACTTGTATTACATTTCTAGGAGGTTAAGGAGCTGAAGCATATCCTGTACTTACAATAGATAGGCATACTAGAACGATTTAGGGTTTGGGGGAAATTAACATTCGTTGCTTTCTTCAAGCCTCTTCAAGTTATAACTATACACTTTGTTAGGCTCTTCTATATCTCTAATTTAAAGTAATAACTCTGGGAACGGTATACTTAAAGTACGTCCACAGAGTGTGGCCGGGCGATCTCAACCTCACCCAGGCTAATCATTTTGTCTCAAATGTACTCGTATTAGCTAGAATTGCCATGTAGCACATCGATGAATAGTTATGTAATAACGGGCCCTAGATGTTGTTTTTGCAAACCAACACCAACGCAACAAAAGCCTAGATAAATGATGGAGGGGAGTGGTGGTGGTGAAGCGGAGCGGGGCGGAGCGGAGGCGGCCCGGCATTAGGGAGAACCTTAAATGAAGACCGACTGCAGGCCCGTGCACGCACTTCCACTATGAGAGGCAGGACAACACCAAACCCAGACCAAGTCGGTCAACAAGCCTTCATCCATCTACGAAGTAGTTAACTGTGAAGTTGGCTTCATACGCTTCACACGCCCACAACATTCAACATCTGCCTTATCGGGCATAGTTCAACTAGCGATATAAACAACAAATCTACTCTATGTGCACGGAAAAGGATTCAATGAGTCAGGTATGAAATTTACAAATTTTGAATATTTATTGTCTCTAACAATACTACACCAAACTGCGATGATGGGGGTATCTTCGCACTAACTCAGAAGGTAAACACAGCCAATATTTTCCACATATAACACATACAACACATTCTTCAGACAAGGGACAGGAAATGAGCGTATGGACACATAAGTGGTCGAAAAGGAAAAATATCAACGAGACAAGACGCCGGTCATATACAAAACAAGTAAGGTAGTACTCCATCATACCCCTTCCACCATTTCCCGCCCCCATATAAAAGCAACAAACGTATGGGCGCGAGCCAATTCGTGCAACGCCAATTCCAACCATTCCCATCCCACATCTTACAAATTCTCAAAAGCGATCAAAAGCCCCTGAATGGATCGTGGCCAAAGCCGCCCTGCTCAAAATGACCATACTCTTCCTCGCCCGCTGTCTTACTCCCACTATGCCAGTCATCGCTTGATCGGCCGTTGTTGGCGTAATAACTATCCATATTTCGACTTCGTCTTCTCCTGTCACGACTTCGTCTGCGGCGCATACCTACGAAATCCATTTCATCTTGCTCATCTGGGCAATCATCAAATCGAGTCAATGCCATTGGACTGATAAATGCTTCCATTCTCATCGTGCCAACTGCGTCGAAGAAGTTATTGACTACTGCTCCAGGTCGGTTCGACGCATCTGATGTGCGTACCGATGATCGGCCACTGGCGCTCATGCCGTTGTATACCGAAATGGTGCTTGGTGGTTGGGAATTGTAGATGTCTGAAGAGCCAGCTGTCCCGACGCTCATCCCAGCAGTGCTGGAGGTCGACGCATGGCCGGCGCTGACAGGCCCGGAGAAACCACGGAAAGAGAGAGGGGGTGGAATGCGTGAACCGGTATTACTACGCTTTCTGCTATGGGTAAGAGCAGGCCCGTGTTGGCCACGCTCTGAGAATCTGGGGACAACTGGGGGATCTGCGGCAGGGGAAATGCCATTGTTGCGAGAAGAGGACGACTCCCCTTCCGGTATATTATCGGTGGGAAGAATCATAGGGCGTACACTGGTGGGTCCAGCGCGTGCAGCTGCTGTTTTACCCTTCGCAACACGAATTGAGTCTCGAATTGGGTTTCTGCGAAGACGATTGGTCTGAGGGACCTCAAAGTCAGGAATTGTGGGCTGTGGGATTGGAATGGGCGCTTGAACGATTTCTGGAACGGCTTGCGATGAGTGGGCGAGGAAGGAAAGCGCTGTAAGCCACACATAGTGTCGTTCCGCTGAGACTGCGGTGAATTTGAGGGCCCGAGCTGGAGTGAGAATCAAGATTGAGCGATTGAACACCGATGAGGTGCCCTTCGGAGCGGGATTGTCATCCTTGACATCTAACACCGATTGAATAGTTACTGCTGAAGTTAGCTGTCTGGATTCCAATGGACACGGGGCAACTTACATTTTCTGCCTGTCTTGCCCATCAAGGCCGAACCAGATGTTGGCTGTTTGCTGCTCCACATCACGGCTCTCTCGTAAGGGGCAAGCCAGACCCAGCGCTTGTGGCGAACGCCGTTTACACCATTTTCATCCGCACCGTTTGATTCAGCCACCCCAAATGACTTGCGCCGTCGGACATATTTAAACATCCACTCGCCGACCATCGTCTGGGCAATGGCGTCCACAACGCTAGTAGCTTGGTTCGAGCTCCCTACAGAAGCGGTGCCAGTGTTGGAAGTGTTTGCCGTGTTCGCCGATGGCTGATGTCTATGAGATCTAAACCGACTACTACCAGTTTCCTGCATATATCGCGGTGTTGTAATTTCGTTGCTGGGCATGGGTGGCAGTTGGGGGCTCTCGGGAGCTTCGGTTGATGGAGACATTGGCGGCGGGGATCGACTACCGCGGCGTCTGTAGCTTCGACCACCTCTTGGGAGAGCTGCAGCGGACCGGACTTTTCGGATACTGTTGGACCTGTAGTGACTACTCCTACGCGACCCCCGTCCCGAAGTTGGACTTCTATTACCATCACTAGGAGCGCTGGCACTGATGGGAGGCCGCCTTGAGCTAGCCCGAGTTGGGATTGGGAAAGGAGGCTCCTTGAAAATCTCTGGGAGGCTAGGGCTTCGCGAGCGACCTTGATGCGCAGCTACGCCACTTTGAATGAGAGCAGCCCGACGCATTGCATTTGGCTTAATCGTGGTGGTCAATGTCAATGGCTTATCCAGCTGACGAGGCGATCTCATTGATGATCTGTGCAGGCCTGATACTATTTCGGCTGAGCCATAGTCCAAGTCAGGTTCATGAGTGCTGTCTTGTCCCATCCAACTCTTTCCAGGAATTGGCCTAGCTGTCTCCTCCTCCAACTCTACATTCTCAGGAACCGACGTCGGGGCAGGGGTGATCCGCCTTTTATTTCGGTTCATAGCAGTTTGGGGGTTTGGGGCCGAGAGTGGCGTTCGGTAATCGTTGTCGCTCATGTCGGCATCAGCAAACTCATCAGCATCATCCGAACTAACATTTTCGAAACCGGCAAACAAACTACTAATCCGATGGGGCCGTCGTATCGAACCCCTATTATTAGCTAGAGGTCCGTCATCGTTATTTCCAGGATACGCGTCCCGGGTGGCGGAAAATGGAAATCCAGGGGGCGAGGATGGTATATCCCGATCCAAGCTCTGTCTGGGACTGGTCATCACCCGCCGAGGATTGCGCTGAGGTAGGTTCCCCGGAACAGGGGAGAATCGCTCGGTTTCGTTAGTTGTAGGCTCTGGGGATGGAGGCTTCGTAGAAATCGCGGATGGTTGGAGGTGGGGTGGAAGTAGATTAAGTCGCTTGTCTACCCTGATCTCTTCTGTTTGCACAGATATCGACCTTGTCGGCACGGGTACTTGCATAGAGACCTGGCAACCAGCATCCTTAAAATGCTGGGGAAGAACAGATTCGTGTGGTGTTGCGGGATTGGATGAGGGGGGGTGTAACTGAATGGATGGAATTGGAATAGGAGGTGGGGGCGGGGCTCGTCTGGGTGATGGTATGGGGGGGGTATCAGTTTGTGTAGATGTAGAGACCATCTCCTGCTTTACCTCGACTGGTGGTGGCGGAGGAGCTCTGGTTGGTGATATAGGTGTTCTTGGGGGACTAAGAGGATCCTCCAGGGTTTGAGATGCCGCAGAAACCATCGGTCCATTCATAGAGGGCTCAATCACCAAAGGCGGGTTTGCATGCACTCGCTTCCGCCGCTGGTTTGCCTCGATTTCCCATTCTTTTGGATGATGTTCGGGCTCCAATTGCTTCTCGACCTTCATCACTCCAATTGTGTTATCGATTGGCAATGGCTCGACGTCTAGTACAAGCTCGGCCGCGGGTAGGGGCGGGGATGGTGGAGGTGAGTATTGCACGCCCGTGTCAATATATTCCACTTTTTGTGGTAATACCATCTCATCATTCTCTGAAATTCCACCTTCAAGCCTGTCGAGAACTGATTGATTGGCCATCACTAGCCTACCACGTGCCACACTTCCTGGCCGTCTGAGACTCTCAATGCTCTGGTTTCGTCGATGGTTTATGGCAAACGCACTCTCCCGACTTTGGGTCCGTTTGTGGCGGATAGATAAAGCGCTTTCGCGCCCGTCATAGTCTGTCTGTGTATCCTCATCGTCGCCAAGGTCGAGTTCATCTGCAAGACATACACCATTGACCTTCGTACCGCCATAACCGTTGAGTCCACTGAGCGTCGAAAATCGTACACTGTTGGTCATGCTCATGGTGCGCACACTTGCTGTATCGCTGCCATGCCCATGAAGAGGGTCTCGGGAGGCCTCCTCTGCTTCGCTTTCGGGCTGTTGTACGGCATTTTGATGATTGGCCTGGTATGCAGCAACTTCATCCAGAATGGTCTTCAGGCGACCTTCAGAAACGTGAAGCTTGCGGTCTAGTTTTCGTTTCTCATCTTCCCAATTATCTTTGTCTTTCGCCCAAAGCTCATGCACTCGATTTGAATCCTCTTCCTGGGTTCGGATTTTCTTCTGTGCAACCTCCAATCGTCGCTTGGAATCAGCACTGGAATCGACCGCCTCGTCACGCTCCCGAGCAAGTTCTGAGAGAGCGGATGATGTCCCCCCTTCTAACAAAGCCAGCTGACGTTTTAAAGATCGATTTTCCTTAGCATTGGCTTCCGCGGTACCGTCCTTCTGTGCATGTTCCGCCTGGGTGCTGTGCAGCTCCGTTTCTAAGCTCTCGATCGTCTTCAACTTTTCTTCCTGGTCCCGACGCAATGCCAGGATCTCGGAGACTAAATTCGCATGTAGTGTCGGGGTAAATCGTCGAGGATCTAGTATCGATATGCTATCGAACGCGTTAACATCTGTGTTTCGGTGCTAGATAACTGGGCAAACATACCTTTCATCGGTTGTCACATCTTTGGATTCGCGCCGCGAAGGGGGCGACGAAGAAGGTCCTGGGGAGATTGATTTTTGTCGAGATGATCGTCGTGAGCCACGGGAAGGAGTTCGATACGGCGTGTCGGTGGGAGTGGGAAGTGATGCCGCTGCCGCTGCAGCATACTCATCTTCGGTCTCCCAAGCAGCCATCGTGCTGAACCAAAGGTTGCCTTCGCGACTAGAGACTCAAGCTATCTGCTGCTCAAAAATCCCTCCATCAAATGCCCCGCATCAATGTGAATGAAATGTTGTAGTGTAATAATTGTTTTGCGGGATGGAAGACCAATGCTCCGCCTTCGACGAACTGATGTTCGCGTTATAATCCCTGAATTTTGGTACTCGGGCCCGTTTCGTAAAGCTGGGGTTGCCTAAATTGGACCAGGGAACCCAATGGCTGAGAACAAAATAGTGCTGAACGCTTTGGCATAAGTTAGTTTATATGTTTTGCGAGTTCAAGGATACCTGATGCTCCGCCGACCACACAATGTGGGGGAATCGGTCAAGTACGTAGCAAGACACCGTACCTCGACAAAATGCAATAGTCTTCAAAATAAAAAGGAGGGTAATGATATCGAAATGCGACTATAAAGCAACATAATTAGCTATGATCGCAGACGGACTTTGCCCAACACCCGGAAGATTTGGGGAACGGAGTGACGTACCTTTTAAAACACCTATGCATATGCCATGATGATCATGCAGGTCCCGTTTCAAAATACTTTTAAATGCCGATTATTCCACGCTCCATTCCCATCTACCGAACCGGTTTGCGTGGGTATGATCGCTGGATTATGCCGAATTTCCGCTACCAGTCAAGTCCCGTCCGATGTGGCCCAGTGCAAAAGTCGGTAGGGGAGGGGCGATGATGGAGACTTGGGATTGCACACTTCAAGAAGCAGCGCGAGAGTAGAAATGATGGGAGGAGAAGGTCGTCAATCGGCAGAGAACGTCGAGCCCTCGAGGCTTGCTATCGTCTTCTACGAGCAACAACCGGTCAGCGCCTGATTCCACGGCCACGCTCCATCTCCCTCGGAAGATAATAAAACAAAACAAAACAGCTTTGGAGCGGTATGAGCGAACTTACCCAGCTCTCAGATTGGCATCACAAGCAAAGATTCTCCGGTAATAGAATTCGTTCAAGGCTAGAAAATCGTTGGAGCGGCAGCTAAGTATGTGGTCGCTAGTAAATGCATCAACGTCAATCAACAATTCGTGAGCTTCATAGCATAGCACAACTAGGAGACAGGCGCGGAAGCCGTAACGAAGAACGCAGGCGTACAACCAGGGAGAAACAACAATTGATGGAAACAAAATGAAGCATGAGCACGGCGAAGCTATCCAGCTGCAACCCACGGACTTCAGGGGGGCGTTTTCCAGCGTCGTCGCCCCGGTCCCCAATAACATCCGTTCCCTCTTCCACCGCTCCCATCTTTTCCTCGAAGAGTGGAAGAGTACCGTGGTTGCAACGCATGGGCTGGGGGGCGCGCCATGCTGGATTGAGCTTAAACAGCAGTGGCAGCCAACGGGAGCATTGTGGCATTGTGGCATTCAAGCATTGTGCGGGGGGTCAACCACAGGACGACCACCGCAAGACCGCCGGGTGGGAGATTGGGAGATGGGGAGATGAGCGACAGGGCGAGACTGGAAGAGGCTGCAACACCGCCGGCGCCCTCGAAGCGACCGGCCAGTGAGGGCGATGCCAGGATTCCAGGGAGCACAGTACCGGGCCCCGGGGGATGGCGGTTGCGCTCCGAACCGAACCCTTTCGTGGGATGAATGATGGGATGGTGGGATCATGATCATTATTATTATTGTTGTGACGAGAGCAACGCCATGTGCAGCATCAGCAGCATCAGCAGCATCAGCAGCAGCAGCAGCGCCTTCGCCTCCGTACAATATTCTCCGTCCTGGCCAGGTCTTGTCCTCCGCCCTCCACTCACGGCGCCCGTTATTCTTATTGTTTTCCCAAGGTGAGAGCGGCGTGGCGGAGCGTGGGCTCAGGCTAAGCCAACGGCGCGGGACGCTGGCTTGTCCTTGAGACTGGCTTGACAAGTTGAGTCTTGAGTCCCGAGTCTTGCCTCTTGAGCCGTCGTCCTGGACTCCAAGGCTTGGAGTCCTGGACCCAGTACGAGCAGTAGGCGTCATGCAGCTTCATGCAATACTACAGTAGTCTCGAGCACACTGAGCACAAGCATGGAGTACTGTCTGTACAGAACACCCTGAGTACCACCTCCTTCGAGCGTGTCCTGCTCCACTGCACTAACACAGTAATACAAATACAATGCATACCGCGTGCTTTCTTTTTGCTCGCACGGTGACGGAGTACAGACCATCCCCGAGTATCTGCCGCGTTGAACGCGTACAAAAACACCGCCGAACAACTATGCACGACACGATGCTGTGCTACCTATTCAGGTACATATATCACGCGAAGGATCAATTGCACCAACTGCTACGTACGGAGCACGGCACGTATTCGAGTTGGCTTCTTCCTACGGGCTCACAGGAATCACAGCCCAAATTCTCTGTTGGCTGGGATGGATCTCATTCCCTGGTCTGACAGGACATGGCGGGCCCAGTCCCAGCACCTCGTGCCCCCCATTTTGCTCGTTTTCCCAAGTCCAGTTCAGGGGAAACTGCTGATCGTGACCGTCGATCTATCAGTAACTGAGCAATGGCCTCGGAACGCACCCGATCAACCGAGGGCGACCGGCGACGAGAAGATTAGGGTCTTGACACTTGTCCCTGGTTAATTACTTTTTTATAATACGGAGTCGGAGATCAGCCCCACAAGGCAACCAACTTGTTACAGATTTACAGAATTTCTTCATCCGATTTAAGCCTCAACAGGCTCGTTGCTGATGCCTGCACGCTAGCATGACGTGATTGGCCTGTTAGCAGACTATCACATTTGAGGTGCACGCAGATGCACATTGAGAACACTATTCGGAGGAACATCGAGTCAAAACTAACCCATCAATGTTGAGCGACTGCGGACGAGTGCTATCAGATGCTTCAGATGAGCAGGATAGACACTGCGGGATGTCTGGGAGAACCCGAATGAAATGGGGCAGAAGGCTGCTTCTAAGCAGAAACCAGCCTAGTCATACTTCTGAACTTCTGTAAAACTACGTGTCTTGGCCATTGGAAACGCCGGAACAAGCCACATCCAAATCCACATGCTAGCGCGAGGCCTGCTGGAAGAGGAAATAGTCAGCCCCGAAGGACGAGTAGCCCAGCAAGACCCCTACAAACGAAGTGCTCCCTATGGAATATGTTTTCCTGGGGCATGTGGCATTGTAGGCGACGAGGCCGACAACGTGACAGGAAGTTGACAGGACTACGAGAGTTGTTCTAGGCTCGATCCGATATAACGATCTGCCAAATCATCGTCACTTCGAGAAAACAATATACAACGACCGCGGCTTGGGAGCAACGCCAAGGCAGGCATATGAACTCATGAGAAGCATTCTTTACGAGATCTTTACAAGAGTTCCTGGCTCACCAGCGACAACTTTGAACAAGAGATGTTGGTCATTGTACGCAGTATGACTTGTTGCTCGATGTTGACCCCGGACTACTTCCGTGTATTACTTCGTACTTCGTATATAGGCTACTTTTCATCCTCTCGCAAACCCTGTGAGGCACAAAGTCGCCTCCACAGCTTTCCAAACATGGTTCGCAGTTTATTTTAGGCGATACTCACTCACCAGTTGCACCCGAGGGTGATGGATGAGCCCCCGTGTAGTTGAACTAACGTGACCCTGCAGATTTCCTTGCAAAAACTTTTGATTAAAATCTTTCGAGCCCGTTCCGAAACGTTTGAAAGCTTTGACGCCGTTGAACGATCAAGATTCAAGTCTCAGGAAACGGACCGGGAGAAGAATGATTAAATCTAATTGATACTACGTACTCCAGGGAGGATACTCGTTCAATCGCCAATATATTATCACCAAACCGGTTATGATCCTCAAGATACCCGCACTGTTCACTCCCGGCTATCAACTCCAGATCGGAGTTTTGATATAATCGGTGTCAAAGCACATCAGCCCGCTCCAGGAGGTATGGGGACGGTATTCGAGCCGTCGCACGCTCTCAGCTTCTTCGAGTAATAAGTCCTATCCCTAGTTTGTGGCACATACCCCGATCTACTTCCATAAATTCCCAAATACCAAGTTCTCGACTCTCAAGCAGTCAAGATATCCCCCAATATCTACGTAATCTCGAGTGTCATCATGTATGATGCAGTCATGTCTCTCTCATCAGACCCGGATTTCTGGTTTTGCTAATCATTTCAAGCAAGACCACATGCCACTACTGTACGAGGTACATGCCCTGGGTACATGAGTACAGTAGTAGTACATAGCAATGTTCCCCTATCTAACCACAGTTAGATCGAGCAAGCATCTCACAGACCAAGTCATGATTGCTGACCCCGTTTCCCGGCGTCTGCTGGCCGGCACCCAAATAACAATAATGGTAGGTTGGCGACTCTGCCCCTTTCTCTTATGATCTATCTAACCGGCACCCTCACCCGGAAATTACACCCAACAGCCGATTTGGGACAAGGAAAGCCCCGTGCGTTTCATACTCCAAGCCATGTTGCCGCCATCCCGGTCGCGGCTTCGTAAACGCTCCCTGTCGTCGCTGGTCTGTTTCCTCTGCATTGTGAACTTGGGAATTGTTTATGAACATTAAAATAAAGTCTTGGCAAAGGCATAGTGCCTGCAGGGAGCCGCGAATATGAAGCACGAAATGCAATCAATATCAGCCAGAACAGCTTGCCGTCGTCGCCACGTCACAATATTCGAGGCTGCAGCAACACACATGAGGGGAATATCTTCAATATATAAAAAAGGATCCAATCCCGTCGAAGAGGATGAATTCATAGGACCGATTCAATATTGCAAACAGCGAGTGCTATTGGATGCCGAATCTCCTTGCTATCTCCGCGAAGCCATCTTCTTCCGCTGTCACCCACATGTCAACCCAACTCTTTGCATTTGTGTAATCCTCGGAATCAGCCTTCCAGTCCTCCTCGTCTTTCCTCTCAACATAGATTGTTTTAAACCCGCAAGCCCGGGCCGCCTTCAAATCATTCAGATGCGCAGCTACCATAGCCACTTCTCCCGGTTCCAATCCCATTGCCATTGCTGCACCAAGATACACGTTGGGATGTGGTTTATACGCTTTGAAGTCTGCACCAGACTGCAGTTTCTTGAAGCCAAGGTCCCCGTGCTTGTCCAGGTCTTTCAAGAGTTCCTGGTTGCCATTCGACAAGGTCGAAGTGACGAATCTCGTTCCTAACATCCGTATCCCACGAGATGAATCAGACCAAGGGTCAAGGAAGTGCCAGATAAGGCTCAGGTCTTCGGCCTCGTCATCCGAGTATAGACCCTCGAGATTCCATTTCTTCAGGAGCTCGAGGAGACTTAGATGATGATGGGTGTCGATGTCTCTCCACTCGCTTTCACCGGGGATAAAGCTCTTAGTAAAGTGTTTATAACTGTTCCTCCATTCCTGTGCAAAATCGGCCCAGTCTGTATCAGTCAAGTCGGATAGACGGTACCGGACGTTTGGGGCGAGCTCTGCTGATCTTGAGGACGAAGAGATCTTGGCCGCAGCGCTGTGTATAAGGGTATATGTAACAGTCTTCCTCCAATTGACTATAAATAATAATCAAATTAGTGAACGCATGTATGAGGTATTTTGACAATAACGAGAGCTCCATCTCCATTCTCATGAAGATTATCTTCTGTCGTTTTTCTCTTGGGATATGCCTTCTCAAGGCATGTTATACGAACTAAGTATTATATATAATAAAGCATCTTGTAGCCGACTTACCTACGGTGCCAAAAACGTCAAAGGTCAATGCCTTAGGAGGGTTCCGAATGATATCGTGTGATGAGGACATGGCTCGCTGAACTCACGTAATTGCGATAGATATGCCGCGCCAGCTAAAATAATACACAAAACTCGAGCGAAGAAACCGCAAAGCAAATGGTGAGATAAACTACATATATCCTCTCAATTCACGCGAAGTCAAGTCAAAGCTAAGGAATATAAGATAGGTAGGTATGTTATTGCCCTTCACTGGTTTTGCGCTGGCGGATTGCGGGGAACAACCGACCCGTCCCCTCCCGCTCCGTAGAAACTCCGAGGCAACGTCACTCGATGTCCACATGTGGTGTCCTGTACGAACATGAACATAAATTTGCCAAGTCTTTCCAAACTCCCATAATTGAATGAAGCGACTGATTCTTGGCATCATACATCATTAGAGGGTGGTACAGCTATACACAATATCGCAGGACGTGTAATCCTACATATACGGTCGGAATGCCCCAAGGGAGTCCCCACATATACACCTCAGATCAAACGTCATGACCGGTCCTCACCTCCTCAGACTTCGCCACAACCCTGATATCAAAGCGATTGGACCCGTCAAACCTCTAAATCCTACGTTCATAGAACACCCTTTCGTTTACCTATCCCGCAAGGTTTCGAGTGAGGAGCATCTCGGAGAAGATGGAGATTCTGGCCCTAAAGCTGGAAAGCCAGAAGTGCATGAAGTCCACGCCAAGGGCTTCCATAGATATTTCTCGACCCGTGATAAAAGAAAGGGTAGGGCAGCAAACCCCAGATCATTCTCTCCTTGTAATACTTTTGAGCTAATATATCATGTGCCTTCTAGCTCGACATGCTGTTATTGTGAATCCCGCAGTTACAGACAAGACAAAATATATAGCGCCTCCCCCAACGAATACATTCCGTGCAACGATGCAGGGAATATGGCGCATGTGTACAAAATATCCTTACTGGAACGTCTCGTATCTCGTTGCAGTTGTGTTTACTCTCGGATCTGTGAGTGTCCTTTGAATATCATATTTTCCTTCTCACTGACATTTAACTGTGTAGGTAGTATGGTGCATTAATGCCTTCTTCGGATGGCTTCCCCTAGTAAGGCCATCTACGGAGTTTCCGGGTGAGACAAACTATGGTACCGGTATCACCGCTTTTATCGGGGCAACTATTTTCGAATTTGGATCGTTTCTGTTGATGATCGAGGCAGTCAACGAGGATGAGGCTGATTGCTTTGGATGGGCCCTGGAAGAGGTCATTGATGAATCCGGATTGTTCCGAGTCAGGGCGCATGACTGCAGCCGTCGTGATGAGGAAATGACAAGGTTTCCAAAGAAACAATTCCCTTCAAAAGGTTGGGCTCCAATTGAAAATGAGGCTCAATCACTTACATGATTGCTTAGATGACCCCGTTAAAGGCATGGAAGGAAGTGAGAAACGGCCCACTCGTAAATGGGTATGGTTACCTACTTGGCATGAACTACGGACGCACTACTTCAGAGAAATTGGCTTCCTTGCTAGCCTCTCTCAAACGATAGGTTAGTCTCACAATTGATTTGTATATCAAGTTGCTCACGCATGGGCTTAGGTGCAACTATCTTCTGGATTGCAGGTTTCACAGCTTTACCTCCTCTCAGCAAACATTTTTCGACAGCCGCTGAGAATGGAGCTTTTGTAAGTTTGACTCAGCTTGCTCTACACGTTATTATTGCCTTCTTATAGCTCATCCGGCTATTCTGATGTTCTCATTGCACTTCTCAAAACACCTTACATTTACTCATACATCTGTTGCCCGCGGAGATATGCTATGGTTATCACTTACTAAATATTTGATCTAGTGGCTCCCACAAGTCATCGGAGGGGTAGGATTCATCATATCAGGCGCACTCTTCACAATTGAAACTCAAAAGAAATGGTACATTCCAGCCCCGCGGGTCTTAGGGTAAGCATACTCCGACTATTAAATCTAGCCCACTTAACCTGTTACTAAACCTCTCCTAGTTGGCATGTTGGATTTTGGAACTTTATAGGGGGAATCGGATTTACGCTTTGCGGCGCTCTTGGATTCGCGACCCAACATAGTGGCGTTGAGTATCAATCATCGTTAGCTACCTTCTGGGGATCCTGGGCTTTCTTGATCGGTAGTGTGATCCAGTGGTATGAATGCTTGGATACTCATCCGGTTAAGGAAGAGAAAGTGAAGGAGAGCTAGACTCCATTCAACCTTACGGTTTATATTGGAATTGGTGTTTTGATAATGTAATGCAAGAGTCTCGGATCACGCAAGGTGTCGCAACTATACCTCTAATAACGGTATTAAAAGGGAATGGAGTTTAAAAGGCTGGTGGAATTTGAGAACTTGACTTTAGAAGAAATTTGCATCAAATACATTTAATATCGAGACGCTGGGATTCCTAGTATTTCAACTGACAAAGTTTTCCAATACTGTCAACTTCTTTCCCAAGACCAATCCATAAGCCAATTACTCCGTCATCGCGCCCCAAGAGCACATATTACGCCTCTTATACTTTCCTACGCCGCAACCTTGCCCTTTGATATGCGTACAACCTGCCTATCTCACTCACGGAACAATTCACACCGTCAAGTAAGCCGGAAGCGGGCCGACGCGCATCTCAACATTTTCCTCCCGTCTCCCGGGATATCGGTATTTATCCTCCCGCCCGTTGTGCTTTGCTTTTTGGTTTCGCATCAATGAAGAGCAAAATCCGACCGCTGGCATGCCCGTTCGCCGTTTGATATGCATTGTCGGGTTTTGCTTTTGTGTATCCTGAGAGCTATATGGAAGTTACGGCAGGTACTCCGTAGGTACCTATAGGTACCTCTCATTGGGGAGATTCCCAGAAACCGCTTTCCAAGTCTAGGCTCTTCTTCCCTTCCCAATATTGCTAGCTACACATGGTGTGGATATCAGCTGATTATTACACAATCTAAGTACCTTGTCTAAAGCAAGATATGACGGAATAGAAACCGCCAGCTTTGCTAAACCAATATACACCTTATATATACAAACCCCGTGATCCGCTAGCCCTGCGTCCAGGACACCCACTCAGACGCCAGTGGGTCCAAAAGAGGAACCGGCCCTCCCGCCGCTTTTCCACCGGCTCATGAGAGAGAGAAATGTGAAGCGTGGTGTGTGGTAGCCTGGTAGGTGTCCTGCTCGTGCATGAGGGTTGGTTCGTGCAGTGCAGCAGTGCATGGTGCGATGCGTTGCGTTCCGTTGCGAAGCGCGGACGAGCGAGTGATCCTATTTTCCTTTTTCTTCTATTTTAATTCTCGTGGGGGAAGGACGTGGGAGCCGAATGGGCTTGAGTCAGCAACTTGGTTGTTATATTTAGTGGTTTATGTGTAGGATGGGAGGATTTTTATCTATTCTGGCGTGATGGATTTGGATTCCTTTTGGGAGATGAGTTTCCCTGTTCCTGGAGGAGGAGAAGGAAAGATAAGAAGAGACGAAGAGAGGTATTACGTACAGTACCTAGGTATCTATGTACCTATAGGACGGAACATAGCTGATGTGAATATTCCTTCCCGTGGGGCTCGGGTTTGAATCCCTCGGGGCAAAATTCGAAACTCCTGTCCTGTACCGCACATATCTGCCACGCGGATGAATGAAAAGGTGGGTGCCGTCTCTCGGGTCCGCCGACCTCCCATAAAGAAACACACAAATCACTAAAACGATCGGCGGAGTTCCCAATTCCCGAATTGGCCAATATACGCAGCAATAGCATCCTTCATGTATACCTACCTAACCTCCTCCGCATACCGAGGGGTGGCATTCCCATCAACTCGATACATGGTTCCTAACCCCGTGCATGGTGATACCAGAGGAGTGAAAGACATACCTAGGTAGATACATAGGTGCTTCGTTCATACAAACAACCAACAACAACCAACCTCTTTTATTCTTCGTACTCCCCCAAATATCTGCGCGACTTTTTAACCTTCCCCAGCCCGAACGCCACACATTTTGTCTGTTTGATGCCTGAATCGAATGTTTCGTTACACCGATGCCTAAAGATCGACCATATGGGAGAGCTGTTGAGTTTCTCCGTTTCTTGTTTGGTAGATTCTAATATTCTAGAGCCAGGGCTATACAGTACATGTAACGTACCTCTTTTCACGGCTTCATATAGGCACATGCGCATATCACATCTCCTAGCCGTTTGAGGCTTTTGTTAATTTCGATTTTGCTCTAGTTTTCAAGTACCTTTACCGTTTTTATATCTAATTCAAAGACTTATCTATTTCTTGTTGAAGGTCTCATTTTGGGGCTGGTTGGCCATACTCGATAGCTTATTTCGAATCTCAATTGATTAATTGGTTAACTTCTCTTAGACACATTGCAACCCCCATTACGAAGTATTGGCTGAGAAATTGCCAACATTTGGACTCCAATATACCACGACAATGTCCATTGCTGCAGAGCTTCATGCGATTCCTTCACAGGTCCATTCCACACCGCCGTGAATTGACGCAGTGGACGCCATTATTGCCTATTCCGCCCATCGCACGAATCATCCACTTCTTAATCTCTGAGAAGTCCCGCCTCGGTCCTTCTGGCGAAGCCATTGGCTTTGTGGCTGCAAATTTCCCGCAGAAATCCCCTCTTCCTGTGGGCTACGTAGGTACGTGTTCCTAAACTAGACCTAAGCACCAAGCAGGCACCTTCCGTACCACACCACACCTGCATAGCCGCCGTGCTGCTGACTCTATTACCTATGATGCACCAGAAGCGTCACAGCATCCAGCAGCCACATCACCAGCAATGGCACACATTTCGGGAAATCAAGGGATGGCAACCGCCAAAAGCCCGTGCACCGAGAGCCTCCCGGTCATGGCATGTGCTGAGTTTGGAGCTTATCGTTCTCTTGTGGGGTGATTTGTACCAAGGAGTTGGTCTTTTTAGCTCTTTTGGTTATAATACTATCCTTGTCTGGTTGTAGATATCGGGGGGCGTAATCTCCTTTGGTGGGCCTGATAAGACGACGTATCAAAAAAAAGCACAACTAAACCCGAGGGGTACAATACTAGTACTTGACATAGACATAGCCTCCAGCCCACGAATAATTTAATCCGATTATCAAAATAGCGCGGCAGCAATTCCGCCTCCCCTTAGCCTAGTTACACATGTAATTAGCATCTTGCAAATCGGACGAAGTATACTAGTTTAGGTAGGTAACACCACCCGAGCTATACTCAATTACCACGTTTATCACCGCCCTACGTTTAACCGTCACTTGTGGATGTACGCGTTCATCTGAGAAAGAGGAGAGCGAGGGATCGTATATGCACGTGCGAGTAATATAATCCCACGTGTTTGTACCGCTGTTCCTCCTTGCGGTTTTCTGTGCCTACCTAGGTAAAGTATGGAGACTGAGACATGGAAGTGAGGTAGATTCCAGGTATAACATACATGTACTTGCTTTTACCACGTGCTCCTGTAACCCCTTGCTCTTAGTTCAAAATCCTAAATCCTAAATCTCGAAACTCATAGCGGTCAAAGCCCTTCCACTACCAAGGAAATATATATATGTCTAAAGTCATTTATTTGCCCGTTATCTATGCCTATATACTTAATTCAGTAAATAGGCAGATAAGAAATCAAGGTACAATCTACAATGTATCACTTTTCTCCTCAATTCCCCCAATTTGCTCGTGCAACGGGAAGGTGATAGACCAGGCCGCAATGTTTCAAAGTACGACCGCGGCGCTGTGTGCGGCCCTTCGGCAGGCTGCATTAAATCCCATCAAGCTCTACATGGGGGGAACGGTTGGTTTTTGCTTTGGTACAGTTTGCAGTTGCCTTAGTTACTTGCTTGTTACCTTTCTCGGCCAGTCCGTTCCGATGGTTAAGCTAGGTATGAGGGAGGCTGGTTTCATGTACAATGTGGTAGAGAACCCGTCTTGGTACTTGTTACGACGGAATTAAGAATCTGACTATGGAGTGCATGCGGGATTTTCTGGTTAGAAAGAGAGGGGAAAAGATTGGTCTGTCGATCAAAGGTGGATAAATACATCGATTGCGTTCCGGGGACTCGGCGCGGCCATTTGTGATTTGCGTACCTAGGAGAGGGAAGATCGTTCACCGGCTAACAACGGGAACCATTATAGTTGGCTTGGAAGGGATGGTTGGGATTAAGGCGGGGGTTTCAAATATCACTTTGGAATAATTGTGTTAGAACCGTGGATTCTGTTTAAGAATTCTCGCTGCCCTGCGATAATATGCTGTCCGGCTCCATGTCCCTCTGCTCAGCTACTCAACCATTCACCCACTGCCCTAGTTTTTGCTCTTTATAGAAGTTTCATGCTAACCCATAAATTGATATCCCGTCCCTTTGCTCCCAAACATGGAACAATTTGCAGAAGAAGATGACGTGAGAAATTTATAAGTAAAGCCACATGAAAATATTCCCAAGAGATAACTAAACGCTCTCCGAAAATATTTCGCCACAGATAGAGCGGACAGGGCAGGAAGGAAGAAAAATGTTCCTTTCGTATAATTGAAATATAAGGGGTTTCGATAAATCGTCGGTACTCATGAATACGTACGCCATATGCCTCTCTTTTTGGTACTCCGTTCGCCAGGTTTAGGGTGAAATGTCGTGCAATCGCTGTAGGGAAGAAGGAAGAAGGATTTATGGGTGATGATGGGGTGATGTGAATAAGCTCGTACTTGTCGTGGGGCAGAGTTGCTAGAGCTGCTGAAAAGGGTCGTAAGTTTCATGCAAGGCCGTGGAGCAAGGACGCCGGAGGCTCTTGTCTAGCTAGATCATGAACCGATCATAATATGGTGCAGGTTCGTCCGCTGCGGCCGCTCTTGGGTTTATCTGAGCGATATATTCTTCCATCGCTTCGTGGTAGTCCGTCTCCGGACCCGGTTCGATGCCCCCTCCCGGTCCCTTCTCGTGATCTCGCATTGCTTTGCACTTGTCGTTGCCGACGCAGTTGCCTCACCACGTCATAGAAAGCTTTCTCGACATTGATATAATTCTTCGCCGAGGCTTCAACAAATTCACATCCCAAGTCTCGCGCTAGGGCATGTCCTTCCTGGGTAGAGACCTCTCGTTCTGTCACCCGATCGCTCTTGTTCCCGACAAGCATAATTGGGACTGGGGCTAGTGGCATAGTCGAGGACAATGGAGATCCTGGGTATGACGGCGAGGACGCCGAAGATTCCTTCACTCGCTGTATTTGGTTGTGGAACTTTGTGATCCGAGTAAAAGATGATCTCGAAGAGATGCTGTACACCAGCACGAACCCCTCCCCATCGCGGATCCATTGGTCTCGCAGGGCGGTATACTCTTCTTGGCCAGCTGTATCGAGGACTTCTAACATACATGATTGACCATCGATGACCACTTGCTTCCGGTAGGAGTCTTCGATTGTGGGATCATACTGCAAAAAGTAAGTATGGGCTCTCAAGCGGTTGCGGGCTGAGCATGGGGATGGGGCAGGAGGGGGTGCAGGAGATAGAACTTACTGTTTCCACGAAATGTTGGAGAGTCAATTGTATGGTCAAGGCAGTCTTGCCCACGCCTCCATCTCCTAGTACCACCAGCTTATACAGCACCATCTTGCCCGCCATATTGCCCGCCATGATGAGAAAGTTGTTGTGTTGTGGGGACGAGGGGTTGGAGCAGGAGATTGAGAGCAGGCGGGGAAAAGAAGCTTCGCACTAGAGCAAATTCGTGGCAATCGCAGGAGCCGCGGGAATCGATCCGGCGCAATATAGATTAGAGGAGCAGTGTCCAAACGAGAATGGCAATATCAGGAGGAAGTTTGTTTTGGGTTGGGCTTGGGCTTGGGGAAGGTTCAGGTTGAAGAAGCTCGGACTTCCGCTTGTGGAGAGAATTAGGACGATAGGGCACCTCGTACCAGGTATGGGTAGTCGGGGCGAGGGTGGCCGATAGCAGAGCAGGTCGAGACGGAGCAGAGTGCAGTGCAGCAGAGTGGGCTGCGGAGGGTACGTAGTAGGGGCACAGCAGTAGACCACGACTCGGCGACTCGGGGTGAAGGGGGATGGGGTGGTGATGGGTGGTGGGTGGTGGGTGAAAGGTGATCGTCAGGGTCCAGCAAGAGGTAAGGTATAGGATAGTAAAGGCTTAAAGCGCAAGTTCTCCTCCTCTTTTGACGGTGGAAGAAGAGCTGTTTCGCTGGCGGCAGTTATCGGAGCTTGATGGAGGTTGATTTTGGGGGAGGAGGGGGAGGTTCAAGAGTTGTACTAGCTGGCACTAGCAGGCACTGAGGGGGTACTGGAACTGGTACTTCGGGGGGGATGTTCGTGCTATGTACAAGATAGCACCTGTCGTACTCTCGTACCTAGCCCGTACTTTGTCGTAGTGCTTCGTGCTTCTGCGTGCTTCGCCCAGCACAGCGAGCCCAGAGAGCCTAGAGAGCCCAGAGAGCACCGCACCAGCAGCCCCCAGCAGCGTGGGCGTAGCGTGGGCGTAGTGCGAGTAGCGGGCGACGGTGGTTCGCTCGTGGGGTCCAGACTCCCCTGGTCCCGTATGATATGTTGTTTCCAATAATGTTTCCGGGAGGGGAGGGGAGGGGAGGGAGGCGACGAGGAGGAGCCAGCCGTGGGAGTGGTGCACCGCTGTAGGCCGCCGACGGACAATAATCGACACAGGCAGACAGGTAAGTCAGTCAGTAGGTAGGCAAGAGAGGCAAGTATAACAGTGCTGGACCGTCTCCGGTGGGAGGTTTGTGGTACTTGTAAGGTGCCAGTAGCTGCCAGGTGCCAGGAGCTAGTTTGCAAGGGAAGTCAAGTTGCTGTTGTTGGAAGAACAGAGCTGCATCTGCATTCATTCCCCTACAGCAACCCCAATAAGCATGCTCCCCCCAGCACTGGCCTCAGGGCTTCGCCAAAGCGCCCAGCGCGATAAAAGCGGCGGCGGCCCAAGACGCCAACTCGATCATCAGGCGTCTGATTCGACTGGGTCGTCACAGGCAGCTCGCGGAAATCCAGGAATTGGCCAACGCTCCGAGGCCCGTCGACCTCGAAGCTCAAACGGACTCCTGGGTGGATGGTCCCCGAGAGTGCGGAGTGGGGTCCAGCACCTACCAAAGTGTATTTGAGCTCCTGCTGCTGCTGCTGATCCGGGTATCGTTATTAGATAGAGCTTGACCGCAGCCTATGATGTCTGTCTACACTGCAGCACATCAACGAGAGGGTCCAGGCGTGCGTGCAAACACCGAGGGTGCGGTGGGGGTACGAAGTATTGGGAAGAGGAGGGCCGTTCCGGACGCTGGCTGGTGGCTAGCATCAGAAGCACCACCGCAAGGTGCTGACGGGAGCAGCAGAAACGAGACGCATAGGATGGGAGGGAGAGGAATAATAAGAAGCAGATGCAAAAGCAGACATCCCAAGCACATCGTGTGCCACGGCAGAATCACCAATCCTCCCTAATTGCGCGGCGCGCCTGTGGCGTCTTATATATAGACTCCAACAGCTTAATTCACGGTCTTATTTGTGAGATTACTCAGACACCCAGTCCTCCAATGTTTTCACGCGCGGGTAATATCAATGGCAGCCAACTTCTCTCCTGCCACGCAAGCTCAGTGGCATGAGTGGTTTTATCCTCAATCAGGCAATAATGACTCGGCGCAGTGGAGGGTTGGGTAGCTTTGAGGGTAGCTTTGAGGATTGGAGGTGGGATGTATTATATTGTCCTGAGGGTGCTCTGAAAGACTGATACTACGTCCTCTATTGAAACATGGCAAGTCACAGTTGGAAGCTTAGCTGCTTAGCTGCTTAGGTGGCCATTGGTGGGCAGACTTCGTATACAGAACGACGGAGGATGCTACGGAGCTTTGATATCATGTTCTATTTGGATGACATCAATGCTAACTACTGGTAAGGTAAGCCACCACAAACTAGCCTCTATCCGGATATCATCTCCCCAGAGGGCGCCGGGTTTCCCAATGTACGCCATCCCAAGTCCCTCCAAAGAAGTCAATATACACATAAGAAATTCAGTCATGTCGTGTCAGCTAGATACGGGCAATGGCCAGATCATCACAAGATTTGTAAATGGATTCTCAATAGTGAGACCATCGATAGGGTATTGGGCCTATCCCTCTTTCACCTCGTGCTCATCCCCAAACGGGGTGCTTCCCCTACTTTCGTCGCTGTCTCCTTTTGACTCCTTGACAACGCTTAGGCCGCCGTTGCTGGTATGCCGCGGTGACGCTGGGTCACCAAAAGGACCTTGTGCCATCGTTGGGGTGTCGTCGATGATTGTGATGGCGTTCGAGTCGCGGGGAAGTAGACTCTGGCGAGATTCTTCTTGTGCTGAAATCGGATCTTGAGACGCCACCTTCTTCGGACCAGATATTACTCTGACGACCTGAGGTCTTACTTGTGTTGCAGCATTGGCATTGCTCAAGAAGGTCGAGCCGACAGAGAAAGCTGGGCTTGGAGGACGGTTTGTTGCGTATTTGTCATAATCCACGCTCGGCACAGGAGGGGTAAGGTCGCCTGGTGAGTTGCCACCCGCGGATTTGACACTCACGACTGCAGCCTTTCCTCTGATCACGGTTTGTGCGGGTATAGGAGAGACTACGGCATTCTTCCCGTAGATGGTCGACGCCACACTAGTCCTGGCATAAGAAGTTCGATCGCTGATGCCCGAGTAGGTCGAGTCCCGGAGGTCGCCAGGCATAAAGAAGTGCTCTTGCTCGTATCTTGGAGTGCTGGAAGCCGACGACAGGGCAATCGGAATTGGCGGGACTGGAGGTACCAGAAGGCCGGGGGTGGACGGGGCCGATCTATTCGTAACACCGGGAATATATGCAATTTGAATGATGTTCGAGGCGCGGGTCAAGACGGTCGAGGCGATCGAGCCAACTGTATGTGTCGAAGCCCTTGCATCTCGTCGCATCGTGAAATCCTTTTCTGCTGATTCCGTCTCTTCTTGGTTGTCTACCCAGCCCTCTTGCTCATACTGCTGCCGCTTCGTCTTGATACAGAATCTCCAAACGAGGTACGTGACTATAGCTATAGCCGCAAGGCCACCAATGACACCGCCTGCAATTGCTCCTACATTCGGGCCCGAATTCGATGATGCTACTGGTGTGGAGGTTGTCGAGGCATTTGGGTCAGCCAGGCATGCCGTCGTCTGACATTGGTCGCAAGTCGGTGGGATAACTCCGCAGACCTGGCCCGTTGGACATTGATCTGGGCAGGCTCCAGCCGCTGCATTATCGCACTTCACGCATCGTCGAAAGAGCCGCTCAAACGAGGCTACAGCTATGTTAGATCATGCTGGGGATTCGGCGGCTAGAGGTACTGACCTGGTTCAAGTAATGCCATAACAAGGATTGCAAGGGCGAGAGAACAATTAAATTACTGCGACGACTTCGGACGAGAGAAGCTATTGATATTGAGGCTGCGTATGATATCGGGGACCGTCGTGGATCGATCTGGTTTGAAAAGCGAGGTGGTGAATGGTAGACAAAAGGGGAACCTGATCAACAGACGTGGGGTGGAGCGGGTGGAGGTCGCACAGGCTGCGTGTATCTCGGATACACGGTGACACGATCTCCTGGTCTTGTGAGGTAAGATCCGGAGTCGAAGAAGGGAATTGTTCGAGGTTGCGGTGCGTTCCCGTCGTGGTGGTGGTAGATCGGGGAGTCGTGAAGGGGTCGGAATCCAGGCACAACGGACGCAGGAACGCTCAAGAAAGGGACAGTAAAACGAGTGTGGGGAGAGAACAAGCTCTGTGGATACGGGGAATTGGACGCAATCTAGCGTTTGTCCACTACATCGATGGCGAGCGAGGCAGATCTCGACGACGAGAGTTGTATTCTGCCAGAGTTGGGGGTGGAGCGATGGTTGAGGGAAGGATGGATTGTTTGGTGTTTGGTGCAACGGGGATCGGTTTCGAGGGAAGCGATTGACGATCAGCGAGCGGGCGACCCTTTCTTCTACTGTAGCGCAGCCTGTCCAGAGTCGGTAGCCTCTGTACTTCCGTCCGCGTGTGCTGGGCGATGGGGGCCCTTCTGGGGCCTCTGGCGGCCTTCGGGGCCTTCGGGGCAGGGCCTGGGGGGTTGGCGGCGCTGGTGATTGGCAGCCCGGCGCCCAGATGGCCAGCAGGCACAAAGGATGAATCTCGTCTTAATAACCTAATTTGAGGGGTCAATGCAGCTCCTGCCAGCCATTGGACCCCGACACCGCCGCATCATGTATTGGTTTATATGTTATATTGCGCTCGTTATGTATGTACGGAGTATACCCTTCCATGAGGCGTGGGCCTTGAGCACGTTGAAAACCCAGAGCAGCATCTGATTGCGGAGAAACCTGACGACAGATCTCCTCCGCGATCTGCGGAAGAGGATATCCTGATCCTTGATTAAACCCGTTCTTGATCGCTATCAAGAAGACGAGTCGCTGCAAGGGAACGCCTGGGAATGTAGGGAACTGCGCCACGTTACTGCTGCGTAAGCACGGGGCTGGCTACAGATACAGTATCATCTTCTGTCACGTTTATTCAAACAGTACACCAGAGCCAATACTCTGTACTTGAGTACAAGTACTGACAGAAGCCCCGGAGCCAAGGACAGCTGGCGCTGTGATAGTCCGATGTATGATATCTGATATCCAATATCTACGAAGTATATCCTGAGCTTGCCATCACCAGTATCAGGTATATTACAAACCCGCTCCATAAACAGTGGTATAGAGTATCGACCGCAAGGTTCCTACCCCGCCCACGATACATGGGCATTTCCAGCTTCCAAGAGCCGCAAGTTCTTCAAGCCAGGCCAGGTTTCAAAGATAAATGAATGGCCCAGTACAGCACAGTCGGAGAAGCAGAATCAAACAAGTAGCCAGAGCCCCCGACGTGGCTACCTAGGTACCTAGGTACCCAGTCAGTTACAGGAGTTCAGTGTCAATATTCCTTAGCACTCAGCATATTTAGTAGTGCTTGGTCGAGTAGGGCGTTCAGGTGTTCAAATACCCTACAAGGCAGCTTCTAATAAGCTACTATTCATACTGAGCACATTCTCCTGGAGCTGAATGGCTCTGGAGCTTAACTAGCTTCCCGTCATCTCGTTGCACATACCAGTCGGAAAACCCGATCTTATCCAAGGGTACGCGTCCACTGCTGACATATATAGTCACGTGTTAATACTGACTTTGTCGATATTTATGTTTCAGCGATAGTATGTATATTTCAGCTTAAAACTCACGGAATCTAATTAGAGTTCACTAATTAAGTTGGAGAGCTGGCAACCATCCACCGGCAACCATCTGTCGGCTCGGGTCGTAAAAGTTTGTGTCACGTGATCAAGTCTCCACCTCACCAGGCACCTGACTCAACCGAGGTGCGATTGTACAAACTCAAAGAATGTTTACTTAGGTATTTTACCTATAGGTACCGGTACCGTTCCCAGGGTTTATAATGCGGCTCTATGCTGTAGATTCAACGGGTGCAGGCTGTGGATCCTCGCACCATATCAATTCGATATTGACATTTGCGAGTACAGGCGGAAAGCCCTGGCTGAACGTTCGGTACTTAGTCCTGCCTGGCCAGTCCGGCACTGAAGTATCTATAAATAGCACCGCCCCTTTGCCGCTGAAAGTCCAAAAGGCCGTGAAGCAGTCTGTGGCTAAGGCAATGGAAGGGCTGAGCTATACTTCGTACATAATACTTCGCACAGAGCTTTATGGCGGGCTTAGGGTTGGGTCAATAGTACGAAAGTACTGCCTACCCCCGACATAGTGCAGAGCAGGAAAGCACGAAGTACTGTGCGTAGAACGAACGAAGGACTCTGTCTCTGTCTGTATACGAAGTGCTTCCTTGCAAGCTGATCGCGGCAAACATGCCAGAGACCCGCAGCGGGCCCAGGCAGGGGAGATACCAAACTGGGCTGCTGTTTCACCAAGTGCCTTTAATCTCTTCGAAATAGAAGCGGCCCCTGTCCAAAAAACCATGGATTCAGATCTTCGGGAGCTTTGGGAAGTTCGTAGAACGTAACTGTACAGAGGCACTGAGCCACTTGACTGCGCTGCAGGTAATAACCAAGAGTGAAATATTCTTCACAGGCCTTCCAGCTGTTTGAAGCCGTGTGATCCAATTGTCCACATTGCACCGCCTCGTTATTTGCAAGGTTGTCCTTCACAGCCGTGGCAGTAAAACATTCAAGCGAACAATCCCGGGCTCACCAGGCTCACGTACAGAAAGTCGTCAACACACAAGAAAAGGAGAGGACCCTCGAACACAGCCAGTGAGAGCGACCTGCATCAGGAGGAAATCAAATCTCACCCGTCGCTCGTTCTCTTAAAACTTATCACCACCTTCGTTCGTCCCTACAATTCTCCTCCAGCACTTTCTCCAACGCTGAGGATCGCTGTTCAGCTGAGCTGTCACGCTTCTGGTTACATGCATCTCGAGACCTTGGTTACACCTTCCAGACTCCGCCCTTAATCCGCCTCCTTTTCCATTCCATCACCAACGTTCTTTACAACATCCCATCAACCACGACCGGCACGAAAACCTCATAGCCTGCTCTCACCGTAATACGAAGACCGGATTCAATCCTCCATCATGGCTCACTCTGGCCCCGGAGGACCAAACGACCACAGACTCCAGGATCTTGCCCCTGCCGGAAGTGTAAGCTATCCATCTTCACTCCTTTTGATGAGTTCCATCTCTAAGTCTTGATATTAGTACCATAGGCCTCCCAGTGATGAAGAGGAAGGCAACCAGCCTCTGCTACATCAAGCTCCTGGACCCTTCAACAGCAGTCCCTTTGACGACCAACACCTTCGGGCCAACACCCCTCCTGTAAGACCAACGTCGACATATACCCTCAATGACTCCTACGCACGTCCTGATCTACCAACTACTCAACGTGGCGGATATGGCGGAGGCACAACCGCATACAATCCACCATCAGAGGAGGATATCCATAGCCGCACTGGTTCCCCCTTCTCCCGCGCGGATACAAGTTCGACTGAGGCATGGAGGCAGCGACAGGCTCCTGCAGCTGGTGGTCTCAAGCGGTTTGCAACCAGAAAAGTCAAACTTGTTCAGGGCAGCGTCTTGAGTGTTAACCATCCAGTGCCTTCCGCCATCAAGAATGCTATCCAGGCAAAATACCACCAAGAAGCGGACAGCGGGAGCAGCGAGGAGTTTACACATATGCGATATACAGCAGCAACTTGCGACCCCGACGATTTCACCTTGAAGAACGGTTACAATCTACGTCCAGCTATGTACAACCGCCATACCGAACTTCTCATCGCGGTTACCTACTACAACGAAGATAAGACGTTGACGGCGCGTACGCTACACGGTGTCATGCAAAACATCCGCGAGATTGTGAACCTCAAGAAGTCTGATTTCTGGAATGTTGGTGGTCCAGCTTGGCAGAAAATTGTGGTGTGTCTCGTTTTCGATGGTATCGACCCTTGCGACAAGGATACGCTCGATGTGTTGGCCACAATTGGGATCTACCAGGACGGGGTCATGAAGAAGGACATCGATGGCAAGGAGACGGTCGCTCATGTTTTCGAATACACGACGCAGCTATCGGTCACTGCCAATCAGCAGCTTATCCGTCCCACAGACGATAGTTCTAGCACCCTTCCCCCCGTTCAGATGATGTTCTGTCTGAAGCAGAAAAATAGTAAGAAGATCAACTCTCACAGATGGCTGTTCAACGCTTTTGGTCGTCTTTTGAACCCCGAGGTTTGCATTCTCCTCGACGCGGGAACTAAGCCTGGCACGAAGTCGCTCCTGTATTTATGGGAGGGTTTCTACAATGACAAGGACCTTGGAGGAGCCTGTGGTGAAATCCATGCTATGTTAGGCAAGGGCATGAAGAAGTTGCTGAATCCATTGGTCGCGGCCCAGAATTTCGAGTATAAGATCAGCAACATTCTTGACAAGCCCCTTGAAAGCTCTTTTGGGTATGTCAGTGTGTTGCCTGGAGCTTTCTCAGCTTATCGTTTTCGAGCGATTATGGGCCGGCCTCTTGAGCAATACTTCCACGGTGATCATACATTATCTAAGAAACTCGGCAAGAAAGGAATCGAGGGCATGAATATCTTCAAGAAGAACATGTTCTTAGCCGAGGACCGAATTCTTTGCTTTGAGTTGGTCGCTAAGGCTGGATCGAAGTGGCATTTGACTTACATTAAAGCCGCCAAGGGCGAGACTGATGTCCCCGAAGGAGCCCCCGAGTTCATTGGCCAACGTAGGAGATGGCTCAATGGTTCATTCGCAGCCAGTATGTACTCAATCATGCACTTTGGCCGAATGTAAGTTAAAACCTCTAACCATTTCTCTGGTACTCTTACTGATCATTCACAGGTACAAGAGTGGTCACAATCTTGTCCGGATGTTTTTCCTCCATATTCAGCTGCTGTATAACATCTTCAGTGTCTTCCTATCTTGGTTCATGCTGGCATCCTTCTGGTTGACGACCAGTATTATTATGGACCTTGTGGGAACACCAGTGGCCGCTTCCGATAAGACAAGTGAGCACAATGGCTGGCCGTTTGGTAACACCGCGTCACCCATCGTCAACACCATTCTGAAGTATCTGTATCTTGCATTTCTGATTGTGCAATTCATCCTCGCCCTCGGTAACAGACCCAAAGGATCAAGACTTACCTACATCATTTCTTTCGTGGTGTTTGGTTTCATCAATGCATATCTCATCGTTCTGTCCATGTATCTGGCCGTTCGTGGTATTAGTGGATCAAATATCGAGACGGATTCCGTTGGCAACTTTTTCAAGAGCTTCTTTGGATCATCGGGCGGCAACGGAGGAATTATCATCATCGCTCTACTGGCTACATTCGGATTATACTTTGTGGCCTCGTTCATGTACCTCGATCCATGGCATATGTTTACGTCGTTTGGGCAGTATCTGCTGCTCATGTCGTCTTACATCAATATCCTCATGGTCTATGCTTTCAGCAACTGGCACGATGTCTCTTGGGGTACCAAAGGTTCCGACAAGGCCGACGCCCTCCCATCTGTTCAGACGACGAAGGCCGACGGCAAGACTGCTGAGATTGAGGAAGTTGACCGACCACAGGAAGACATTGATAGTCAGTTTGAAGCTACAGTCAAACGCGCTTTGAAGCCGTTTATTCCTGTTCCGGAAGATGAGTCGAGAACTCTTGATGACTCGTACAAATCTTTCAGGACGAAACTCCTAATTTGCTGGATTTTTTCGAATGCTTTACTAGTAGTCGCAATTACTAGTGATAATGTCGACAAATTCGGTTTCTCTGTAAGTCCATCCATATTTTCAATTGACTAGAGCTTCGCCGCTAATCTATTCTCATAGTCCGAAGATGGTGCACAAGTTCGAACTGCCAAGTTCTTCACTGTCCTGCTTTATGCAACGGCTGTCCTGTCTTGCATCCGGTTCGTCGGGTGTATGTGGTTCCTCGGAAAATCTGGAATTATGTGCTGTTTCAAGAGACGCTAGGTCCGAATCAGAAGATTAAAAGCTGTTGTATTATTGAAATGAAACTGGTTCTTGGAATCTAATTTCATGGGCTCCGAAGCTCTGGATATAGGGGGTTTAAGGTCGCCGCAGTGGATCCTATTCGTGTACTTGGGGATATATTGGTCTTCGCATTTGTAGATAATGGCGTTTTTTTTCCACAAGTCATCAAGCGGTTGCGGCTCTCTTCTAAACGTTCGAATTATAATCTGGCTTGGAAATTGAATACCCATATGAAATAAATCACAAAGAGTCGCAGCATTATACATCCGATTTTCTTCACTTTGATGAGTCGGCTGGACCGAGAAAACCAGCTCTCTGCAGCCGATAATTAGTATTTAGATAGAGTACGTACGAACTTCAAAATGCAAGATTTAGAGAGTACCATATATGAACAATAAATTCGCGTGTTCGCAAAGCAAAGTTCATGCGCGCAGCCAGCCGGCATAGGGCGTGTGCCTGCTTGGTTGTTTTCATGACTATCCCTTGTCGTTATCGAAAAATGGATATTGTTATCTAAGGTCGCATCATCGTTGCCTCCTCGCCTTGCCACGGATCCAAACCTAGCACAACACAGCACACGAGACAACGGCATCCCCAAACTTCTACTGCACACAACATTATAATAGTACTCCTCTCAAGATGTTAAAGATATGGACGATGGTATGTACTAAACCCAACTTTCCGCATCTCTATTCCTACAAAGCTGAACACGCCGTTGACTCGTCGCAGAAACAAAAGCAGCAGCAGGACGCAAATGCGGATGCTGCTGCAGGAACAAGGAAGAAGAAAGTTACTGCAGCACAGCTGCGCGTCCAAAAAGGTATGAGATCTCGTTGCTCTGCTCTTGTTGCGCCTCAAATTGTGTTAGACTAACACATTCTGCGCCCAGATCTATCTGAACTCTCCCTACCTAATACCATGAGGACAAACTTCAAAGACCCAGACGACCTGCTGAACTTTGAGCTTACCATCGAGCCAGATGAGGGGATGTATAAAGGAGGGCAGTTTCATTTTTCATTCGAGATCAGCCAGGAATTCCCCCACCAAGCACCCAAAGTCCTTTGCAAGGAGAAGATATACCATCCGAACATCGACCTCCAGGGCAAAGTGTGCTTGAACATCCTACGAGAGGACTGGAAGCCGGTTTTAAATTTACAAGCTGTGATCGTGGGCCTACAGGTAAGGAGAAACCGCCCGTTGTTGGTAGTCTATAGGAACTGATGGGCAGCGTTTTAGTTTCTCTTCCTCGAGCCAAATGCATCCGATCCCCTGAATAAAGAAGCGGCAGATGATTTACGGTCGAACAGAGAAGGATTCAAGCGCAATGTTAGACAAGCTATGGGCGGCGGGATAGTGCGGAGTGAGGTTTTCGATAAAGTCCTGAAAACTCGGGAATAGGAGGCAGGAATCAGACGTGAGCATGCATTAGAAGTCCACGATTATATGGACATACGATATGGCATAATGAGGCGTTGAAGCGGGAAACTCCTAGGAGTAAATATAGTTGCTTCGTGAGATAAGGATAGAGTTTTAGTTTTGACACTGCGATCGAATAAACGCAGCGGTCCAGAAAGGACCGTTTCTGTATTGAACTCTGCAGCCACCTATATCAAGAGAGAGCGAACGTCAATAGATTAACCAAACCTTGATTTTTGCCCTTTGGGTTACTCCTGCTCATGTTTATAACGCCCACTCCTACACCGGACTGAAGATCTGAACAACTCTGGGGTTGTGGAAACACGGTCGGATGCACATTCGGGGACCCCTCCGCCACCTCGCCAGTTTCCCCCAGGTTTGGCGAACCTTGCCGATTTTGATGCCCGCTCCGTTGTCGGCCGAGCTTGAATTTTTCCAAAAACAGTCATCTTCCTCACCGCATCCCTCTCCTCTTCCCTTCAACGCACCATTCCACTCCATCACAAAATGGCCTCACGTACATTCTCAAGAGCGCTCCGCTCGCCAATGGCAAGACAGCTGGCTGCTCCAGCTCGTCGCACCTTTGTCTCTGCCATCAATGCCTCTGCGAGACCAGCTGTCCGCGCGGTGGTGGCTTCATCTCAACAGGTCCGAGGTGTGAAGACAATTGACTTCGCCGGCGTCAAGGAAGACGTCTATGGTATGCATTAAGATCATACCCTCGGTTTGCGATGTGATTCAATGCTGATATCCCATTTAGAGAGAGCTGACTGGCCTCCTGCCAAGCTCCAGGTAGCTTTTTCCTTCACCGCAAGTTGCCCGGAAGGGATACTAATGTTATAGTAGGAATACTTCAAGAATGACACAATGGCAATCATCGGATATGGCTCGCAAGGCCATGCCCAATCATTGAACATGCGTGATCAAGGTCTCAATGTCGTGGTCGGTGTCCGAAAGAACGGACAGTCATGGAAGGATGCCCAAGAAGACGGTTGGGTCCCAGGCAAGACCCTCTTCGAGGTTGATGAGGCCATCTCCAGGGGCACAATCATCATGAACCTGCTCAGCGATGCTGCCCAGAGTGAGACCTGGCCTGCTATCAAGCCTCAAATCACCAAGGGAAAGGTAAATACTACTATCCCCGATTTCCCTCGGGGACTCAGCTGATCTCTCTAGACTCTGTACTTCTCCCACGGTTTCTCCCCGGTTTTCAAGGATCAAACCAAGGTCGATGTTCCCGCGGATGTCGATGTTATTCTCGTTGCACCCAAGGGATCTGGCCGAACTGTCCGAACGCTCTTCCGTGAGGGCCGTGGTATCAACTCCTCCATTGCCGTCTTCCAGGATGTCACTGGCAAGGCTAAGGAGAAGGCGATTGCCCTTGGTGTCGGTGTTGGCAGCGGTTACCTCTACGAGACCACATTCGAGAAGGAAGTTTACTCCGACTTGTACGGCGAGCGTGGTTGCTTGATGGGCGGTATCCACGGCATGTTCCTCGCTCAATACGAGGTTCTCCGTGAGCAGGGCCACAGCCCCAGCGAGGCCTTCAACGAGACCGTCGAGGAAGCCACCCAGAGCTTATACCCATTGATTGGAGCTAACGGCATGGACTGGATGTACGAGGCTTGCTCTACAACTGCTCGTCGTGGTGCAATTGACTGGAGCGGTCGCTTCAAGGATGCGCTGAAGCCCGTCTTCAACGATCTATATGATTCCGTCAAGACCGGAAAGGAGACCGAGCGATCACTCACCTTCAACTCCCAACCCGATTATCGTGAGAAGTATGAGGCGGAGATGAAGGAGATCCGTGATCTGGAGATCTGGAGGGCCGGAAAGGCTGTTCGGTAAGTTCAATCGCAGTCTATTTACCTTTGCGTATTTGCTAACACTTTAATAGTTCTCTCCGCCCCGAGAACGTGAAGTAAAGTGGGGGTAGTAAGGAGTGATTGGGGGTTTTTTTCTCTAGTACTGGAATGAAAATATGGCGCTTTGTACTATATCTATTCCCACCAGGGAGTCTCGGTATCTGGAATTGCAAAAAGTTACCTACCTACCTACCTACCTACCTACTTATGTTTCTAACTGCGTTGACGATCACCAGCCCGTGCTTATTATATCCCTAGGGACCTACCTACCTGGGTATAGGTACCCAAACAAGCTTTTCCGCGATCGGCGCGAACCCCACCAATGCACTAATAATTTGAAAGGATCAAAATAACACACAATTAACATCTCTTCCTTCTTCGAAAGCAGGAAGATATGGCAGACCCCGCCAAATCCCCTCCTCTTACCAGGACCTCAGTCATTGCAGCACACGCTCTCGTAAAGGAACATATCCACTACACGCCAGTGCTCACCAACTCGACCCTCACTAATCTAGCATCAACACCTCAGTCAGCTACTACGCTCGCAGATACACAATGGGCGGGTCAGGAACCGGCCAGGCCACAGATACGACTGTGGTTCAAATGCGAGAATCTGCAAAGGGTGGGAGCGTTTAAGGTCCGCGGGGCTTTTCATGCATTGAAGAGGTTGATAGAAGAGCCCGGGTGGGAGGAGGGAGGGGGACGGGAAAGGGGCGTTGTAACGCATAGTTCTGGTTCGTTATATGCCCCGTATCCTCGTGTTTTCTACGCTGGTGATGAGAGCTGACTTTGGGAATGAAACCGAATAGGCAACCACGCACAAGCCCTTTCTCTCGCGGCTCGAACAATGGGTATACCTGCGTACATCGTGATGCCCAAAATCTCGACACCCTCCAAGGTCGCGGCTACCAAAGGCTACGGTGCAAAAGTCATATTCAGCGGGAGCACAAGCACGGAGAGAGAGGCTGTGGTGGAGGATGTGATTAAGGATACGGGCGCGAGACTAGTCCCTCCGTACGATCATCCGGATATCATGCTCGGACAAGGGACGTTAGGGCTGGAATTACAGGAACAAGTAGAGCGGCTGATATTAGAGGGCACAGGGGAGCAGGCAAAGTGCAGTCTTGCTGTGAAATCCAAGGGTCTTGATGCCATTATCACCCAGTGTGGTGGGGGAGGCATGCTCTCCGGTACAGCGCTCAGCTGTGAAGGTACCGGTATTCTCGTCTTCGGCGCCGAGCCAGAGTTCGAAGGCGCAGATGATTGCAAACGCGGTCTGGAGGCTGGGAAAAGGATCGAGACCGTCAAAACCCTTACGATTGCTGATGGGTTGCGGACTCCTGTTGGGGCTATTCCTTGGACTGTCATTCACGATAGGAAACTAGTTAGGGCTATGTATAGTGTTACAGAAGAGCAGATTAAAAGGGCTCTGAGGCTTGTGCTAGAGAGAATGAAGCTGGTCGTTGAACCAAGTGCTGTAGTGGGACTTGCCGTCGTGCTGTATAATGAGGACTTCAGGAGGTTGGTTGAGAAAGAGGGCGGCGAGGAGGGGTGGGATTTGGGTCTTGTCTTTAGCGGTGGGAATGTTAGTGTTGAGGCGCTAGGGAAGATGTTTGACGTTGCTGGGAGCGAAGGGAGATGAAGGAAGGCAAGCTTGGGGTATGATGGAGAAGGTAGCAGCCGATGTTTCCTGGTGCTGTGAGCTGGATGTAAACAATATCCTGCTTTGGAAATACCATCCAGTCAACGTGCAATGTCAGCTAAGAATATCATTACATATAGTTGTAGCTCCAGAAAGCATACTATTATAATAGGCAGAATAGTTTCTTTCCTACGTCTCCTGCAGCTATCCTCATCTTTGCCAGTGCTTTTCCCCATAGCCAGACCACATAGTCTCTATTTGCATTCCCTTTGACGGCGGCCAACTTCTACCTGACGGAAGGCTTACTACAAGCTGGTATCTATCTCCTTGATAGTATGTTACTGTGGCTCCCATACCTAGAGACCTCCAACGAATCTAAATTCCTCTCGCACAAGACTCTATCTAACATCCTAAAGATGGCTAAAACGACAATTTCTTCACTTACACTCCCGCCAAATGCTAGACTTGTCGATCTAGAGATTACAGCAGAGATTGGGCCTGACATGTATGATACACCTGAAGAGGTGAGGTTTGATACTTCTTGTGGGCAATGATGATGTTGCTAATTAATGTACAAGTTATAGAGACTCTGGCATACTTTATGTCTAGTTGATCCGACATATAGACCCAGTCTACTAGTCAAACTAAGAGCTTGGATCAACGAAAAAGCAACAAGACGGGAGATGCTCGTAAGGTGTTGCTACAACTAAAATACATTTAGATGACCAAAAAGGCCTGATGTCAACCCGAATAACCTTGACGGCAACATAGTCACCAACAGACAAGTTGTCGAAGATTACTCCGATAGGCCCATTACTCCTGCCATTTTACGTATGGCTAGAGTACTCCTGACTGTAATGCTGCAAACTGCAATGCTTGCGATTGCGGTATTGCAGGGTAGAGTACTTCTCCCAGAGCCGAACTCCTTCTTCCTAAGTCCCACTGCCTACTCCATCTCTGCCGTTACATTCGAAAACTCCCCTTTCTTCAGCTTGATGTCCCAAAAGATAGGGTTCATGTCGCTGAAACCGTGCTTGACCCATCCATCCTCCTTGACATGGTATAAGTTGACAGAGCCGCCAGAGTAGGCGTCCCGGTGCATTGCCTAAAACACAGAGATAAAATTAGTCAACGCTAAGATTGGTGTTGTTTCTAGGTCTACTTGCCGCAATAATTGCACGACGGCCTAATTCAAGGGCCTCCTCTGTAGTAAGATCGTAGTGGTATTCTGCATCAAGAACACCATAGGCGAATGTTTGGCCACTACCGACGCAGAACAAGTTCCCACTCAATCTCGAGCCATCGCTATCGACGTAGTATAAGGCAGGACCTTCGCTTGGAGTGACTCCTGCCAACATGGTACCCTGGGAAAAACAACGGTTAGAAGAAGCTTTATAGATTGAATAGGAATGACACTCGTACCATGCTGAGTCCCATGCCCTTATAAGAGTAAGTGAGATTTGCGAGGATCTTTGATGCTGCGGCGACAGTGATACGACGCTTATGTCGAAGCTCGTGGAGACGACATTGCATACCGAGATACGCAAGCCAGTATTGGCAGTCAGCAGCTCCGCCGGCCATCGTTCCTAATAAGCAGCTGTTGATCTCAATGACCTTCTTGACGGTCTGACTTGCAATCCAGTTTCCGGCCGTCGCTCTAGAATCGGTACAGACTATAATGCCGCCCTGGAATCTAAAGGCAAGAGTGGTCGTTCCATGAGCCAACTTGATGGGAACATTTGGATTCGAATGGTCATCCGTTACCGCGCGGAGCCAAGATGCGGGCTATATAATATTAGCTAAAGCTCCAGGGAAGCTTTGGGAAGCATCGCAGATACCTGTGCCACTGGAGGAATCGCAAACTTCAAGCTCAAGGTAGGCCTCTCATCTTGTTGCAGCTCATCCAGGTCTTCCGTAGCTTTAGACTGGAAGGTCGGTCGGCTATACTGCGCTACGAGAGCGTCCATTGCAAGTCAACGATTCGTGGTTTAGGTAGAAAGAACAGTTGTGATGGTGGGAGTTGTTGAGATGGAGTTAAGAATCCTATGTTGCCAGTCCGGAGGTGTTGGAGCTCCAGGCTGGCTGCCGCGTCGCGCTCTCGTCAGAGCATGGAGCGGAACGGAGAAACTGTGGCACCGACGGTCCACTTTATTTTACACGTGGGGCATTCGCTCCTGATTCCAGCTCTCTCGCCGAAGACGAAGTACTTACTACCTTAGGTACCTAAGTACTCTAAGGTATGGTAAGTAGGTAACTTGAATACCAGTACGCCTAGATAGGCCGCAGTCCAAGTCACTTGAAGAATGTAACCTGAGACGAGCTATGATGCTAACGCCCAACGTAGAAAAGCGACGACCGGCAGCAATGTCAATACCGAAGCAGACGTGCCGTCATTGTACAAAGCCCTTCCCTGATGACTCAAAACATCTCAAGGAGTGCAACTCTAAGAGATGCTCGAGCTGCACGAGGTAATTTCCTCGAGGTATTGCTCATGATTACCCTAAAAGGGGTGTAGTCGCTGTGATAAGCGTGGTATTCTCAAGCAAGACTTCTAGCAGCATTAGCTCCAATACGATTTCAGCAATGTAGACTCTGCTTCAGAAAGGCCCGTCGGAGCATCGCAAATGACTGTCAACCAAGAACCGAGAATCGAGAGGTAGATTTGCTGCCGGTGTAGCAGGCTTATTCCTTGAAGCAAAGGGGCGATACACTGTACCGACTATGAACATAGAACATGCTCTCCTTGTCGGAAGAAGTCCAAAACTTTGGCAGGATTTCCACGGACACGAATGCCAACTCAAATATTGTTAAGACTACCTCGTGAAACTTGCTTGAGGGGATTGGGAGTCGCACAAAACAATTGTCCAATCCGGATACTCCAGAAATGTTACATAAGGATTCCGACAATGCCATAATTGCTTTAAAGCTTGCCTTCTGGACACTGGGGCACGTATACGGTTGGATGAAGACTCCAAATGTCATAAAAGGACCCCTAAATAGCAACATAAGATTCACTTGGAAGGATGTCAATTCATAATCTGCTACAAAAGCTCAACGCAAGTTCCTTCACATCATTACAGGGTTCACTCATCTGAATGCACAAACCACTGTTGCAACAGTTGCGGCAAGAATTTTGACAAAGGGGACTGGAATCCCCACATATGCCTCTTCGCATGCTGTTGGGCGTGTAATAGGCATGTACTGACGAACGACTTCCCTTATCACAAATAGAACTGCATAGCTATTCTTGCTAATAGAAGATGAACCCTAAAGAAAGATAGCTATTGCATCTAGTTGCAGACCCCAAGCGGTAATACTTGCCTAGAGCCTCAACAGAAGGGCGCCCTTATTCTGAAATAACATGCCGACAAGCAAAGCGATGGGAAGGTCAATTCAGCTGCCGAAAAACAAATCTACCGCAGAATTATACGGCTGCCGCCCAGCTCTTTGGAAAACTTCTTCTATGTCTACTCTTGCACAAAAATGGAACAAGAGTCCTGAAACGATTTTTATTTGTGATATTGAAACGGTGTGTACGAGCTATTTTATATCCCCTCTAGATGAGTTTGAAATTGCTACGATGAACGCAGGGGGAGACCAGATAATACCACCCGCAACAATCTATCATTAGACGCTACATCGCTCTTCTTCGTTGATGTATTTGGTAGGGGTTTAAGAAACCAAGTTGTCAAATCCTGTTGGTCCACCGAGTTGCTAGAGAACGTGTTGCTAGAAACAAGTGGCACGTTGGTCAAAATACCAGCTTCTTGGGTTTCCTAGGCAATACAGAAGACAACATGAGTCCAGATATTCATTCTGATGCCAAACTCGTCAACCGTTACAGTCCCTACTACGCGTGTCCTATCCAAACCTTTTATTAGTCGGGTATTTGCTAGCCGTTGTTCGTTCGATCTGGCGCGGCTCTGAGGTAGGGCCCATATGATGTTTCGTAGCGAAACTAGCAACAAGTAAATTCCCCCCATTTCCCATTTTAGACCACGGCATTTAGATTCTAACACTGCCCGCAGAATAGAGAGATAGGGGGCCAGACTCACGACACATGCTATAAAATTTCTAATTAAACTAGTACTAGATATACGAGTTGTGTGCGAGGCCACCGAACGAAACATCTCTCAACCCTTGCTAAATAACTTACAGTCAGTTGTGCCTACCTCCTATCCATGCCATATATTTTGTTAGAATATCTAGAAGCCGAGGAACAGATGTCTAACAGAGTGCAGGAAGGGCTATATAGGATATCCTATGATGCATGGAATTGGCTGGTCTGCGAATTGTGAATGCTTTGGATATTGTTTTATGTCTGTTTGTTTATGCTGGTTTTGATATCCTTTCTGGCCCTTATACCACCTAAAACCATGCTCCATTTTGAGCATTATAAAATTGGTGTTGATACTGGCGTTGTAGGGGTTAAGCCCAGTTAGCCACATGCCTAACTGAGTCACGTTATCACAGTTCTACTTGGTTAAATATCTTGGTTGCAGACCGCCCAGCCACACTCGTTCCTGCACAGTGTTCAACCTGGTTTGTTGCAGCCTGAGACCAACCAACCCATGAATACTTGATTCTATTTGGACTTATTTGAACTATATCCTCTTTGTCACTTTTGAATTTGACTTTACACTTTGCATACAACTCACATATTATCAAACAGTCGCTTTCACGACCCAGTTTCACAGCTTTGGAGTCACCCTACAATGGGAGGCAAGCGCTTCCCCCCAAAAAGAGAGCAGCTAGGATCATGCATACCCGGCCCCCATCTCCTTCACAGGTGAACAGGCCGAAAACGAGACCGTGGTGCAGATGACCACAAATCTCCATACGCTTACCCAGGTGCAGAGGGCAAGGCTCCCTCCGATATGCACTGCCACGACTTTGTTTGGCCGCGAACTAAGCTCCAGAAAAACTTTTCAATTTTGATACGTCGTTTGTTCATGCTAGCTACTATGACCTATTCAAAATCCGGCACATATGTGATCGGCTTCCCTACCTAGATACGGCAACCTACTTATGGCCATGCACGTGGCCGTGGCCGTTTGAGTTCCTAGTTCCTTTGACTAAAGTGGCCTAGGTATTTTACTATCACTTCAGCCATTAGCTAGTAGCTCAACCTCATCCCGTATTTCCATGTCCTAATTGACCCACCGCTATTCCCTCTTGCAAAATTACTTCATTATATTTCCTTGCCAGACACGTGTTGAAAATGTCAACTTACAAGCATCCGAGGTTGACTCCTTACAAATATTCGGCATTGACTCCCAGTACGAAAGAAATTCGGATTCTTACATTATTGCCTGGCTATACTGATGCTCCAATTCGCGTCACACTCGCGCATACACCGTTGGTACCGCCTGAGAAACGTCGTTCTAAACGCATGTCTCTTGCTGATCTCGAACGCACATTACCCTCCGGCTGGACCGTCGAGGAGAATGTAGAAGGTCACATGTGCTTCGTGAATGAAACTCCAGGTGACAGTCGAGGGACTTTCTGGAGGCATCCTGATCCTTATTTTGATCGACGTCTCTATGAACTTCCCTTAGATCATGAGAATCCAGGCTTCGAGCCAAGATATGAAGCTTTGTCGTATACTTGGGGTTCAGCAGAGAATCCCGAAGCGATATATGTAGTAGAACCGTCCTACCCATCCAAAGCACCGCAACTACTCGAAGTCGGGCAAAACCTCGCGTCAGCCTTGCGACATCTCCGGGATCACGACGCGGCTCGGGTTATGTGGATCGACGCAGTATGTATCAACCAAGCCGATATCGATGAGCGAAGCAGTCAGGTTATACGCATGACAGATATCTTCAAATCTGCGTACCGGGTTATTGTTTGGCTAGGCGAAGAAGCAGATGAGAGTAAGCTGGCACTTTCAACAATGGCATATCTCGGAAGACAGACAGAGCTTTGCAAAAGTGGGAAACGGATGTATTCCCCTGGAGCCACTGAAACGGATTGGTACCGGGCAGCATTCGACCTTCCCTATGACGACCGAGTATGGCGTGCCTTATTCCAACTCACAAATCGGCCATGGTTTGAACGGCTTTGGATATGGCAAGAAATCCAGCTTGCGAACAGCCGTTCAATAGTAAAATGCGGACATGATACAATTCCATGGTCTCTATTCCGCCGAGCGGCAGTATGCCTTGCAACCAAGCAACATCCCTCCCGCCCTAACCTTGGAGGGCATTTATCGAAACTCAATAGTCTGTGTTACTACCGCCGCCGATATCCTTTCAAAACTCAACTGTCTTCCGTTTGGGAACGCAAATGTGCTAATCAAAGGGACAAAGTCTATGGAGTTTTGGGTCTAGCGCCACCGAAGTTGGCAAACAGGATCATCCCGCAATATTCGCTGCCGGTTGACCGAGTCTTCAAGGAAGCCACCCTTGCCTATCTTCACCAATTCCAACGCCTAGACATGATTCAGTACTGTAATTTGGGAACACGGCAGGTCGAAGGTCCTTCATGGGTTCTTGATATGTCCGTCAATCAAGAAGGAATAGATCGTAGCTTTTATACCACGGGACTCTCGCGTGCGCAAACCGTATATCATCAACCAGATATCCTTGAGGTCACTGGACTATTGTGTACAAAGGTTCGGTCTGTCAGCCAGCCAGCATCCCTATACCGCGATAAAGCCTTGGATTCAATTCGATCATGGCAGCCCCCAGATTTGGAAACTGCTTCTTATATTACCGGTGGAAGTTTACTTGATGCTTACCTGTCAACTGTATGCTTCGGGGACCTAAAAGAAAAATTTGTGGGTACCTTAAGTCCAACACTAGAAGAGTGGAAAGAGGTCTTTCTTTCCAAGCTATCGGCCTCGGCGGGACCGATACAGCCAGATGCCCTTCTTAACCCCTGGGTTATCCATGCTCTTAATTATATCACAGGAATGTCCTTCATGACCACAGAGGATGGGCACATCGGACTTTGTAGGTTTTCAGCCAAACCAGGCGACTGGGTGTGCCTCCTTCTTGGCTGTGATGCGGCGATTTTACTGCGGCAAAATGCCACCGAAAATTTTCAGGTTGTCGGCGCGTGTGGTATCCACGGTCTCAGCGATTCAGCAAGCCTTCTTGGCCCCTTGCCGAAGCCATGGAAAGTGGAAATTGTCTCTTACTCATCCATACTTCCCAACTATCAATTTGTCAACGCAGTCACAGGGGAAGTGACTCTGGAAGACCCTCGATTAGAGCCACTCCCTGAGGAATGGGAGAGGTTCGAGTCCCCGTGGACGCCCGATGATCCCGAGTTCTTTCAGCGATTTAGAAATAGGACTAATGGAGAGGAGATAAATTCAGACCCACGAATCTTTCCGGAGGCTTTGAAGGCACGAGGTGTACCATTGCGAACCTTCCAGCTTGTTTGAAAATCTAAACTGCATATGCCGTATTAACTGGCCCAGGATATATTAGAAGGTACAAGCTAGTACGCATGTGTAAGGTATGGACCAGATTTGGGGTTATTTGACGAATATATAATATATTATCTAAACTATATCATATACAAAGAAAACACTCTTCAATCAACCCGCTCTTTGTTATACTCGAGTTTTACGTATCAGTAGGCGTATCATCATTTGAGTCAGGAAGGGCTTTCATATCTTGCCCTGAATCGGTGGTGATGTCTACAACACCACATCATCGTCACTTGAAGTTTTCTGTGACAAGCAAGATATATGTACTGTCTACATTTGAATAAAGTACTGGCAACGAGAGTAGTTGTAGTGTATGATTGATAATATAACTAGGTACCTTCTAGGCAACTCGTAGCTAAATAAAGTTATAAGATATCATCGATTATAAAATATAGCCGCAAATAGCAAATAGTTCAAAATAAACTCTACAATATATTACCCCACGGCATAATCAAATAGTATGTACTTTAAATATGGGAGGCCAACCAAGTGAAGTATCATATCGGGATAGAGAATCTTACAATACACCATCTAAAGTAAACAAACGACTTGGGAAGTTTGAGAAGGGTTATAACATATTATCTCACCACAATATTCCAATACGCCCGTTTAAGGTATTAACCCAATTTAAGCCTTTTGAGTTGATTTACTTCAGATGGGAATGTATATAGGCATAAAGATTTGGTTTGGAGTTAATGCGGTACAACGAATTCCACGGTTGATACGTGGTTGATCGCATGTAAATAATATAACAAAATATTTATTATTTGTCTAATAGGCGGCTGAGGCGTAAAGGGAAGTTAGATAATGATAATAATATACTTACTTCTAACTAAATTAATAACCAGGGCCCCAAGGGGTAACGCTCACTGATGGCTTAGCCGTGATGATAATCTAAAGTCACGCACAATTACTGCCAGGTTCATAGGACAGTATATCTTCAAAACGGAGTTATTCCACGCACAATAGTATATCGATTGATGGGAGACTATGAATTATCCACAACCTTCACTGGTCAACTACATCATAGGGGAAGAATTAGAAAGAACTACGTTCATATTAGTGATGAAACTGATTTGAAAACCGCAGCTAGAGCTTAGCTAGGATGGTTAGAACTAAAATCTATTGGCATTGCTTGATTTTATCTCTCGTAGCGATATCTGAGTAGTGCGCTCCAAGTCCATGTGGAGGATTATGTTTTAAGTCTTACAGTGCTAAGAGCCTTCGACGAGAGGGCGCAGGCTGTGTTTGGTTACAACACCATATGCCATTGAATATGCGTCAACGACTTCCAACAGGCTAGAGGTTGGCATGACATCATGGAAGGCGCATTTGACCAGGAAGACAAAGCTATTGTATGAAGCTTAAATATGGCGGGCCGGGGTCCAAGAGGTCAGAGACTGACAAGAAATACTGCGAACGAGACGATGCTAGGACGGAAACCCAGAAAGCTACTTCAACCCTGTTTTATAAATCTTCCGACGTAATCAAGAAGCTGTTGCAAAGAGTATATCGAAGCAGGAAAATATCGATGAAGGGGCAAACCGATTTCCCTGGGGCCCAGCGGCAGGAGAATAGTGTTGCTCAACTCCGAGTAGAAATAGCTGTATCTTGAACAACAATTTCCTTGGATTTTGGCATAGGCAAATCCTATACGTCTTGAAGTAGGCTCCCTTGTCCCAACTCGTTAATCTTCAACTTGATCCTCTCCCTGTCCAGCAAAAACATTTCCGGGCTCCAGTCTCCTGGCTCCACTTAGTTTCGACCCGTGCCACCATTTTCCAGCATGATTTCCAAAACTCCAAGGCCAACAGGAATTTTCCTTCAGCTGGTCTGTTTGTTTACTCTTAACCTTGCCGGAATTCCTTTATCACTAGGAGCATATCCATCGAAAACTATAAAATGGGGTTGTGTCTTAGCGAAGACGAATAAGAGCGTGTGTTGAAATGGTAGCGGTAGTCGTGGGTGGGGCGTCTTAGAACGTTGTTCTTCAATTGCTAAAACCCATTCCTGGACTTACCGGTAGCCCAACATCTGGAGGTACTTCGGCGCTGATGTTGATAGCGAATATTCCACCACGTATCTAGGAAAGACAGTTTTTGGCGACCATGACGAAATGTCTCGGGGTTATCATCGCCCCGTTTGTAAGCCCATAGTCCTGGTACTGTGATCAGAGACAGCCAGCCAAACTTCCTTATACTGCCGGAGTTGACCTCGCATTCCCATATGAGCATTCAACACTGCTTGCCAAACTATGTAAAGCGTTCTTGATGCTCTTCATGCGGGTTTGGGGAGGCTGAAGCGAGAGCATATATGTGACGAGGTTCCTGTTCAATTCTCCTTGAGAGCGTATATCATGTGGGTATGTGATTCGTGAGAAAGGAACAAAATGGTGCGAGGCAGATGCAAACAGGTTCCTTCGAATCCAGTGAAGGAGTGACCGACATTTCATAGCGGCACGAGTATTCGTACATAATTCCGGGAAGCCAAATCCGAGCGTATATCAGGGCTTTTCATATCAAGCCTAAGCAGCGAGAAATGAAATGAGCAGAGAGAATATTTCGTGCCATGGCAGCGAGATGACGATAGATTCGGTCTGGAAGAGTCGACCCGTATATAAAATAGAAAGATCTCCTACGCTTATGCAGGAACAGAAGCCGCTGGCAGCTCCCCACATGCGGCTTACTCGTGCTAATAATCTAATTACCAAGTGATTGGTGGTCGGGAAGCACGAAGCTACGCGACTGCCATACTGCCGTTATCTCTCAGCTCTCATCTCATCTCTGGACACGGGAAATTGAAATTTGATGGGGCGAGGACAGTGCTGGGCGATGCTCGCTCGGGCGTGTGCTATTGTTGGGTACTCGTACGAAGTAGCCCGGTGCGACATTCCGGGAAGCGGACGCGTTTGGGCTGGAGCAACAGAGATTTCGTTCGCTTGCTGGCCTGGGAAATGAAGGTCCCACACGACAACACCCACCGACACGCCCACAGCTCACCATCCAGGGGGGCAGAAGCAAACAAAACTGGCGGCTCCGGCATGAACAACTTACGGAGTATGTACTATGGAGCAGCAGCGTCAGTAATACCCGGTCAGTATCAAATCATCAATGCATCGGTTCCTCGGGGGATGGATACGGTACTTGCTTGGTACTGTACAGCTACGCGGCTGGCTGGGTCTCTGCCCTTTGGCTGGGCCTCCAGGCGCTGGCTGAGTGGCTGGCTGGCTGCTTGTGGGCTGGGCCGGCCTGGGGCTGGTCCTGAACCTTGGTGATGATCATTATTATTGGAGCTTCCGAATTCGAGAGATTTGCATGAGACACGTTTTGACGGTTCTTAGACAACGGGACGATAAGGTTGCAATGGTGTCTAAGCAAAACAAGCAAGATACTGGCTGCACAGTACTGTATCTTCCGCAAAAGGACATGTCGATGTCGCGAAAGTCAGCCACTTGCAAAGAAATACAGCTGCAGGGTCAGCATGTGGCGAGCTCCCAGCCAGCCAAAAGATGAAATGAACAGGTTCTGCATTTGGAGCGATGTTGTTGATGGAGATAGGGCCACAGCGTGTTGGAAGGACATTGTTTGGCGTGTTGGAATACTACAACAAAACATTCTACCTCTCTATCTACATACAGTACCATACCGCCGACCGTTGCCAATTCGCCGGTTTAGGAAACCGTGTACTACCACCATATGCTGAATGTTCCCTGCTTCCCGGGAATTATTGGGGCGATGCGCTTGATGAGCATGGCGCCCATGCAAAAGCAATATGGTAATTTCAAACTCGGGCATTATCTTGCTTGATATCAAGATCCATGAACGATACGAGACGAGCCGGGAGCGACCAAATGAAGCGCTCCCACCGGCATGAGAGACAAAAATATGGGACGAACGAACGAATGCGGTTCAAGCGGATTACCACCAATTATCACCGCGAGATTAGAGATTCTTTGTCAGAATCTGACAGATTCCAGCACGAAGCTATCGAAGGAGGCTGCATAGATGGACTTTAGCGAGCCAAGGAGATAACACCTGCTGCGCAGGTGGCAATTCGCGAAGACGAGTGGCAGAAATAGGTCGACTTGGTCACGGCGCGTACTGTATGGGTTGTGATAAGTGATTTCGCGACTGGGATCACGCACTTCGTATTATTGGCGACCGAGGGTGGGAGCAGCAATACGGAGGAGATAGCGGTGATGGAGCAGAAGCCTGCGATACGGCAATACTGGAGCCCATATCGCGATATCGCCACTAGCTATCAAGTCCTTCGTACAGCAGACACAGCCTGATTAGCACTATTGGCGTGGGGGATTACAAAGTATGCCCAGTCCAAAATCCGGAGGTACTCAGAGACATCGGGGTTCTCCGGGGATGGAGGGAAGGAACTTGGAAGCCTGGCAGTCAGAGTGGCAGAGCGCTCAGCAGGCAAAGTCAGCGCTATGTACACAGCCTAACAGCCCAGAGACCCCAAGAGAGTCGTCCCTGAAGGCTCTGAACCGCTGAAGTCCGAACGGTGGAGGGTGCCGGAATTAGAACTTGGAAGCTGTGTGGTGGTCACTGTGGTGTGCTTGCTGTCCGACAACGCTGTGGCGCCAGGTCTAATAATACGAAGTGACTCAGTTACTCGTATCAACCCTCTATCAAGGCTGGTGGTGTGGTCACTGTGATATCGGTGTCTCACCGGTTTAGGGGCAAAGTTCCAGTGCTCAGGACTTAGGAGAACACTGAGCAGCGAGAACACAGCGGCCCCGTCTCCTCCTGGGCGGCCCCGATCAGGCTGAAGGAAATTCGAGTGGACATGCAGGCACCGAGTAAGCACCGCATGGTACCGAGATGGAGAGTCCAGGCGGGCTGTTCCTCTCCTGGGTGCTGAGCACAGAGTGCTGGGAGCGTGAGGCTCGAGTGACGGTCAGATCGTGACGGCAGTGACAAATGCCAGGAACGGAGTCCCCTGGTGCGAGAGAGAGACCCTGAGTGCTGCTCTGTTCCTGACTACTACAGGTGCTGAGCCCCAAGCCTGAAGCCTGTAGGTTGCCACTACCAGTACCTGCCAGCCGCCAGTCGCCAGTTCCCAGTCGCCAGTTCCCAGTCGTTGCCACTAACTACCTAGGTACTGTACGATTCACGTAGCACCACCAAATGTGGTCTAATCTACGCTAATCTACCAGGATGCAGGAACAAGCCCCTAACTCCCTACTCCGTAAATAAACAATAAGACAATCCAAGGCAATCCACGCCAAAGCCGCGCCTTCCCCCTTCCAGCCAACCATCGCCTTCCACCCGCTGTCTCCCAAATGAGGGCCCACAATAATAAATACTCCCCGGCTAGGCCTGTTCGGGCGCTTCTCCTGCTCCGTACAGCGCGCCCACCGCCTCTCCCCCCGTCCACCGCCGCCCGTTGCCCCGTATAAAGATTCTCGTCCTCCCGACCCAGCTCCTGTTCTTCTCTCTTCACCCACACACTCTCGTTCTCATCTACATCAACCTGACTTTTAGTCAATTACATTCGTTCAAACAACAACCAAACCTCTCCAACCTCAACCCTCAATCAACCATCCTCCCACTCTTAATTACTTTTAAGTAACTTAATACCAACCGTCAAGATGCAATTCTCCGCCGCCGCCGTTCTTGCTCTCGCAGCATCCGTCTCCGCCCACGCTGTCAGCAATGGCACCGTGTCCTACACCACTGAGGTGCACACTGCCTACACCACCGTCTGCCCGGCCTCCACCGAGTTGACCTTCAACGGCGTCACCTACACTGCCACCGAGTCCACCACCTTGACCATCACCAACTGCCCTTGCACCATTGTCAAGCCAGTGACCACCTCAAGCGTAGTGTACTGCAACACCTGGTACCCTTGAACTGTTTCCAAACACAGTTGTACAGCAAAATAACTGACTGTGATTATAGTGCCCCATCTGCCCCAGTCAACCCACCCGTGTATGCCAACACCACCGCCCCAGCTGTCCCAGCTAAGCCAACTGCTGTCGGCACCACCCCCGTCAAGGGCACCCCAGCCCCTGGCCCAACCAACATCAGCGCCTCAAGCGGCAGCAAGGCCTTCGCCCTCTCCGGCGCCAGCCTTGCCGGTGTTCTCGGCCTCGCCGCTTACTTCTTGTAAGCGGTTTGCTTCGATGCTGCGCAAATCCAATCAGTCACGAAAATACGATTTCCTCATTGCGGCACTCGGTAATTCATGACGGGAGGAAAAGCGGTTCGGAGTGGGGATCGAGTGGGATTGTCTGGGCTTTAATCATGGTGTTCTTGCATTGCTCTCTGGAGTCCTTCAGTCTATAATTTACGACATGGCCACGCGGCATGCAAATCGCATACTTTTCTTGTAATTGCTTGAGTGGTCAAGCGTGTTTGTGAACACGAGGATCTACATCATACCCCCATAGCCAAAGTGTGCGGTCTTTTTTTCAGGTGTCTAGAGACATTGGGGTGTTTATTGTTTAATAGCTTTTCTTCATCTTTCGTCAGGCGTCTGAAGAAGGATAAAGATGGATCGTCAAATACAAAACACAACATCATGTTCCACCTGAATTTTGCTCTGCTTTTTTGCGCTTTGTTCTTTCAACTGTTCCCTTCGTGCTAATAGACCTATTCTATCACATAATGATTTTACGCTGGGAGTGTTTATTGGTCTTGGTAAATAGAAAAGCTTTCAATGCTGGCGCCTGTCAAATCATAGCATCAATCTTGTATTATAGAACCTGAAATATGACGAGGACAGCAAGTATTGCTCGGAGACCAAGTTTTGGCCCAGCAACCCTTTTACCTGCGTGTCTTTCTGCCAACCCCCATAACAAAGTGAGAAACTTCCCCCAAATCGAAACGCGAATACTGGGCGCCGGGCCGAATCGACGCGGGCGCACTTGATTACTCAATCCCATCTAAGTTTTAAGATTGTTTATGACCGGGGGGGGGGGGGTGTGGTGGAAAAAACAGGTTTGGTATGGCGCCTGAATGGGATGGGTCGAATCCGGCTGAATCAAAACATACGGATTATTGACCAGGTCATATAACTGATATTGATCCAAACCCGACACCTCGAACCATAATTGGTGGACTGTTTTCCATCGCCCAATACTCGGCATAACATAGACGACATATCTCATATCATATCATATCACGATGTATTTCTGGATCTGCGGTGTTACTTACAGCACTTCTTCGCCTGGTGCGCTGTCGTGCGCTGGTCCTGCGGTGCTGAGCTGGACACTTCGGAGAGATGGAGAGATGGCAACTTGGCGTGTCGCTCTGCAGCAGAATTAGCAATGTCGCAGTCCAAGCAAAAAAGGGGGAAATGAGGGTGGGAGTCGTTGCTTCTGAGAGTCTCGTGAGTGGCCGATCTGTAAGTTGGTGCGCGGCGGAGCCCGCTACTGCAGGGGCCGAGACCTTTCCCTCATCACCTTGGCCATGTTTTCCCTGTCGGCCGAGCGTAGACGAACTCAGACCGTCTGACGAGACGCTTAGTTATCCCCGATTTGGGAGCATCTTAAATTACATATTGCGCGGAGGCAAGGGTATGGTTCGCCATGAGGTGAATGGGGGTGGCAGGCGCTTCGTAAATAAGTCTCTTGCCTCTTTGGGGGTAGAGGTTATTTGGGGAAGCTTGTTTAGGCAATTTTCTAGTTTCTTTATTTGTGCTGTGTTTGTTGTTTGTTTATGATATTTGTGAATTGTTCTCGAGAGTGGGATGGGAGCGTTGCTAGGAGCATTCGTGATGTTTTGCTTTTACGGAGTAAGGGAAAGTAGAGCGCGGCTCCTATACGGAGGTGGGTAATGAAGGAAGGAACAACGAAATATCGTGTTAATCATTCACTGCGTTGTTTATTTTCTATTGGCTCACAAGTTGCCTTCCTTTGGTTTGCGCATAGTTGATTCCTTCAAGATTTTGATTTCCTAGATTCAGGATCTCGGATCTAGGATCTGGGACTTGGGCTTCAGAAAAGAGGAAATCTTAGATTCGAGGGCGCGGTTTCATGAATTGCACATCGCCCAGTTTGTTCCCATCCAACTACAATTAGACCTTTCGGATCTCTGTGGCCAGACAAGTGTCTGGGATCCGGGATTTGGCATGAAGCACGAAATTTAAGAGCCAGAAACTGGGATGTCAAAAACACCATGGCTATTAATTGAACCGCTACCGTTTCTACAAAACTAAAGGCCATATTTTGTGGTTTTCAAGTAGCCTTCTGAATGGATAATTTATCTTGCGCTCCTATTTGTGTTGATGATCGTCATCTTCTGATTATTATGGTGCGAATAAGCTTGCGCTCACTTGGTTGTTACGGCATGTTTGCAAGATAGCGCTTGGGTCTCTCAAGATGTGAAACTCAAATAAAGCCATTCGATCCAATAGAGAACCAGACCAGACTCCTAACTGAATACTACTGTTGAAATGATTTTTATTACAAAGCGAGAACACAAGGCCATAACTGTTGACCTTGATATTTTGTAAGTTCTATGTCTTGTTTGAGATTTTGGTAATCTCTCCAGAGCTCAGACGGACAGTTAATTGCCAAAAGCAAAGATAGGGAAGACAGAAGGCAAGCAGAAGTTCTTACAATGCTTTCGTTTTTTACTCACACCCCTCTTTTCCTTTTTGCATCAATCACCTTGCGACGTCCTATTCAGTGTGATGAAAGAAGTTAAAAAAGAAGGACAAAAGCCGGCCCACGGTTAACCGCGACATGGCTGACAAGGGATAGGTGAGGGACTCGAGAGGGAAGTCGAGATCCTCGGGGTTTAACCATTTCTCAAACGTTTCCACACTGGTATTCTCGGGTATCAACAACCACAAATCCCTTTAGACCACGACAATTCGGAGTCGTCATCTCGTCTACAAAAGGTATATTATAACACCGGATCAGGCCTAGGCCAAGGCTTGGTCTGGCACCACCCTGTTAACCAGGGCCCGTGGGACGAACCCAGAATCGGTTTCAATTACCAGAACATCATCAGACCAAAAAAATAATAAAAACATACAACAGCAGGTATTCGCTGGTGGTCACCCACCCAACTACTAATCTGCCGATCTGAGGCTTGTGTATGGCAGAGCGGACGGGATGCCCATTTCTCCTCAGTCTATGGTCGTATGTGACAGATATCTGCTTATGTTAATATATATAACGCTTGAGTCAGAAGTATCGTGATATAACAGGCCCGCGGAAAACATGTGATTAGATTCGAAAAGACTACTGCAGATCTAAAGAGAGAGCAAATTAGTTTCCTAGAGCCCTCGACCGCCTACAGGGCTTGTCTTAATTAAACACCAAATAGTATCTAGTATTATTGAGACCGGGTATATTTTACCTTCACGATCTCTGGTGTGGGGCAGATGTAGCCGACTTGTACGCCGTAGGGCCAATGAGTGCGAAGTTCAGTATAACAGAACTCATACATCGCCCTTGGTGAGGCCTACATTAACGAAAGTTAGAGGATCGGAGACAATTTCTTTCATAGGGCCGCAGGCCTGTGACTATGGGGTGGGAGCCGTGGTTACAGGTAACGGACGATAGCAAGAACAGAGGGCTGACTTTTTACAGAACATTAACTAAGCGAAATCTTTCTCCGCGAAAATCAACGAGTAAGTAGCCCCTGGACTCTTTTTATCATTTTAAGTCTGTGGGTTGTGTAGTGGCCCTACCCTGAATATTGGGTTGGGGGGGGGGGGGTATGTTTATTGTCAATAGCGGTATTGTTGTTATTTACACCATTTTTGTCAAAGCCTAGGTTGGATCAGGGGATAAAACCTCAGCATGAGCGCTCTAGTCATCGTGACGACATACACAACCGCCCTGTAATGTTTCAAAGCACTCGTCTTTGATCAAATCTTTTCCCTCTATAGGAGCAGCATGAACGGCCTTTAAGTGGCATTCAGAGCTCCGTAGCTGTTGCAATATAGCCTTTTGTTTCAAAGCTATAAAACATAATGTATACGGCATGGGTTACTTGGTAAGTTGTCAGGAGGTGGGATACTTATCCAAGTTTTGTCAGGGGTATGATTTATGATAATCGCTCAAAAAACTGCGTCCTCCTACTAACAGACAGAAATAGCCAGCCAAATTCATAACACCGTTGAACTTCCAAAATTTGCCTATTATTCAGAGAGGTTTTGTTTCGTGTACCTATATACCCAACTTATATTATTGATCATTTAGGGCCTCTTTCTCTTGTCAGCAAAATCAAGGAAGCTCAACATCAAGTGGCACATCGAGATGCCAATAGACCACCAGTATACGACATTTATTGAATCCTTTTGTGGCAAGGAATTGGGTCTTGTCAAGGCTGTCGTCAAGCTGTCTTGTCCAATAAGTACTGCGTAAGCTATGGGATGGTCTTCCCGACTCACACGTGTTAAAAGCCGATGGCTATAAACCTAACGCCGAAGATTCTCGAGAGCCATCTCCGATGACAGATGCGCGGCATAAGGCTGAAAACACCGAAAGCGCTATTATGGCCGAAACCCTTATGGCGTGCGACATCATATTTCCCTCTGGACTTCTGCATTCCACAGTTAATGCCGAAATCTTTGGTGGAGATGTGTGCGGCCCATTGGAATCTTCGCTCGGGAACGCCGTAGCGCATTCAGCAAGATGCTGAATAACATTTCTGTGTACCAAAAGGCTGAGTATATAAAGAAGCTCACTGCCTTCGATAGAGTAGTTCTCCTCCATCATCTCATATTGAGGCCCAAAGCACAGCTCCATACCTTTTCGTACGTCTCAGATCACATCACCCACCAATTCAAGCTCAATTATTTGCAATTAATTCATCATCTGATAGCTTCTCGCCATGTCTTCAGTCAAATCAAATACTGGACTGGGAAAGACCGTCCTCGTTACAGGCGGATCAGGATATGTCGCTGCTGAAGTACTCAATGCTCTTTTCTCCCGCGGTTACAATGTAAGGACAACTGTTCGCAACCAAGAAGCGGCCGATAAGATCCAGAAATCCCATGGCAAATACCTCGATCGCCTCTCTTTCGTGATTGTCAAAGATCTACAGATTCCCGGGGGACATGATAAAGCGGTAAAAGGTGTCGATGGGGTGAGTTTGAAATTTTTTATGTATTGTAGACACGAGTGCTAACATGTACTTAGGTTATTCATACAGCTTCCCCTTTCGTCTTAAACGTAGAGGACAATGAGCGGGATCTTTTGAAACCCGCTCTGAACGGCACGATCGAGGTCTTGAAATCTATTCAAGCCCACAATCCCAGCGTCAAGCGAGTTGTGATCACATCATCATTCGCAGCTATGGTTGACCTTACTAAGGGGAACCGCCCAGGATATACATATTCTGAAAAGGACTGGAATCCAACACCTTACGAAGTAGCGGCTAAGAAGGACACCCCCGGGGCAGTGGCCTATTGTGCTTCCAAACTTTTTGCAGAGAAAGCGGCCTTCGACTTTGTGAAGCAGAACAACCCCAACTTTACCATCAGCACTCTCTGCCCACCCATGGTCTATGGTCCTAGTAGCGTCTACATCCCTAGTCTCGAGCGTCTGAGCACATCCGCAGCAGAAATCTATAGTCTGATGAACGGATCAACGAAGAGCGTTCCCGACACGGGTTTCTTTGGATTCGTCGACGTCCGTGATTTGGGCGAGGCTCACGTTCGGGCATTCGAGTCGGAAAAGGCGGCCGGGCAGAGATATCTCGCTGCATCATCGAAATTTACCTTCCAGAAAATTTGCGATATTATCCGAGAGGAGTTTCCTGAGAAGAGGGCATTGGTCCCTGAGGGTACGCCGAATGCGCCGTTCCCAGATTCATACGATCTTGATAATAGTAAAATCAAGACCGAGCTTGGGATGGAATTTAGAGATATTAGGACGATGATTCGTGATATGGCTGCGCAGTTTATTGAGATTGAGAAGCGGACTGGCAAAGCTTAATTATCTTATATTACGTGGAATAAACGAGTTAAGCAAATAGCTAGCACAAACAAGTTTTAGACATCACTACTAGTATTTACAACTTAGCCCTTGTCTCTGTCGCCTTATGCAACTCCCCGCCCTTCTCCTTGAAATACTCTGCAATTTTCCCTCTCGCAACATCCACCACGCTTCCATCTTCCACCGTAGCCGGAACTTGCACCTCCTTTTCAAATTCACCATGCACCGCATTCTCCACCAATTCCCTCAACACTCTCCTTAATGTCTTACCGGACCGTGTCTTAGGAATCATACCTTTACCTTGGATCATGCCTCCAAGCGCCGCAATAGCTCCAATCTGCGTCCGAATGAGCTTTTGCACCTCAGCGTAGAGCTGCTCGGACGGGATGGCGGAGGAGGGGTGGTGGGCGGTAGAGAGTGTGACGAATGCGAAGGGGAGGTGGCCTTTAAGGGCGTCGGGGATGCCGACTACGCAGCATTCGGCAATTGTGGGGTGCGAGGAGATGGCTTGTTCAATTGATCCTATAGATCGGTTAGCAAAGCCCAAGAAGCTGTGGAGACTTGTTTCTTACCAGTGCTGAATCTATGGGCTGCGACATTGATGATATCGTCGGATCTGGACATTACATGGACATACCCGTCCCCATCAACCATTCCCGCGTCTCCTGTATCAATCCACTTTCCCTCGAATCTTTTCAAGTATCCTTTGTAAAACCTATCTTCATCTTGCCAGAGCGTCCTGAAACCTGTGGGTGCTAAGGGCATGCCGAGAACAATGTTGCCCATTGTACCTTTCGGGACCTCCTTCCCGGAATCATCCACAATTCGGACGTCGAAACCTGGCATGGGCTTCCCAGCACTTCCGGATTTAATACCTAATGACTCGACGCGTCGTTCTTTTGTTTTGCGGTCTTTTCCCGCATGAGGCACAAGTGAAATGCCAGTTATTGGCGACCCTGATTCAGATGACCACCAGTTGTCAACGACTTTAGCATCGGGTGCCCCATGTTTTTGTAGTAGGTCTTGGTACATTGTCACAATACTTGGCTCTGACCTCTCTCCTGCTAGGAAGAGCGCCTGGAGACTATTAATACCACCTCGCCGCCCGGTCTCCTCGAACATCTTATTCTCCGGGTCGTCTCTCCGTATAGCTCTCAAAGCTGTTGGTGCTGTAAAAAGCGAGTTGACTTTATATTCTTCGATGATGCGCCAGAATGTACCAGCATCTGGTGTGCCAACTGGCTTGCCTTCGAACAGTACAGTTGCTGCTCCTGTCAACAGAGGTGCGTATAGAATGTAAGAATGGCCGACGACCCATCCGATGTCAGAGGCGCAGAACATGACATCGCCCGGTCCATGAATACCGAAAAGATAGCTGATCGATAGATGAAGACCTACGGCGTGGCCACCTGCTTCTCTCACGACACCTTTGGGTAGACCCGTGGTTCCCGAAGTGTAAATAATGTAAATTCCGTCACTGGATTTGACGGGAACGCAATCGGCCTTGAGTCCTCGGGAGCGACCGGTTGTGAGGAGTGCCTGCCACTCTCTTTGGCCACTGTGTGTATCGATTGGATCCCATCGAAGTTGATCTCGTTGCCATATAATTGTTTTGCTTGGTTTATGGGACGAGAGATTGATGGCTTCCGTAATGGATGGCCTGTAAGGCATAGGTGGTTTAGCACCATCTATTCCGCATGAAGCAGTCAGGATGACCACTGGTTTTGACGCGTCTATGCGCTGAGCCAAGGATGCAGCAGCAAATCCACCAAAAACCACAGCATGTATGGCGCCAAGTCGTGATATAGCAAGGGTTCCGATGAGAGCAGCAGGTATCATGGGCACTGCGAGAGAGTTTATTAGCCCCGTCAATCCATTAACTGTTCTAGTAGGGTTGTCTTTTCTCAGCTTGTCAAATGGCAAACCCCTGGCCACGTATCACGTATGAATACTTCGATCATGAATTCTGGAATTATAGTCCTAACAAATTGCCTGGCACTTACTGTAAATCAAAACAACGTCTCCCTTCTTAACGCCTTCAGCCCTCAGAACTCCCGCAAAGAGTTCTACCTCATCTAGTAACTGCTTGTATGTATATTTTTGCTTCGTATTCGTTACCGGACTATCGAATATGATTGCTGTACTATCTCCATTCCCGGCAATTACATGCCTATCAACGCAATTGTAGCATGTCGAGATCTCGCCTTCTGGAAACCACTCCCAATGATCATGGGAAATTCCAGACTTGAGTGACTTTTTTGTCCGCGATAGGGTGGAAGTGGGCTTTTTGTGCCAGTAGAGGTGGGAGGCTTGTTCTGCCCAGAAGGATTCGGGATCGGTAAGGGAGTGATGTTGGACTTCGTCTTGGGGGTGAGGTGCCATGGTAGAGAACTGGATTGGTTGCTTGGTTAATACCTTCATTCGTTAGGAAACGGACTGCCATACCTACAGGTTTTATCACTGTTAATGATTTGGTTAGAGCTCGATTCGGAGCTGTGCTGTAATATGCTTTGGTGGATCTAGAGACTGGAACTGCTTTGTGATTGTGAATACGGAGCGGTGTTATGGAAGAAGAGAGACAGGTAACAGAGTTAAGAAACAGCTTCACAGGAAGTGAAGCTCTAGAGATATAAGTACGAGGAGAAAGAGACCTTGCGGTAAGACGACCCATTGAATGACCTGAAATACCTGGAGTTGCCGATTGGCGTGGTTTACACTGGCCATTACTGGTTGATGTTCCTGGTGCTACATACAGTTAGTACCGTAGCTCCGATCCCCGCAATCATTTAGCGTTGGGAGCTCTCCGCAAGCTCGGTAAAAGGCCGCCGTTTGCCGGGGTGCACTAGCCGCCAGGAAGCGATCCCCTTTAGCCCGAACCGCAAGAGCTTGTATTATTTTATTATTAGCTAACTTGAACCTCTTAAGAAACCCAAGCTGTTTTGTGCTCTTTAGATGGGGGTGTTGCGAGCCTTGCGTTGAGTTTCCATAATTTTTTAAATATTTAGCTGTGATCTAAATTCATTTGATTGTTCATTTAATTATAGAGCTACTGAGTCCTGGAATCGATAGATAGGATAATCCATAGATATATGCTTAATAAATAGTGAGTGGCTTTGCTGAGGGTGGTTTAGGACGTATATGAATGAATGTTTCAATGGGCAAAGTCTGCTATATCTACATCCCGCAACTTTTCTTCCTGGGACGTGTCAAGCTGGGGTTTGTTGAGAGAATTACGACCACTTGGCAACCGCTGTATTTTAGAATAGTTGAGATGATACCAAGGAGATGGTAAGCTGCCTCGGGAACTAATCATTTCGCTTCCTGAAAACTGGATACTGTTGCCTTTACCACCGATAGCGGTACTAAGCACACTAAACCAAATTCCCAATTCGATGCCAATTATGGACCCTACTCCCAAGGCAACGAGAAAGTTCCCACCCACTCCTCCACCTCTGATCTCAACTGGACGATCTCTGTCTCATTACTTCCATCGCCGAGGTAATTTAGGAAAGCCTTAACACTTCCTGGATTCTTCCCGCCAGCAGCCGCCTCCCTAGCCTTTTTATCTATTCGTTGAGTAATAGTAACCGCCCTGTTCACCACATCCGCTACCCTAACAAAGTCATCCGGTTGGAAGCCCCTCGTCGTCATTGCAGGCGTACCCATTCTTAATCCGCCGGGTTTCAAGGCCGATTTATCCCCCGGTACCGTGTTCTTGTTACTTGCAACACCTACCAACTCTAGCACTCGCTCGACCCTGGCACCGTCGACCCCCTGTGGTTTGAGATCGACCAAAACGAGATGGTTATCAGTTCCGCCAGAGACAATTGTGTAACCCAATCCGCCGGCTTCTTTAGAGTCTCCTAGCCGCTTTGCGAAAGCCTTGGCGTTGGCGAGTACCCCCTCCTGGTACGATCTAAATTCCGGGCTTTGGGCTTGTTTCAGTGCAACAGCCAGGGCGGTAATGGTGTGATTATGAGGACCGCCTTGGTGGCCTGGGAAGACTGAGGCGTTAATCGGTTCTTCGAGATTCCACATTTTCTCCTGCTTGGTCTTGGGGTCGACACTTCTTACTCCCTTCCTGTAGAAGATCATAGCACCCCGCGGGCCACGCAATGACTTGTGTGTGGTCGTGGTAACAACGTCCGAGAAATCGAAGGGCGTGGGAACAACTCTGGCAGCAACCAGACCCGAAATATGAGCCATATCTGCCAGTAAATAGGCGCCGACTTTATCGGCGATCTCCCGCATGCGCTTATAGTCAATGAGTCTGCTGTATGCCGATGTCCCAGCAACAATGATCTTTGGCCTATACATCATTGCAAGTTCTTCCAACTTTGCATAATCGATCAGGCCAGTCGACTCATCTAGGCGGTATGGAAATGTCTCGAAGTATTTGGATATGGCCGATATCTTTTTCGTGGGGGTTTGGTACCCGTGTGATAGATGCCCACCATGGGGCAAGTCCAAACCCATTATCCGATCATGCGTATTGATGAGGGCAGAATACGCCATGAGATTCGCAGGTGATCCAGAAAGAGCTGCCAGTTGCAATTAGTGTAGACCTTGCCAGGCCGTGCGTTGAGCAAACACATACGTTGTACATTGACACCCCATTCCGTATCCTTTAAACCAAACGTCTGCAATGCTCTAGCCTGGCATAACCTCTCTGCTTCATCAATAAATTCATTTCCGCCATAATATCTTGCACCTGGATATCCTTCGGAGTATTTATCTACCCGGGGTAGTCAGTTGTGAGTCCGCCACCTGCGACACAGTGTCTTACTTTGCATAACACTTCCAAGAGCATCTAAAACTGCCTGAGATGTGAAATTCTCGGACGGAATAAGATTGATGAAATGCTTTTGCCTTCGTTTTTCCTGCATGGCGTGTTGTCAACAAGTGGTCATAGCCCCCACCCTAGCAGAACCGTACATTTTGAAGGATACTGTAAATCGCGGGATCTGCATGTTCAAGGTCGGTGGAGAGAAGCTTAGATTCGGATTACTAGTTAGCACTGGGAATTGGCAGTGTTGGAAGTAGCCATTCCTCACCTTCTGCTGAGACTCTGCAGTCAGAGACGATGCCGCACGCCTTGTGCACACCGGAGCTGCTCTGCACACCGCAGCTCTGAAGACCGACCGCGAAGGGCCCCTGAGGAGAGACATGCTCATCTAAACCACTGAGCAATGGGGTATATAGCAGGAACAACCAGTTATACTCACGTCTGGGCTCTGGGTCCTGATCAATGATGTCAAGAATCAGTCGTTATCCGATTCGAAGTTCCCGAGCTTGAAGTGCTGTAGTCGAGCTCGCACCAGAATGCCCCCGCGGTGGCTATGGAACCGAGAAAGCCACTAAACCTTAATAGTGCTGGCTGGCTGTCAAGTGCGGCCACCTCGCGATTCCCGACTCCTTTCCTGAAAGGATCAACCTAACTATAGCGGAAGTGATGAATAGCCACTTGCAACTACAGCTCTCGCTCTGGCGGGCGATGCTGATATGCTCCGGGCTAGCCTCACCACCTCTTTTACGGGGCAATGTGATGTACCTGATCCGTACAGCTAGGTTCATGCTGAGTATCCCCTTCCTTTGCCGCCTAACCATCATGCCCTTCTATCATACATAGTTCCATGGCCGTCAATGTCAATCTACAAAGCGAGGGGTGTTCTTCTGCATTTCGAAATTCGCATCTAAATGCATATCTGTTGATGATGGAACTTGATTGCGGATTGTTGGTTGTCATCTCGTCATTCCCTATGCGTTCGTTCTTCATTGGGCTGGGCCTTCCAGGGGTCACTTTGCGCTTTATCAGGTTGTTTTGTAGATTATAGCATCAGTATCAGGAAATGGCATTGTACCCACTTCTGCAACTGCTGAAATACGATATCCGGGGCTTGTGGCGTCGAATGTAATCAATAGACGGCAATGCGGCATTGACAACAAATCACCAATTCCATGTACAGTTTCGTGGAAAGATCATAATACCATTGACCATGCAACAATGCAAGAAGACCAGTAAAAGCAATCCGGCCTGTATTTAAGACCTTGCCTGACACTCCGATGCCACCCAAACCAAAGCTTCCATTTACTTTGTCTCGGTCTCGTCCTCTCCGAATTGTGCACGTTGCTTGGCAATCGCTCTCTCCTGCTTTCTCTCGCGGGCAGCCTTGGTCTTCGCACGTCTGCCGTCCATCTCCTCCTTCATGACTCTCTCGCGGGCCTTCTCAGCCTTGGCCTTGTGAATCTGTTTATATTATTAGCATACGCCGCACGGACTGGTGGATGATAAGGTAGCCTACATGCTCAACTAACGCCCGCTTGTGCTTGAAGGTGTTACCCTTGCTGAGGAGGTAGAGCTCGTGGTAGAGGTGCTTGTCGATCTTGCCGCTGGCACGGTACTTGACTAGAAGACGGCGGAGGACACGTTGACGGCGCATCCAAACAACTTCCCTGTAAAAGAATCAGATATATGATCCTTCAAAATTGTAAACCCCTCCTTCGTTGCATTTGCGTACCTTGGCATACGAGCATTCGCGGTACCCTTCCTCTTACCGAAACCACGGTGTCGTCCAATTCTTCGGGCGGCTGTAAGTTCGCGGGCACGAGATCGGGAGTGCATGGTGACGGGCTTGCGGATGATGAGGCCATCAGCCACGAGCTTTCGGATGGTTTGGCGAGAGTTGGCATTGGAGATCTCGCTGGTCTCATTGGGATCGAGCCAGATCTTGCGCTGTCCGCAGCCCACGACGGACGCCGCGAGGCGCTTCTGGGTAGTGAGGTTGACCCTATTAAGAGAATACTGTCAGCCTCTCTTTCTGCTGATGAAAACCCGACTTGATGACGCATCGAGAATTGAAGTTGAAGCCCCATCTCCCCAACCGTTTCCCTGACAATCTTATCGTTCGAAGTACATGCTTCCGGGGGAGAGATCGGGTTTCTAGAGACGGCATATACTCACATCTTGACGAAATCCTGATACCGTCGATGGTGGTTGTCGTGGTTGTCGATGTAGTCGGAATATTCAGTTCCTTCCGTGTATCGATTCAAAGTTCGCTTAGCGCGGAAATGAGATGCGGTGATGACTAATCCCTCGCTCAGTTGCCATTTCCCAGTGTGGGCGAAGGCAAGCGAGGGCATGCCCTAAGTCATGTGACTCGGGATCGACTGGCCAACATTGTACGGAGTAGTGGTAGGTGGCGCCCCTTGCGATCCCTGGTTCCTTCTTAGGGGTTAGGAGGTGGGGAAGAGTAGTAGATATGTTTGAAGCTACGAAGTGCCAACGATAAAGATATAGCAACGATTTGCACGGAGGTTATTCTTTATATTTACAAATATGTTTCTTGCGTGCTTATTTGAAATTGACTTTCTTTTTGATGGATGCTGTTGGCTAACATCGCATCGCTATGTATCACAAACATTTTCCAGACTCCCTTTACTCGTCGAAAGCTCCCTCGCCAAGATCTACCTTCCCTATACTCTGGATCTCTCTTTCATCATCAATCTCATCGTTGGAAAGCCCTAGGCCACCTTGACCACCTTCTGCCTCCCTTCTTTCTCGCGCTGTATTTGCAAGTCTCAATGCAACCCGCTTGAAATAATCTTGCATGCTTCTTTTCTGATTGGCTGGTAGATCTTGCGATGCGATGTACTTGTCAAAGACCTTGCTCTCATCATCCACAACATTGAAGAGTGCCATAAATGAGGCTTCTGCGGCTAGCTTGATCGGAATGACAGTATCGCGGACACTAGCAAAGATAGGTAGGGCCAGTAGGGGAAGATGAGGCCGAACCATATCCATGGAATGGCGGCATGCAGTGCGCACAACTACAAGCGCTAGGCGGCGGGTATCGACCGAGTTGCCAGGTTGGATGAGCCTAGCAAGTGATTCGAACAATGGTTTTATCGTTTCAAATTCACCGCTTCGAGAATCCAAGAGGAGATATTTCCCTGCAGCTAAAACGAAGTTGTCCGCTATGAAGTTCTGAAAAGCTAGGTTAGAATGGTTCGATTTAGCTAGAATATAGAAACATACATTTTTGTTCGACATGCCTTGGCAGATAACCTTTGGCAAGTCTGCGGCGAAGGGGCTCTCGGTAAGCGACGAAGGCGATTCGACAAGAACAGCATTTAATGCTAGCACGGAGGATTGACTGAAGTGCGTTGTCATGACCCGGTTTTTGATGAGACCAACTGCGTTTTCTGATGGCACATTCTTAATAAGCGCACCAAGTAACTTTGCGTTTGTAATAGCCATTGCGATGTCATTGTCCTCAGCATCAGTATCGATTAAGCCAAGAACAGCAGCCCTTGACGGCTCTCCCATATTGGCGCCTGCCTTGCTGACAACTTCGAACAAAGCTTTCAACATTGCGTTACGCACACCTGGATCTGAAGTCCTCGATCCTGTGACTAATTCCGCAATCAACGGATCAATACGTGGTGTCAGGGTGATCAAAGTCCCTAGAGCTTTTGCGGCTCGGCTTCTCAACACCTCGGACGAAGGGTCAGCGAGGGACTTGGCAAAGGTCCGCTGGAGTTGAGGCAGGAACGGCTTCAAGAAAGTGGGGATCTTTTCTAGCAGATTATTCAAGGTAAGCAAGATCGCAGCCTTGACCTCGACTGATCTTTCCGACACGACTCGGATAAGAGGTCCGGTGATCTGGGTGACAAATGGCTTTAGAGAATCCCCACTCGTGCGATCAACGATATCGGATATGGCAAGAGCTGCCCGTGTCCTCTGCTCTGCAGTACCATTCATTAGACCCTGCAAGAAAATAGGCAATATAGCGTTGATGCCCTTGGGAAGCCCAAAGCCAGCCAAGTTGGATCCCGGCACGCCAACATGCTGTAGTGTTTGCCTAGTTGAGGAAACGAGGGATTCCATTTCTTCCTTCTTCAAATGCTTTGTAAACTCATTCAGAGCCGTCCAGGCAGCCTTGACAACTTCCGGATCTCGGTCATCAAAGGACATGAGCAACGCCCGGATAATCTCTTGGTTGTATCGAGAATAATCAATTGTTGCAGATGCGAAGAACTTTGCGAGGTGATAATCGGTTGCGGCTCTTCTATGGTGATCGTCGTGTTTGACGAGTGCTAGAAGAACACCCATCGCTGTTGTCAAACCGTCAAACTCATCAATAGAGAGAATAACGGTGTCAAATGCTGTATCAAGATCGGCACGGAGCTCGTCGTCTTTACAAGAAATGATGTTATCCATAAGGGAGTTAAGGATACTGGGCAACCTCCGTGTAATCGCAGATCCGGCAACAGACGACAGAGACGCCAGCGCTTTAGCGTTGAATGAAGAAATCGGCGAAGTCGTGAGCGTGGGGATGAGATTCGGCAGGATAATATTAGACCTCGTAGTCTCCGTGAGTAACGTCAACAGAGCAGAGAGTGCGTTGTCTGCCTCGTCTTCCGTCCGAAGTAGGTTCAAAAGATAAGGTAGCACCTGGTCCACAGCTCTCTTGCCAAGGATTTGCTGCAATGAGTCAAACGCCTCAGCTGCAGCTTCTCGGACTTCTTCATCTGAATCGATAAGCGCAATCCGAACCACTGATATCAGAGTTTTCTCGTGGTCTTCCAATGCGTCAGGGGAGGCAGAAGAAATGAGCTCTCGAAGTGCTATGCAGATGCCCTGTTTGGCATCCGTATCTGTGGATGTTTGTAGGCCTTCCTCGAGCGTTGGTAGCAATGTTGCGAGTACTCCATCGCCAGCCTTGCGAATGAGTTCTCCGAGCGCATTGCCAGCGATGACTTTTTGTTCCATATTTGAGCTGCCAAGACGTCTGATGATGAGTTGTGTGAGTGTAGGGATGAGCTCTTTCAGGGTGCGAGGGCTCGCCACCAACGCCTTCCAAACATTAACAGCAGCCGTACGGACAAGGCCCGAAGTATCGCAGCGGCAAATATATAACGAGGATAGAACTTTGTTCCTTTTCTCTTCCCCAAGGACCTCCAATAGCGAGGCGCCAGCTTCTTGTGCCCCTTCCTCGACCTCATCTTGCTCAGTAGTCGCTGAGATCCCGGTAAGATTGAACAATAGATCTCCTACCAACTCAACGGAGCTAAGACGGATTCTATAATTATCATCTGCAAGACCTCGCTCAAGCTCGGGAAGCAGCAAATCGATGGCTTTGGTTGCAAAATTCTTGACTAAAAGGCGACCAGCACGGAGCGCCGTATCACGGATTGACTCGACATCATCTGCTAGGCCAGATAAGATAGGAGGAATGATCTTGCTGAGATAATTGGCAAAGCTGTTGCCAAAACAAACAGGCAGGAATATAAAAAGCGACATGAAGCCTTCTCGGACAGCGGGTTTGTTGGACGCGACATTTTGTAAAATCGTCGGTAGAGTCTCCTCTAGACGATTGGTGCCAAGACCGGCAAGTACTTCACTGAGTGCTTGAGCAGACCCGAGTCGGTCTCCAGCACCAGTATCTGACCTTAAAGTTTGCATTAGATTTGGGATGAGATCTGGAAGGGCATCTTCTCCAAGCTTCTCGATGAGAGAACCCAGGGCTTTAGAGGCGGTGGCACGGGTTGTTGGTACGGGATCAACAACAGCAACCTTGAGACCCGCGACCAAAATTGGTAGATGCGCAACCAGGTCTTTCCTCTCTGTTAAATGAGCAAGACTGCCAATAACCTGGGCAGATTTTCGCTTGGTCGCTGAGCGGTCGCCTAATCCGCGCTCCAAGATACGAACCACAAGGGCCAGTGACGGAGCATCTAAGTAGTGCACAAAAGATACCTTAATGAGTGAATCAAGAGCATCATCCGTGTACTTTGTCGGATCACTAAGTGCCTTGAGCAACACATCGACAAGGTTCTTGATCTCGGGATTGCTGATGACCTCACCGAAGCGTTTCAAACTGCGGTTGGCGGCAAGACGGACCTCTTTGTGGCTGTCATTGAGGACTCCGGTCAACGGCGGAATGATTTCAGGCAAGCTTTGGGCGAGTTGTTGTGGGTCGAGGTAGGCCATGGCACCGAGCAAGTCACATGCCCCCTTTTTACTTCTCCATTGTTGGTCATCTAGTCCATCAAGGAGAGTAGGTAGAATTCTCTTGACACCGTAGGAACTCAAGCTCGCAAAGCAAGCCTTCGCAGCCGCTAGGCAAGCCTCACGCACGTCGGTGCTAGTATCGCCAAAGCTAGAAAGCAGTTGAGGCACAATCTGGATAACGTACGGTTCAAAAACCCGCCCAAGAATTGTGGAGAAAAGTTCGTATGCTATCAAGGCACCTTCTCGATGATTTACATCCTTCTTGTTCTCAATCGCAGCCTTGAGGGTGGTCATAACTCGATAACCTCTCAAGGCAGAGATGCCTTGCCCATGAACAACTCCTGCAAGGCCGTACGCAGCACCACGACGGGCCGCATATTTCTTGGAGTTTAAGAGTCGCTCAATAACTTGATGGATGTACTCTGGAGTCTTATCGCTCGACGCGCGGACTAGGGGAGGAAGACACTCCGCAACGGCGTATTGAACGGCCTCGGATGGAGTACTCAAAGTCTCCAATAGACGGTCGACCACGATTGGCACGCGCGAGTCCCCAGCTTGCAGATGACGCGCTAGAGCGCCATACATAATGATTACTGCTTCATTAACGCGGTCTGCAAACTCAGAGCCCTTGTCTGGTGCCTCTAATGTTTGCTCGAAAGTCTTCATCAACTGCTCCACCTTGTTCTTTCCGTGCAGCGCAATAATTGTCGTGGCGGCTTCTACCATCTCTTCTCGTACGTTGGGATCCCTATCCCCTAACGGCCCTTGCTCAATGAGAAACCGCAAGAACGAATTCAGCAGATTATCCTCAAAAATAGGTGCGAGTTCTTTGAATGCAATTGCAATACCACTTCTAGCCTCCCACGGATCTGACAGGTCCATCTTCTTGGGCATCCCGTATTCATCGAGCTGAGGTACCCGTGGTTTTGCTAGTTCCTTATATGAAGATTGCAATTGTGCAAGCACATCCTGAAGCGTCGACGCATGGATTTTAACCGCCTCGGCAACAGATCTAGCAGCTGCTCTTCGAAGCTGCTTGTCGGGGCTGTTGAGATATGGCAGCATTCGGAAAGGGGTCTCAGTTGAAACGCCAAAACCGCTCTCTTCCCAGATTTCGCGACCAAGTTCGACATTCTCCTCCACATCGTCATGACACGCAAGCCAAGTCTCCTCGGAAAATTCGAGGTCACTCATGTCAATCTCGGAACTGATCGATTGCAACACTGATGTTCTAACTGAGACCTGCGGAACAATTGCACCTCGAGCAAGGATAGCAATTTCGTGATCGGTAATATTGGGTGCGATACATCGGCAAAGATCTGCTAAGCAGTCCTTGATGATTTTGTAGTGTTGGTTATAAGTCTGCATAGAAGAAACCAGGGCCGAGATAACTTCTTGACGTGGCGCAAGGGTGTCAGAGCACGCATCCGTATGGAAAGTAAGAAATTCTAAACCAAGGACTATTTGTGCTTCCGCATCGTCAGCTTCTCCGAACCCCCCATTTCGGAGTACTAAGAAAACTAGAGGGGCAATATATGTCAAGGAGACAGTATCAAACGGGCGTTGTTCTCCAGAGAAGCGGAGGCGGTAGAGCACCCTAGTTATCAGAGGACCTAGAGGTTCCTGTAATAGGTGATCAGGCAAATGTGGAACGTCTAGAGCTCTCAGAGTTGCTACCCCAATGAAGGGACGAAGAGCCCCTATACGGCTTGGGAGTGTTTCTGAGCATGAAACGTATGCATCTGGAGCAGCACTCCCAGTGAGTAGCCCTGCACCAGCGTTCATAATACCAATTAGGGCTTCTACTGCAGGTCCAATCCAGAGACGCGCTTCAGTTGGAGGGCCAGTTGCAAGGCTGTTGATGACACCAAATCCACGTAGCAGTTTAGCTTCAACAAATCGGAGGTTTAACCGAATTTCTGCCTCCTTTTTCAATTGAGCCTTGACTTTGGCTGTCTCTTCTGGGCTGAGCTTTTTTTGTTGCCCTTTCTTCTGTGCGAGTTGTGCTCGTAATTCTTCCTCCCATTTGAGTGTATCATAGTCCTTAACGTTCTTATTAGGAACGTAGTTTTGGGATTTCGCGGCCAGAACGTCAACAAAAGCAACGCCCTCCGGAGTCCGAAATATAGCAGCTTCCACATGACCAACTCCAGCTAGTTGTGTAGCATCAAGGTCCCCCTGTATGAGCTTCACGATGCGGGATGTCATAGAATCAGGTGCGACAAAAGCAAGCTCCGCTGCAGCCTTGAAGGCGGCTTGCTTTACGGTATCCGAGTGTTGCAGATCGGTCTAAAATTATCAGATTAGTAGCTGGTCTCTTGTTGTAATTTCAAATACATACTGCCTCCGTGAAGCTTGTAAAATCAAGTATCTGTTGCAATAACGCGTCCCCAAATTCTCGAGCAAGATCCCCGGGATCCACCTCAACTCGTAAACATAAATCGATCCAATTGATCCGTGGTAGTAATTCTGGTCGGGATATGACTAATAATGATACCATCTGCTTTTTGAGGATCATTTTGCTTACTGTACCCCCGACTCGAGCGATATCTATCGGCGGGATGCAAATCGATCTGACGACAAGATGAAGATTTTGGTTTTCTGTTTTAGCTGCGACTGCTGCGCTATCTTTTTCTCCAAACTCGACGTGTTGTCGCCAACGCCAGAGTCCAGTGACAATAATCTTTGATATATGAGAAGGATTTTTGATGTACATTTCCGAAAGTGTACGACAAGCATCTTTGCGAAGTGCAGGTTTGACGCTAGAGGAACAAATACAGAATATGATAGCCTGAGACCAGTTCACTGCAGCCGCGGAATCGGATTCGATGGCAGACACTTCCGATGATAAACAGGAAAGTGCACGGATGAACCATTTGAAGTCATCATCTGTGGAGAGCTTTGAAAATATGCGCTGGTTTAACAGAAATGATGGCTTAGGACTCATCGTTAATGCCTGCCGTGAAACTTGCGCTTTCTTCAGTGATGTCTGCACTTTGTTGTTCGACGTAAGAGCCAGCTTGGACTGGGATATGGCTGTGAAAACATAGCCGGCGGTAATAAGACCAGATTGAGCAGCGGAGATTGGATTGCTAGTACATTCTTGCCAAATGTCTATTAGAGCTGGCATGATTGCCTCGGCGAGATTCGAGAGCTTGGATCCTAAAACCTCAGGGCTATTTATATCCCAGAAAAGGTCTCCAAGGCGAGTCGCCCATAATCGCTTGGCAGGAACTTTCTTGTCTGACAACCCTTTCACAAAAGCGTCAATTGCGGACTTAGGCACTTCCATTCCGTTCAACAAAGCCCATTGAATGTAGCGAAGAAGAGTCAAGGTCTCCGCACTAAGCGCTCCTTCGTTGGCCTCCTTTCCTGCACAAGCAGCGATAGCTGGAATTACTGATGTGGCAGTCAATTCTGATACGTGTAGCGCCGTAAGCATGTCTGCATGGCTAGCTCTCTGGTCCGCTGATGGAAGCTTGCCAGTCTTCAACGGAGTGAGAATCTCTTCTACTACCTTGGCAATAACATCAGGTTCGTGACATTTGAGCACAATGGCTTTGAAAGTACAAAGAGCTCCCTGGCGTATTGAGGCATTCGTGGATTTGATATTAGAAAGTAAAGGTCTTAGCAGATTGGCTCGTAGGATGCTCGAGAGGTCTATAGACTCCGAGAGGGAGTTGAAGAAATGCTCGATCAGGTTGTTGAGAACGATTTCCGGAGCTCTGAGAAGTGCTTTTTCCAAAGGCGGAACAATCTCTTTCTCAACATCTTCCATGGTTGTAAAAGCTTCGAAGAAATCTCGTAATCCATTGGCGACATGCGGGGGGACGGGATTTCGTGACCCAATTACTTCCCTGTTGTAGAAAGCATATAGCTCAGACTTCTTGAGCGCGAGAATTTCCCTGGCTTGGGGCAATCTTGCACAAACTCCAGCAACTACGCCGAGCATGACACAATATCTTGCTGAAGGCTGGGAGCCCTTCGAAGAGAGGTTTCGTACAATGTCCTCAATTACTTTCTGTCTGGTGTCTTCCTTCGAGAAAAGCTTTCGTAGGCCGCGCCGAGTTACCACCAAAGCCGAATGCTTCACATTGGACCGTGATGATTCGCCTAGGCACAAATCAAGAGCTTGGGCGTTGCTCGTAATTATTTTTAGGCCCCATCTTTCCCAATTACTTGTGCCCGATATCTCCTGGAGCAATATGCTACACCATTCAACAAGAACAAAGGCATCGGTCGGTGAGAGCTTGATCTTGGATGTTTCGGTATGAAGAAGATCGACAAAATCTGCGAGGGCCTCGGGAGCAGCGCCAGAACCAAAAATTGTTCGTATGCAGCGTTGAACCGCTCGGCGCGAGTTTCGATCGTTATAATAGGAGAATGTGCGGAAGAAAATCCGCAGAAGAGGAGGGAAAAGTCTCTGGTCTATTTCTGCACGAGGAATGATATTAGCATATATCCAAGGACGACGCGTTGCTGGAGGATGTCCTACTATTACTTGCTAGTCTCTCTTCGAGACTGTGTAGGCTTCCAACACGAATGGTTGTGGAAGAGGAATACAGTGCCGTTTTGGTAGCCGTAAGATCGAGACCCCCCTCGGCCAGTCCGTTGACCTGCACCTCAGTCATCTTGTGAATTGCAGCGACCTTTCATGACCTGAGGTCCTCTTAGTTCGAGAGAGCGTTAGCGTGGTGTTGGTTCACGCGATTTTATGTACGATATATAAGGTCGATGTTGAGTTCTCCAGGGAAAACCTCGGCGAATTGACTCTACGCCGACTCCAGCCAAAAAAAGCATTTTAACGTCATCACCACCATTTGCAAGATCGACTCAACAACTACACCCTAGAGTTTCCAAAATGGCCGGTGGAAAGAAGAAGAAGAAACCCGCCGCCAATCCTGCTAGAGGCGTCGCAACTACATCTATTGCCTCCAAACTAAAAGTTGAAGTTCCTGAGGTTGAGCCAACGGCTCCAAACGGCGCCCAGGATCGCCCCAAGGTTGGGCAAAAAGACACAGCCGCACCCGTGGGTACTGGGAGTGGTGCTCCGGGACAGCCACAAAATGAACTGAGTCCAGAAGAGTTTGAGAGACATCTTGAAACCTCCGAACTTCAAGGACTTGTGGAGAAACATGCCCAGAAAACCAAAAGGGATGCACTTCGTCAGAGAACAAGGTTAGAGACAGACCGGCGAGTATTACGAAATCAGGCGGAGAGCCTCAATACGAGAAAATGGCTTCCACCGGAACTTATGGAGGAGATTCTGGATCTACTTAAGGCGGAAGGACGGTTTACAGGCCAAGGGGCTGAGGTTTCCGGTAGCATAAAACCTGCTTCTGAAGAAGACTTAACGATACGTCTCTGGACGTTACAGCAATCTCTCGTTGGGGCAGGTTTTTCGCAAGACAAGGTAGCCTTGGCTCTGAGATTCGTGTTGGATATATCGGACAAGATTAGTGTAGGGAGTAAGGATGCAATCTGGGGTATGGAAGAGGCGTTGGAGTGGTTGGCACGTGAGTGCTCAAGGGAAGAACTTCCAGACTACGAAAGTTGGCAACGGAAGCCAGGAATGACTTCCAAGTCCCAGACTGGTTGGTTTTGCCTAGAATATCTACTATGCCCCTATAACGTGCTAATTTGTTTTGCCTGATAGCAACACCACTTGATACACCTCTGCCTTCAGGTGCCACCACCCCTCGCTTTGAGTCTGACACCAGACACTTTGGTCATGTCAACCCTAACAATGTCTCTCAAGCGGAGAAAAAGCGTTCATCGGCCAAGAAAGTAACTATAGATTACGATAGCGACATTGATCCCGATGACTTGCAACCAGTTTACTTAGAGTGCAAGACAAAATTATTTCACTTACAACAAACACCACTGAAAAAACAAACCCCACGTTCAAATGGTCGCAATAACCCGCAAGACCTACATCTTCCGACACGCCCGCCAGACCCAGAGACATCAAAGATCCTCAGGAAGATTAAGAGAATCGAGGACGATGTTCTTTTCGATCAGTATGTTGCTGATCAGCAATGGGAATCCAAACGAATCCAACTCGAGAAAGATGCTGCGGCGCGCCGAAGTGCTGAACAAGCTGCGCTAGACAATACCGACTCACAAGAGTTAGAAAACTTAGTAGACTCAGACGACGAGGTCAGCAAAGAGGCGGCCAAAATTGGGGCTGCATTACTTGAAGAGACTGGTAGTGATGACGATGCTGCTCTTGCAGATTTGTTTGCAAGTTTGCCTGTCGATGAAATTGATCCTCTGACTGGAAAAAGCACTACCGTTATTAATGGTACCGATGGTATCAAAGTTACTATTCGAAATTTTGGAAAATGGACGGGGGTAAACCCAACAAGGGTTCTAGAAGAGGCTTGCAGAGCAAGGTAAGCTGTTCCAAGGCGAAAGGAGTTTTCCTTCATGCTTAAGCTATAACCCAATGAGACTGACTCGAGTTCAGGGATTCAACGTGCAGATTAAATTTGTCCCTCGTGTCGACTACAAGTTTCTCCAACCGCCACTCGCTCCAAATTAGCTGGTCGAAAGCCCAAGATCTCGCCACACTTGATCCGCCCCCGGGAATCCAGTATAGTGCTTCGCCAAAGTCGCAAATATTTACCATGATAGGTATTTCCACACCTGATGTAAAACAATCTGAGGCATACATTGCTACTGTGGCCTTGTTCCTTATATTCAGCTCATCTGCAAGAGAGGACAAGGTTGTCCTCCGCCTCCCAGCTACTTGGCGAGACTTGTGGTCAGAGCTCGCCGAAGAGAAGAAGGATAAGGGGGACCAGGTGGATCGAGAGAGTATTCGTAAGCTACGTGATATCATTCGTGAGAAGAGGGATCAGGAGCTCGAAGATGGTGTCTTGTTGAAAGGGGCTTTCAAAAACAGGGGCTCGGCCAAAGCTCCCGATAGCACTGATGAATCAATGGCAGATAGAGCTGCGAGATCGGCTCTTACTCCTGAGGCCTATTATAAGATTTGGGCAGATAAGTGTAGCACCCAAAGTTACCAAATTATGCTTGCAAGTAGCCGCGCCTATGTATCTAGTCGTTTGCTAACTGATGATAGCAATCTCGCATGCAGCTTCCAATGTGGGGTTTCAAGGAGCAAGTCCTCCAAACAATTGATAGGGAGCAGGTTGTTATAATCTGCGGAGAAACTGGCTGGTAAGATTGATCTAATACATTCCTTAATATTCGTTGGTTAATCATACTTCTGTCCACAGTGGGAAGAGTACCCAAGTTCCCGCGTTTATCTTGGAACACGAACTTTCAAAGGGCAAGGGTTGCAAGATATACTGCACAGAGCCGCGACGTATATCGGCCATTTCTCTTGCACGGCGCGTTAGCGAGGAGCTGGGAGAACGCAAGAATGACGTTGGAACGTCCCGTTCTCTCGTCGGCTACGCAATCCGGCTTGAGTCGAACACGTCAAAGGAGAGCAGACTTGTGTATGCAACTACTGGTATTGTAATGCGAATGCTCGAGGGATCAAACGACCTCAGAGACATTACCCATATAGTCCTCGATGAAGTGCATGAGCGTACTATCGACAGCGACTTTTTGTTGATTATTTTACGAAAACTCATGGTTAGGAGACCAGATCTTAAGGTGGTCTTGATGTCCGCAACAGTTGATGCTGATCGATTCTCTAAGTATCTGGATGGTGCGCCTGTTTTAAATGTTCCTGGGCGAACCTTCCCAGTTCAGGTCAAATACCTCGAGGATGCAGTCGAACTAACGGGGTACTCCTTGGACAATGGTTCTTCCCAGAAATATACTGACCTTGATGATCTTGACGCCGGAGACGTTGCTGTCAATGATACCGCCAGTGCTGATAATACCAAGGCATTGCGGGGCTATAGTGCCAAAACGCGGAATACCATTGCACAAATTGACGAATACCGGATTGACTTTGATTTGGTCACTCAACTCCTAGCCAGAATTGCCACAGATGATCGTTTTATGAAGTACAGCAAAGCAATATTGGTTTTCTTACCGGGTATTGGGGAGATCCGTCAACTCAATGATATGCTCGTTGGACATCCAGTGTTCTCTTCGAACTGGTATGTCTATCCACTGCACTCAACTATTGCCAGCGAGGACCAAGAAGCTGCATTTTTAGTTCCCCCTCCAGGTACGCGAAAGATTGTTCTGGCGACCAATATAGCCGAGACTGGAATCACTATTCCTGATGTTACGTGTGTCGTTGATACGGGAAAGCATCGAGAAATGAGGTTTGTAAAGTTGAAACCAATTCCGAGGCAACTTACTAATTTGATATAAGATTCGATGAAAGAAGGCAGCTCTCAAGACTTTTAGAAACTTTTATAAGCAAAGCAAATGCCAAGCAGAGAAGAGGAAGAGCCGGAAGAGTTCAGGAGGGCTTATGCTTTCACCTCTTTACTAAATATCGACATGACGAGCTTGTAGGTTATGATCGCCACTCCGAAGTCATAGAAGATACTGATAATTTCACTATTAGATGGCAGACCAGCAAACTCCTGAGCTTCTCCGATTATCTTTGCAAGATCTAGCTATTCGTGTCAAAATCTGCAAGCTTGGAGGTGTTGAAGAAACACTCAGTGAGGCCTTAGATCCACCGTTACCTAAGAATATTCGCCGTGCGGTGGACGCACTGATTGATGTAAGGGCGTTGACTCCTGGCGAAGATCTGACACCTTTAGGCATCCAGCTGGCAAGGCTTCCACTGGATGTCTTCTTGGGTAAACTTATCCTTCTGGGAAGTATATTTAAATGCTTAGATGCCGTGATTACCATCGCAGCCATTTTGTCTTCGAAATCGCCGTTCGTTGCTCCATTTGGAGCTCGAGGCCAAGCTGATACTATCCGACTTTCATTCCGTAGAGGTACGTCCTCTCAATATTGGCTATTGCCTTCTTGGCTTCCTGCCACGGGCTTCAGGCAACCCCGTGCTTGGCGCCCGTAAATTCCAAGCAAGGTAATAACTAACATCCCATAGGTGACTCCGACCTTTTGACCGTCTATAATGCTTATCTGGCTTGGAAACGAGTCTGCCTCAGTAACTCTTCGGAATTTCAATTCTGCAGGAAGAACTTCCTCAGCCAACAGACATTATCAAATATTGAAGATCTGAAAGGGCAACTTGTGGTATCCCTAGTTGACTCGGGATTTCTCCTTCTCACAGAAGCTGAGCGAAGTACTTTGAATCGGTTTGTTGCCAAATCCCTCCTATGCGATTTACATCTGACAATTTAGAATTCGTTATTCTACCAGACGTCGGCAATTTTTTGATATCCCTCAGCGAGCGAACGTAAATAGCGACAATGATATCATTACTAGCTCAGTGATTGGCTGGAGCTTCTACCCAAAGCTACTCGTGCGGGACGGAAAGGGCTGGCGCAACTGTGCCAATAATCAAACCATAAGCCTACATCCATCGTCGGTTAACAAAGGACGTCATGAATTAAAATGGCTTTCGTATTATCATATTATGCAAGCTAAACAGCAAGTCTTTTCTTTCTTTCTACTTGCCTTCCGGTAATATTAACTGCCACACAGATTCTACAATGCCCACGAAACCACCGCCATTGAGGAATTCTCGATCGCTCTACTGTGTGGTGATGTCCGCTGTGATGTAAGACCTTCTAGCTTTCCCCCATAAATACCGTTAAAGCTAATTAAATTTCCTAGCTATACGCCGGAGTTATTATTCTCGACGGAAACCGAGCTCGATTTGCGGTCTCTGACTGGAAAACTATGCTCGCGATCAAGACATTGCGTGCCAGACTACGGGATATTATGACACGCTCGTTCAAAACCCCTGGGAAGCCGCTGACAGCACAACAGCAGAAGTGGATGGAGGTGTGGCAGAAGATATTTTCACAGGAGTTTAGAGATAAGTAACTGGATCATATGAGAAATGATGGGTTGAGCTTATAAAGGGACATCACGGCCTATTTTAATGGGAAAAGCGGTGCGATCAAAAAGGCGCGAGTTGGCAAACGGGGATATTATGAAATATCTAATTAGGGGCTAGCTTGTGCGCGCTGTTATTTCTCCACAATAGCAATGCACCCTGTTATACGTTAGAATTCCCCTAATCTAACTCATTAATGATCTCCACAGGTGGTGACCTCCCACTAGTGGTTACCATCTTGAATTTATTACTCTGAGTGCAAGGTATCTTTATAATTGCTACGCAGCATATTCGATCTTACAACGTGCAAAGCGTCAGAGACTTGGGTATCAGCACGGCATACCAAACGCCAAAGTTAAGCCTCCACCTTGAGCACTTCATTTCCTATTTCTTGTCCCTGATCATGCACTATCTACTCTCAAATCCTGCGCATGCTCCGTTCAACTCCCCCACACCTATGCCCCTCGCATTTCTTATTATTTGTGCTCAATCTAATACCAGCCCTCGATTTCTCTCTCCAATTCCTCGTCAGTCATCAAACTACCAAGCGCCTCTTCCGCTTCTCCCTCTCCCTGCTCCCCTCCATCTAGGGCACCAAGCATCTCGTTAAAACTCTGCAGTTCCTCAGGTGTGGTCTCCGATTTAGTAAGTTCACTAGCGGTAGGTAGGCTACACTCACGAACCAGTAGATCCAGAGGGAGGATTGCGGCATCGAGAAATAAAGGCGGATTAGTACCAGGTGCAAGATCGCCCTGGAATTGCACATGCGACGAAGGGATGTCTAGGTTGTCTTCGTCGTTCTCTTGTTGCTGTTGATATTGGAGATCCTGAACTTGTTGATGGGCGAAGAGATCGGGTTCCTGTTGGGAGATCTGATGCGGTTGGAGTTGGCCTTGGAATTGCGGGCCATAAACAGAAGATACCAAACCAATGTTCTGATACTGGTCTTGCAACGGTTGAAACTGGAGTGGGAATTGGGTTTGCTCGCGAGGAATAGGATAATAGAGCCGGGGTTTCTGGTATTGACCAAGCTGTTGTAGGATATGTTGTTGCTGTCCCTGCTGCTGCTGGTTATATTGTAGTTGCATTTGTTGCGTTTGTTGATTACCAGCAGAGTTTGAAGCCAAACCGTTCATAACCATGAATTGACCTGCCCTCAGTGAGGGATGGGCATGAGCAAGGTTGTTTTCACGAATGTACCATGTAAAAGCCCTTGCTTCCGCCCAACTTGTAACGTTCTCTGGGAGACCTGTCGGGTTCGCATGAAGCCTGAGCGTGTGGAATTGGCAAGGGTGGCCACCTTCTTTCAAGTAAGCTGCGCAGTTTGCTATATAATAGTTGATAGCTTGCAACTGAGCCTGTAATTCAGGACTTGAGAGTTGTAGAGCCCTGTTTGGGTATGTGGAGGATCTGCTGGAGCTTGAGGTTGTAGTTGCAGTTGTGGTTGAGTTTGTGCCCATGGCTAGATTTGGGGAGGCGGTGCCTTGGGGTAGAAGATTATTTTGAAGTTGGCTATGTGAGCGAGAGTCCAAAGAACCGCCATGGGTGACATTATTGTTAGCTTGTGCTAGATGCTGTGGCCGGAGATCTGAGGTCGGAGCGTTCCAAGAAGCGGTCCTAAGGCCAAGCTCCCTAGATCCATTATTCCAACTTTGAAATGTAGAATAGTCGCCATCTTTCACTTCTACCGTACCAGTCCCATGAAGCTGTATATTTGCAACATTCCCATTATGCTGCTGCATCCCACTGATATGTTGAATTGGGTTCATTTCGGTAGCCTGGGCCTTGAGGCTCTTCTCAAAGTGATATGCCGCTACACTTCGTCGATTCTCTTGAAGAAAGCGTCTTCGTATCTCAAGCGGACTTGCCCCGAACCTTAAATTGAACTTCTTGTTAGCTTTGAGCCCATGGACTACTACAGCTGCTGCAAAATCTGGGAACTCTTTGATGGAGTCGGAGAGCAGGGGCCACCTCAACACGAAGCCTTCAAGTGTGTCGCAGCAATGAGCTTCCACAGCTGCCGCAAATTCAGAATAGTCTTCGTACTGTGACGAGCTCATTAGAGGAGCGGAGTATTGAGACAGGAAGCCGGCACTTGGAGTCTTTGAATGACTGAACAGATCGGTCTCTGTTGCTGCTCGTTCATGGGAGCATGTTTATCAACGCAGAAAACTGATGGGGAGATAGAATTTGTTGACAGAGACAGAGACTGGCTCAGGGGCGGTGAACTGCAATCTGCGAACTTGATTAAGTGAATCAGATGTAGTGAATTCTATTGACGCGAGGCCTAAGGCGAATAGACAAATTCTATCTCCGAACGTCTAGCAATCCCGGATTGCAATCATTTATTTCCATACAAAACTCTGTCCCTGAATCATATAGGAATAGCATTATTCACTTTCCCACTCAACTCCACAGGCTTCCCAAGCACCCTGTCACAAAAAGTGAGCAACCAGTTCAGCTAACCACGAAAGTTTAAACAGGGAACATACTTCTTCCCCCTCTCAGTCATACAACAGCCACAGAAGAGAGAAGCCGGCCAACATACGACCTATAGAATGTATTAATAAAAACGACAAGGGCTCAATCCATATCCACGTACTGCGAGGACAACGGCAGTTACGAAGCCTATTGTCGGGCCAACGACTTTGCAGTGACAAGGATTTTGGTCTGTGCCACACTGGAAGCAGACCCAAGGGATCGGAAGAAAAGGTATATTGCCCATTGTCGGGGTGACGATAATGACGTTTCAAAGGTATGGAGTGAAGATAAATCAAAGACCTTATGACTTTGAACGGGCAGGAAGGAATAAGTAGTAAAACTCTCACTACATCATAAGTCTCCCTATCCTCTTTATTTTGTCCTACGGAATTCTGATGACGTAGCAAATAACTTGGATAGTGTCTCTGGCGTCTAACTTTATCCCAGAGTAATAACGACAGAATCGTCCAAGCACCTGGATAGAATAGAGGTGCTTCTATCCTTAAAATTAGAGAGAATTAAACAACTAGACCCTGCATTTATCAAGTCAAAGAACTGCCTACCATGCTTTCTTCAGCATGGATATAGAAATACCCCTTGATCAATATCCGCAGGTTATCGTCATCAGCCTCCCTAGGTAGCTTAGTCACCACCCGAGAATTGTCCGACAAGCTTTGCGACTTGTTATCCGAATGCGGCTTTGCGACTTCCTAAATCTAAAATGTTAGTTTGGAAAGCGAATGACGAATACATTCAGACATGAAGGTACTGTATATTTGAAACTGAAGCACATCCCCGGTCGGGGAACAGTCCATTTACTACCTACTCATTACGAGTTACTGATCAGCCTGTCTAGCATATTGATAGGGATTCTAGATACAGAGGACAATACATATTCCAACGCCCAGGAGATGCTTTAACCGCCGCCGAACGCCAATCCCATCATTCCTCAAATAACTCATTCAATACACTATAATGTCCGCATATGCTTGAGCAAACAAGACATTAGCAAGCAACTAGGGGACAATAAATTGCTTCATTAAAATGCCACCCTGCCATTACTATTAAATCTTGAACTCATAGAGTTCAAAGGGCTCAGCATTGTTGCAGGTGTCATCATCCCATCGTTTGATCCCAATGCTGAGGTCATCGTTCCCGTGCGAGAGGAGGCGACTGAGTTACTGGAACTCATTGCCAAGTAAGCATCTGCCCGCTCGAACACACCACCGCTGAACATAGCGCTGTAAGAAGCGCTCTGTGGCGTAGAAGGAACAGTAGCTTGTCTAGATGATCCGGATGTTAGCCTTGCCTTCTCTAGAATGATTAAAGAGAAGATTAGTAGAGATAAAGAATCTCCGTTTGGCGCAATAGAGCAAGTAACGGAAGACTAAGGACTTAAAAATTATAGAAGAGGGGTTATGCTTACACTGCAGGTCCGAGGGCCGCACTTTGTGGCGTCATTGGCAATGGGATTTGCGATGCGGGCGATTGCAGGCCATATGAAATCCCATTCGACATGCTGTTAGAACTTTGTGGACCAGCAAGAAATGACCATGGCGAATTTTGAATAAGTTGACTCGTATCTTTAATAGCCTTCTGGAGCGGACGAAGAAGGATGATTACCTCTGTGGGTAGCAAGCTGGTCGCGCTTTTGGCTTCCTTCACTCTGACAACAAGATCCGTATACGTCTAAAGGCAATTAGCATTATAGGTAGGCCCAAGGGAGAAGGTTTGCAAACTTGGACAAAAGCGCTGCAGAGTTCCCAAAAGGCACCCTGCGTCCGAATTCCCGGCTCTTTAAGTTTGATGAGAGATAAACGCGCTTTGAGGTTCTCTGCAGCCTGGTTTGCTAAAGTACACTTCTGAATCAAGAACTGCCAGAATTGTTTGGGGAGGTCAGAGTTATTTTGTTGGGTGCTAAGCTTCATCGCTTTTATAAAGTGAATATTGACACTGGGGAGTGTCCTGATCGCCATTTCGGACGACTGTTGAAGGCGGAGGAAGATTTTCTCAAATAGCCGGTCCTCGTCATTAAAATCTCCTCTTACCAGCCTATCGCTAGAAGCATTGGACGATGCAAATGAATCTCCGGAGCGGGGAGTAGCACTTGTCATTGTGGCTGATCTCCCTACACCCGGTTGAAAAGGCGGTGGAAGGGCATCGGTTGCTACCCGCAAATTTCCAGAATTCTGCACCGTGGTTGCACTTCTATTTCTCAGACTCAAACCAGGTCTCTCGCGAGTCGGAGTAACAGACTTATCTCTGGCTGGGAACCTCAAAGTCTCATCGACTGGTTCTGGAATGCTGGGACCCCGACTTCTTCCATGTTTGAAGAGGTCAGTACCGGCATTGCGTACCTCTGCGGCGCTTCCATATATAAGAAGCAAAAGTGTACGGATGTAACGCGGGTCACCATTATCAAGCAATGTCTCCACGTTTCTTGACAGAAGACCCAACACATGAATATACGCCTGAACGCTGGTTAGACATGCACTGTGAACGTTCTCGTTTGAACGAGGGCCGATCTCTTCGTCTTCCTCAGAGTACGTTATATAGCTTTGGATATGCCGGTCAAGCTCTTCCACATGGGTGGTTGTATTGTAGAATACTCTCTCGAGGCTCGTCCGTTTGTTCGTCCCATCTCGAGCTACGCCTAGTAGATTTTGAATCAGAGGATGGACCTGAAATAACGCGTACAGTATCCCCTTTGCTCCCTCAATAACAGGATCCGGCGAAGTCGATTCTCGCTTGCGTTCCGGGAGGCTTGATAAACGTCGGACATAGGTTGCCCGTTGCGCGGCTGAATCTGCCGGGCTAGCTGGGCTGCTGGAGTTAACAGCCCCGTTAGTTCCATTACTACCAGCCTGGATCGCGGAGCCATGGCTTAGACCTCTATAGTGGCTATAGCGGTTTGCTTTTGACTCATCGACAGTTCCTAATTCTGAAGCTTTCCTAGAAACAATTCCCATCCTCCTGGAGCGATCTGAAGGCCTGGTTGCCTGTACAAGGCCTTCACTGTTACTACGAACGCGCTCGTTGGCACTGCCAATCGTGAGCGGCATAACGCCGGGTCGTCGAAGGGCCGCGTTCTGTTGCGACAGGCCTCGGTAATGAGAGCGTGATGGAATTGGAGGAGGTCGAGGCAAGGCTGGGGATCGTAAATCAGGGACATCTGTTCCATTCACTTTAATGGGGAATCTGCCGCTCATCACCCGCTTTATCGGCCGGGGAGTTTCCGCTCCTTCGCTAGATTCTTCCCCGCCTGACTCCGTCTCTGAGCGGTCAGATATAGCCTTCGCCTTCAGAAATCTTTTGATCTGTGTGGTGACAGCAATATCATTTATCTCATTTTCTTGGAATCCGCCATTTGGGGGTGTTGTTGATTGAGGCTGAAGTATTTCTTTAGGCGGGAATCGTAGCGGGTTGCCATCGAGCTTAAGGACTTGTAACGAGGCCATATCTGCAAGACAGAGAGGAAGAGCCTCGATCCGATTTTTTTGCACAGACAAGACCTTTAGTGAGGTCAATTTCGCCAATTCAGGCGGCAGAACCTTCAGCTTATTTCGACCGAGATCTAGGATTTCGAGAGACGTCAACTCGCATATCTGCAGCTTTCGTCAGACCCTTGCATAACGTCATCTCGCGCAAGGAAACATACACATTGTGGGAATTCGCGGATGACGTTGTTGCGGACATTCAGGTATCGTAACGAGGTACACTCCGAGAACCTAGAGGGGAACGTGGAGATCTGATTGTGTGACAATGCAAGTCTAAGACGTTAGCTAAATTTCGCAATACTAAGCGGGAGGAGAAATCGAGGTACCTTTCGAGTTCGGTTTTTATTATATCGACGACCTCCTCGGGGAACCGCTGGATCTGCTTGTGGCTCAAATCAATGGTAACTCCCGGCTTCAACTCATTGCTAACACCGCTGGCCTCGGCCGCTTTGGTCTGATTCTCCTCGAGGGCAAGTTTCATTGCCTCCCTCGCCAGAGCAACGACCTGGCTCGCGAATATAGGGGTCGGCGCGGATAACGAAGACGTTGAGGACTCATGTCTAACTGTGGGGTTCGGAATTCGTCGAACTGTATTTAATGGGGGCGGGTAGGGAATTCCATTATCTACCAACATACGGCCAGTTGACTGAGTTACTGCTGCCAGAGGCAGCCCGGATGGGCGATCCATCTCTATCCCTCTGTGATGCCCTACCTTTTCTTGATGTTGTGGTCGTGGGTGCACGGTGGAGCAGTCGATGTTTCAAGCCTTCTAACACAAGTCGCCGAGAACAATCCGGCGCTGTCCGTCGTGAAGCCTGTCGCTCATATATCATAAGGTGCAGGAATGGTCCGCAGAGACTGGGAGCTTGGTTCTGGCGCGTCGCAGCATCGCCGTTCCGTTCACATTCTTGTGCTAGAGCTGAGGTCCAAGATGTTGGCGAAGCTTGAGTCGAGGTACTTTACCCGTGAGCAAAATGTCGGCTGTTCCTGCATTGGAGCATTCAGCCGCCTTTCCTGATTGGGACGCCTACCCTTGACGAGGGGGCTGCTGACTGTCGATAAGTTATCAGATCTCGTCAACGTCAACGTCAATGGCTGCAAGGCACATGCCTGGGAATCCCCTGAACGCCTCACCCCTATTATTGATTGTTTACGGAAGAACTACCTATAACTGGAGATAACAAAGGGGCCATCGAAGGGCATGGCTGGGCAACCCGTGCCGGGTATGGTAAGCTGCATCTATTCAGAAAACGCGATATAGCCGGGTAGGATGAAAGCGCATTGTCAGACCGAGACTGTCAGACTCCCAGTTCGAGAGTTGAGGTGGCAAGTACCTACGTACTCGTACGACTCTCCAAGAAGACCTTTCATCGGAGTTGACATTGCGCATGGCTCGCTCTCCGCCGTTCAATTCAATTCAATTCAATTCAATTCAAAGACAAGTCCTTCATCAGGGCCAACATCCCCTCTGCAGAGCCTCTCCCAGCCTCGCCCGACATCATCCATCGACTCTCCCCAGATCAACCGAAGCCCCTTCACCACGCCTTGCTTCTTACACAAGTCCCATTCCTGTTCAAATTCCGCAAAGTATCTTTTGCTTCCCATGATATCCAAGGCTTGCGATCTCAACACAGAAGCGTTGAGCTGACGACTCAACCCGGCTGACGATTGCATACTTGCTAGAAACCTCTGTGTTGCACGCTCAGGGCTATCTGCAACCACTTCCCCGCCGACCCTGAGTTGGACAAGCTTATGAGTCTTTCTCAAAGCGTCTGCCCATCGATCGCCAGCTCCACCTCGTGATCCGAAGTCTAAAATGACTACCTTGGCATCGTCTGGCAGGCTCAGGACACTGCCTAGATTCTGGCCGTCTCGACTATCGGCATCGTAATCTAGCACACTGTCATATAACCCTGTGCCTTCTGTAAAAGCGTGCGATGACTGTGATCCAATACCAATTACTGTGAGCGGCTTCGTCCCAGTTGGCCGACCATGCCTTAGGAGATATGCAAATGCCAACGCCGTCTTTCCACTAGGCGAAAACATCAAAACAGTCGAATTGGTCCCCAATTTCGCGTCGTCGGACGTCCATCCGTCGTCCATAGTGGATGGATGGATTAGATGCCCAGGCTCCCATGCAAAAACGAAACGGCTCATCAAGTAGCCAGTCTCGAAAAGTACCCGGAAGAGTGCGTCAAATCCAAGATCTTGCTTCGCTTCGGCCTTGTTCGACCCAACGCTTGGTGGGTAAAATCGATAACGATTGTAAATCGGGAGGACGTTTTCTCTGTGTTTGCTAACCTCCACGAATTGGCCGTCCATGCTAGCAGAAACTTGAATTTGCATATCCACCGGCAATGTTCCAATGGGGAGGTACCCAAATACCTGGGTTCCAACCTCAATAGGGGAACCATTGGTATCGCAGGCGTTGCTCTCAATCACAACTCCATACCCCCAAGCAGAAATTCGGCCATATTGTTCAGGATCCGAGAATTCAGCAGGAATGGAAGAAGGAAGAGGATGAACCCCCCACCATCCAAGTAAATGACCAACCCGGGCATAGGTCAAGTTATTCGTGGTAAGGGACAAGATGGTCGATTTAATTCGAAGAGAGGATATAGAGAGAGGGGGAAGCGGAAGAGCGTTCGGAAGCGGGACAAGATGCTGATGCTCGTAGTTTTTCCTTGAAAGGACCTGGATCACAGGTACGCCTGCCATTATTAGGGACTGGAATTTGAATGTGCTTAAGTCGGTGCTGATGGATCAAGTCTGTCTTTGGCTTATGCTAGGTATGCCCTACATACGTATCGTACATACCTACCTACCTACCTGGCTATATATACCCACCTCGGTGCCATTGTTTTGCTATTTAGAAAATTGTCGGCTGCAAGTTGCCCCGCGGTCAGGGGGTTGTTCTCGCCAACCAGTTGCTGTGCTCAGCTTACGCCCGTATCGTATATGTAATCAGATCCTTCGTACGTAGTAGACAAGCTAGGATTAATATCCGGATTCATTGCTTGCTATATGTACGACTCATTTTCTAAGTTGGGGGATACGGTGCCCTATACTTCGTAGGCACATACCTCCCTACCTACCTAGGTAGGCGGTGTCGTAGGTACCTAGGTACCTTCCAATTCTGCCATCCTGGCGTATCCCGTTAACCGTAAATACGCTCCTCCCTTTTCTCGCAATCGCGTCCGAAGCATCATTCAGTGTCAACAGCTTACAACCCTAGCACTCCTTACTGCTAAGATGGTCGTTAACTAAAGCCACCTAGAGTATGGAAATAAACACTGTATAAGGTATAGGGTTTCTTTTCTAGCCATTAACAAGTTTGAATTTTTGATACGCGGTAGGCACTATAAGTCACGTGCTCACGCGTTTCCAGGAGCTCTTCAGCATGCCGCTTTCTAGGTCTAATTCATGCGTGGATATTGATTTCACACTCCGCCGGAAGTTCAAGAAGACATCCTTCAGGTATGAAAATAATCCTAATTTTTGGTTGTTGATAAGAAGTCGTGGCTAACCACAAACGCAATGTTTGTAGGCCCTTCCAACGTGAAATTATTGTGGAGGCGTTGGAAGGCAATGATGTTTTTGTGCAAGCCGCCACCAGCTTTGGAAAGAGCTTATGCTTCCAACTTCCAGCAATAATAGACCATGGAAGTGAGCGAATACCATATCTTATTTCCTATCTTGATGGGTATCTCTAACCTCCTCTAGTAACTGTGGTGGTCTCTCCTCTTCTGTCTTTGATGGTTAGTGGAAGACCTTGTTTTTTCGAGATACTTAAACTAAATCCTGCAGACTGACCAAGTAAATGCCTTGAGAACTGCAGGTATTGAGGCCGGGACAATCAACCGCAACACGCCATTCGATGAACGTCAGCGGCTCCTCCAAGATCTCGCAACAGGACACCCCCTCACCCGGCTGCTTTATGTCACGCCCGAGCAATGTGCTACAGAAACCCTCCGAAGGCAGTTGAAAGTTGTGCATGAGCAGCGAGAACTTGCTCGCATTGCTGTTGACGAAGCCCATTGCATCTCAGAATGGGGTCACGACTTCCGCCCTTCCTTCAAGCAACTGAGATGGTTTCGTGAGACCATGCCCGATGTGCCTATAATTTGTCTTACAGCGACAGCAACCCCCCAAGTACGCCAGGATGTCATTACTATACTTGGGCTTTCGGAAGCTAATCTCAAAGTCTTTACCATGACTACCAGCCGCAAGAACCTACACTATGAAGTGAGATTTAAATGCGATGAAGAAGATCACTACCCTGGTTTCCTCATGTGGCTAAAAGGAGTACACAAACGACGTGCGGAGAATGCAGGCCGCCGGGCCGAGCTTGAACGGAATAAGGAACGCATAGATAACGTCTCAGGGATCATCTATACGCTCTTTCGGTCTGACTGTGAGAGTCTCGCAGCCCGACTCCGGAGCGATGGAATCGGAGCAAGGCCTTACCATGCTGGGCTTCATAACAATGAGAAAAATGAGACTCTACAGCGCTGGGTAAGTAATGACAAAGGCTATGATGTAATTGTTGCAACCACTGCGTTCGGCATGGGCATCGACAAGGAAAACGTTCGCTTTGTCGTCCACTGGCAGCTACCAAAGTCATTTGAAGGATACTATCAAGAGGCCGGGCGTGCAGGCCGTGATGGAAAGGCGAGTTTATGCATCATGTACTACAGTCGCGAGGACCGGGATCGTGCCTATAATAGGCTGAGCAAGGATCGAGATACCTCCAATCTGGAAGCCAGACTGCACAGCTTGCAAGCGCTAATCAAGTACTGCGAGAATACGGATATATGTCGGCATAAGGTGATTAGTGAGTACTTTGGAGAGAAGGAGGTTCCGGAATGCGATTATGCTTGTGATTGGCACAAAAACCTGAAAGCGTTGAAGAGAGCAAAAGAAATGGGATTGCAGTCTGAAGATTGGGTTAGCACGCAAAGAGAGATGGGACGTTTTGATAATGGTTATGATGGTTATGATTAAGAGTGTCTTTGGACAAGGATTGGAGTATAGGATTCTATATGTAGTTGTTATCCAGTAAGATACCCGATAAAAAGGAAGCAAATAGTTATTCTATAATATGCGGAATCGCCCTTCGCGGATATGCTTTGTGGTATTTTGGGATTCTCCAATGTGGGGGGGGGTCCTGCTTCTTAAATGTGCATTTGGCGAGTACCAATACCACCAAAGGTTCTGCTTCCAACTTTCCAATCGTCTTAAGTTCAACATTCATCTGGAAGACCTCTTATATGGGGTAGGAGTGTGGTGTATCCCCTTTAACACCTCAATCTTAATTGTACACAAAGGGACATCTCAGTAGGAATTTATTATCTTGACAAAAGCCCAGTTTACTTTAACAACGAACATGGATTTGCTAGGCTTGTTCTCCTTTCCTCCCTCACTCACCAGCCACAATTATGACCAAATTACCCTGATCCTTGTGCCACCCATCTCCCCAATCATCTGCCATTACGAGCGCGCCTATTCTCCAGTAGCCAATCTATAATACAGGTATTCCTCTACTGTCTCCTCAACCATAATAGTAATTGGCCTAGCCCTCGCCAGCCGCTGGAGAGCACGGAAACACTTCGGAATCCTTAGCCCCTGCTTATCAAACTCGCCCTCCCACCACGGATGCAGATTCTCCTCAGGGACGCAAACCTCCTTCAGCTTTGCCACAATGCGGTCGTTCAAGTCCCAATGGGCTGGAATGATGATATCCTTGTAAACACACGTGGAAGACACCTCAAAAAACTTCTCTTCAAAGAAGCCAAGGATTTTGGCGATATCCCATTCGGATTGGCCTTTGCCGAAGAGATAAAGGATGATAGATTGTGGGTGGCTCATCCGCCGGGGTGGGTTCAAAGTGATTTCGTCAGAGTCGGAGAGAATGGAGTCTGAGGCGGATGAAATTGATAAGTTGCAGAGATCGAGATCATCTTCATCAGCGCGCGGATCCTCGATAACTGGCATGTGGTAATAGTCCGACAGGTTATCTCGTGCGTTAAAGAGTGCTGGGTCGTTGGTAATGGAAACGGCATGCCATGCTGGCTGGGAGCGAAGAAGGTTGAGTAAATCGAGGCCTTTGGCATTCTTGATTTGCTGTTTCGTCTCTTCGTCGAGATATTGACCTTGGTCAGCGCTGGTTGGCGTGTTCGGTGGTGAGATGTATGGAGGCATGACTTCAATCTTCTTGACGATTGTCGTATTAAGCAGCTTCAGTTCGCTGGTGCTGAGGATAACAAGGCTGTCTGGCCCTTGTCTCTGTCTGGCATCCTTCTTCTCCCATTCAACAAACTCTTGATGCTGTGGGATAGAGAGGATATTAACACGATCGCCTGCAGGGTCGCCCTCGTCGATGGTGTATAGTCCTTGTGGCATCACTTCAGCTTGAGGCGAGTCTGCTTGTTTAGAGAGCGCCGGACCGCCGACAGGCACATGGACTGTCCGGTGCGTATTGATTTCCGGTCTATTTACTGCTTTGATATACCTGAACGTGTCCATGGTGGCAACGTTGATAGCGACGTTGATAGCGCCGTTGGCTGTTTTCTTGATTTTCGTCGTAGCTGTACGTCAAATGGTTTGTGTGCGAGATCTAAATGGCTTGTGCTTCAAAACAATAGATCTCGTAGCCTTTTGGCCAAAGGCGGTGACTATCCGAACGGTTCGCGTAACTACATTGTTCGTCCAACACTGTTCCGGTGAAGGCGGCGTATTAGACGAGTGAGGCCGTCGTCTTTGGATCCAGAGCCTTCGAACTCTCAGAAACCTCACGGAAAACCTTTTTGATTCGGCCACTATCTTGTCTTTGGCCTTGGCTTTGACCGAATCTTGTTCGAGGGCAAAGATACCCTTGTCAAGACGATGGGCCACACTATCGTCTTCTTACATCCTCTTGACCTTGAAATAGCAGTGCCAAGGAGGTGTGGGGATTGGGGAAGTCTTGTATATTTTTGTTGGCAGGGTGTAGTTTTGTAATTCGGCGTTGTAAGGCTGGTAGGTTTATTCCGAACAAAAGACTTGAATAGGGGCAGAGTTTGAAGAACTATCATCGACTCTCTGATTTTCCATGTTGAATAGCGTACCGGGCTAGGGTCAACAGACACCTCTCATAGAATATGTTTGCTCAGGCCTTACAGCAAAGCAGCTTTGCTTTCCAGATGCTCACAGTACGGAGTGGGCAACATCTAGGATATTGGTAGTAACAGTGTGGGTTGTCTTTAAGGGCCACCATCGCTAACCCCATAAGGATGTGCTCAACACTCCGAGGCGAAGGCCGTAAGCCTATTATTGCACTTAAAACTGGTGATGTAAGAAATAAGCATGTACTAAATTTTCGCCTCGAGCCAGTCCTTTTCCTCCTTAATCAGGTAGACGTGTATAGAGTCTTCCTATCGTCGGCTCTCCTAGACGCTCTAGCGGCTTAGTTCAACAGCTTACCGCTCGGCATATCCTCGCTACTAGCTCAACGTTATATAGATTCAAATAAGCAAAAAGCATTTAACGACAACCTAGCTCTTTAAGACACTACCCACAAGTGTCACACGACACTCATATCGAAGAGAATCATAACTAGGTCTAACGACAACTACGAAACGGCAGAGATTAGTTGGCTGTGGGCAACGAACTCTTTTGCCATTTTCACCCTTGTCACCTGTTTTATTGCTGTTCTAAAAGTTAATCTTTTTTCCAGTGTTTATATTTTTCTGCTTTCGGCAAGTTTTTGTGGAGCCAGAGGAAGCGAGGGGACGGCTTGAAGTAACCGAGCTCGAATCTGAGCGCCTCCTTACCAATAAATATATCAAACACAAGAGTAAGCATTGCAGGATAGTCACCTAATAAATATATCACAAGCTAAGCTCCGCAAGCGCTTAACAAAAGCAGAACAGCACTTGCATTGGGCAGCTAGATTAGTCGAGGAACACAAAATAACAGGGCAACTTTCCCGTGGTAGAGGTAAAAGCCTCCATTCCTGGACTCAAAGACATCGAGCTTGATGTCGTAACGAGTTCTCATATCTCCGTAGCAAATACATTCAGGAGAAGAATGGTAATAATAATGACACTTGCTCAACCAGACAACTAACCAACGTCACGTATTTCCAATAGCTGAATTCTCATCACCCAAATCATAAACGAACAGAATAGTCAAAATGGAAGGATATTCAAGTCTAATTGTGGCTCAAGACGATTGGATATTACCAGTACATGATCACCTCAATGTAACCAGCTCCTCCGCACTCGTAGGGTGGATGGCTACGCAGCTATCGAAATCACTCTTCGTAGCGCCCATCTTAATTGCAACTCCAAATCCTTGGAGCATTTCCCCACTTCCTAGACCTAAGATATGTAAACCAACGACCTTCTCGTTGGGCCCCTCGCAAATAAGCTTGTACTTCGTGGGTCCCTTATCTTCGGGTTCCATCATGGCGTAGTACATGGCAGTGAAACTAGTCTGGTAGATTTTGAGATTCTCCTTTCCGTATTTTTGAATGGCTTCAGGTTCGGTCAGGCCAATGCTACCAACTTCTGGATGGGCGAACACGACGGACGGAACAAGGTTGTAATCGAGTTTTGAGGAACTGAATTTCTCCGGGCCAAAGAGGCGATCGCTGAGCTTACGCCCAGCAGCAATAGCCACTGGTGTAAGCTCAACTTTGCCAACGACGTCGCCAAGGGAATAAAGATTCTCGACATTGGTGTTTTGATACTCATCGGCGATGATCTGCCCGTTCTCTTGCTGCTTGACACCAGCCTTTTCCAGTCCAAGCCCTTCCACTTCTGGGGCACGGCCAATTGCCCAGATCAGAGTATCGACTTCTTCGATTTTCTCTTTACCATTTACCGCGTCCCAATGCAGCGTGAGCTTGCCAGTTTTCTCGTCCTTTTCAACTTTGTTTAAAATAGACTGCTTGTGCAAGTGCACGCCCAACCTCTCATATTCATTAGTAACCGCATCCTGGACCATTGGGTCGAAAGCCCTCAAGAATTTATCGTGTCGGATAAACAGGTGGGTTTCTGAGCCAAGAGCATTGAGCATCCCTGCGAATTCGACAGCAATATACCCCGCACCAACTATTGCGACCTTCTTTGGTTGAGTCTCGAGATCGAAGAAGCCATCGCTATTTATTCCATATTCTGCCCCAGGAACAGTCTTGGGGATGATGGGATACCCTCCAGTAGCAAGTAGGATTTTCTTCGCCCGAATGGTTTGCGTCGATCCGTCATCCAACACAACCTCTGCCTCATTATTGCCCGTGAGATGTGCTCGGCCATGGATATATTCAACCTTATCGTTGGCTAGATTCTTCTCGTAAATCCCGTTCAGCCGTTTGACGTACGCGTCTCTCTTGTTTTTGAAATATGTCCAGTTGAAAGGCGCTGTTTGCTCCACCGAAAAACCGTATGCCTTGGCTTCATGTAGCGTTTCTGCGATGGCAGCGGCGTTGAAAGTGACTTTCTTGGGCACACAACTACTCTCCAATTAGCACAAGCTCATACAGCAGTTGGAAAGGTATCCCATACCCAACATTGACGCAGGTTCCTCCTAGCCGTTTACTTTCTACGGCGATTGTTTTTGCTCCATAGTACCCGCTAGCTCTCCGGGCTGATGCTAAGCCTCCACTACCACCGCCGATAACTAGATAATCGCATTCTTTGGGTGTAGGCGCCATAGTGGACGGGCCGGACGAAAATTGTCGCGAAATGGAGGAGAGTCTCGAAGTCGCCGTCTTGGAAGCTGCGGCAATAGTAGCACGGGCGAATAATGGAAATGTTTGCATGGGAGGAAAGTAAAAGATGCGCTGGAAAACAGCAGGATGAATGGTCTAATATACAATGTTTCTAAACTCTGGTGGTTGACAGCCTCGCAGTGACGTGCTTTTGGTGATGATTTGTTAGTGCCTGTTGATTACCAAGACATTTAGTCCAGAATCCCAAATAGACCGAATATGATGACAGATGCAAAGCTTCCAAATCACCATACCTTAAACTCATGTGATACAGCCGGCCTCGGCCGGCGATGTTATTGAGCTCTACGAGGTCTCAGGCGAGATGCGGGTTGATTCCTAATAACGATCTCATTTGATTGCTAGATCGCTATGAGGGACCCTGGCTGTAGCAACGGGATTTCCGCGTTCCCGAGCTCCAAAGTTCGACTCGCTAAAACTGCATGGCAGTGCTGTGTTCTAGATCATATTATTTTGCTCAATATACCTTACTACTGTACCTATGTCAAGTCAAGCTTATTCACGCAAGATTCGGCTTCTTTATGCGATACGAGCCGAAGAATCGCTACCTGCACGAGTTGCTGATAAATTCCGAACTCGCGTTCGAGGTTCTGATTCACATTCATTTCCTATGGTAATCGCCTGCTTAGAGTGAGAGTATTCCCATATGCTTCTGTAAGGCGTTAGCTAGGTTATCCCTTGAAATTCTTAAAGAGAGTTGTTCGCCCTAGAAAATGGGTAGTTAGGACACAAAAGTCTCGTATTCTCCTTTTCACCAATTTTTGCTCATTTAATGTGGTTCTGGAATTTATCTACGTGCAATTCAACTCAACATCAGTCCAGTTCCTACGGAATGTATAAGAGATAACATCGTTTCTTTACTATCGGCAGTGTTTATTCGCTTATTTAGAAGCGCTAGGTTTAATTGATCATAATTCATTATTTCATGTTATTAACTTATTGCCCTCGCGCCGCCATTTTCTTTTCCTATAAGTACTGGGTAGTGACAAGCATCAACCTCATTTCTCCCTTTTCTTAAGCCATTACTGATGCAAAACACACCATAACAAATAAATGAGGGCATTGAAAGTTAAGAAGACCTCTATCAAAACCATTGGCTCATATAATGCCGCAGGGGATGAATTTTGTCAGCCAAGGACCTTACGATGCGAGTCTCGTAGCGTGTTCCAACGCTCCCCAAGATTGCTGAATTCGTATGACCACGTCCTTAATACCGAGCTCCTCTTATTTTATACACAACAGAAGCAGTCGTCATCGCAGGAATCGATGTCTGCGTATTAACCGCCGTCGGTGCCGCAGTTGCTGTCGGGACATCGGTAGCAGTATCGGTGTCCGTTTCCGGCGGAGGAGCTGGACAAGATGCAGAGCTCGGCAAGTCAGGTGTTCCAGGAATAACAACTTGGCTGCACAAGTTTTGTGCGAATTCGACGACCACTTCCTGATCTTCGGTGTTGCAATTGCTAAAGATACAGCATGAGATGCTGCTTACGAATGCCCCGTTGGAGCATATACAGGAGACGTCTTTGCTATCGCAATCGGCGAAAGAGCTGCCATTGGAGGTGAAATGAAGGAGTGCGCAGGATTTCTGTTTAGGAATACTTGTCAGATAGGGGGTTGATAATTGTATTCGGCTTCGGGTGCAGTTTGGTGAGGACTTACAGCACAATCTGGAAGCTCGGTTGGAAGTGACTGTGAGGATACGAGCGCTGCAAGAGCGAGAGTAATGATGACGGCCTTCATGGTGTATTGTGTGCAGTGTAGAAGCTCCAACCCAACGTGGTATACGGAGTGATACAGTATGAGATGCGTACTAATTCTGAGAGATTGACAATATAAGGTACGTAGTATGTGGGATGAAGAAATAATTAAAAGAAAACACAGAACGGGGAGCCTTCACTATTTGAAGTAATAGTTTACAGGGACATATTTACCCAACCCCGCATGCCCCGCCATGTATTATACAAGAAACACCTCGTATCCAGCAACCAGAATCCAGATCCGTTGCGACGTTGCGGATCGAGCTGCGTTAAGCCAGGAACCAAGCACTGCTAATGAACTTGGCTGCTGGAGGTTGGAGCAAAGAAACGAGGCTGAATCATCGGCAATTGATATGCAGGCTTATATATATCCCTGTCACCAGCGGAAAAGAAGACGAGAAGGGGATTCTGAGGGGGTTGGGAGTCGTACCAACCTTTGGCCTGAGATGCGAGTAAGCACTGAGTGTGTGACCGCAGGCATTCTTAATGGCAGTAGGCTTATAGTACATTATTGTTGGCGGTGTTGGCGGCCTAGTAAGATCTCTCCTACTTATGGCACATCTCTCTGCCGAAGAAATGCCTTAACCACCAGCGCCCTTTCTGTCTAAGTAAGGTACCTAGGCGCATGTATTACGGTTGGGTCAGCATAAAGTCCAATATGTGTACTCCAACCGTGGCATACCTTTTTGGACCAGCAATTGCTACCCTTGGCCTGCAAGCTTACTATCAGTCATCCAGCACTTGCACCTGATTTTATTTCCGTCTGAGGCCACGTCGTATGCTTGCACCCTATTAAAGGGCGCCTCTAAATGCCGGAGCAGCTCTCGCTCCATAACTACTACCATCATGGCTACCCCAACTGATACCAACACCTCCACCTCTGCGCCAACTGGCCTTCTAGTTCCCGAAAAGCCTACTATTGTTATAGTTCAAGGCTCCTTTCAAACCCCACTCGTCTATGATGGCCTCTTAAAGGGGCTTGTAGCTGAAGGTTACCCTAGTTTGCACCCAAAACTGCCTAGCTGTACCGATGTTGACAGCCCAGAATTCCCCTCAGTGACTCTTGTTGACGATGCTTTGGCTGTCCGCCTTGAGGTCACGAAGCTCGTCGAATATGAAAGCAAAACGGTTGTTGTTGTAATGCACTCGTATGGCGGCCTGGTGGGTAGTGAGGCAGTTCCAGAGGAGCTAAGCTTTACCCACCGCCAGGCCAAAAGACTTTCGGGGGGAGTAATCCACCTGTTTTATTTCAGCGCGTTCGTACTTTCTGAGGGCCAATCAGTGCTGGGAACGTTTGGAGAATCGCCGAACAATGACGTGAAGGTAATACTCTAGTGCCTCTATCTAGGATCAGTGCTTACTATGGACCTTCGTGTAGCCGGACGGTCGATATATTGTCCGCAACGGCGGAAAGGTTCTATACAACGACCTACCAGAGCCAGAGGCCGCCCTCTGGGAATCAAGGCTCATCGTGCAGTCATACAATGTGCAACTCACCAAACTAACCCGCGCCGCCTATCAATATATCTCGTCGACATATCTTATCTGCGAGAATGATCAGGCCGCTCCCCTCCAGTTCCAGGAGATGTTCGCGGCCACTGCAAAAGCACATGTGGAAAGATGCTCTGCTGGCCATTCCGCCATGCTCAGCCAACCGGCAATGTTAATTAGCAAACTTATGGCTGCTATTAATGTTGCCCTGTCTGAAAAAGATAGGGAAGTGGCGGGACAGCATGGATTATGAGGTTCCTGGTGCAATAAAGCCCGCGTAGTCAAGTCTAACGCGGTTTCCGGATGGCACGTGGTCAAAAGCAACTAGGAATTTGAGGCACGCCGTTGAGTTAGTACTTAAAACTAGTACCTCAGTTGTTTTATTTGAGATATTGGTGCAAGGACCGCCAGTTGCCCCATTTTCGTGGATTATTTCCCCACCAATCAAAACTCTCTCAACACCTTCTGTCTAATATCCAGATAGCCACGCTTAAATAGCTCATATACTTATGATGTAAAAATTCTTCTACTTTGGTGAGCACTTGGTTGAAAACACGGAGTACACCCCGCCATTACCGGATAATACCCATACCCTAAAACATTTTCAGGGTCCGATCATTGGAAGGGGCCTGGCACATGGCGTGCGCTGATCTCGAAAACCCGAAGTCACATTTGAAGTGCCGGATTCGAAGGTTGCACATGCGCTTGCATACATATTCAAACTCTCCGGGCGGGTCGTCCGACGAGAATGATGTTGCAGTAGGGAGCAACGTTACCTTAAACCAGAGAAGATAAATGAAATCAAGATAGAGCATAACGGAGAGAAGGGATTAAAGTCAACTGTGACCATAATTACGGGGTAGGGACTTGGATATATGAGTTCAGATACCCGGTTCTCGTCAACATGCTGAAGGGAACTGGAACATCTGCCGAGTACGATCTTCCCATTGGAGAGTAGCATCCGTTCTAGAATGAACCTATGGTATTCTGTGAGATACCAAGTCTCTAGCACTTGTAGAGAATGTAACATGTGGCATCTTCGTCAGTAGACGTAAGTGATGTTATGAGCGGGCCTCACTTAATAATATTTACTCAAGTTCGCTAGGCAGTTTCGCGGCCACCGGACCGATCCGGAATAGCTTATGCAAATGGAACTGACCCCTGGACCCTTGGGACTTTCGGTGTTTGTACACAGTACAGACCGGCTCAGTCTTTGGAGCCCCATCGATTATCGACATATCGTCACAATACATTCAATTCTCACCATGCATGGCACTCACAATCCCCTCAACCCTCAAGCTCACAAGCCTCAAACACATAGCGTTGAAATGTGGCATCTCAAACTCCGGCACAAAACCAATCCTCACCCAACGGCTCCATAATGAAATCTCGCGCGCCGGTCAACCTGGCAAGCAAAAACCAATTCGAATCCTCAGTATAGACATGGGGATCAGGAATCTAGCGTATTGCATACTAGACACTACTCCCCGGGGGAATGCAGCACCAAAGCATGGCCAGCAATTGCCAACTATCCAATCCTGGCACCGTCTTGCCGTCTCCTCTGCCCCGCCGGTGCCATCTGCCATCATTCCACCCTCTGATGCATTAAAGGCGAAAGAAGTAGAAAAAGAGTCGTTCACACCTGCAACCCTTTCCAAAACAGCGTACAGCCTTCTCCGCACCCGTCTACTCCCTTGCAACCCAACTCACATCCTTATCGAGCGCCAGCGCTTTCGCAGCATGGGGTCTAAACACATCCTCGAATGGACAATTAGGGTTAATATGTTTGAGTCGATTTTATATGCTGTGCTATGTACATTGAGGTCTGAAGGTATCTGGGAAGGAACCGTGGAAGCAATTGCCCCTGGGAAAGTCGGACCTTTTTGGGTTGGCGAAGGGGAAGGGACGGAGGTGCAGGTAGGGGATAGGAAGGTTAGGAAGGCCAAGAGCGCGAAGGCTCAGAATAAGGGCGCGAAGATTGATTTGGTAAGGGGTTGGCTAGATCAGGGGCAGATGGTGCGATTGGGGAATGACGAAGTGGAGGGTGTGGCGAGAGCGTATAGGGAGAAATGGGCGCGGGCGCCTGGGGGTGGGCCTGCTGTGAAAAATGATCTGGGTGAGAAGATGGGCAAGTTAGATGATTTGGCCGATTCATTATTACAGGGTATGGCTTGGATTGAGTGGGAAGAGAATAAGAAGATTGCCCTTAAGCATGGCGTAGAAGCTTTGCTAGAGCCCTAATCAACCTTGCTTATAGTGTGTTAGGCCTGTATAAAAATATAGCCTGAATATACGATCATTATGGCGACATACACAAAGACAAAATCACAAGCAGAAAAAGCCAGAAGCAATGCATTGTCTTATGCCCCATCTAACTGCCAGTTGCATATTCTGCTTGAAGTGAAAGATATCACAAATTCCTACCACCAGGCTATACAGCACTCTTCTTCTTGTACCAAAACGCAACAGGCCCAACGGTTATAGCACATATTGGCCGGCGAAGCCAGCAGCAAGAACGACTGGAGCCATATACATGGCGAATTGAGGTGATGTGGACCCTGCACCGCTCGATCCGGTGCCAGATGGCGCTGCACCTGTACCTGTAGCAGTACCCGCGGCGTTTCCGGAACCGCTACCGGAAGTGGCACTGGACAAGTGTTAGCCGCTAATAAAGCTTTCTAGGGGCAGAGAGATATGCTACTTACGAGCCAGTGGGCTTTGCAATCGCGCTGCCGGAGCCTGTAGTAGTAGCAGTTGCAGACCCGGTCTTTGAGCTTGAAGAGGAGGAGATAGCTAAATTGTCAATTAGCCATAGTCATATTGTGCAGAAATTATACCATACTGATAGTAACGGATTCAGACGAAAGACAGGTGGCAGAGTAGGCAGAGATAGCGGCAGATCGAGCGTCTCCAGAACACTTCTCGGTGATGTTTCCTGACAATTGTGGGACGAGTGTGCCGCAGAGGGACTTGAGATCAGCAGGATTGGATTGGGCACTGTTACGCGTCAGATATGTCTGTCTATACCTGGGTAACAACCAATGGTACAACTTACCCTAAGGCTGCTAGCAGACAGGCAGGAGGGGTAGCAATGGCAACGCGAGCTAGAGCCATGATAGCGCCGAGAACGAAGGTCGAAGAGGCGTACATATTGAACGGAAATGAAGCTGGGTATCGAAGAAGACTTGGGGATGAAGTTGGCGGGAAAGGGGTCGAAGGATGGATTAGAGTGTCGAAGGACGGTGAAGGTCTAAATGAGTGTGGGATCTAATGAGTGACTATTGAAAAAAGAAGGACGGTGGGAACCAAGTGCCAGTGAAGTCAAAGGTATTGCGGGTGAGGAAACAAGTTCAGGTCTTGAAGTCGCGAACTGGGAGCAACCTCGCTCCTTCAGGGGCTCCACATGGGGCTTAGCGGAGGCTAATTTAATCAGGAACGAAACATGACCCCTGCCAGGTTGAAATTGATATCACGTGTTAGGACTTCCACCACTCAGCTCCAAAAGTCGCATATTAGATCAACTTAAATAGTAAACAACGGAATTGGACATTTTCATTTAGTGTTGTTGATTTTTGATAGCGGCAAAGTGATATGGCATGTTTTAGGTTTACTGACAATGCTAAATGCAGCATATCCGTGTCAAAATCCGAAGTTCCTGCCATTACTCCTCACAACATCCATTGATCCGACACCATCTAACCTCCAGTTGCCTCTCTATAGAAGGAGATGCTTTGGTTTGCACCTGCAGTTGCAAACATCTCACTCCTCCCGGTCTTAGGAAGCCATTTCACACACCACAAGGCCTTGTCCGTTTCACTATGGTTGGCCACACAGGCACGCCGGTCAATAGACCAGACCTTGGCCTTTCCATCGAAGGAACCGCTGAGCAAATACTCTCCCGTATCACTCCAGTCTACGGAGAAGATCCATGCTGTATGTCCTGTGAGATTTGCAACTTGCTCTCCATGACTGACGTCATACAACGCAATAACTCTGGCATCTCCTGCAGCTGCCAATCGAGTACCGGCAGGTGAGAATGCGATTGTTCGGACAGGTTTGACAAGACCTAGTACTTGTCAATAACACTGTGTCGGGAGGGCATGACCGGAACTGACCTGGTAATGAGTATAGCAGCTTTCCCATATCATTATTGAAAATGTAGACACCACCATTCTCATGTCCACTAGCCGTATACTTCCCATCCCTACTTATATCAATACACAGTCCAAAGCTCCCCTTTGTCTCGTATTCTCTGATCTTCCCACCTGCAAGATCCCACACGTTGATCCGTCCGTCATAAGTCGTACTCGCTAAAAACTGACCATCCTCACTCAGAGCAATAGCCCAAACTTCGCCGGCTTTGTTCTGGTCCACGATCTTGCCCGCTTCTGCCCATTGTGACGTTTCTTCCGAAATATGCCATATCTTTACCTCGCCACCAAACCCAGCGCTGGCTGCGACGCGGCCGTTGCGGGACGTTACAATGTGGTGGCAGCCGAGTTTGTGGGCGCCCTTGATCGTTTGCTCAAGGGGTATGTCGGGGGAGGCTGTGGAGTGGACCTTTATACAGGATCCGCCTGATGCGGAGAGGATCTGAGTGGGTGTTGTAGCGATGGAGAAGATGTCGGTGATATGCGCTACGTTCTGTTAACTAGGAGGGTTAGGGAGGGGGGCTGGAAGCTTGCCATCATCAACCGTATGCGTTGTGAGATATTGTTTGGACTTGGAAGAGTTAGTGCTGGAACTCGTGGGGATAGAAAACACATACCATAGTCACCACTGGTTCCTACAAACCTGTCTGTGAGCTTGCTGTGTGCTTCGGCAAAGGGGTGTGGAAAGGTTGTTTGGGGTTTGGTGGGGTAGAAGTCTAGAATGACGGAAGGCATTTATTTTCTAACGAGTTACATTTTTCTTACAATCATTGTCAAAGTCTAAGGATATGATAGGTAGTTTTACATTCTGGTACAAGTATACAGAGCTTTTACAAATTCTATCGGTCACAGAAGGTCGGCTCATGGATCCCCTCCAGTCCCAAACGCCAAATGCTAATGCAACCACGAACCCAACACCCTCCTCGGCGGCTATTTGATCGCTCCTTTTATTCATCTAATGGCTTCTCCGATGTGGTTTTCTCCACCTTGCCCTTCCAAAAGCCACGGATTTCTGTATAACCGTCAGTAGAAGCCAATTTAGCTCAGCCCAACCAAACGTACCCTGTACGCAGAAAGGACATAGATGATGTGCTCTCTTAACATTCCCACAAACAGAGCATTTGTTCAAAGATGTTACGTCCTTCAATCCCTTTCCTGCCATCTGCCGGTGTCTTTTCTTCATATGGGAGGTCTTCTTCTTTGGAACGGCTCGGAGTATCGATTCCCAAATTCCCTCGAGGAGCCCCGGAACATTGATTTGTATCGCAGCAGGGATAGCAAAGCTGATTGAAGGGAGCAGTGGGTGGGCAAGCTGTCGTGAAAATAAGGTGGTGTATCGTGAGGTACTTGACGCTGTTGATGGGGAGAGTCGCGGAAGGAATGATGCGAGTATGGAGCGTGCGGTCACATGAGCGGAAGCCATTGTGCCAACTGTTGACTGGTTTTGAAGACGTGGGTCTTTGGATTGATTAAATAAAAACGAGCGAGTATATAACAAGCTCTGGACAACCGCGTTCGAAAATCATTCTCGGTCACTTTGGGACCTTCGCCGGCGTCCTCAGGCGTGCATTAGTCTAGACCCCTTTGAGACTAGTGTAATTTGGGGTCGCGTTCGCAAAAGGGGAAGCAACGAAATTGTGGAGGAACCCCTTCTAACTTTCGACAATCGCTCTACAAAACATCACCGATCACAAATTCTTCCCTTTTAAAGCTTCAGAAAGACATCTTCGATCTTCTCGGAATCGTCTGCAAAACTTATGGCAACTATGGATCGCCACAATCCCCAACAATCGGTGTACCCTCGTAGCCACGTCGGTTTCGACAGCATCACAACACAAATTGAGCGCAAGCTCTTGAAGCGCGGGTTCCAATTTAACATTATCTGCGTCGGTAAGTTCTGCTCTTTGCGATCCTAGCTCTTGGAATGTTTGATTGCGCATATTCTCACCCTCGTGATCAGGACAAACTGGGCTTGGAAAGTCGACTCTCATCAACACCATCTTTGCCTCTCATTTGATCGATTCAAAAGGAAGACTCGCTCCCGATGAGCCAGTACGATCCACTACCGAGATCCAAACTGTCTCACACGTTATCGAGGAAAACGGGGTTCGTCTGCGGCTGAACATCGTTGACACGCCAGGATACGGTGACCAAGTCAACAACGATAGATGCTGGGATCCAATTGTCAAGTACATCAAGGATCAGCACTCAGCCTACCTCCGAAAGGAGCTCACGGCTCAGCGCGAACGATATATTCAAGATACCCGGATTCACTGCTGCCTTTTCTTCATTCAACCTTCAGGCCACGCATTGAAGCCGATCGATATCGTTGTGTTGAAGAAACTCTCGGATGTGGTCAATGTTGTCCCAGTCATTGCAAAGTCTGATTCCTTAACTTTGGAGGAGCGAAGTGCTTTCAAGGAGCGTATAAAGGAGGAATTCGCATTCCACAACCTCAAGATGTACCCATACGACAACGATGAGTTCGACGAGGAGGAGCGTGCTCTGAATGCTCAGATAAAGGTATGTTGGCTAACTTCCCGTTCATATTATACAGCTAACATGTACGCAGAACATCATCCCATTCGCTGTTGTTGGGTCTGAGAAGTCAATCATTGTCGGGGGAAAGCAAGTTCGTGGACGTCAAAACCGATGGGGAGTAATCAACGTCGAGGATGAGAACCATTGCGAATTTGTCTACCTACGAAACTTCCTCACCCGTACCCACCTTCAAGATTTGATCGAAACTACCTCTCAAATCCATTATGAGACTTTCCGTGCTAAGCAACTGCTTGCCCTCAAGGAGAGCAGTGCAGCCGGAGGACACGCTGGTAGCCGACCTATCAGCCCGTCTGCTGATCGGGAGCTGAGCAGAAACTCTCAGCGAAACACCATGAATGGCTACTAGATGGATGTCTGGTTATGGGGTGACGGGGTTGTGGTTGGTAGAAGGAGTTGTTTATGGCAGCAAGCGGCAGCTATGCAAAAGCGTCTTTCGTGATTCCCTTGATGAAGCCTAGGGGAGCGTTAATGGCCGCTGCAACGGGCTTTACTTTGTCTATCTGAATTCTCCGTATTTCTTCTTTGCTTAATTACCCTTCTCATGTTGAGAATTCTTTTCATCAGTAGTAAAGTTTCAGCGCGGATATGACAGGATGTAAAATGAAAGCGTCCGGGTTTTTGATATATGCAGCTCACTCTTGAGCCTATTTTGATCTGAATCTATATGCAGACTGTAGGTATGTAAGCCGCACGAGTATATACCACTTGTAGATTCTATAAGTCTCCATAAGACACCCAAACTTTGAACATTATGCTTCCGGTCGCCACCAAACATCATAGCAACTCTATCTCTCTATGTATCACGTTCTATCACGCACGCTCCCTTATTATTCCCACCTCTAGTCCTACGCCCTTTTATTAAATATAACATCTTCTAACTCCCGATATGCCTTCTCCAGCTCATCATTAACAATAATAACATCATGAACACCAGGTGTCTTGGAATACTCTAGCTCTTTCTGTGCTTGCGCGAGGCGCTTCTGGATGCTGTCTTCTTTCTCGGTTCCCCGGCCGCGGAGGCGCTGCTCTAGGATTTCCACCGAAGGGGGTGCGATGAAGATATACCGGGCTTCGATGTGGGAATTTTTGATTTGTTTTACACCCTGGATGGAGTAAGGTTAGCATTAGAGATTATATAGTATCAGAGGGAAGCTGGGGTAGGATAGGCAGGCCCCTTGTGCTCTGTTTGTATGGGATTTTGTCCAGTTTGCAAAGCACAGCCAGCCAAAACACAGACACTTAAGTAGCCCAACGAAAGCACACAATGAATCTGCAAGTGTCCAAGAAAATCAAACCAACTAACCTCCATCTCGATGTCCAAAACCACCACCCGTCCACTAGCGGTCAAGTCCTCAATCATCTTCTTACTGGTCCCATATCGGTTATCCCCAAATTTGGCATGCTCCACAAATGCATTCTCCCCGATCATCCGTTCGAATTCTTCCATGCTGACATAGTAATAGTCCACGCCGCGCTGCTCACCGGGTCGCGGATCCCGTGTTGTGTGAGAGATGCTTGTTGCGAAGATCGAGGGGTTGCGCTCGAGGAGAAGTTTGTAGAGCGTGCCTTTCCCTACGCCTGAAGGGCCGGAGATGACGACGGGCCGGGAATCGCTGGGTGCTATGTGGGTGATTGTGTTAGCTGCTGGAAGAGGGCGGGAGGCTGTGGATTCTGGAAAGGGGAAAAGACGTGAGGGGCTGGGAGAACGTACCTGGTGCCATTGTGTGTAGTCGTTGAGGAATTATAAAGAATGGACTTTTGGGACGCGTAAATAACGAGCGTGCAGGCTGAAGAAGCAAACGCATGCGTGGTCTGGAGAGGAGATGTTGAAAAGATTCAGAACTCAGAGCCCAGTGTGGAGCTTAGCGCGTACTGTATCGACAACCTTATCGGCCCCACCAGGACGGGACTGCCCGCCTAGAAACTCAAATCATCACAGATTACATAGGAGCACGTATTTTAATTGATCGATTTATTTATTATTGATATTAATTCTCAAAGACGCCATGATATGCAAGCCTCCCAGCCACGCCTATAACCCCCCAAAGGCTCAAGCAAGTGCTCCGTAAGAAGCGGGTATTTTTATAACATAGCAAACTCCTGAACACCTTCATAAACGCCTCATATTCTGGACATCTCCCTTCCTCGGCTTAAAATCTTGTCATATTACTGACCACACTATATCTTGAAGATGCAGGGTATGCCGGCGCCGGAGGGTGCAACGCTGGGTGCATTGCAGTTGGGGGTCGTTGGACATCAGGGACGACTGGCGAACTTCGATCATCCCATTTCGAGAATTGCTCTTGGTTGGTGGGTATGGGCTTCGAGATGCCAGATGTTCGAATGGGGAACTTGAGACCAAATCTTGACTTTCTTCGCTCCTCGGTGGGAGTGTGGTAAGTTGGAAGGACAGGACTCTCAGCCTTGCGGATAGAACCGCTGGAGACGCTGTAGTTGGACTTTGTTGACGAGCTGGGGAATGTGGCAGCTCCTTGACCTCTGACTTGACGGCCGGAAATTCCGAGTTTGGGCTGGGAGAAGACGTATGTGGCGATGATGTTGAACAGGCCGCTCAAGGATGCGAGAATTCCCGCTGAGATAACGACACGCCACAATGGTAGCCCCAAATTTTCCACGCTTGTAGCTGCTTTGTTGAGATTGCCCAGAATATTGAAGCCAAGCACAATCATTGACAGTCCAAGGCAGACGAAGCCATGCTCGGGTCCAAAGTTCGGCCAGTTTTTGACGAAGTAGCTTTGGAAGAGGCTGAGTTCCGAGATGATGAGGAAACAGGCTATGACGCTTGTGATGAAGTGCGATACTCCGTCGAAGAAGAAAAAGCTCGAGGTCTTCAGCGTCATTACAAGCATAACCCAACTGGCGATAGCAACCAGTAGTAGAGAGATGATGTTCATGGCTCGGATGATGTTCAGGATGATGTAGCCTGGGCCGGCCATCTTGGATTCGGAGCTCATCTTGAACATGGTGATGATGTATTAAGGGAGCGAGAGGTTCAACTAGGTATTGTTAGAGGTATTTGCCAATGAGTCGGGTAAATGGAGGACTCACGATCTGGTGTGAATGGTTGTAATAGTGACCGGAGTGTACTGCCTGCAGTAGAAAAGATTGGAGTTGATCGGATGATTAAATTGTGTATCTGGCTGGAAAGACGGTGAGATAAAAGAGAGGATCTTGGGAAAGAAATAAATAAAAGTATGACTAGTAGGAAATTGCTATTGAGATAAAGATCCCATTGTTCTGTGCACCACAATGAATGGAAGGTTTCTGTCGACAATAGGAAGACAATGGGAGACTATAAGAAGTGAATACAAAAATTGTGAGACGCGCCGGCAAACATGGAGAACAGCTATTGACCAACTATTATTGAGTCTTTCCAGGGAACCCACCGCGTCTGTTGCAAGACTTGGCGCGAACTTTCTTTGTTCGAATGCGACGCGTTGATCCAATAGTCCTTATTTGAAGACCATTTCTTTGAAGAATGGCACAGGCTGCCGTTGGGAAGGGCAATAATCTCTCGCCTCCGCATCTCAGCTGTTTCGCACGAAATGACTGGATCAGGCACCATGGCCCGGGGTTCTAAGGCCTGCCCAAGGGCTAAATAGAGATGCAACTTCCAAAGCCTCATCCCGACGCAAGGGTTTTGCCGCCGTTTGCTTTGCTGTGTCGCGCGAGCACGTCCACGAAAAGACGCCTTGCACATGCCCACTGCAAGACACAAGAACATTGAACCAGAGCCTCTCTTCGTGGCGAATTACATCTGTAACCGCCCTCTGCATGGTGGCCAAGGGATGATACTTCACGGAGTCGACCCCGTTAAATGTTTCGTTTTGAAAGGGAGTGACTCGGGTCAGCCATTGGCTGCCAGGACGTCGTCGTGAGCTTTGTTTCAAGTTCGCCTGCGACTCCTCCCTTCTATGGCACAAGGTGAAAAGAATTCCAAGATATCCCTGGCAACTCTGGGCTCTGCTTCTATTCCTAGTCCTCGTAGCCTAATACTCCGTATAGCTACGAAGTACGTAGTATGTCCATCCTCAATCGACGTGTGGTGCTTCTTTAAAACCCTGTACCTTAAATTACGGGCGCTCTGTCAGCAGCTAACAGCTGGCCCTTGGTGCACCCGTGGCGGGAGTTATTAAGCTCTCTTATCACGTGGTGTATTCTATTTTAGTTCGCGCCCAGCTGCCAAACCTTTTCTCAGCCTCGAGTCTCGATCAACCTGATCCACATCCCGGCGAACCCTCATCAACTCTTTCTGTGAGATAATTGCGGACACTAAAAATCATTCAGGATGGCCAGAGGCAATCAGCGCGACAAGGCTCGTGAGGCCAATCAAAAAAAGATGGCTGACCAGGTACCGCGCATTCGGAATGTTGTGATGGGGAAAATTCAGCCTTACTGACGAGGTTTTTTCTCTTTGCAGAAGAAAGGAAACAGCATGTCGGGCACTGAAATGCAGCGCGAGAAGGAGCGCGTTGCTGCAAAAATGAGGGAGAAGCAGGCTGCTGGTACGCCCTGATTCCATGCGCGAGAATTATTTACAGAGTTAGAGGGATGCTGACCGTGGATTCTAGCTGATGCGAAAAAGGCTGCTGAAGGTGCTGGTGGCAAGAAGTAGTTGGGCACCTTCTAAATACCGGCCCCCCTCGACGCTCAATAGCCAGGATGGAATGCCTATGCCTAGTTATGACGGAGTTTTCGGTGCGACAGACGGCATTTTGTTCTATATCGGAGCATGGGAGGAGCGTGGTTTGAGCGTGCTGTCCAGCCTTGTCCATGAACTTCTTATATACCACTAGATTCCATTTTTGGATTTGTTGAGCTTGCTATTCAATCATACAAGCCTATGCGAAGTGCAATCCACGCCACTGCCTGTTTCCAGCTCAGGTCTAAGGGGTGCTTCGCATGAGCGACCCAGGCGTTTCGTAAGAGCCCAATACTCGTAGTATCTTATCCTAATACCTCAAGCTTCAATTTATTCTCCGAGCTCTTTCCTTTACATGACTTATACTTATCTTATTATTACCAACTTTATCCTCGAGACACGATCCCAGTGTACCTGCCATGTTCATCCGATACCTCCCAAGCCCCAAGGTTTCACCGCAGTATGAGAACAACTTTATCCCACCAGCCGAGAATAACACATGATATTAGTTGCTGAAACCATTAAAAACTGTTAACTTTCTTTGGGATATTCCAAGTACCCTTGGGCTTACCCAAGACTCGGTGCAACTGCTGGATTGATTCTCAAGTGTTGTTTTATACTTCCGCGGCCGTTAATTACCTGAAGATATATATCACAATACGCAAACCGCGGTCAGGCGTCCCATCAATGGCAATCGCATTTACCTCAGTCGAGGATATCGGGACGATTAGGTAATATGTGTTTAGCTCTGGAGCAACTATTATATGCAAAAACATACTATAAGAGAAGGGCCGGTGTTAAGGTATTCCTAGTTGTGAGTCAGGGAATTGGAGCCCTGCAGACTGGCTGCAGTAGTCCCTAAATTGAAAGGTTAAAATTTTTGGTTAATATTAGGGTCGAACATGGCTTGACAACCTTCCCCACGGTCACTGACCTTACGGTTGGCTGGAGTTTCTTGGGAATTGACGGTGATGAAATCTCCCTGTTGCACTCTGGTGAGCGCGGTAGAAGAGTTACCTTGGGAAAGCTGGAGCATAGATCTATGCTAGAGACACAACACAGGATCTTTGGCGTACTACTCATCTTCAATTAATTGTACAAATCAAGGGGTGCGCTACGGAATGATGGATAGAAGGCTTGGACAAATAACATTTGTTTTTGCAGCTGATCCCAGCCAGCAAAGTGGTATCAAGAAAGTACATGTTCAGAGTAGATGTAGCAATAAGGTGAAAGGGTAATCTTGCTCTCTATAGATTTGAATAAACGGACTCGAGAACAAACGCCAAAAACGGAATGCATAAAATGTATCCATTGGGCGGACTATTAAAGCGCACTCCATATTTCTCAAAAATACGACCCAGTCGGACTATATATACCCATAATAATAACCACCGCGAGAATGACTCAGTTGGCAGTACCTGACTCTTTAACTTCTACTTCTTGGAGGCCGTAAGAATACAATGTTTCCTCGAAATTGTGAGGGATTATGCCATCATTGCAGCCATTGGCATGGCACCTTGATGTATGTTAGTTATTTCTTTGTAGGATTGGGTTAGAACTACATACCTGGCACGCCGCCGAAACCACCGACACCTTGAACAGCGGAGCTGGGGAACGAGCCGGGACCGCACAGGCAAGAGCAAGCGCACTCGCCGTTGACATTGGTACCAGTTCCGGCAGCCATGTTGGCGGGTGCAGCAGCGTTGGCAGGGGGGGCGACAGCGTTGGTAGCTGCTGGAGCGGCAGCGGCAGGGGCAGCGCCGGAAGCACCAGCACCTCCGACGATGGCGGCGGTCGCGCCTTCACCCTTTTGAGCGATGGCTAGTTGTTGGAAGGCGGCCTGAGTCTTGTTGGCAGATGGGTTAATGGAGAAGGTCATGCCCTTTCCGCAATGCTTGGCTTGCCTGCAGTAGAACCCTGGAGAGTATTAGGTCGGTTTGCTACGGAGAAGAGTGCGGGTTTACTTACACAATGGGGTAGCTACTGAGACTTGCATGGCCATCTGGGGTGGTGGCACCACGGAGTTGTTCGCATTGGGCATGAATCCAGAATCCATACCGCCTGCCAAAGGATCGCAAGGGGTGTCGAAGGCAGACTGGGTGGCAGTGTGGTTGGCTGACATGAATGTGAAGACAACCATATCTCCAACTGCTGCACTGAGAGTGTTGGGTGTGAATTGCAGACCGGCACTTCCACCAACGACAACCTTTGCAATTATCAGCACGCTTTCTTGAACAGTGTGAGCGGGCACAACTTACGGTATGTGTTGCCGCCGCCCCTCCCGCAGTTGCGGCCGCAACGGCTGAGTTGACGGTGTTTGTGGCCGCTCCTCCTCCGTTGTTGACCCAAACGATGATGACTTCTGTTACGCCTACTGCATTATTGTTGCCCCTGTTGTTGCCGTTGCCGTTGCCATTACCGTTACCGCCGCGCGAGTTTGAGTTCGAGTTTGAGACCTGGACCTCCACTGCTCGTTTGGGCATCTCTGCTTGTAGTAACCCAGCCAACGCCAATGGCGCGGCGCACAGTGCTAATCCGGCGGAGAATCTCATGATGAAGTATTAAAGTAGTCGACTAAAGGATTCGTATTGGAGGCGTTGAAAAAGGGGAAGACCGCGCTGCGGAGTAGCTAAACTATCAAGTTTGTCTGGGCTAGTACAAGAAAGATCGTGGAAGCCGGAGCTTAAGGTGTAAATAGCCACTGGCGAGGGCCTGCCCGAGTTGATGGAAAACTGATGGAATGAGAACAAGAGAATGAATGTATGGACAGCAAGACGAATGAAGCAGCGAGAAAGAAAGTACAGTCCTGGGGAAGTGAAGACATTAAATCGAGCATGAAATTGGTGTCACGGACGGAGGTGACAAGGGCCCCGGTACGAAACGACAGCAGCTCAAGCTCTGCTCGGAGGCCCCGTCGTCCGGAGAGGAGGCTGGCAGGGCCCTGGCAAACATATTTGGCAGATTTGCAATTCTGCGTTCTTGGAACGGCGACTCTGCTTGGTGATGCTTGGTGATGCAACATCGCGTTGCTGGGCAGCTGGAGCACTTGCACCAGGCTGGCGATGCTCTCCGCGCTCAGGGGCGGCGGTTGGACAGCCGAGGCGTCGCACGGTACGCGTGGCGGTCCCGGGCCGTGCCTGACAGATGGCAAGCGAGCATCGCTCGACGTAGACTGTTTGAACGTCGTCCCAGATGCGTCTCACATTCGGATCACGGATCGCGGATTCGGGTCATAGCCATATGGCCCATGTCCGGGAATTGGGAAAGCAGGAACAGGACGCATTCTTCGCCCAGATATTCGTACGGAGAACACGGAAAAGCTTCAGAGGCTACCTTGGGCAGATATATTACCCGTGAAAAGAGAACGGGCGCCACGGTCAAGCAGCGGAACGAGGTGCAACTGCGCAAGCCAGATCTCTCCGAGGCCCCATTCCACTCCCACAGCGAATACACGGTCATATTTGGAAAAGCTATCTTTAGTTTGAATTGGGTACGCAAGTATGGCCACTGCAAAGTTTACCCTCCCGCGCGCCTAGGACGAGGCTGGATGAGGTCCGAACGTCGGAGAGGGAGAACGGCCCCTTCAAGATCCGATCTTGAAACGACCCTTGGCCCTTGGGTGCTTTTGTTTCTTCATCAGGCTCGTAATTATTAATATGCCACCGTGACAAGGTGACATTGGCCAATGTCCGTCTTGCGCTCGGACGCGATGTTGGCGATAAACCACGCCGCCGACAACCCCAAACTCTCTTTGTCGCAGATGGACGTGTAAATCCTACCGAAAGACTTGGGGTTCCATCTCAATTTTCATGCTTGGCATTCTTATCTAGCATCCCCTGTTGCTTGCCTTCATGGAGCCCTGTGTAATACCCAGCATAGTACCATGACATTAAGAGATTCTTCAAGCCTTCGTCCCGAACTGCATGAAGGCACACACGCGTCAATAATTCTCCATGAACATCTCCGGGCGGATGTTTGTCTTACCTTGGCCCATTAGATGTTGTGGCAGTGCTGGTCCCTTTGCCGGCCCGCTATCCAAGCCCTGGTTAGGAGGCAGATTGTTTCGCACCTAAAAGAAGATAAAGTTCAGTCATAGATCGTTGGAGTATAGTTTCGAATGCCAAGCCATCCGATCTTTTGTGACCCATATTTAAATCGGGATCCGGATATGCCTACTTGAGAGTCTATGCCCGGAACTGTTGTGTCACGATCGTCTGTTTCTGCATGCGATTCGCTCGTGGCAAGAGGAGGCCCGGGTTGATCGTTGCCTGGTCTCTCATTGTCCATTTGAGGGCCACTGTTGCAACATTAGCTTTCTGGAGAGTCTGACCAAAAGTTGAACTGACATTATTCTCTGGCTTTGGTTCTCGTGAGCTTCCAACACGCTATCGATATCCTCGCCTCGCGCTTGAATGCTATGGTATTTCTATCATATGTTAACTCTAGAACCATCAAGGCAAGGAATGGGGGGAGATACCGACCTTGTATTCCTCTAGGGCCTCGTTCCACGAATTCACGAGAAGAGAATCATCCCAAATCTCGTCATGGGTTGGATTGTTTTGAGAAGTCATCTTATACAAAAGTAGATGTCAGTGTACTCCTAGTTGCAATTCTTGGAGACCGCTATGTTTGGTAGAGCAGGAGGAAAGACGTTTCTCAAGGTAGGCGTTTCCCACAAGCGAGGTTTCGCTCTCCTATTCAATATTTCTACGGAATATTCTCTCTAGAGTCCTTCGCAAAGTATCAACATTATTTCATTAGCTCATTGGTAACTATAATGAATGCACTTCATCAATAGGCTAGTTCTATGCGTTATAACTCTTCCTCCCCCTTCTCCCTGGCTACGAAGTAAAAGTATAATCCGTTTGCTGGAAATTCATCACGTGTGTGTCACGTGCTTTATTTAAGTGCCAAACCTAGAAAGTGGTACTGCTAAGTGGAAGAATAGAAATGCAATACATGCCTTTTGGTTTGGTAAAATTCTTTTATTCAATAATAGCATATCACACATATTGCGAGGAGGCAAGGCTGGCCATGCTAGGATGCTTTTGGGTGTTGGGATGTTGAGATGTACGGAGTAAAGGCGGTGATCCATGGCGGTGAAAAGCCTGGCAGAAATTCTCCAACTCCCGAAAAAAAGTTCGGCCGCATCTTCGCAAATCAAAGCTGCAACTGCAACCTAAACCACCCTAAACAAACACAATGGCTAAGGACACTGTATCAAAAAAGCGCAAAGGTATGTACTCGCTCGTTTCAGTTCCAATCCTAAGCAATTCCTTGTGTTCTAACGTCGCAATAGCTTCTGTGCCTGAAAGCGGGGCTGAAAAGGTCAAAAAGATTAAGAAGGTTGAAGTCACGGAAGTTCCAGTCAAAAAGCGCAAAGGTATTCCCAATCACTTTTCTCTGCATAGTCTCCCAGTCTAACATATATCGGGCATAGCCATCGATGATGCTGGTGTTTCCGAAATTAAGAAGTCCAAGAAGGCTGCGAAATCTGCGAAATCTGCAGTTGAAGAATCTGCGACCTTAGATAAGCACGACAAGGAAACGAATGGCGACTCGAAGACTCCCAAAGCCAAAAAGAAGGATACCCGAAGTTCAAAAGCAGCCAATGGCGAGCCAAAGACGAAGAAGTCAGAACCAGCTGAAACGAACAACGAGGAGGCTGAAGAGGTGGGTAGCGAGGATGATGACAACGCCTCCGTAATCGATGACCAAACTGAAGCTCTCTTAGAGGGTTTTGAGAGTGACAGAGATGAAGCGGATAACTCAAATGATCAAGGCCTAGAGCCCGGCCAAGGAGTACCGGAGCTAAAGCTTAGCAAAAAGGAGAAGAAGCAGCTCAAGAAAGCTAGCGAAGCAGCAGCATTGGACAAGCCTGGCGTCGTTTATGTTGGACGTATTCCTCACGGTTTCTACGAGCATGAGATGCGAGAGTATTTCAAACAATTTGGCACGATCCTCAAGCTCCGTCTATCTCGCAACCGTACCACGGGTGCCAGCAAGCATTATGCATTCATCCAATTCGATTCGGCTGCAGTTGCCGAGATTGTTTCGAAAGCAATGGATAACTATCTACTCTTTGGCCATATCTTGAAAGTCAAGTTTGTTCCTGAAGAGCAGGTACCCGCAAATGTGTTCAAGGGTGCCAATAAGCGATTCAAGAAGGTTCCCTGGAACAAAATCGAGGGCCGAAAACTAGCACAGGGAGCATCTGAAGAAACTTGGGCCAAGCGCATCGAGTTGGAGGAGAAGAAGAGGGCCGCGAAAGCCGAGAAGCTAAAGAGCTTGGGATACGAGTTCAATTCCCCGCAAATCAAGTCGGCAAAGGGAGTCGCGAAGGAGCATGTTGTAATTCCTGCGGTGGAGGCGAATGGTGAATCCGAGCCCCTGGCCATTGAAGAATCCCCCAGTGATATTAAAGCTATCGAAGTAGCCCCATCAACTGAGGATGCGAAGTCGAAAAAATCCAAGAAAACCAAGGCTGTCGATACTCCAAAGGAAGCAGTTGCGGATACTACTACTGCACCTGCGGAAGAGTTAGAACAGCCAAAGAGGAAAGAAAAGAAGTCGAAGATTGCCAAAGGAGAAGAACCGGCTGCGGATGGACTTTCCGGGGATGTAGTTGAGGAAAAAGTTGAGAGACCCAAAAGGAGCAAGAGCAAGAAGGGGAAGACAACGTGAGGTCCATGACGAATGATGAGCGAGTAGAATTTGTTAACGACGGAATGGATTAGTAGCAACGGATGATCGCATTGGCCGTCGCAGGGTTCTTCTCAAGTGCATTAGGCGTTACTGTTCATAGGAATCAAGTGTCTAATTTCATCAATTGTGCAAGTCCAATAATCGCAGTCTCTTGTTTACCCTATCTCAAGCCTAACCTTAAATTTCCTTTGATGGCAACACTACCAACCCCCTCCTCTCTTTAGTCTTCCATTGCATAATCCTCAACAACCCATAAGCCATCTTCAATCCTGGTGCAGGGACGCCGAGCCTTTCCGCTTCTCTCATCGGCTCCCCAACAATATTCTCGAGTTCAATGTAATTTCCCTACATCAAGCAAAGTCAATATCAAAAGCGAAACATCAGAGATTCCAACTATCATTCCCCTTTCTATGGATGTGATGCAAACAACATACGAGGAATTTATACTACATACCTTTTCAATATCCTGCAACATACTTGGCTTAAAATACGTCTCCAGCGGATCAATATCTATCATCTTCTGAATGACCTCCTCGGGTATCTCATGTCCCGCCTTCCTCGCAATAGTCCATATCTCTCTCATAAGTGGCCTAATAACTTCCTCAATAGGGTGTTCAGCTATTCGCAATCTACTCGTATCCATACCCGTAATGGCACAGATAGAGTTATAACTCGAGTTGTAGATCAATTTCCGCCACCGGACAGCCCCTACATCTGCGTCGTAGGTGCATTTCACTTTTCCTGATGCGCTGTACATTTCTACGAAACGCTCCGCCGAGCTGATACTTGTTCCCTGGGGGATAGAAGGGTTGGTGAATGCTCCGACGATCAGGTCGTCAGGGGCGTCGTGGAGGATACTACCAGGTTTGGTTTCAGTTGCGCTGATTAGGGAGACGCCTGAGAGGATGGGGTTATTGGGGAAGGCTTGGATTAGGGGTTTCTCGATGTTGAGTCCATTTTGAAGGAGTAGGATGGCGGTATGGCCTGGTGTTACCGCCGACGCAACGAGATCCGCAACAGTCGGGGGGATATCAGGGGTGTTCTTCGTGGCTACCAGGATGTAGTCGAATGGCGAAAGTCCTTCTTCTTCGACTTTCGGTATAGTTTTAAGAACTGAAGATATGTAATTAGCAAAAATTTCCTTCATTTAAGAATAGTAGATTGTCGGTTAACTTGCTATTGGTAGGCCTCCATCCTTCGATGTTGCCATGATCCAAGGATGTGATCGTGAAGCCCTCCTGCTTTACTACATCGTAGCTTGAGCGCAATATTGCCGTGACACTTGATAATCCACCTGCCTCCAAATTATAGGCTGCCATAGTGCCAACTGCCCCGCTCCCTATAAGAAGAACAGTAGATTTCGACATCTTATGTTAGGTCTGTCACGTGATCTGGACGTGAATATCTCCACAGGGGAGGGAATGACAAAGATATACGAGCTATTCCGTAGTAGAGCGAATATGTTTGATCCCGGTGTTTATGTTCACTGTGTTCAGAGTTATACACTCCTCAATTTTCTTGGTTTCTCAAAGGTGGGATGGCCCTTCAAGGTAGGGCAAACCGGTACCTGGTACGGAGTATTCAGTAAGCGAATGCACAAGATAGGGGTAAGTTTAGCCCAATGTAAATCGAACCTCCCGAGTAGCAATATCCATCAACTCAACTTCATGCCTTATGTCGAAATTCCAAAGAACATATATATTGTAATTGCAATTCGACCCTATTGCCATATTTGCTAACATTAATGTGTGTACTTCTCTGCTAGTGCAAATTAAACTGCCATGTGCTACACTTCAGCATACCTCTCAAAGTAGGTGCTAAGCCCTTGCAACATTTATGCTTCACTATGGTAAGCCTTCTTGAGGGACATATTAAGTGATTCTGGAGGATAACTCAAAATTCACAAGTTAGTTGGAGTGCCATGTTTTTTCCCCATAGGACTGCAATGATGTCACTTTATGACTGCCTATAAAGCTCGTTGATATTGCAAGAAGCCTGCAAATTCCCGGGCCAAGCCAGGATGCTCATGTACAATCTTTCCCCGCCCTAGCACCCAGCATAGAACTAAAACATGTCAACATCCCAACCCTTGACATCTTTCACTGCAGCCTCCTCTATCATATTATTCTCCGTAGCAACTTTCACCCCAGCCGTCTCTATCATGTCAACTCCCGCCGCACCCTTGTTTACGCCTGTCTCTAGCATCTTGCTAGCAGCCTCTCCAATCAAGTTGCCATCGACATCCATATGTCTCCAGGCACCTTTGAATCCACGTCCAAGGCCGCAGGTATGTTCCTTCACATATATTGTTACTTGAATTCACAGAAATAAAAGTTAAAATGTGTCTAATGAGACCATCTTACCTTCAACATAAAAACCCCCTTGAGACAACCGTCGGCAAGCGGGCCACATGGCTCCACAAACATCCTAGACCTCGACTTGGGCCAATGATCGAACACCCAGATGTTCTCGTGCTTGTCCTTGCAGATATTATTCGGAATTGCTTCGTTGATGCAACCACCCTCTTGGGCCTCGACGTGGCGGGTTTCAGACTTGTGGCATGGCTCGTTATCGATCTGCTTGTAGGTGTGGTCAATGTGTGCACAGCAGATTAGGTGGCGCGTCATGGTGCAAGTGCAACCGTAGAAATGGATCTTGGTTTTAATACACATGTTGATTGATGAGTGGTGAGCTTTGGTTTGGTTTAGTTATTGTCTTTCGTGGACCGACGTAAATTTAGAAGGTTGTATTTCAAAGGTGGAGTCTGACCAGGAGATGGCTCAGATGGGCTAGGTCAACGGGTGTTGAGAAGCCAAGTGGTGGGATTGAATGCGAAGACGCGACTTGCTGTTTGCGATTGCTTGCTATGGACATTATAACCGACACTTGGGAAAAAACCCAAAGCTGACATCCTACAAACGTTAATAGGACATTCACTCTTCAGATCACTGTATTTCAAGCACTTCTCTATCCTTCAATACCGTAATACTATTACATCGCTAGGTAATTCTATAGACTAATTAAAAGTCTTAAGACATTTCACGCTTCTAGGTACTGCTTGCGCTAGCAAAGTACAACCGGTAATAATAAGGCTTGTTGGTTGGTTTTGAATTTTCTTAGTAGCAGACATATGAAGGGCGTCTCACGAATACTCAAGGCATATATCTACTATTGAGCAACTTTTCGTCTTAGTTAGACAACGCTAGGGTATACAGAAGATGCGCTCTTTATTTAAACTTGTAAAGCCTAAGAAACAGATTCCTTTTAACGAAACCTAAATCTCTCTATGTCTTACAGTGTTTATACTATTATAATTAGCTCCAGATCACAAAATATCAAGAAAGCGAATATCTAAAACTTGAGATGCAATCGGCGGAGGTTGTAAAAGATTATTAAGCGGTACCCTTGAGTTTGTTTTAATCGATATGGAAATAGAGAACTCATGTGTTTGTTTCATAAGCTAACAAATGAACATTTTCAGGTGTTTATTTGACATTGACACTATCCCATGTGCTAATAACCATGACCCCGAATTGTATCTCCCTTATCTCTCCTACAGCTTGTTCCGGTCATTTCCGTGCCCCTTTCTTTTCCCCTGTCGCTTCCTGACTCTGGGGGGCGGTCTCTCAAATTTTTCGTCATTCAACTCCAAAACAATTTGATTTACATCTCTATACCGGGTAGGTTAACATAAGTGTCTCTTCCCGCACGTTGAGGAACTTACCTGCTGTCCCCTCGTTTCATCATAGTGAAAGCTTGATTTCGTAGCTGCTGCCTACAAGACTAGCGTTAGCAAAGCACAAAGGCAACTATCGAAAAACAAACCATCTCCTCCGCTCTCCTTTAGTCTTCTTAATGCTCAATCCTCTGAGACAGTCACTTCGAGTGGCGTCCATAGCCTGACGCCACTCTGCTGCAGTTCTGCCACAGTCATACATTAGTAGCTGTATTCAAAAGTGCTGGTTGCAAGCAGCATACCTATTAGCAGGTAGGCTCCAAAGAGTGTCCTTCGTCTTGGGCATGTCCTTATCATCTTCCACCTTGACGTCTATGATCTCATCTTCCGCAGTGCCAACCATCTCCACTCTCGCAAGGAGACTGGATATATCCTCATCGTCTTCCATCTTAATATTAAGCATCTCCTGCTTTGGAACGCCACGTATCTCCTCTGTGGCAAGGCCACCCGTATTCTCTATCGCACCGTCGGCTATCCCACCTCGCTCAATTCCGCCCTTTCTTTCTGCTGTTGCTTCAGTTCCCTGGTCAACCCCCGTATCCATCCCAGCTACCATCGCCTCCTTTACCGCTACCCATCTCAGTCTCTCCCTCTCCATGTTTCCGCTCTCCACAGCAATCATTTCACTTTCCCGTTCAATTAGCCTCCGAACCTCCGTTTTCCACCTCGGACCATAGCCCAAATCGCCTCTCCACAGCAAATAGCGAATTCCCTCCCCATGATCAGTGTCCCTCTCCTCAAAGCTGAAACTCTTGCCCCTATTTCTCTGCTTGTAGACACATTCCCTATCCTCAGAGACAGTAGCCCTTCCTATCTTACAGTCACATCCTCCACCATCATAGTGAGTATGCTGTTGTTTGTAATTTGGACATGAGATGCTGGTTGTCTCGGCGCGTGGGTCGTTGATGTGTTGGAGGCAAATGATGGTATGTGAGAATGATGCTACGCATCTGGAGTACGTGGTTATAGTTTCTAGACACATCCTTGCTTTGTGGTTATTCGTATAGGTGTGAGTGTGATGGACTTGTTGAGCTCTCGAGGTCGAGGGTGCCCTGGAATAGGATTTTGAAATTGATGTGCTTAAAGCCAACCGAGGATCGGTGAGAGAGGAGGTAGGAAAGAGCGAAACCAAGAGACCAGAGAAGGGGAGATGTTCACTTCGAGTTATCTTAAGCGAGTAGCCTATAGCCCTGCCTCCTCGACTACCAGCCCTGATTCAGAGACTGCGGAGCTAATTCGGCAGGCTTCTAGCAAATATGAATACAAAGCTTGGATTCTTCCCCTTAAGAGCCAAGTCAAACAATCAACAGATCTTGCTCGCTCATAATGCCCCCCGATCCAAATGCAACACAGCCATGACAACGCTGGAGCTGAGAGTGATATGTGAATGGCGCACAATCCTAAGCATTATACAAATCCTCTTCCTCTTCGTCGTCATGCTTGTCAATGCCACCAGCTCCATCATCATTATCCATAATATCGTAGCCACAATCGTCCCAGTCCATCATCTTCTTATTCTCACTCTGTCCATCACCTTCCTTTTGCACGTTGGAAGGTGATTGTTCAAGTGGAGATGGTAGGCGTGATATGTCTAGCTGAGCCTCATATGCGTCAAGGTCAAACAGTTCATTTTCTTTCTTTTCCAACTGAATTTCATCGTGCATGTCCTGGCCACTGCACGTGATAGTTAGCAACCCTCCTATTCGGCGTGCAGGTAGTATGCATTGGGGAAGTACTTACACGGTGTTCTCATATCTAGCTCTCTTTGAACGTCCTTGTGTTTCTTCAAATTCGGGACCATCGCCGTCATATTTCTTAATTGCGGTAGTCTTCTCGTTACTGTAACCCTGGCGCTTGACTTGACCACTAGAACCGCTTGTCTCCTATACCGCCAAAGCAAATCAGTACATCATAGTGTGAATTAGATTTGCCATAGACACTGCCTTATCGCCTGGAAATACAGGGCAGAAATAACACCGCCTTTGCCATATTAATTCTTCCAGGTCGTAACCTCCACTCAGGATTCATCCTAACCTAAGCGCCACTGAAACACAATCTCAAAGCACTTGGAAGGACGCGATGATACAGGAGTCACAACACGAAGACACCTCTCAACATCACTATCGGAGACAACAGAAGCTACCCAGCAGTGGCTGGTCTTCACTAAAGAAACGCTTGACACCGAATGCACTCACATTCAGATCACACCCGATCTCTGGTGGCCATAGCCATCCGTCTAAACGATTGTGTCCACTGGCAGCAGTCGCTCGTCCGAACGATTTTCTGTTCGTTGAAAGACAAAATACCTATGCAAAGGGCAGGAAATACGAACAATCCAGTCAACATACCTGGTTCTGCTTTCCCTCCGCACCAGCCTGCTCGAGTATGGCTCTCCTGTCCCTGTCGACAAGGGTGTCACCTCCATCGGTTTCAAAGGTCCAAAGTTTGGTTTCCTCGCGAGGGCAACGGCGGAGGTTTTTACAACCGGGCCTGCCTTCAGCAACCCTGATTCGGAAGTGAGGGCAGCGCTTGTTGTCAATTTGCTTGCCGGTGTGGTTAATGCTGGGTTAGAAATCTAGGTTAGTGATTGGCTCGTAGCGAAGTGATTCATGGATATTTTATTAACTTACTGTGCGATGCAGACTTTAGTTGTGATGGTAGAGCAGCCGCACCACAAGACTTCATGGAGTTCTTGGCACATGATGGCGGTCGTGAGCGTCAACGTCGGTGGGGATGAGTGTTTGAGCGGTAGAAGGGTCTAAATCAACACCGCATCTTAGCTAATGACGCCTCTTGTGTACTTCTGAGGAAACACTCGATCTTGAGATCAACTCGGAAGTCACAAATGGTGACCACTGGTGGGGCGTTAGAGGAGGCAAGGGACAGACTTGCTTACCTTGATATTTGAGCCCAAGAGGTTCGGTTGAGCTACTTTGAAGGGGGCGAAGGGAGGTCACTGTCGAGGAAGAGGGCTTGATAGAGAAGCAGAGTTGTTGTGGTCCCGATTCCGACCTAGCGTTGACCCCACGAGTTAAAGTCAAGAGAGCAGTTGGTGACCTTCTCGCGGCAGAATGCAAGAGACTCAATTGGCCTATTCGATCAGAGCGTGAATTGAGGCAGGCAATCCGGATGAAAAGAGTGGTTACAAGCTCGAGGCATCCAATTTTGAACGGAAACCTTGTCCTTGAAGGAGGTGGACGAGAGATGGCAACGTTGGGGGATGAGGGATGGTAACGTCAGGGGGGTTTTGGAAAGGAGCAAGCGAGGCAGGTCAACAAAGGCAACCCGCATCTTCTAGTTTACCAAATAGCGTTGCCCCCTCGCTTAGGAATACAGGAGACAGGAGTCTTGGATTCACTGCCTACTGTGGCAAGATAGAGAGGGTGGGCGATGTTTCGAAGTAATTTGATTTATTCGAAAAGCCACTTTTCCTATTCAAGGACGGCCGAGAGGATCCAGCATTGAGCAGGGTACGACGAGGACACGATTGTGCAAAACGAAGGGAGGTATCATGTCTATCTGGGGCTATTACTACAACAGCATATGTATCTATAGAGGGCACTTCGCAACTCTTATAGCCACTTCTAAAGAAATACTGTTTCTTAGAGTTGTCGAGGATGAAGGAATGGTCGGATAGAGGACAACGATGGGGTAAGTATATGGGAAGTATATTTAGGCTCGCCGAAGATACTACAATGAAATAGAGGTTAAACTAAGCTACTTAGAATAGTTTATTAAGACTAAAATTACATGTGAAGGCGAATTGCTAGGGGCATTGGTAGCACAGAGATGCGTTGAAAACTAGATGGGGATCTAATGTATCAGGGGCAAACGTGGCACTTTTAAAGGAATTTAAAGGGAAGGGAAAGGGAGACCAATCTCATACTTGACTTGGTCGAGGGCACATGTCTCACTAGAACCTGTCAAAAGCATCTCTTAATGGACTACGCCTATTGCTATTACACCGTACAAATGCGCGTCCAGGCTCGCTGTCCGCCCCTAACAACGCACCTAAGGAAGAGACGTAGCCGTAACATTAGAGCACAGCCTTACGATTTCGTATCCACTCTCAGCGCACAGGGAGAAAAGAGATACGTGGACACACACACGCACACACACAAAGATCTTGTAGAAAACGCAGGAGACTAGAGAAGAAATAGCATTGCAGAGAGTATAATGAACCCCCCCATGCCAAGATGTATCCGAAAACAACAGAGGATGAAGCAGTAGTGTCGCGTTGTGATAACTTGACGAGGTCTTTGAGGGTGTGAAGGTATCCGTATCAGAGGTGGTAGATCAACGCCGGGTGAAGAGCCATACACAATGTCTGCTAGCACGAATCTCGTCCTGGAAGCATCCTTACCACCGTACGGTTGAGCGGTAGCAAGATAACCCGATTCGTATTAGAGGGAAAGAGAGGTCGATAACGGTAGCTTTACAAAATAAGGCACTTCTTCTTGTGTATCTTCTTGGTCAAAAGAGCGGCGCGCGTGGCGTGTTCGAAAACCTCACGAACACCCTCATTTGTCTTTGCTGAACATTCAAGGTACTTGTAGGCGCCAATCTTCTTGCGAATCTCCTCGCCCTAGATGTCATTGTTAGCGATGTGTTTAAGGCGTGATGAAGATGTGCGGGGGGGTTGGCTAAGTCAAGGAAGCTTACCTGCTCGGGGGTAACTGGCTTCTGGCTGGTCTTGTGAAGCTCTTCAATAGTTTTCTGATCGTAGCGGAGATCCTTCTTGCAACCAACGAGGATGATAGGGAGGCCACTGCAGAAGTGCAAGACTTCAGAGATCCACTATAGTTGAGCACGTGTTAGCAATTTGGTGATATCAGAGCTGAATTTAGCAGCTTATAGGAGTAGCCGTACCTTCTCCTGAACGTTGTCGAGCGAGTCGGGGGAGTCGACAGCAAAACAGATGAGGATGACATGCGAATCGGGATATGACAGAGGTCGAAGGCGATCATAATCTTCCTGTCCAGCCGTATCCCATAGAGCTAACTCGACGTGCTTTCCATCAACCTCGACATCGGCAACGTAGTTCTCGAAGACAGTTGGGACGTAGACCTATATTCCCACATATCAGTATCAGCATTGAAACTCGGTATGTTTGTGCATCCGCTGGGCGGTTGGGACGCAGCGGTCTTCGAAAGGCTGACGCGGTGTGGCCGAGACGAGCCTAGTCTGGAATTTGGGGTAGAGGCCATAGGATCGGTCGAGTCTTACCTCTGGGAAGGTACCCTTCGAGAAAACACTGCAGCCATATTAATATCGAGAGCGTTCATGGGGTGCCGCGGCGGAGCCGCAGGGGGTTGGGGATGGAGGCATACATCAACAAGCAGGTCTTGCCGCAGGCACCATCACCGACAATCACAAGCTTTCGACGGATTTCCGCCATCTCGAGGGTCGGGGATGAGAAGGGGGGGGGAGCGAGTAGAGCAGGAACGACGCTGCAATGTGATGCTGTAGAGATGAGGTGTTGGTGGAGGATGGGGATGGGGGATGGGCAGTTGGTTGTTTGGAGGTAGGTTGAGAGGTTGAGATTGGGATGCAAGACGAGGCAAGACTCAAGAGAGAGCCAGAACTAAGCAGTCGGAGTCGCAGTACGGAGGACGGGGCCAGGAGCAGGTGCAGGTTGTGGCCTTAGCGCCTGAGAATCCTGGGCGGTGGACTCTTGGGACCGTGATGGCCTGAAATATCAGGCGTGAGGTTGTTGAATAGGCGGACTGCGAAGTGCTGAAGGAAGTGCTGAAGTACCCAAGTATCTTCTCCTACCTCCGTAATGTACCAAGGGGGTTCTGGGGACTTGGCCCGAGGACGAGAGCGCGGAGGAGTCCGTAATAACACGATAATGAAAATACACCGAGCTGATGCGTGCAGGGTTGAGTGGTAATGCGGAGTAGTACTCTGCTATATGGGTAAAGAGCGAAAGCAAAGGAGGAGCGTCGAGGTTGCTGGTTTGCTTTTATTATACCTCCGCTTCTGCTTTGTTCTCCGCCGCAAGGCTATCTATGAGTACCTCAAAGGCCAAGGCACCAGGTAACTATTTCTCCTTGTACTTCTAGGCTCCCTATCTGCTGAATCATATCTGATATTGATAGCGCCATCCTGTTGATGGTCACAGTCATCGCAGCCTACTCCGTACAGTACCCACGCTGGCTACACCACGATTGCCCTACGGTCCAGCCTCCGCATTAATCACTACTGTTGATCTGCTGGCTGATGCATACATCTGCATGCTTGCCTCCAGCGCCGTCGTCCTACATGTCGGATGGTACGCGGAGACCCTCTATGGTCCTGCACGGTGCCATGAACAGCTGAGAAGCAGTGCTATCCACCAAACGCAACCAATAAGCCAATCAAACGAGCGCTTTTCAATATTCCTTTTGGGCCTTTAGAAATTTAGAGCCCCTTTACGAAGTATGCTTGCGGGACATCACGCGGCTAGTGGCTACGAACGAGACACAAACACGGAGTCTCAGACTCTCAGGACCCAGGACTCGGGATCCAGGACTTTGAAGGACTCTGAAGCTACAACTGTGTGCTTCGGTGGACGCCGGACTCTCCCAAGTAAAGTTCCAAGGTTTCGTACTTCGCAATTCGTACTCGTAGTGGGATTTCAGGGATGCCTCAACGGTAATACTCTAGTACGGAGATACCATCTCAGTGGTTATTGGTCATCTCTGGTAAATCCAAACCTGTTCAATCCCCAATCCCACCACGTCGAGCAATGTAACATGGAACCGCTAAGCCCCTGATCTACCATGATTAACTCCGGAATTGTTCCCCCATAAGTTGCCAGGGATCGGCCCATGTTGCACGTGATCAGCCCCCCGAAAGTCCGCTAGCGTGCCAAGGCCTGGAAATTCGAGCTCTCGCGTCCGAATCCAAAAACGCCGGGGAGTGCACCTCATACCACAACCACGACTACCAGCCTCCAATTTCCTCTCGATCTCTCTGCGACATGCAGAAGGTATTCAGACGGACGGTGCTGGCGGAACGCCAAGCAGCTCGGCGGGGAGCTCGGCGGCGAGAGAAGAACAATCGAGATTTCCGGAAGGCCCAGCGCGACCAAACGTTTTTTCAAAACCGGGAGAGAGGTGCAATTCTCAAACAAGCAGCAATAAATAGGAAAGAGGATTGGGAGTTGGGGGCTCTGGCACCGAAGAGAGATGTGGGAGAGTGGAAGGAGAAGTATGGGACGGTCAACCCGCACACGTTGAGGGGGCCGATGCTGTTTGGGGAGGAAAGGTATAAGAAGTTGGAGATCTTCGGCGGCAAGTACCTCAATATTACGGCGGGGGACAGAGTGGTGTTACTAGAAGGGAGAGACAAGGGAAAGATTGGAACGATCAAGGAAATAGATGCTCGAAGGGCTGAGTGTACGATTGAAGGATTGAACTTGGTAAGTACCCCATTTCACTACATAACATCCTGCTTGAATTGAATGCTCATACCCAATATTTAGGTCGATGTATCCGTCCCCAAATGGATGATCAACCCAGACGACCCGGACCAACGCCCTATCCGCCAAATGGAAAAGCCCATCTCCCTCCCGTCCGTCCGGCTCGTCCACCCTCTCACCGATGAAGCAACCGGCGTCACCAAAGATGTAATCATCAAAAAGCTGGTCAACAGCAAGCTCTGGCACTCCAAAGAAGGAGGGGTTAGCTGGAGCCGCATCGTCCCAGGTCTCAATATCAAGATACCCTGGCCTAAACGCGATCCCAAAGTCTACGAAGACAAGGCAAGCGACACCCTTCGAATAGACGTGGAAGCCAAAACATTCGTGCCCACACTCCTCACGCCACCCATGCCACGGAGCGTTATCGACGAGCTAAGGAACAAATACTCGATATTCAGAACTAGACACGAGCCTGCGTATATTGCCGAGAAGGAGGCCGAGGAGAATGCAAAGGAGGAGAAGAAGAAAATGGCTAAGCTTATGAGAACTCCCCTCTCGGAGATTAATCGCAAAGAGAGGAAGTTGCGGAAGGCGAAGGGTAAGGGGAAGCTTACGCCTGATATGTTGGAGAGGATTGGAAAGATCATAGCGGAGAAGAGGCAGTTGGCTATGGATGCTGCGGGAGTGTCGAAAGAGGGAGCTGCAGCAGAGCCGGTGAAGGCGGCTGTCTGATTTGCGCATGTGTATGATATGTGAAACTGGGCCATTGTATTGAATATATAAGGCATTGTTGGCGTTGGAAGACGTGCCTCCTGTATAGGTATCAAGGGATTCGCAGGAAGGACGTAGACATCAATCTATCTCCTTTTGTCTAAAAATACTACTGTGTAGATAACGCCAATGCGTATGTTTGCTCAAGTACCAAGTAGGGACAATCTCTCAAACGCATCAAGATGCGGCGCCTCCTTGCGCCTTGCAGCTTCAACGATACTTTCCGCTAAGACGGCGTCCCCACCAATTGGCCTATATTCCTCCTCGCCCTCTTCCCCAACCTTCTTATCCACTTCACCTGTCCCAAACACCTCTGGGATACAAGCCTTACAGATCCCCACAACGTCTGCCATGGCGCCTTCCACAGCCCTAGCCCTCTCCCACATGCCCCTCCTCACCAATCCCTCAACAAGCCGCCCCACCTCCCCCCTCACACTCTGCACTCTCTGAATCAGTCTGCCAACACTAGCAACCAAATACTCCTCCTCATAAACACTCCCTTTCTTCCCTCTAGCTCTCTTCCTCTCCTCCCTCTTCCGATTCTTGCTGGTAGCTCTACTAACCCCTGTTCCTGCAGTCCCAATACTCTGCTTACCCGTATACCGCGTAAACAAACTCCGATTCGTGCTCAATCTTGAACTAGCAGCAACGCTGACATCATCCGGTATCTCTCCATCACCCCCGCCTCTCTCACCCTCATAGAACGCCAACGGGTCTGCGAGTGCTTTTGCGCGGAGTTCGCGGATCCGAGGTACTTGTGCCCCCAGTTGGGCTTTGCATTCCGCGAGCAGCTCTGTAGAACTTGCCAAGGCGTCGGCGAGCCCGGGGTCAATGGTGCTCTCTAGGAGTTCTGGCTGGTGTTTTAAGGCTATGAGGTGCATGGCGTCCGCGAAAAAGTAGCCTTTGCAGAAGGAGCGGCAGGCATTTTCTACCGAGGAGAGATATTCAAGTTGGATTGTGCCGGCAGCGTGATGATCTCTGCTTTCGGTGAGAGCTTCGTAGAGGGTGTTTGCTAGGTCGGTGAGGGCTTCTGGGGTGAGTGGAGGGGATTGGGAGAGGGCACAGAAGAGGGTTTGCCGCCATTGGGCGGGCCCGCTGGAGAGATAGCATGATGTTGCGGATTTATAGTTTTGGAGAGATTCGTAGGCTAGGGCTGCTTCTTTAAAGTTCGATTTAGATTCTAGATGTTGGGCGTAGATATCTGTGAGTAAGGCGTGGCGGTCGGGATTGTAGCGGTATAGTGAGAGGGCAGTTTGGTAAAGTGAGTGTTTTTGTGTATAGCTCAGTAGCTCGTCAAAGGCATCCAACGTATGTAAGTGTGTGAGAGCTTTTGCATGTCTGCTAAGGTGGTCATCGATACTGAAGCGCCGTCTGAGCTCAGTCATCTGTTGAAGGTTTTGCATAAATGGCAGATATTCTCGAGGATCCTTCTGTGACTGCTGTGCTACTAGGAGAGCCAGATCAAGATCGTATAGCCCGAGAGCATTTTCGTATAGTTTGTTAACATCTGCTAGGAAGCATATGTGTTCCACAGCTTTGTCGGCCATGGCTTCGTCTTCTTTCATAAGCCGAGCCACTACCAACAAGCCATCTTCCAATGCAGGAGGGGACTTGCACACGTTGGCTGTGATGATGTTCTGGAGATTTGTGGCAGTCCGGGTCTTCAAGACCTCAAGGAAGGCATCGCAAACTCTATTGACTTTGGATGTCTGCATAACACCTGGATCTTGGGGGATGCTGCTGTTGGGGTCCACGCGCGCAGGAATGCCACCATCAAGTGCTGTTTTAGTCTGTGTATTTTTGTACATTGTCTGGGTAACATCTTCTTCTCTATCACGAAATATTAGCTAGAAGTACTATATAACGTGGAACTCAAACGCACCTTAAAGAGGATAGGAACAAATCAATGTACGTAATCTTTTTAACCTGATCAATGAATAATGCGATGTTGGCCAAAAATTGATCTGGCGCATGGTCGTATAATAGGTTCATATCCACCCTTTGGGTTCGGCAGTGTGTATATGCTCTCCTATAGTTCTTTTCATCGATAAGTTTTCGAACACCAGCAAGAACCATAGCCCGAGGGTAGATTGTCTCAAGATTGCCTCTCGGCATCTGCAAGACGAGGTTCAAGGCTGTAGGAATTGCGGTGACAAGACGAGCTCCACGCTCAATACTACGACATCGTTCATCCTTTTCTGGGTCATCGGGTGGAACTTCCAGATCTATGCCAAATTAGCCCTTCAGTCATCAAACTTGGATATCAAAATATATTACCCTCGACATTTGTAATATGTATAAATTTGATTAGGTGGGTTGTGGTTGTAAATATGAGATGTGCAGTCGTGATGAGGAAGGATGTGCAGTTTTTGACTAGTAAACGGGAATTTGCGTATAGATGACCATTGTTGGACATCCCGAAGGCAATAAAATCGTCGGCATATGGCACTATCTCGACCCATGGCATGTACGCAGGGAGCTTGCAGTGCGATAGACTAGAGTCTCCGAATGCAAGGCTGTGTAAGTCGCCAGAGCTCCCCTGCACAAAGGCATGGTTTAAACCGTCTTGATAAAAGCTTGACAAGGTCCGAATAGTTGACGCAGTACTGGTACCAGTGGGGATTTCTTCCATTCTACCAGTTTCATCACTAAACCCGTATCGCTTGATAGTCGAGTCAGAGCAAGTTGGCTGTGAGACTAGGACATCAGATTTAGCAACGAAGGTTATTTGTTGATAAACACTGTGAGATGATTCAGTCTTGTCGAACGTAACCTTGCCAATAAGAGATGGGGGTGGAGATGAAGCTTCGGCTTCTTTCCACTCGAATATTGAGATGCCCTGCAGATGCAAGACAGCAATCAATGAGGCATCGCCATTGAAGGCGATATCAATGACGTTGGAATCCAGATCCAGGTCATGTAGCGCCATAGGAGGAGGTACATTAGCAGTTCGAAGCGGTGTCAACTTGACAAGTTTGCCATCCGCAACCCCTACAATTCCAAAGTCCCGAGGAAGTGTGGTTGAGCCGCGAGCAATGGTGAAAATATACTCAATCATATGGATCACACCTAGAAGAGATATGAGATAGGTTTAATGTCAAGAGTGGGTATGATCTTACCTGAAGTTACAGTCATCAGACGTAACGACCGCTCGGGATGCCAGATTAAGGGGCCAGTAGGTAATAGCGCAGAGTGTTCGGTCTTGATCTCTTGCTTAAGATACCAATGGTAATTACCCATAGTCCATAGCTGGATAGAATCGGCCAGTATGACAGCCAGAACTGTGGAGTCTTGATTCCATGACAATTTGATTTGCTGCCCAGGCGCATGCAGTTCATCAGGGGTAAGTCGAAGACTAAACTGACCATGCCGTAGTCCGTTGCGTTCAAAGAAGACGACATCAACTCGGCCCTCTAATCGTTGAATTCCAGCAAGGAGATTCCCAGCAGGTCGCCAGCTCAAAGCGCCTTCCAAGCCATCGACTGGTTCACTAACACTATCGAGAACACCTTCTCGGGAGTATACTCGGATCAGCCGTCTTCTCCCACCCTCAATTGTAGAAATAGCAAGGTAGGCACCATCTCCCCTCCAGCTAATTCCAACTCTACTATCGTCATTCGAGCTCAAAACACCTTCGTCCACTTTCTCCGGCACAGTCGGATCTCTCAACGCCTTTGCTCCTTTCCCCTGAAACTGGGTTTCCTTCTTGCCCCAGCCGACTGAAACATGATTCGACGCTTTGAGATCCTCCACAGTCATAGTGACATCGGTTATGCCTTCAAAACTGCGGCTCATAAAGATCACGGTATCTGCTTTCGTGGTAATGGCGAGAAGCTCCTCGTCAGGTGACCATCTTGCTGCAGTGATGCCGGCGTCGACTGATCCTACAATCTCGATACGATCTTCACCTGGCATTGGCTCTTCCCTCACGACAACAATGTCGCCACCAGCAAGGACGAGACATGCTGTCAAGCTATCCCCAAAGTAATGCAGGCCGAGGACCTCATCACACAGAAGCTCGGGGTTGGGGCATGGAGCATCCCACGACGTAATGAGCGAAGACTCCCTTGGAATATATTAGATAAGGCTCAAATAAAACTCCGAGATGAGGGGATATTTACTGTGACTTTCCCTTCGTTGTGACCCTCACAAGCTCTATAAGTGCATCGCTTTCGCTTGGCCCAAAAGTGCACAATATGGAGTCATGGGCCAGGTCCCAAGTAGCAGCAGATAAAGGCCGTCCCCGAAACTGCTCGGGAGCACTCCAGGGCTCGTAGCGGATATTTCTGAGATTACGCATATTTGCAGATTAAAATCTCTTTCAAATTACCGACATCATTATCTTTTTATATTGGCGTTGTGCAGTTCGATTTGACCAGTTGCAGCCCTTTCACAAGATATTAAATTTTATTTTCAGAGGGGTGTCAATCTAGATGAACACGTGATCACACTTCCCCAGATTCCAGCCAGTTTTGACATTCACGTGTGATTTGATTCTCGCTGCCCACCACAATCCTCGGGCCCCTGCCACAACCACGCCCCTCGGCATCCTCTCCTCTCGCTCCCTTTGATATCTATATGATCCATAGGTACTGGAACACATATAATATAATACAATAAATCAGCGTCAATCGAATTAGATCTAAACCAAATATCATGGATTTAGCATACAACCACCCTCGTCCCTATGCCCGCCATCACAATCGCTCCCTCACCTCCCCGAATCACCTCACACTCGCCCCGTTAACCTCACGATTACCCCTCTCAGACCCAGACGCGCTGCCTGACTTCAATTCCTCTTCTTACATTGAAGGCCGATCCGCGCCTACAACGCCCTCGATCCTCTCCCGCTCCTCGTCCCGCGTATCATTATGCAAACCCGCACATCTTTCCCTCTCAAAAAGCAAATCCAGCACGCATCTCCTTGCTGCTGCCAAACACAAACAAGCTCGGTCCGTTCCCTCGACACCTAGGAAATCGAAGCTGGGTAGATCTGCCATAACAACAGGCCATGATGCACAAGGGCTTTCGGAAGGCGACAGGAATGATTCGGATTGGCTCCTCCGAGCCGGTGCGGCTATCTCCTCCTCGACCAGAGAATCAAAAGGGCAGGCATGGTTAGTGTCGCGGGCGAGTTCAACGAGCCTGACTGCACAACGGGATGAAGAGGAAGAGCAATTCGAACACGAGCTCGCAAGGGAGAGGATGGCTAGAGATAGTAGAAGGGGTAGCGTAGATGCTGATGACGAGTTCTCTCCAATTACCAGGAGGAGTTTGAGTTTTAGCTCGAGGAGTCGGCCTGGAAGTCGATTTGCTAGTAGGGCGAATAGTAGGAGGGGGAGTAGGGCGGTTTTGACGCCGCTGGCGGATGAGAGGGATGGGTATTTCGACGTTAGTAATTTGGACAAGGAGGGGTTAGTTGTAGAGCCGGATTTTGTGGATGTGGATGAAGAAGAATTCGAGGATGAAGGCGGGGACGAGGCGAGGATGGATGAGGCTGTTGTGAGGAATCTTGCGAGAGCGAGTAGTGCGGGACTTACAGGGTGGGTTGAGAGAATGCTTGGGTGGAGTTTGTTCGCTGTAGATGAAGATGATGAAGATCCCGACGTCGATGTTGTGGGTGAGAAAACCGAGGAGACGGAGTTGTCCTCTAGGCTATCGAGGAGGCATCTTAGAGGCGGTATGGAAGAAGTGCAAACTGCAGACGTGATGCCTGCTCTTAGAGATGATGATGCTGGCGGCTGGCAGGATGCTGCTTGGCTATTAAGCGTTGCTACGAGAGTGCTACTTTAATTCTAATTAATGCCTAGGGCTTTTATAGTCTATAAAGCGTTTATGACGCTAGAGCAAATTGTTAAGCTCTATATTTAATATATTGTATTGTGCAAGTTCAAGAGTACATGCCTTATATCTCATCTATTTTGCAACTAATATCAAAGAATTGTTACATATCTTCATAATTCTACATTCTACAACCCGAGCCCCCCCCCCCCAAGCAAAAAATCCGTTTCCCTTTTATGTATGCTACTCTCAGAGTATAAAATTTTAATGACACTGCGTAACACCGCCCTCATTCCTTATTATCTTAGCCACGGCTTGCACAACACTAATGCCCATAACTATCACGCCAAAGCCGACACACAACGCAGCGGCCCCTGTTTTCCAACTTCTCGTACTCAGCTTAATATAACATAATGGAGGTAAAATATAGGCTAATGCGCACGCACTAGTCGCGCCGATTAATTCAAAAACAGCGCCGAGATCACAGGTAATAAGACTGAGCATCATGGCGCTAACAACTAGACTGGTGCTGAAGATGAGATGCAAGTTCATGTTAAATGGCTCTCCAGGGAACCAGTAATTAACCATTACTTCGCGGCAGACGAAGGCTTCGAGGGGGAGGGTCGTGAGCATGTTGAGCCCGAAACATAGACGGGCGATGTTGACCATGATGTTATCTGATGGGAAGTTGTTAAGGACGTTTCCTTGGGTGTTGGAGCCGAAGGTTAGGAACCCAGCTAGGGCCATCGCCAGACAGGCAACCATGGAGATGCCGGTGCTGTAGTGGGTGACGCGGGCGAAGCGGTCGATGGTAGGAGTTTTGAGGGAGCCGTAGATTAGGAGGGAGTTGTGGTGACAGACGAATGCTTTGAGGAGACGTTAGTTGCAAGTCTGGATAGGGAATAGGCGGGGGATATACCGAATGAGATTACGCCTATGGCTTGGAATATTCCATCGTTGATTGTGAGGAGTGGAGTACTGAAAGAACCTTTCGATTCTTTAGGGACCATAAATCCCTGCGTGACAACAGTGAACAGGATAACCATCATACTGATCAACGCCAGCGTGCTTGCCTTTGCCAACTATTGTACTAATGTCAGCTTCCATCCCCTCTTATTGTATCACTCATATAACGCAGCTTCTGATAACGTACCTTGGCAATATCCCTATACAAACTCAAGGGATAGCTAATCCCCAACGTAAATATAACAATCGCGGCCCGTCTATCAACCAACAACCCCAACACCGGTATATCTCCCAGCCCAGGGAACACAGCTGCTAGAACATGTGGTATTGAGTCACCCACAATAATCCCAAACGCCACCATCCCCCCAAATGCAAAAGCCCACTGAGCGATGGAAATAGCAATCAAGCCCGGCCTTCCAAAGCAATGCTGGACCGTCCCTTGGAAGCTGTTACTCCCGCTCAGCTTGCTGTTTATCACAATGAGTCGGATTGTCCAGTCTACCGTCACGGTAAGGACGAGGAGGAGTATGATACCCGCGAGCAGGCCAGCCTGTCGAAATGCATAGGGTTGGCCGATGATTCCCGCGCCGATGATTGAGTTCGCCATATTCATAAATGCGGATCGCAGGCCTGATTTGGGACGCTGCCGTTCCTGCTCTTGCCACTCGTCGACATCTTCATCGCCCCAGGGAGTGCTGGCTAGTGTTACAGAGGGGGCTTCGATGTCTGTGAGGAGGGGCGTGAATGCTTCACGCCGTGCATCGCGGCGGCCGGAGAGGGGAGAGTCATTGTAAGGAGGAGGAGCGTCGCCGTTCGCTACTATATCGCTCTCGACTGGAGGCAGCTCGAACCTCACACGGTTCGGAGTCCGTGGAGTTCGAGGCTCGCTGGGTGCGCCATGGTGCACGATGATATCCTCATCGTCGGAGGAATTTCCCGAGAGCAGGCCGCGGTCTTCTTCGTTCGTATGGGTATTATCGGTATCTTCGCCATCCTTGCGCAGGTTGGTCGGTTTGGCCTTGGCCATGCTTTTATCGCGGAAGCATTGTGCTGGGGGGCGCTTTTCTTGGATGGAGGCTTATGAACGAGGCCCGTTTCTTTGACATAGGGGCTCGTCGACGAACGCGGCCGCGGCCCCTAATCGATCGCTTATTGTACACCTTTTCAGCCTCGCGCCTATTTTTGGACATAGCATTTAAGCTTTTCTACTATATTTTAGTGCTGTGGCTTCTTTAATAACAATAGAGGCGATATTAATTGGGAACTATAATACTACTTATAAGAAAGAGCTATAGAAACTGCGAAATTTCTGCTGCAAATTTCAATAATGATTTATGACGTATTAGCTAATGGTCGGGATGCCTAATTCAAGACTTCTAGGTATCGGGGCATGACCTAGTATACCCAGGTATTTTATGGGACGCAATAGCTTTGTAAAGAAGATATGGCTTGAGGACGGCCAATGGTAGCGAGGGCAACTTGCAAGTTTCATAATGGGTAGTATAACCAGGATGGTAGTATGGAGTACCCGGATATTCAGCAAACAATATCTCACAAGACATCATATCACGAATCAGTTCACAAGTCCCGATTCATAATGGTCAATTACATGTATCATGGCCATCAAGCGTGCTAACTAAGGCGCCTAGACCCATCCATCCATTTTGGGAAACGCCTTTCCCTAAAGCTCACTCGCTCATATCATTAAAAAAACAATGCTCTCAGCATTAGGGTATCGTATATATATCTCTCAAAGCTGTAACCGAAACGAAGCGCGAGGAGCATCTAGTCTTAGAATGAAATCAAGATTAGATGAGAAGCAGCGCGATAAATGTGCCGGCTGCGAGGAGAGTAGTAGAGAAGCCGATGGCGGGCTGCCCGGCGGCGGATTTTGTTGATGTAGGGGAGGGAGCAGAAGCGGTCTGCTCTACGGCAGATTTCCCGGTGGCGGGGGATTCCTTGCCGTGTAAACCAGGGTTTGGACCAGTGGTTGGGGCAGAGGCAAGTGTAGTAGACTGGGCAGAGCCAGATGATCCTGTGGGACTCCCGTTAGATTTTGTAGTTCCAGTAGAGGATCCAGTAACCAGAGTTGTGACTGAAGCCGTTGGATCCGTTGAGGATGATAACGCACCAGTGGAAGATGCCGATGACGACGTCGAGGAAGAAATAGGAGCCGGTGCTTTTCTAGCTGCAAGACCTATTTTTCAATCAGTAACAGGTCTAATGGGTAGGGCAAAAAGTGAGCTTACCGATGCGGCTCTGATCATAATCAAAGACTGCATACACGTTCTTCAAGAAGGTATCGCCCAGGAGCCAAGACTCGTCATCCAGGACGCCAATCCCATAAATATTGCTGGTGCAGGCCCCATTAACCTTTGGAGATACCCAATCCTTGGGGGAAATGGAGTAAGTGTTCGATCCGAAGGTAATTGTGGCCGGATCAGTCGTGTCGCAGGGGACCGTCCAGGTTGATCCATCGGCAGAACTTGCGCCTTTAACCAACGCATGCAGCTTCTTAACATCGTCCTTGGGTCCAAACATGTAGGTTGTGCCTGTGTCAAGGTACGCGATTCTGCTTGGGATTCCGGCCTTAGTGTCTCCAACGCCGACACCTCCAACGGTAAGTGCCCAATTTCCCATCTTGTTGTCTAAGACGGGATAGTAATTCAAGGTGCCTGTATATCTCGAGGTATCTAGTGTACCGAAATTGATTTCACCATCATTAGGACCATCGGCGTTTCGATTGATGCTGAGGCCGAAAACATTGGCTTTCAGGGCTTTCGCTGCGACGATCGACTCCCACACGTGCGGTGTATTGGACGATCCAGACTTTGACAAGGAGAGGCCTAGGATTCCATCAATCGGGAAGTGGGCAAAGTCATCGCTTGTAGTCGTGGCAATTCCGATTGTGATGGGTATCTTCATTCCAGCAAAGGAAGCTGTGTCTTGCGCCGTGGTCCCGGAAACACTGCCTTTGGCATAATCGATCTTTAAAGGCTCGCCTAGGTCCTTGAAAGTCTTCGAGTCCGAGGGCCCGAAGGAATTATGCGTCTTGCAAATATCGGAAGTGCAGTCGGGGCCCATGACCCAAGTAGTGCCCGCCCCAGTATCGATCAGGAGATAGACAGGAGTACTAGCGGAGCCAAGCAAAACCTCCACGAAGTATGAAAAGTCGGTGCCATCCTGAGCTACCCCAGCGCTGTTGGATTGAGTTGGGGGAAGAGCAGACACAACGTTATATAAGCTCGATCTGTCTTTCAACTGAGTCGTGGCCGTGCCCTGGTACTTTCTCGCCAGTTTGTTTGCTAGTTTATGGACATTGCCTTCAGCAGGTTGATTATTCTGCCACGAAGTTAGCATTTCCAATATGAATGGATATTCTTTTTCTAAGTGAGGTTACCTGAGATGGACGCTGGACGACTCGCATAGTCAAGCCAGGTGGAGCCGCATTAGCATCAGCTTCCGCAGAACGTTTTGCGTCACTACAAGCTTTATCTAGGGCACACCGATAGTCTGGCTCGAAATAGTAGAACGCATTGGTGATAGAAGCAAATGCAATCAGTGCAAGGAGGCACCTGAACACAAACATGACGCCGGTTTATTATGCCCAATGGACAAAGAAACGCGTAGTAGGAGGGTGAACAAATACCACCATGAGCAGTAATGGACGTGATTCTGGTCTGGTTGCTCAAAGCTGTGTCTAACGGGCTAGGAGTTTGCAAATGTGCCACTTGTTGATCCTCATGGGTGGTGGTGGTTGTTTGGAACTTCGAGAGGGTGTCGAGGAAGAGAGGTAAGAGATGAACAGCTCGGTGAATTGAGCTTTTTGAAATATCAGATCTGTGTGTCCGGCCGGTCGTTCACTCGCTCAGTGAGTTCTAGTTCCAGTGCCTCGACGGCCTGAGGATGTCGTCGTTATGAAGCCTCCCGTTTGTGAAATCGCTTATATACGCAGGTATAATATGAGCAAGTCGGAAGTTCGTTTTATAAAACACTGGGGCGAGTACCGGACTCTCGAGGTTGGATGTGATATGGATATAGATATTAGGATTATATTCGCAGAGACATGGAGGAAACGGTAATAATGGACAAGCAGGCAGAGAGGACAATGAAGCCGTCTGGCACTGCTCTATTACAAGGAATTGGTGTTGGCGAGATACGCGTAGTAGTAGTAGAAGTAGTGGTAGCAACGATGGGAAATGCCGATGGTCGATCCGGAGCAGAAATGCAGCAAAGAACTGGAAGCAATTGATTTTCACCGCTTTAAACTTTTGTGGTCACACAGTTAAGGAAAAATGCCACCAGGAGAACGGCGGATGCAGAGGGGCGAGAGAATTCGAGATCGGGCCGGGGAGGACGAGGAAGAGGAGGACGATGAGGCGGCGGAGGAGGAAAGGCGGGGGGAATGACGAAGTAAGTGGAGGGACGTGGAGAAGATAATGGAGAAGGAGGAGGAGCAGGAGGAGGAATGAGGTTGGTGATTCAGCGTTGACCAACACGCCGACCAGGCCAGGGCCAGATCTTGAGGCTTGATGGAGCGATGGAGTGATGGATGCAGTGCAACGCTACGTCGTCCGTCGTCCCTAGCTGCTCACTTCCTGGCTCTTTCAGCGTCTTTTCTCGACCTCTTGAGCCGACGAGAAAGGAGCATCCCTGGAGCTGCCCCCGGAGCAAGGAAGAGCAGTGGACCTGCCCAATGAGCCGCCGCGATTGTAACGCCGTTGGGTGCACGAGGACCACATTAGGGATCGACGGCTGCAAGGGCCAAGGAGGGCTTCAGTCGACGAGCAGGCCATCCCATCCGGAGTATTGCGGTGGCAACCCCTGAAGGAGCGAGAGATCCGGGTCAGGACGCAGTACGCAGTACGGGACTCTACGAAGCACTACGGAGCTAGTCCAGCGCCTCAACACGAGCTCTCTTCAAAGTTCAAAGAGTCTTACAGTAAGTACAGTACATACGGAGGTCGAGCTCGTACCGTCTTATCTTATGGGCCTCCAGTGGCTCTTTGCAATGGCCTTTCAGTGGTTCTTCAGGGCCACCACCGTCAGCCAGTGGACCCGAGCTGGCACGCCCGCACACAGCCGCCAAGTTGTGTGTGTTCGTATATATCATATCTGTGGGCTACGAAGTGCTACAGCAGCCAACCAACGCCTGTGCTGATTGCACAGGCTCGGTGACCGGTGGTCGAAGCGATATCGAATTTATGGCTCTGGCGCGCTCGGCGGGCCCTGGGCGGCGGCGGCCAGGCCTGCGAGTCGTATCCTCGAGCCTAGAGTCGCCGAGTCCCCTGAGCGCGCAGTACGAGTAGTGAGAGCAGAGTCTGTGTGAGACCCCGGCGCCACCAGCTGCACCGCCAGCCACGGCGCAGAAGCTAGACTCACTTGATGAGAGGTGCTAGAGTTGATATTTACTCTGGAATAATTACCACAATCGTTGCGTTGAAACCTTCGATCACCACCACCAATTTAGTTTCGCCCCTGGTGGCTTTTAGCTTCAGGAGATAGATAGATAGCTTGCCGCCTATTTCCCATCAAGCTATTTCCAGCACCACACCACAACACACCTACGAAGTACTTCGTACTTGACAGTTTTATACTGTGCAGAAAGTAAGTACGGAGCACCTCCTACATACTGGCTATGCACGCTTCCACAATCCGCCCAATCATGGCGGGATAGCCGGAACAAACAGAACAGAAAGATACGAACTCCTCTTCATGCGCGCCATTTTGCCTGGGAAGAAACCGAAAACTCCCGGTCTACCCAAAATTATTCGTTGTTATTATTCCACTTTTGTGCACATGGCCACGCAAGAGTCAAGGCGGAATTAATATAATAAGGGACTCCGGAAATCGCATACGTAAGGTACGAGTACAGTATCTAGGAAGGTATTCCACATGCACCCCACGGAAATCGTCGAAACCCAAGTGCCAACTTTCCCGCTTGGCCAGCATTAGCATTGCTATTATCAAAACCCCAGAGCTCAATCAGATGATATCCTCATCAATTGACAGTAGGGAGCTCGGGCAATATCCGGGACTACTCGAATTAATGATCCCCCTTTCCTAAGCCCCCTTCTACTTCACCCTCCGTCACACGTCGTATCATCCCCCACACTCCTATGATCTACAGGCACCCCTTCCCCAAACATCAAGAGGAAGTTGAACCCAGTCACCGATGTTGTTTCAAAACTTCGCACGAATCGTGTATTTTTACTACGTACCTATTCAGACCTGCTCCTTTCAGTATCCTGGCTAAAATCCTGGGTAAACACGTCTAATTCTGGGGGACGAGCTCGTTTATGCAGATCTAGAACCACACGGTCCACACCCCCTTTTGGCCTTGCGTCTGGAAGGCGCGCGGTTGCTCTGCACGCACAACTTTGGCCTTCCCGGGGCTGTTTCCGCCTTCCGAACCTTAACGGTTGCATATTGGAAATGTTGGAATTGATAATTAGCAGAGATTGAACTGGTATTTATTGAGCTCTGATATGCGAAAATTTGGGGTTTATTCCAGGTTTGAAGTGTGCTCGTAGATTAAAAATGTGAGGAATGACAGGAGCAACATAATAAAAGGTCCAACGTGCCTTTCCGCCGTCGCTACACTTTTCGATTTCTCGATTGAGACTTACGGAGTAGCGGTTGGTTGTTTTGAGGTGGGCGTTGGGCGTTGGGAAGAGCATTGACAGAGAGTCGAGCGGGTAGGTGTTGGGTTGGGTTGGGTTGGGTAAGAATGTATGCAAGAATAGGTAGGTAGGTAGGTAGGTAGGTAGGTAGGTAGGTAGGTAGGTACCTTAGCTTAATATATTTTCCCAAACAAAAGAGATGATAGCAACAGCCAGGGTTCTCAGACCAACAGAATAATGATGCAAACGACAATCTCCCTTCCCCATAAGCCAGCATGTACTTTCCTGAACGAGTCAGATATGGATACTAATACGATGCACGTTGTGGGCACGAGCAAAGTTAACTCAGCAAGTCGCCAACCACGCATCCCTATTTTTTGAGTAGAGCTGGCACGGAAGGTATGAGCTTGCAACCTGGGACGGGTGATGTATTTCGATAGTCGGATATTATAATGGTTTAAAACCACCTAGATGAATGCTCGTTTTGGCGTATTCTCTCTTCTCAAATAGATAACATCTTATAAGATAGGTAGGGCAAGATGGTTATATGTTTGTGAAAAGGACTCACTATTATGTTATGTGATACGGCGTGACACGTCGCGGATTGGGCTAGACTCTAAGCTTCCCGAAACACAAGTCTGGTGGAATTGGCGCGCCTTATGCTTTTCATATTTAGAGCTCGGAATTCTCGCTGCAGCTTAGGAATGGGGGGTTGAGGCTTACGCGTGAGGTTCGTGGAGAGTCTCTGGTTCTTTAGAGGGCTAGAACTCCTTGAGTGTCTTAGACATTAGATCCTTAATTTCTTGATTAAAATGGGAAGATTAAACGAGAATCAAAACCTTAGTTCGCCAAGTATGTCAAACAGAGGGAATAGTTACAGGTATACGAAGTACATGATAGCAGTCGCTCATCAGTTATCAAAGGTGGAAATATCCACATCTTCAACCCTCCAGCAATAATACATAAAAACGCTCCTGTACCACAATATCAGCATAATGTCCAACTTGATCTCAGGAGATAGCACTTACCTATAAGGTTTAAACTTCTCAGCCATCTCTTCCATATCCTTCTCATTCATATACTTCCACTTGCCCCCCTTCCCCTTCAACTTGCCCACATCCTTCCCAGCCAACGCAGCCATGCCCCTCTGCACGCCCAAATCACCCGTCGAAAAAACGTCCATCCTCTTCAACCCAAAACACGCAAACATCTCCACACTCCATTTGCCCAGGCCCCTTACCTTGATTAGTTCCTCCAAAACCTCCTCGTAGGTTGCTGAGAAGAGCATTTCAGCGGTCAGTTCGCCGCTCTGGAATTTCTCGGCCAAGCCGAGGGCGTACTCTGCTTTTCGTTGCGAGAGCCCCGCGGTGCGGAGGACCTCAATTGTTTTGGAGGATACTTGGGAGGGCGTGGGGAAGGTGTGCTGGGTTGGGTCTTCGTGGTCGTTGAAGAGAGCGACGAATTTGGCTTTTATGGACTTGGCGGCTGCTCCTGAGACCTGATATACGTTTAAATCTGTGGATTTTATATATGAAAGCTAGGTAATGGGACCCGAAACGAAAACCCCCTAACTTCCCATAAAGAAAATGTGGCATTGCAAGTGCTACTTACTTGTTGCGAGATAATACCACTTATCAAGCTCTTAAAAGGGTCAATTTCTTCAGCTAGGCCCTCGGGGGAGAAGACAGTACACGGGTGCTTCTCAATGACCGCCTTCAGCTTGGGCTCTTGCTCGATTAGGTGCGCGAGAGCATCATCAAGAAGGTTTTTGGTGGTGATACTGGGCCGCTTCGACGGTGAAACCTGATCTACAGGCTTGCTTGAGATTCGACGATGAGTTTCTGGGGATATCAATAGCGCATTGGTGCCATCCGGCACTGCTAGTCGATTCACCGCCGGAGGAGGGCTGCTCTCATCGGCGTCTCCTGGCTTGAAAGGGCTAGATAATTGCCCAATTGCTGCTGGGGTTGGAGTTTTTGGTACAACTGTCTTCGACGGTTTCTTCCTTTTCGGGGTTGATGGTACGGCATTATTGCTATCGGAGACCGGCTCGTTCTCTCTTGTTGAGTTCTTCCTCTTCTTACTTCCATTCCCAGCCGGCAGTGAGGCTGGTGCTGGTTTTTTTGCGACGGTGTCTTCCTTCGGTGCCACTTCGCCCAGGCGAGCTGATCTTCTAGTAGACATTGTTCGAGGTTTTGTGATAATATTAAAGATTGAGAGAGATATAGGAGTGTGCTGTCTCAAGGAGGAAGGCCGCTGTTGCCTAATAGTGAGGGACAAGATATTTGCCGTTGTCGAGAGGGAACGAAGAAGTCCAATTACTTGAAACAGCATATGGATCCTGGTTAAGAGTCAATATATCCGTTTATGAAGCATTGTAGAGGCGCGAAGGGCGTGGTAGACTGCGAAACAAGGAGTCATAGCTGGGGGGAGGCACGTGATATGCCTCAATCATGATACCGGGGTCACTATGTGCCTGCTTACTACGCTAACGAAATACGTAGCACTATGCTGAAAGCATCTCAGGATGTCTCAAAAGTTTAGTGTATGGTCTATAATCAAAAGGTGCATGACAATAATGTTATAGATTTTGAGCTTGGGTACCCAGCTAAGAAGTAGTTTTCATAAATCGTGATGCTTTCGTTAACGGTTTAACGGGTGCGTGGCTCGGGTGGGTCTAGAGGCCGCCTCGCTAGTGGCGCTTTTCTCAATTTAGACTGTACGCAAGATTGTACCAACTCCTGGCCCTCTGGACAGGTACTGCTTGGACTCGCGCATCTCAACTTCTTCACCAACGCCCAACGTCAACCACAACATCAACGCCAGCGCCCAGAAGCTCGCGACCCCGTTCGCGACCCCCCCGACGATACCTACGACGGCGGACCCTCCTGTACCGGACGAATTGTCATCATACTTAAGCTGGTGGTGCTGTGGCCACCGGGGTTTCGCCCGTTATGTTACTCCCTAAAGGCGGCGTTACGTGGAAGTCTGCGAGGGCACAACTGCCACCCACCAGAGCGATATGGACCTTCCTGACGCGAACACGGTTTTTGTTATGCGTGGCTCTTGCGGGGATAATCTTATTACTATGGAGAGGAGTGACCACATCAGCGTCGGAGATGCAAAGGTCAGCCACCCCCTTCAGAAGATAGCCTTCGCCATCTGTTGTAAACACTTGGGATTATAATTGACACAGCAGCGCAGATTCTACTGCTGGGGCCCTTCAAAACCGCCAATGCAGATGACATCAAATGAGGCAGTGGATTGGAACGCGCATTTACAGACTCCAGTCATATTCAATCACCATGAACCGCTGGTGATAGACGAGTCGACTATCAAGCATGTTGACCTCAACGCTATAAAATCAACCCCTCGAGCCGTAGCGAACGAAGAAAGGATTCTCATTTTGACGCCGCTGAGAGACGCAGCAGCTTATTTACCAAAATACTTTGATCTCCTCTGCGAATTGACATATCCTCATCACCTAATTGACCTGGCGTTCCTGGTAGGCGACTCAACGGACGAGACACTCGCGATTTTATCCAAGGAGCTGGAACGAGTACAAAAGAAGACGGATAACCTGAATGTGCCGTTTAACAGCGCCTTGATTGTTGAAAAGGACTTTGGCGTTGTCATGTCGCAAAGTGTCGAAGAGCGACATAGCTTCAAGGCCCAGGCACCGCGAAGGAAGGCTATGGCGAGGGCTCGCAACTACCTGCTTTATGCGGCATTGAAGCCCGAACACTCATGGGTGTACTGGAGAGATGGTGATATTCACGATAGCCCGAAGAAAATCATCGAGGATTTTGTTGCCCATGATAGGGACATCATCGTCCCCAGTATGTGGTGTATTCCCATCCTAGAAAGATCCCGCGCTGACTTCAGTAGACATTTGGTTCCACCGTTATGAGAATGGGAAAGACATCGAGGGGAGATGTAAGCCACTTAATACCATTCCATCCAAGAAAATCACTCATATTCTCTAGTTGACTATAATTCCTGGGTCGAATCTGACAAGGCATTGCGATTGGCATCGACACTCGACAAGGATGCCATCATAGTTGAAGGTAAGCATCTTGAGCCTGTATTTTGCAACCGCGCATGCTAACGATGTTCTTAGGATACAAGGAGTATGACACTGGCCGCACGTATATGGCCAAAATGGGAGACTGGCGACACAATAAGGACGACGAGCTGATGCTCGATGGTATTGGAGGAGTGAACATTGTCGTTAAGGCTGATGTCCACCGATCAGGTATTTCCAACTTTTGTTCCTGTCCACTGCCCTTTACACTGACTCCATAACTAGGCATTAATTTCCCCGCCTACTCTTTTGAAAACCAAGCAGAAACCGAAGGATTTGCCAAGATGGCAAAGAGAGCCGGATACGAAGTCGTTGGATTGCCAAACTACGTTGTTTGGCACATAGATACCGACGAGAAGGAGGGAAACAAGTAAACAACGAACTACTCGTATACAGGACGGAGATCCACAAACCCTCGATGATTTCAAGCATATACAAGAAGTTCAGTCAGAGCGCCTTCTTGAGACCTGTGAGCAATATCGATGAAGGAGAACAGATCAACTCCCTTTTCCATTCGATTCGGTGTATTTTCCTTGTGGATTTGCGAATCTCTCCTTTTTTTGTCTGCCGGGAAATAAGGAGTTCGATCAGGTTTTCTTCGACGTCGATATGGGACTTGTGTGATCGTCAAGGTTTACAGGGACCCTCACGAATGCATATGGAAGATGCACTCACTGTACTAGAATGGAATGGATTTTTGTTCTGTAGCTCTGTGATGGCTAATTGGATTGAGGCTCGAGATTCACGGGTCTGATGCTCTGTATGGATAGGTACGGAGTGGGAATCTTAATATATGGGGGGTCTTGTTCAATATGGAAGCTTAGGCATCGTGGAAGAAAATAACGATTTCAATTTTGCGTTGGTTCAGGCTCTTGTCGAAATGTGACCTCATGTCTTAAAAGCGTTGTATCTCATTTTCTGTATATAGTTTAGGTTTACAATAGAGAATTAATCATCCTACCCGTGGAGATGGGGATTTTGGCCATATTTAAATTTTGTCGGCGCCATGTTTCAGCTGCATCCAGCAAAGTAACGCTTCAAGCAAGGCACAGCCAATCCTGGGATTTTGGAAAAGCACTTCTTATAACATTCAGAACTAGTTGACCAACGTTATACAGTACGGACCCCCGTCGATTTCTCTCCCCTTCTAAATGCAGCTCTTTTATACACGTGCGTCCTGTCTGCCCCCTAACCTTACTTCGACCGTTTGGTAATCATCAGCGAGTCTAGATCCCCTCGCTCCTTCTCCTCGGCCTCGATTTGCCTGATAATGGGTGAGAGATATGCTATATCCTAGAGCGCAATTGTTAGCATTTGACGTCTAGTGGGTGCGAATGGGGCTACGCTTACCTCCTCGTCCTTGGTGTATTGTTCCTTTGGAAGTATTTGATGAGAAAGGGATAGCTGCGGACGCATCAGATTAGGGCCTGGGTCTTTCCATATCGGGAGCTGGCAGCGGAGAATTGGAATCGTACCTGAATAGCTCGACGGATGCGATACACGCGGTCGTATGATTCTTGGGGGGAGAGACGCTTGAGTGCTTTCTGGACGGTGTCGTTCTCCTCGATGATCAAGTCATCGGCTCTGGAAGCGCACAATTGGTCAGCGGGATTCTAACACGCCCATCCTGGGCACAATTGATCCCATTACGCTCTCCAATGCAAGCTCGGGCGAGCGGTGGTGCGTGGTGCGTGGTCTGCGGTGTATTCCTTACCTCAAACCCATCTGCCTGTACCCGGCAGCATTGGTGTACCAGTTGGCAATTGGCTTCATGATCCGGTACAGCCATGGCCGCTTGATGATAGCATTGGCGAACGAAGGGGCGGACATGTTGTCGGTGGTGAAGGGGGGCGCGGGGGGGAGATCTCTTCTGTTCCTCGTCGAGCTCTTCCACGGGAGTCGTTAATGAAGTCGAGGTCGATTTTGCGTGGTGATATTTAGTCAGCAGAATTGGGATGCTGCGAGTGGCTCGGCGGGCGAAGTACCTAGGTACCTGCGGAGTAAACCGGCTGTCATGTGACGCGCGCAGCGATGCGGGAGCCGAGCGACGGAGAAAGTTGGAGAACGGAAAACGGAAAACGGTGACGCGGGTGGGATTTGTTTAGTGGCAGTGGCAGAACAGGTATCGTAGAGAGCCACCGAGTTGAAACTGCTTGAAATGCCCCCCTCCTCAACACCTTTATGATTCCACTATCTTTATTTATTACCCTTTGCCATTTACTTCGTACCCCTTAACACACCACTTTCTGGTTTCCCATTCCATCCCCGTGATCTCGCAAGCAATAGGTACCTAGGTACCGTATATGGCCATATACACCCGTACGCCATAAGCCTATTGCCTATTGCCTATTGCCTATTGATTGCCTATCCTCTATCTATTTGCCATTAGTTACCGCAAAGTAGCTTACCCTCTTCGACATTTCCTTGGGCCCGAACTCGGAGCCTCGGGGCCCTGTTTTCCCAAGAGTTGCTTTTTCGCTAGCAGCAGCCATCGGTGGTTCGCTCTTCAAGGCACAAGCTTCGAGTTTCAACGGCCAGCTCCTCGGAATTCTTGTATGTACCAGCGTACCCACTTTATAGGAAAACTCACCACGACCCGCGCCCTAATTTCTACCCTCACATCCGTACACACATCGTTTGTGTCCCTCCATATAACAACACCGGCGCCGCCTCCCTCCCATCTCCATCTCCGCCTCTCCTCCCCCCCGGACCTGCCAATGGCCTATGACAACCGCTAGTCGTTGTGTTCTGGGCGTGCTGCGTGGGAACTTTCCCCGCACACCGGGACACCAGATCAGGGACCCAGGACGGCGACAACCAGAAACAGCTTTGCGTGCTTCACGATCCGCAGACGGGGGCGTCCTCTGCTCGGGGAAGCCAGGCTTATAGCCATATTCACGCCCCCCATACAAAATACCCTTTGCAATGTCTCATGAACGCAGCACGCCATCTCCCGGATCAGAGGATTTTGCGTCTTCGCCTTCACCTTCTTCTTCTCCGCGCTCTTTCAGCAGTGCTTCAAGCTTTATACCCGAACAGGAACATGTCCCACTCACAGCGATGGAGAGGTTTGTTCTGGGGAGGTCGGATTCCACTTTCCATGCGATGGCGGGTGCGATAGGGGGGTTTACTTCGGGGGTTGTTACATGCCCATTGGATGTGATAAAGACAAAGTTACAGGCACAAGGGGGGTTTAGGGCGGCAGCAGCAGCGGCGGCGGCAGGGTCGACGACTACTCCATCCGCTACACATCCGGTGTATCGGGGCATGCTGGGGACTGCAAAAATCATATGGAGTGAGGAGGGCTTGAGGGGAATGTATAGAGGGTTGGGCCCGATAATATTGGGATATTTACCGACATGGGCGGTTTGGTTTACGGTTTATGGGGAATCCAAGGAGTTCTTCGGAAAGCATTACGGTACTGTCAAGGAGTTGTCTTCCGCTAGGGGTGTTCCAGGCTAACAATTTACATAGACAACGTCAACGTCATCAACTTCTGCTCGTCGATTGTAGCGGGAGCCTCCTCAACCATGGTTACCAACCCAATCTGGGTAATCAAGACTCGCCTGATGTCACAAGTAAACGAAAACTCAAATGGAGCTCGACCTCCCTGGCACTACCGCTCAACGTTCGATGCCGCAAGGAAAATGTATAGAACGGAAGGGATGTTGTCCTTTTACTCGGGCCTGACACCGGCTCTTCTGGGCTTGACACACGTTGCTGTACAGTTTCCTGCATATGAGTATCTCAAGCGGAAGTTCACGGGCCAAGGCATGGGTATGTCCTCTGGGAGCGAAGGCGAGAGTCAATGGGTTGGTGTTCTCTCAGCAAGTGTACTCAGCAAGGTCATGGCCAGTTCAGCCACATACCCTCATGAAGTTATCCGCACGAGGCTACAAACCCAACAGCGGTCAATGCCCGCAGCATCCCTAGAGTACGCCGCATTCCGTGGAGGGCTAGAGGGGTCTTCACACTACAAACCCACCGAAATAGCCAAGGCAATAGTACCACGCTATAAAGGGATTGTCACAACATTTAAAACAATATTAAGGGAGGAAGGCTGGCGCGCTTTCTATGCCGGTATGGGAACCAATATGATGCGGGCGGTCCCCGCAGCTACGACCACAATGCTCACATATGAGTATATCATGAGATATCTTAACCACACGAAGGAAGAAGCGTCTTCAAAATTAAGAGCACAGGGTGGATAAATAGCGTGGAAGCCGGAGTACAGAGGATTGGTCGATTGTATAGATCTTCTCGGGAGGCCACTTCGAATTACATGCACGGGGATCAAAGGGAATCTCACAAATGGGGCAACAACCATCTGCATTCTTGTAGCTTCACTATTTTATTGGCGTCAGTCCTGGGACAGGGCAGGTGGTTCGAGTTGGCAACGCATATGGGTTGGCTTTTGTTTTGTGACGAGAGGGGTTTGCGTTGGCATGAATATCTTTGATGATACCTGTCACCCCTTCCTGATTGGGGATATGGTGTATAGTATACCTAGTTATTAATGGAGGTTCCGCTATTATAGCACCTTCTCTCGATTCATTGAGTCATAAGATACCATTGTACAAATACCCCGTCCGTGGTGATTTCCATATTTTGGTTCCCGTATGAGGCCGGCAGTATATGCACCAGAGACCTACAAGCCTCAATTAAACCCCAATATATATACGTCGCTCAAATGCACCAACGCCGTGGATTCCCTCCCATACAATTCCACTGTGTTTATTTTGATCCTTCGCAACAGTCCCTCAATTCAATTTCTGCCCTTTCGAGCCCTCTCCTTAATCAACCTCTCCGCCTCCGTCTCATGTACCACATCTTTCCCCACATCCACATCCCCATCCCCATCCTTCCCCCTCGCTACCCCTATCAACTGACTTACAGTATTCTGCTTCTCGGGCCGTTCTAGTCGTCCATGACTTCTCAAGCTCTCATTATGCCAATTGATTTGTCCGCCGTCTGCCTCTCTGTGTTTCTCTGCATTCCGCTTCGCGGCTTGGATGCTGGTTCGCGCATATACGAAGACGAGGGCCGCCATTGTGAAGGCTGCGAGAGGGGTCTGGACTTTCTTTTTAAAGGTGGTGTTAGTTAGAAAGGAGAATCGGGTGGGAGGGTTTATATACCCGAGCGTCGGGTTTCCATTTGAACGGCATTGTATTATATTACGGATTGAGGGTTGCGCATGTGATTGCGATTGTGGCTGTGGTTATTCATCCGATTTAGGTTTCTGTTCGGTGGGTTGCTCTGATGTTGTTTTGATGATGAGTGCCGTTGAGCACTGTAGGGAAGTGCCAAGCTCAGCCTTGCCCCCCCACGGGCGCGATCGGAACATTTTTCCTCGGGCCTCGTTTCGATTCAACAATTCATTCAACATCCTATTTCGCGCCTCTACGCCCAGTTCTTGCTACGACCGCGAATAATGATTATATGACATGGTACTCCAGTGGTTTGGAATTTTGCTGCTCTGCTGCGCAAGTTTGAAAGAAGGGAAGGGAAAATGAAGGGATTCAATGTCGCATCCAGCGCGTTCGCTCGTTCGCTGTCTACACCTTGGACTTGTAGCCGATGTTCGTTGCAGATACGAGGCGGCGTGAAGCAATCCAGAGGATATTCCACGAAAACGGGGTACACATATCCAGATTCTGCCAGGCCGAAAAGGAAGCGGAGGGTAATTGCAATCACTGCGACTGTTGGCGTCCTCGGAGCTACTGCCCTGGCTTTCGGGGATGAGGTGAAGCATGCGTACAAGGCTGCGGAAAGGACGGGGAGAGTAGCCAGCACTTTGGCTGTGTGTATTAATGAGTGAGTTCCTGAAGATCTGCGGCTTCGTATGAAAGAATTGAGCTGATTATACGATGTGGCGCGCAGTTATCGAGTTACCTTGAGCCAGAACGAGAAGACCGAGGACGAAACGGAGAGGGATACAACGCTGAAGGCTTGTCATCAGAGATGTGCGGATAGAACCTTAAAGGTTTTGGAGAAGAATGGAAGCATATTCATCAAACTTGGCCAGCACTTGGTAAGTTGCGCAGATATTGAATAAGTGGAATTTTTCTAAAGCTTCCCATAGAGTGCCATGAATTACCTGCTTCCTGTCGAGTGGACGACGACATTCATACCATTACAAGACAAATGCCCTGTATCTTCGATCGAATCGATAGAAGCACTGTTCGTACAAGACACGGCCGAACAACTATCGGACTATTTCTCGGAGTTTGCCCCTCTGCCTATAGGTGCAGCTTCATTAGCTCAGGTACATCTCGCCACAGTGAAGGAAAGCGGGCAAAAGGTCGCCGTAAAGGTTCAACATCCTACTCTGGCTGAATGGGCAGGATTGGATATAGCTTTGACAAAGTTCACGTTCTCTACATTGAAGCGATTCTTCCCCGAATACGATCTAGAATGGCTCTCATCAGAAATGGAGGAATCATTGCCTCAGGAATTGGATTTCGTTCTTGAGGGCCAAAATGCTCTCAGGGCTAAGGAGTACTTCTCGCACATCCCTGAATTACCCCTCGTCATCCCCGACGTCTTGTGGGCAAAGAAACGGATTTTGGTCATGGAAAACGTATCCGGGCACCGCCCAGATGACCTCGAATACCTCGACTCAAACGGTATCGATCGAGACGAAGTCTCCGCAGCCCTTGCACGGATTTTTAACGAGATGATCTTCGGCACGAATGCCCCATTACACTGCGATCCCCATGGTGGGAATCTTGCAATCCGCAAGAATCCCCGTCGAAGAGGCGCTAACTTCGACGTAATCCTCTACGACCACGGTCTCTACCGCGACATACCACTCTCCCTCCGGCGCTCGTATGCCAAACTCTGGCTAGCTGTCATCGACGCCGACGAGACTCGCATGCGCAAGTACGCCAAAGAAGTAGCCGGAATCAACGACCAACAGTTCCCCCTCTTCGCATCCGCCATCACGGGACGCGATTACAGCGTCGTCAAATCATCCGTATCAATCGAGCGGACAGTAGAAGAAAAGAAGCACCTCAACCAAGCCTTGGAAGAGGGCATGCTCCAACAACTCGTACAGCTCCTTGGCCAAGTTCCCCGAATCATCCTCCTTATCCTTAAAACCAACGACTTGACAAGAAGTCTTGATGAGAATTTACACACGAGACAGGGACCTGTGAGGACATTCCTCATCCTTGCACGGTATTGCTCGAGGACTGTATTTGAGGAGCAAGTTGAGGAGTTACGCAAGAGAGGCAGTTTATTGAAGCCGAGCAATCTGATGGGGCTTGTCGGGGCTTGGTTGGGGTATTTCAGGATTGAGCTCAAGTTGGAGGCTTTTGAATTGTGGTTGAGCATTAAGAGGGCTGTGAATATGGCTTCTACCTGATGCCAGAGAGGGGGACCCTAGGAGTTATGCATCTGCATTTAGCGATTGCTTTAGTAGAACCATATTAGAACGATGGGTGCATAACCATGTTTTGTTTGCCAGGCGTATATATAGATGAAAGCATATTGTTAGATAAAATATAAGATAGGTATGTCAGGTACATGCTAGTTCCATAAATGGTAGTTATACATGATATAGAAGAAAAGAGGTGACCTTCACAAGCCTGTACAATAAATTAAGCGCCCTATTGTCTGCTATCTAATACGTATTGGCTGGTAATATGCAGTTAAAAGAGATACGGAAAAATATAGATTGACTCATTACTTTGCTTAACATTTACCAGCTAAGCAATGCTATGTTAGGTCCCGCAGATAATCTATGTTTGTTAGGATACAATTTATACGTCAACATATAGGGACACCTACCAATCTAGGCTGATTAACATCTTCAATCTGTAGTTGTACCCCTGTTGAGGTTGAGTGCCTCCTATTTAGCTACTAGTGTAAACTCAACTTTCCAGAACCCCCAGAACCCAAGGATAGACTATCCTTAAATATCTTAAAAGGTATACCACGAGACTGTAAAAATGAACCCAGAAAGTTTAAGGCATTGGGATAGTACCGTTGGTCGCGCGGTCTCCGGTTGTCACCTTATAAGCACACATTTATAATCAAAGCAGGAGAAGCAATGCATGTATTCTTGTGCCAATGGCACAGCCACCTAGACATTGAATTGTAACTTTGCTTGTCTTGCACCATAAGACTTAAAGCATACCATATCGTATTCGCGTCCCCTTTCCTCGCAAGCTATGCATCAATAAGAACCCTATCTAGGCTAAAACCCCAAACTCCATGCCGCATGCATCCAAGTCTTTCCCTGGAATGGGCATAAAAAGGAGAGCAAAGAGGCCCACGTCACTCTAAGCCAACCTCTCGATTTCATCACTCGCTGAAGGTCATCTCTGAAACGAACATAGAAACTTAAAACTTATTCATGACCACTTTATGTCACCGCTCGGCACCCTGCCCCTCCGTTTCGAGTTCAGCTGTGGCGCCGTGCCTCCTGGAGCAGGCGAATTTGAAGCTGTTGAGCGCGTCCGCTCCCGCAATTTCACACCATTTTCTCTCTTAGGGAATGTGGGCTCATCTCGAGGTAAAGGTGCAGCAAGAGACGCCCGCGATGACCGGAGCATCGACGTTCTTGGGAGGCGACTTTTGCTCACGGATGAAGTACCATTTGCTGCATGCTCACCACTGACCCGTCGAGGGATTTGAGGCGTCGCGCCGTCTCTACTTCGTGGTCGGTACAATATTGAATCGCCGTTACTGTAAGAAGTAGCCGCGATTCTTCTCGGTGTGAGACTACCGTTCATGAAAGCCGGTGACTGAGATATACGGCTCCCATGCGTTGGTGTCATCGGAGTCGATGCACTGTGCTGTAACAAAGGCGGTGTGAACGAGTTTTTCCGTCTCACAGCCCCAACTGGTCTGGACCGACCACCACTGCCGCTCTCTCGCTCCTTTTCAAGGCTTGATCTAACGAGATCGTTGGCCATATTCCGCACCAGCACTGCCGAATCATTCTCAGCTAGATGTTCGATCGCTTCAAACAACTTGTGGTCTCGTATGCTGCCAGATTGTTCATCACTCAGATCGCAAATGCTGCGCACGATTCGCAACAGGTTTAGCCGTACCACGGCTTTCTTGTGATTGAGCTTCTGAAGAATACCAGAGTAGAGGTCAGCCCGCGCTAACGATGCCGCCACCGGCGAGCTTAGCCTTAAAAGCTTTTGCAATGGCTCGAGAAGATTATAGTCAAAGGCACTGGCCCTTGGAGCATTGAAGCATTGGACTATTGCTTCTATGAAGTCACCTTCTAGCAATGATTTCTCAACCTTGGCAGTCTCTTCTTGGAGCCTGAATGTCCCATTAGCAAAAGAACGCAAATGCAAAAGGGCTCAAATGTAATACATACCATATAAATATGGCGTCGAGGGCCGTCACTTGCCAATACTGATCATCTAATAGCGAGACATAAAACTGCAAACCCTTATTTTGCCATAGATATTTTCTTCCAAGCTTGCCGGAATGTGCCATGTCACATAGAATCGGAAGGGCAAATTCTTTCGGTGGCCGATCTGTCTTCATGGTCTTGAGTAGCAGTGGAATGATGCCATTGATCGCGGCATCTTCCTGCCGTGCTTTGCTGAGTCGGCACAAATTAAACATGGTATTCAGTACCTGATTAGATATTTCGCGGAAGTAACCAGATGCTTTCTTCATACTGGAACTCAATAGATCTATCAAGAGCTCAATAGCGTTGGCTGCGTGAAGACTATCGAGTGTGGTTGACAGCATTGATAAGTTTTTAATGAATTTCAACATGGTAATTTGGTGAGAGGGACTCATGCGACGCAAGTCTTTGAGCACACCTAGTAAACGTCAGTAGGGAATCGTGGAAAACAAGGCATAGACTAACGTTTGAGCACAACACGGTCTGCAACGACCTCTTTCACATAGTTTTCCGCCTGCGAGAAGAGGTAAAATATGTTGACTATGCGCCCTTCGACCAGCTCGGAAAGCTCATCCTCTTCATCCAGGACACGATCAAGAACCAACGCCAGCGGGGATAGAATTTTGCTCCTAGAGAAGATTCGACAGAAGTCGTTCTTTGGTGTCGGGCCCTAGATCATGTTAATCATATACACTCAAAACCGGGCGAGAAAATACATACCTGAAGCTCAAATACGTTCCAGATTCCGTTGACACCAATAAGCACCAAATCTTTGGCTTCATCATAATCTTCATCTAGGAATTCTACAAGGACATTCAATCCACCAGCACTAACAAACATCTGCAGAGTCAATGTTGACGTTTGATACATTTGTCGGACAAAGGCGGCGGCTTCGAGGCGGATCTCGGTCGAGTATTGTCTGGCGGCAAACTTGGTAATAATTGGAATCCCACCGACGAAGCACAGATTCTCCTGAATCTCAACATCATTGAGGATGATCTACTCATGTTAATATGTGCAACAGAATCTACAGAGGGGCTACTCACAGTATTGACAACCTTCAGAAGCCGCAATATCATGCTTTGGCGGCTTTTTACAGTACAAGGCTCCAATATCTCAAGAATAGGTAACATCCCATGGGCGCTGATGATGAGACCTTTTGCATCTTCGGACTCAAAGAGAATATCAAGCTTGACCTGTTAGCATATCTTACGAAGGTTGGTGGAAGGTAGGACTTACAAGCTGTTCTGACAGATCCGAAAGGGTATCTGGATCTTCTGTCACCTTCAGAGAGCTTACTAGGCCCTCAACCATAGTGCATAGCCTTGCGTGCTTGTCTCGAGCTATATTGGCTTGTAGGTCCATCTCATCAAATCCTTGCTCCAACGAGGCAAATGGGTCATCTTCGTCATCCTCATCACCGAGCCAAGAGTTGTTAGATAGTTTAGAATGTAGCATAAGAGCTCCAACTCCATCTTCAGAGCCACGGTCGCTCTCATATCTTTCTACAGTGGCATCATCCTTGCCGAAGATGTCGGAAAAGTCTTCGTCATCTTCGTCCTCAGCATATCTTTGGATCTCTACCGACGACCTTGTTCTCCGCATAGATGGATCTTCCCTACGAGAGATGGGCTTCCTCCGCATGCTTCCGTGGACATTCGTAACGGGCGATTGAGCAGAACGAGGTAGGCTTGTGAGATCTGACGGATGAAATAACTTGGGAGAGAGTGCATCATCCTTTAAGTGAAATAGTTAGTTGATAAGATCAGAAACCGTTTACTGACTTAGAAACTAACCTTAATTATGCTAAGTCGGCGATCAAAGATGCTGTCATTTTCCATAAAAATATCGGAATAGTCTTCCACCGACTGCTCTCGATATATAGCACCGGGCCTTATAGGAAGAACGAGCTTCTCGTCCGCTTGAACCTTGATAGGGGATTTTGGCCGAGGCGGAGCGCTAACTGATGTCTTTCTCGAGCCATGTTTACTTGTAGTTGGAGGTTTGATGTCTTGTGTCACCACGGTGGGCTTGACCCGATAAGGACGAATAGTTTCAAGCTCATGAGTGTCCACCTCTATAGACCTGTGGGGTCCTCTGAGGGTTGAAAGATCTCCTTTGAAATTGCTGTCCCAATTGTCACTGTCCTCATTTTGCATGTCAAACGAGGCAAATGCCTTTAAGCGATCAGCTGAAAGTAGGCCACCGAAATTGTCATGAGGCTTAAACTGAGGAAGATGAAGGGCACTAGGTGATATCGAGGAGGTGAAATCATCGTCCCAATTGTCATCACCTACCTCAGTCAGTATGTATGGTTTTAAGCGGCGGGTAACATCACGTACCTATGCTTTCTGGTGACCGAAATGCTTCTGCTGAATGCTTCGGTTTAGCTATTGAAAGTGGGCCTTTTGCAGGCGTGATCAATGCTGTTCCTTGCTGATCATTGTGCACGTTTCGTAGAGGAGGATCCCGTCGAGCGGGAATGGGGCTAGTCATGTTTGATTTTATCGAAGTACGGAAAGACCCAGGCCCAGTGGGTGACCTCAGCGCCTCGTTCCATTGCTTTACTTCTTCAACAGCCTCGCTGAAATTTGTGGGTGGCTTTGCAATGGGAGCATCGGTGCGTCGAGAGCCCACTATCCAGGCATGCTTTAGCAATTTACGAGCAGAAACTCTAAGGTTGGGGTCCTTCTGAAAGCATTGCATGAGAAAATCACGAGCAGCCTATTAGGAGTCAGAGAAATTTCGAGCAGCAAGATGGGTTAAATTCGACTTACCGGCGAAACACCCTCGGGCAAAGGCGGGTGATCATCGTTGACGATGGCAAAGAGTGCTGGCATGGGGGCCAATTTATGATATGGCGGCTTCCCTTCCAGTAACTCGATGACAGTGCAACCTAAACTCCAGATATCAGATGCAGGAGTTGCTCCAGATAGTTGTATGATTTCCGGAGCCATCCAATAAGGAGTTCCAACAACTTGTGCTTCTTTATCGGCCCCAGCCAGTGTGCTCGTTGACACGCCGAAATCTGCGAGTTTGACCTTTCCATCCTTCGTTGTGAGGATATTCGCCCCTTTGATATCGCGGTGGATGACACCTTGGTCGTGGAGATATTGGAGTCCGAGCAATATCTGGCCCATATAAACACCGACGAGGTTTTCGGGAAACTTGCCATAGCTCTTGCATATTGAATGTAAGGAACCGTTTTCGCAATACCTAGAGGTTGGTCAGCATAAGTCGAAAGCAGGAGACTTCTAAGATTTACTCTAATATGATATTCAGGCAGTTCGACGACTTGACGAACCCAAGATATTTGACTATATTATCGTGCTAACGGGCGTCAGTAAGCTTCAGTGTCACTGGCGAGATATTCGTTATCTTACGTTTAGGTTCTTCAGCAGGTCAATTTCGGCCTAGGTAATCATATCAGCTGTGTATTCTTTCGACAGACCGCCTGTTTTACCTCGATCATCCGCAATTCGCTTTTTGGCAGATCTCCAAGCTTAATCTGCTTGACTGCCACCGCTTCCCCTGTGCCCCAGTTGAACGCCTTGTACACCGACCCGAAAGCACCTTTTCCTAGACACTCCCCGAGCCGCTATTTCAAGTATTAGCACCTCCTGCCCGCTATTCTCGAACCAACACTCACATAATCCTTGAGCCCGGGCTCTTGCACAGCTTTGTCCTTCCCAGCTCCACCATCCTTCCTCGGTGTGCCGGGCGTCCTCTCCGCCCTGCCATTCCCACCAGATCCTGATCTGCTATTCGATGGGCGGTCCGACGAGGACGGAGTGTGGGAGACCATGGCGGCCTGTCTATCGAGACCCGCGGGGAGGAGTTTTGGAAGAATTGGAGGGGGTCAAATGCTTTGGTCGATTGATGATCGCATCCCAACCATCGATTCACGCGACCGCGGAGGCCTGGTTCCCGTTTCAAGTCGCGCGCACTGGCGGGGTTATAGAAGTAGACGTATTAATGTGTGGTCAAGGTTGTATATAGGCGGATGCTGAGCTACGGCACGCGAGTCGATGACGGATTCACCGTTTCGTCCCTGGGCCTGTCGCTGTCACTATCGATATTGGCAGGGAAATTCGATTTGGCCGCTCAAATGCCACATTGTATTGTCTACTGGCGAGGGAGCTCGCGGCCTGTATCAATGCTCCTTTAAAAAAAAGTGACGTGGCTCGCAAGAGAAATTGGCAGTTGTGATGTACCAACAATAATAAACTATGTACGAAGTACCAAGGTACGGAGTAAGGCTGAGATGGATCGTCCAGGCACGGAGCCACACGAACTGGGCGAGGTGCTCCATTGGGCCTCACAGAACGGAGCTGCTGGAAATACGTTTCAGATATCTCTTTTTGGCCATGCAATTGGACGGTTCCTGTCACCGCATTGGGCCCAATCATTGCACCTAGTAATTACGAGCATCTCATTGCGACATTGCTGTACAGTAGCATCAGCATCAGCATTAGCTCTGCTCGGGTCAGCCTCAACCCCTGAACTGGCGCTCCAATACTGCCACTACGAGTCCTATACGGTGCAACGACAGGCCTTCCAGGATGTGAATCTTCCACTTTCAAGGCACCAGTGTGGGAAATCACATTCAATGTAAAAAGCACACAAACCATAACCATTAATTTGACGCTAGCTAGGCAACTCGAGATCCGAGGCAAGCTATGCTCTTTCCGCTAAAATCCAGCTTCGTGAACTTTTAGATCCCAAGCCCAAACGCCGCAAACTACAGTACAAAGTGGGTATCACAATTGGCGTCTCCTCGCCATATCCGCATTAAAATATTCATGAAACCACATCTCCTAGCCGTGAGCGTCAAGTCGTACGCTCTGGGCGCAGATTTCGGCTCAGACCAGCTGATGCCCACCATTCATCCGGTATCTCATCACGCTCCGCAAGACGGGAGATGATCCGGTGCATTCCTCCTAGATCCTCCGTATCTGCTGAGACATTAGGTCGTATATGTCGGTCGTATGGGTGAGTAGTAACGACTTCCGCATATGATCTCAATGATCGATCGCCTCTAGCCCTGCTGAAATCCTGGAGCTCATATAGATCATCCTCGTCTTCAGTATTTGATGAATCCGAATCATCGCAGTTTGGATCCATCAGTCCCATGCCAGTTGATATCAGTCCCACACTGGTCATAGAGGTGTTAGCTGATGCAGAGCCCGAGGCCGAGGAAGTGGCGGCAGCAGCAGCCGATGCAGATGCAAACGATGATCCAGCACTCGGCGGCTGAGGATCAGGCGTGATGCTTGCCAGAAGAGTGTCCCATGCTGAACCTCCTTCGGGGCTTAAGCTCCGGTCTCGATCACCCAACCCATCCATTTCTTGGCGGGCCATTCGACGAGCCCTCTCCACATTGTACATTGGACCGCGATTGATAGAATGTACTCTTTCTGACAAGGTCTGTCTGCTTGGCCGCTACACAGGAATGTCAGCAACCAATTCAATGTTTCTAGGAACTAAACAGATAGGCTCGTGCAGAGTGTAGAGATTGACTTCCACCTCCCGGAAACCAAAAAAATAAATCATGTCATACTCACATCGATTGTTCCTCGTGATGGCCTAGTAGCTCGAACTAGTAGTGATTCTCCATGTGGCCGTCGCAGTGGAGCTTCAGCATCATCCATGGCAACCTGGTGGGATGGGGAGAGAGCAGGTGTTAAGGAGGCCGGACGGGGTAAATCAAGGCCGATACGGGCAAGAAACGCGAGATCGGTATCGGTATAGGGGGGAGGAGTCGGATAAGGAGGTGTCGGAGCAGCGTTTTGTACTGATCGTCGAAAGTTTTGTCTATGGCGCAGACGGTTAAGTTCGTGACGTCGGGGGCCAACAGCATAGAAGTCTCTGGTCTCAGGAACTGGGGGCATCATGGACGCGGCGCTACCGTCTTGGGCGCTTGGTGGATTCTCGCGTTCCAAGCTGACGGGTTCGGGTTCGCGGTCGCGGTTGCGGTCGCGCCCAAATCGTCGCATTATGCTGTGATGCAACTCTTCGCCACGGCGCTCTAAGCGGCCTGGCGCGACAGCGGGATCTTGCTCTTCACCATCATTTGAAGGACTTGCTTGACGCAATTCCCACGCCTCATAGTCATCTGGCGTGGTGTCCGCGACCATGGAAAGTATACGCCTGCGCCGAATCTCCGCAGCATTGGAACGCGAATTTGGGCCACGAACAGTGCGCTGTCGGCGGATAGTAGATCGAGCAGCTGCCGTGGCAGATTTATCTGCTGCTTTGGGTGCCACCTCAGGTTCAACCGGCGTGATAAACAATCTGCGATAGGAGCCGATTAGCATAGGTACGGAGTACGAGAAACGACGGGGGCTGGGGCTGGGTTCTCACGGCAGGCCCATTTTCCACAGGAACGCGAGCTCGAAGATGGATTAAAAGAGGGTGCAGGACGGTGATAGGCACTCTGCGACCGCGGCAATGGCGTCTTTGATGGTAATGAGACGGGTGCGGGTTGTTGCGATGGCTGGGGAGGGAGCGGAAAGTTGAGGCAAAGTTGAGTTCGATGCACGGATGACAGGACAGGATGAATAATACTCTGGGCGAGTGGAGAGCTTTGGCAGCGAAGGGCTTAGCGCGGTTTCGGCTCCTGAGGCTGCACCCTTCGCGCCACGTTATGCAAGGCATCAACTTCCGGGGCAGGGGGGCGAAGCAAATTATTTAAGGTATTTAAGGTATTTATTTGTTATTTATTTAGTGGAGAGGTTCCAAGTGGTATACTCGCCTCATCCCATCAGCACCACCACCATCCATACGAGAACGCCGACAATGCGGCGTCCTGGGCTTCCCGGTCCAACTGTGCCAAAGTGAAGGCGCAGGTGACGACGAAGGGCAGGTGAACGGCGGGAGGGACCACCTCTGCAGGCTTTGCAAGACAACCACGGGCGGTGGCTGTGGAGGATGATACAGCTTGGGCTGGGGCGCATCAATCGCCTTCTTCAACACACGCCGCAAGCATGGAAGGCCATCCACGTTGCCGGCACCAATGGCAAAGGCTCCATATGTGCCTATCTGTCCGCCATGCTTCACGCCAGCGGCGTACGCACCGGCCGATTCACCTCTCCACATCTGATTGATCGCTGGGATTGCGTCACCATCGACCAGCAACCAGCCCAGGAATCCGCTTTTCAGCAAGCAGAAGACCTGATGATGCGGAGGAACGAGTCAGAGGCTATTGGTGCTTCGAAATTCGAGCTTCTCACGGCGACAGCCTTCGAGCTGTTTGCTAGAGAAAAGATTGAAATGGGCGTGGTGGAGGTGGGATTGGGAGGCCGACTCGATGCGACCAATGCGATGCAGCACAAAGCGGTTACTGTCATATCGAAAATTGGCCTGGACCATCAATCGTTTCTTGGAGATACCATCGAACGGATCACCCGTGAAAAGGCTGGTATCATGAGGCCAGGAGTTCCGTGCGTATTAGACAGGAGCAATTCCCCGGCTGTTCATAGAGTCGTCGAAGATTACGCAAGGGAAATCGGCACAGATGTAGTTCTCAGTTCCACCGACTCTGCGTTTCTCGATGACCTGCCGCAGAAGGATTATGAACCTCACCAATGGCAAAACCTGGCCTGCGCATATACCGCATTTCATCTGGCATATACTAAGTCAGAATCGCCGCTACATCGCCTGGCGGCTGCGGTCCAAGACATGCAGTGGCCGGGGCGTCTCCAGACCCTTGATATTCGGGGCATTACAGGGAGACAGGAGCCAGTTCTCCTTGATGGTGCTCATAACGCCCAATCAGCCGAGGTGCTGCGCAGATACGTAGATGGTAGACTACGGAAGGAGGCAGGCAAGGTGACCTGGATATTGGCAGCTTCGCAAGGAAAGGAACTTGACGACGTGATAAAACCCCTTATACACCCGGGTGACTGTGTAACGGCGGTCCAATTCGGTCCTGTTGACGGTATGCCATGGGTCCAGGCCACCCCTCCACAAGATATCTTGGCTGTTGCCGCCGCTTCTGGTGTTGCTGATGGCCAGATGCATAACTCTGGGGCGGACACATCAGATGCAATGCGTTGGGCAACTGCCGTTGCTGCTGGAGGTCCAATTGTCATTGCTGGAAGTCTATATCTTGTCTCTGATGTGTTACGTCTTCTGCGAGATGCGGAGCAGGTACAAGCAAGATATTGGCCTAACAAATCCACTCATCCTTAATGATAGCTCCAATTATGTTACATGCGATGTTGTTGTACTGGGCAATATCCTCATTGCCAAAAGTCTGCTTCACTATACCACTCTTCTTCCTTGAGACCTCCCCCCGTGCACCTTCAATTCCATTAGCTGCAGTGCACATGTCCTATTCCTGACTACTTGTCCGCCGAAAGCCCTAGACAGCCACGATTTTGATACGTCACATTGCCCACAACACTAGCTTTGCTTCAACTTGGCTACTTCGTTCCCCAGGCGTCATCTTCCCTACTCACAACAACCTCATCTACCTCCAACCTCCCATCCACAATCTCCTTCCCATTAACCAAATCATTTTCGTTAACCCTCTTCCAAGCTGCCTCCTCATTAGCCGCAATGCCGGCTTTCACATGTCTCGGGACAAGTCTCTTCCCTGCTGTATCAAAATCCACCTCGACAAACCACAATTCATCCATCAACCCTGCGGCCTCCTTCCACGGCTCCTTATTCAAGCTGAGATAATTCCCTTCAAAGACGATAATCCTATCTGTAGGTGTAATAGGTATATCTTCCAAAACGGGGTCTTTGATAGCGTGGTCGAAGGAGGGCGCATATAGTACTGTGGTTGAGGATGTGAGCGGTTCGCGAATGGATTTCACGAGCATGACGAAGGCGTCGCCATCGAATGTGAACTCTGCGCCGCGCCGATCGTGAGCAAGTTGAGGGTCCGGCATGGAGGAGAGCTGGGCACGAGAGAGGTGGTAGCCATCCATAGGGATGAAGGCTGCGATTGGTGGAGAAGTTTTGGTTTGGTTTTGGTCTTTGGAGGCATGGAGGGCGTTGAGACGGGATGTGACGGTCTTTGCTAGGGTTGTTTTACCTGGTTGATGTTTAGTTAACAATAAAATATTTAGTGGAAGGGGAGGCGGAAAGAGATAGAGCGGAGGGCAGGGTGGTGGAGGCTAGAAAGTGGAAGGTAGAGGAGCTACCAGAGCCTGGAATCCCGGAAATGGCAATAAGAAGACGTTTAGATGCCGGGACTGTTTGGAACTTTGCTAGATTTAGAATTTAGTTCTGGAGATATCCTATTTTGGAGATATAAGGTAGACCTACCCCAGGTCTTCTCGACCAGCCTGTTTACTTGATCCTCCATAACGGGCAACTCAATGGGTACCTGCCAGAACTAAAAACAGGGGTTTTGTTCGAAACCAGGTAGTAACGTAAAACTTGCGTCTTGGTACTGTAATTGTATGGGTTAGGAATCAGAGCAGATATGTCTACGCCGCATTTCCAAACATGGGTTTTGACGATTTTTATATCTTGGTTTCAAACCCGGGGGTCCTATTGGTGACGTAGCGGTGAGGGGGGTTAGAGCTGTTAAGCCCGGCGAATAAATCGCCACGCTCGGACTTGGGGAAGATCAACAGGGCGACCAGGGCATGTCAGACCGAGTTCGGCTATCTCGCAGGAACGAAAGTAAAAAATACCGATAAGGCACCACTTACATAGGTAACCTTGACAACTTTGAAAACACGGACAGTTCTCCGTCCCGCACGCGGTGCTGTGTTGATGGGCTGAAGATGGACGACGAGGATGGCGGTCTTTTCAACATCCATATCAGTTCCTCAGATGAGTCTGCAGACGAATCTCCAAAAGTCCCACGAGACTTTCAGTCCGAGAAGGATTTCCAGCAGCAGAAAGCAGCATGGAGGCCCAAGATTGAGCCTGGAGAGGTAAATCCCTTCCTTCTTACCTAAACTTAGACTAACCAAAATGTCGAATCGAAGTTGTGGAAAACGCTTAAGCTTCCAATGAACAATCCCTCAAAGCCCGAATCCCAGGCCGTCCTACATGCAATTGAGGAATTATATTTCTTTCGGAGGTATGAGGAGGCTAAGAAGGTTGCAGAAGATGCACTGAAGGGGGAGCTGAGTGCCGATTATAAGAAGGTCGTGGTGGGTTACAGGACGAGATGCGATATGAAGCTCGACGGCGTCAAATCAAGAATTAAAGTCTAAACCAAGATATCCGTTCGGACCTCAATATTTCATCCCGGGGCGCCAATCATTTCGGCATTTTACAAGATCCATCGACAAGTTCTGGGAAGAGTGTGCTATGGCGCTGGCTAAGTCCATAACCTCTCCCATATTTGCGTTTTCTTGGGCCAGGACATTTCAACCATCACCATGGGAGACTTCTCACTCTCTCCTCAACGAACTTCCGAATGGTATCACCTCGAGAGATCCTGGCAGCAGGTAAAAACAAAGACTTCAGGCTCGCCAGCCTCGGCCTCTTTGCCCAAGTCTGTGATGAGCAGGAAGAAGCGAGCGAAGTAGAAATTACCATTTGTGGGCGACTTCTCATCCCCCGTATTCTAACAGCCTCTTGGGAATGCGAGTCGGAAGCTGGTAAAGGACTTGCTGTTGAATACTTATCTGCCAGACCCGTGGCGTAGCATTTAGCACTAGAGGAAGCTGTTCGTGATTCGAATTCTTAAAACGAAACACCCAATAATTTTTGTCGATAGCTAGCTTAAGCAGTCAAAGCAATTCAATAGACATATCCCTATTAAAATACTAAATATCCCTATTAAGACGATCTTCCAGCTCTCGGTATCATGATGTACGAGATTGTAGTTGGAAGTCGGATTCGGGACGGTAAAGATGGCTAGGACGTCACAAAGCTGTACATGAAGGGAGAGTTTCCCGGATTAGAGGGAATTGAGGCAAGGTTGGCGAAGGTTGTAAAGAGGTTCTGGCAGGATCAATGTGCGAGTGCTGAAGGCTGATTATGCTTTATTATGTATGGAAGTAGACCCGTAGGTACTCCCTGACTCATCCTCGACTGGAAATATTTATTCCAAGACGATAAGTCGAAGGCCGGGTATGATGCATCTATAATTACATAATGTCTAGGTATATCTCTCAGCAGCGAACTGGATCTCCCTCTAAGCCGAAACTCCCCGCTAAAGCAAAACCCTCCGCCCGATCTGGCCCTTGAACTCCCAAAGTGAACTTTTTATGTACCCGTTCCCGCTCTCTAATGCTCTAAAATGCTGTGCAACGCTAATCGAAGGATGGATCGTAAGCGTCGTGTAGGGAACCGGTAAATCTCATGGTCCTTGCGCGTCTATAGCACCATCTTCTCTCGTTCAATTCCATTTAACTTTTGCTTCTCTTCGCCGAAAACCCTCCGGCTCATCTCGAGCACTGCTTCGAATCCTTCCTTTCCTTTCTGGGCGTTTTCCCTAAACCGAGTAACACTGGCCTCTTCCACGGCATTCTTGACCTTATGCCAGCCACCACACAAAGCGGTGATCTTCGCGTCTTGGACAAACTGTGTCTGTGTAGCTGAGAGCGGTTGGTAGACCACTGATTCCTTCACGCTCAGGATATTTGAATATGTCAAATTCGACGACACCATGGTGACTTTTTTCGATTCCGGGTCAACATATGAGGTTTCGAAGACGTGGGAAGTGTCTGATCCTCCGAGGATCGCGCTCAACCACTTTGGAGCGCTTTGTTTGCAGGTAATTAATCGCTCAGTCCGTAGCTATCATAATGTTAGATAAAGGCACCCGACGAGTACAAGAGTGAGGAGCAACATACAATTCCGGATTGGGGATCCACCTGTCGCGATAAAGTGTCGACGGCGATGACATGCGTCGATTTGTCGTTCCACGGACAGTATTTCCGCCAATTTGCCGTAGAGACCTCCTCCCACGAGTAGTCGAACGTCTCCTCGTTCGAAAAGACCTTCATTTTGATCGCGTGCGCCTTGCAGGACTAGTTATGCCAGTGGCAGGAGTCCGGGGTATCGACAAAACCGCGCTTCAAGTCGCTTTCGAGTTGGGGGGATTCTTATTGTCTGAACAGGACGAGTTCAGTAGGGGAGGGCACTATGTACAAGGAATACGATAATTCGTTCTAGATGGTGGTTTTGGCGGTTTGCGGGTCAAGGGAGGTGTGATGCTAATTATATGGAACCCAGATGATCTTCGAAGTTCGAATGGAGAATACCGGAGAAGAACTAGATTTTTCGCCCCTTCGCTTACCGCTAGTGAGCGTGCTTTGCCGGCTGGCCGACCTGTCAAAAGCGACCGATCGCGGAGAGGCGGCGATCATTAATAATGCCTATGATGAAAGAGCTGCAGATACAGGGAAAGGAACTCTTGAAAGAGAGAATGGTTGGCTCGGGGTTGGCTCTTTGTTCTCATTGTAGCGGCGACTCTTCTTTCTCCGCATATTGCATAATATGTCCCACTCGGTATGTAAAGGCTCAACCGCACCACTCTACACCTATTCATAATTCCATGGATATCTTCTTAATGCATCTGCTAAGTTACCTACCTACCTAGGTAGGTAGGTATTAATAAGTACCTATGTATCCAGAGATATCTACTTACCTAGGTAGCTACATCTATCTCTATGCCTGCGGAGATACTGTACGTTCCTACTAGTAGTCCATACACCTATTCAGTCGGCGATTTTGTGCCTCGGTGTTGCCAACTGCCACATAAATGCCATTCGCGTCTCTTCGGTCTCCGCGCTGGGCCTGGGCCTTGAGTCCTGGACTGCGCTGGGGGGTTGGTTGAATCGATCCGGCAGGTCAACTTTTTGCTCTTTTGCTCTGGGTTTATTATTATTAAACTCCTTCCGTTTCGCCCGCATTCGCCATACTGTATATGCCAGCCGGAGCAAGCGGTGCTTCTGATAAAAAAAGACCAGCCACAACCTCCGGCGAATCACGGCACGGGGGTTTCGGTTCCGTGCTATAAACTGCTTTCTCTGCTCTAATATCCATCTTCCCCAGCTTCCAGGTTGCTCGCTTATGAGGTTCTTGGGTACACAAAGGTGCTCATTTGCCCGATGGTTCTAGTCCTGCTGCAAAGCTGGGGTCGATCGCTCTCATTCATGGCCACAGGAGAGGAGAACGTGCGTCCCCTGGCTCAGATGTGCGTACAGTAGCATGATATGACGGGATTGCTCAGCTTGTTATAATTCAACGCCCACCCATCACTCACCACCACACCACTCACTATAACTCACTCCTTACTGCGCTCATTTCCCTGCTTGCTAGCCTCTCTCCCAATCTTATCCCTAGTCCCTCCGAGTTGTTGTGCTGTGCATCGAGAACTTACCTTCGGCTTTGCGCAAACGCGTCGCGTACGTTTCACTCCTTTGCGCCAGCCATCCTCATCAATTCAGCATCTTGCGCAGCTGGTCATTTAGCAGTAATCCCGTCTTTAACAACTTGCAAAATGCCTCCCACGTTGCGAAAACGCAAAGCGCCTGCAGTTGAGCCCGCGACAGCACCTCCCGCCAAAAGGAAGGGCCCCGTCGCCAAAGCTGTCGCAAAGGTGAAGGAGGCCGTGAGCCCTAAATCTACCAAGACCAATGGCTCAGCAAGTATATCCAAGGTCGCTGTTGGTGGAATTGTTGACCTCGATGGATTCGGTGGTGAAATCGAGACAAATGATGGAGTAAAGACTACTCTCAAGAAGTTGGTGGATGAGAGTAAGAATGGGGTTGTTCTCTTTACATATCCAAAGGCTTCCACACCTGGTTGTAAGTAGCTAATCCGTGTCAATTACTCGATATTCTGGTTCCGCGAGACTAATTGGCGCAGGTACAAAGCAAGCCTGCATCTTCCGCGATCAGTATACACCCCTCACATCTACAGGATTCTCCATCTATGGACTCTCAAAGGATTCGCCCAAAGCCAATACCACCTTCAAGCAGAAACAGAAACTCCCATATCCTCTCCTCTGTGACCCCAGCGCAACTCTCATCTCCGCCATTGGTTTAAAGAAAGCTCCTGCCGGTACTACCAGAGGTGTATTTGTGATCGATAAATCCGGCAAGGTTCTGGCAGCCCAGCCTGGCTCACCCACCGGCACTGTTGATATCGTGGAGAAGCTTGTGAAAAGTGGCAGCTCAACTGCTTCAGAGCCTAGTGAAGATAAGGAGGAGAAGCCCGAAACTGAGGCCGTTGCTCCAGCCGCAAATGGGGTCGGTGCTCATGGGCCTTCGAAGGACGATGTTGCTCAGGCGGAAGTTGCTTCACAGGTTGCTGATACTGCTGAGAAGCTTGATAGCAACGAGGAGACGCCTGCTGCAGCTTAACCATATCAAGTCAACTTGAAAAATAACAGGGCATTTTCGATTACGAGTTTGGTTTTATATTTGATATCACGAAGTAGGGACTGTGATGGTCGCAATGGGCGTCAATGGAACATGCTGCCCTGGTCCTGGGAGGATTCACATTCTCTATTTGTAATAGCTAAGGGGTCATGGATAGGATATGAAATATACATGGAAATGATCAAACTAGCTCTGGCGCTTCCCTTACTAACACATGACATCCAGTGGTCCATTTAGGTTACATAGGTATGTCAAATCAGTCTCGTCTTGTAATGTCCAAATTCATATCTTCAACTAATAATTGAATCATTATTTGAACTTGTAATATACCCAAGACTTTTAACCATTAGCTAATGCTATACGTCGTATAACATGGATGATGTATGATTGTTATGGCTATGAATCGCACTGTTTGAACGGTTCGGATAAACCTCGGAACAACCATCTCGAAGTTCAATCGCCAGTTCTAACGACGATCCGTCGTCAATCCCAATTTATTGAGCTCCTTGAACACCGACAACGAGTCAATTGTCCTTTAGTTGCGCATCGAGTGGCGCACCAAGAGCTGGAAAATGTCTCCGCAAGCAGCAGCCAAAGCTGTTGGCCGCGTCATTCCCGTCAGCAAGGTAGGTTTGACTCTGGGTTGCGTCAAGCACCCTCACATCCTTCACGTCCCTCACTCCCCAAGCTCATAGACTAATGTGCCCGGCTCTAGAAATACACATTACAGTCAACCGGAGTCTGGGAGGTTATCCGCCGTTTCTTCGCCGTCGACCCCTCCCGCAGTAATGGCATCCCCCTCAACCCGGAATTCCGCAACCCACCTCCAGGATCCAACCCTCCACACTCCTTCGCCGACCCCGTTACCATTCCCGCGGGGGACATCGCCGGTAATCCCTACTGGAAGCGTGATTCAAGACGCGCATACCCAGTTCTGTCGACCGTTACCCAAGGGGATGCGGTGGGGCTGTTGAGTGTTGGGAGTGAGGCGGCGCCGAAAAAGGAATTGATTGGAGAGGCTGGTAGCAAGGAGTTGCTGAGTGTCAAGGAGGAGGGCCAGACAGGCCTAGCGAGCTATTTTGATAAGGGAGGCAAGCAGAGTGTTTTGGGTGCCCTAGGAAAGGATGGTTTGCCGCCTTTGCCTAGTGGGCTAAGTTTGAAGGCTGGGGCTGATAAGTATGTGTTGACTAAGGAGAATGCGTATCCCGAAAAGTGAGTGCTCTTGACAAGAACCAAATTCAGCTAGAAATGGTGCTAACTGCGTTATTAGATATCCGTGTCGGACGTTCCAATAGAGGTGGGGAGGTGCTAGAAGTGTCGCTTTGTACATAAGAGAGAACGGCAGAATTATCAGAGAATCTACACAGCAAAAGTCAGACGGACTTTATTTCCTTTGAAGTTTCAGATCAACTGCTTGGATTTGCGGAAGTCTTGCGTAATGTTGTTCGTTCGTCTTGGAACTGCCCTATAAGAGTTGGACCATGACCAAATAGATGGCACATGTGTTCATAACAAGCAATAACAACGCAGTATAATCGGTCATGTTTTTTTTGGTACTGGCTCTATTATCTGAGACTATTATTTAGCTTGATGAGCTTCTAGGAAGGCTGAAGAAACTCCTACTGGTTCTCAAGCTGTCGGCCTTTTTCGTGTATAACAAAAAGGCAACCCCAATACCACATATATATCTACTTTGCATTTAAGGGTCCTCTTTCGCGTCAATTAGCAATAGCCTAAGTTATACGAGGGCTCCTTGAGGGTGGCACAATTCTCCGAAGATAATGTTTGTCCTCCTTGCCTCCTAGCCGCGTTTGACTCGTGATATCGTTTGGAAACTCTGTCGGTGGATTTGTACCCCCCACTGACCGTGCACATGCTCTTTCTGCTGGTGCGAGGAGTCGATAGCCTCCATATAGTGATAAGGTTAGTCACGTGTGTGTCACTTTTCCTGCGTTCTGCCTCCCATAGGTACCTATATAGTTCAAAATAGGCAGTTTTTATTTTAAGGAAGACAACAGGCGGCCACTTGGCTAAGTGGTTCAGGTCAAATTGTCTTCTGGAGAGGATTGATTGGGACAAAACGACAAAACCGGCAAGAGATGTAGGCATTCGACACCGGGCCGAACTCTTTTGCTTCCAGAGTATGCGATTGGTTTTTAATTTCTAGTATCCTTTTCCTGCCTTTAATTGTAATAATTGATATTATCTTTTTTTTGGTTCGCTTATTGTGAGTGGGCTGTTGCGAGTTGGCGAGAGTGGCAGAACCGGAGAGGGAATGGCGGTGGTTACAGCTCGATAGCAAGCGGAGTGAATAGCCAGGGTAGGTAGCTTAGGTAATGGGGTATGCTAGGTACAGCACTTCACTTTCCCCTCGAAAACAGAAGGCTATGAAAGAGACCTCAATTCAAGCTTCACATTCATTTGGCTTTCTTATCCTCTTGATAGACAACCCAAACACTACATTAAAAGTAACAAGATCTAGCCTTGTATTAGCATGAAGGTGCCCTTTTTTTTTTAACTCCCCAGGTCTATAATACCTTGACTACACGTCCTAAACGTAAATGTACCAAGGCAATACCTGACAGTAGCCTAAACCTTTAAAGTAGCTGTTTCTATCACTTCTTCGTCTATAGCGAAGCCCGAGTTCAAGAATACTAGTATGTGGAGTTATATGTGGTTATCGCTATCCGTAAATCCAAGTCAAGGTCTTATGATATGTAGGACGTTGTTTCTAATTTTAAAAGGCTTATCAGCTCAAATCAAATCAATCCCTCACAATAGTTTAATATCCTATTGTCATTGACTCTTTCCAAACTAGTACTGTGAGGCATGTGAAAATGCCAACGCAGAAAAAAGTCACCATTACAATAGGAGTGATACCAATTGTACACTCTTACTATTGTCTACACTGGAGGTAAGCCTATATATTTCTCGACTCCAGTACCAGTTCGACATTCCTTCCCTCCAGCGACCACGACATTTCCCATCCCACCTCCAGCGACCATCATGTCAAATACCCGACAGCAATCTACCTCTAGCTACATTGACATGTCAAGTCCTCGGGCTATACCAAGTTCCAGCCCGAAATATTTCAACTCCAATCAGGAACGAGCTGGCCCCTCTTCGAATATCCTCAGCGAGAGGACAATGTCCCGAAATAGGAGAAGTGCTTCTCCTTCCCCCTCTGACGGGTCCCAAGTCTCAGAAAATGTAAGTTCAGTTACTTTTACAAAATCGCAGATTTAGTAAGAGATAGACTTTCTAATAAGAAACTATAGAAACGACTAAAAGCCTCCGAAGCCATTCTCCAGGAGAAGGCAAGATTTAAGAAACAAATCCGACGTCTGAAGCATACTATGCGGACGATTATCGAGCTGGAGTTGAGGGAGAAGATTCGGGGAGAGGTGGAGGAAGAGGTGGAGAGGGAGCTCCGCTGGAAGCTGGAAAAGAAAATCCGCGTCCGCAAATCCAAAGAGATGGAGGAGAATATTAAGAAGGCGATCAAGGAGGGGGTGGAGGAGGAGACGAAGAAGATTAGGGAGCAGTTTGAGAGGAGTTTGGGGTTGCGATTGGGAGAGGAAGAGTGGATGAAGAAGACCGTGGGCGAGAACGTGAAGAGAAAGAAGGGAGTTTAGTTTGTTATAACTTTTCTATTGGAATTTGAAGTACCTAGTGGATACTGGAGATACACGACACTTGTCCCTCTCGTATTTATGAATGGAAGTTGAAAATAGTGATCGCGACCTACAACTTGATCGCAGCGGAGATGTTCAGTATAAGAGGAATTGAAATGAAATTGCACAGTATTTACAACTACCCGAGAGTGATCGAATCCGGACTGAGCTATCTCCAAATTCATAAAATCATCGCATCTTATCCCATGCTGTTGCCAAATTCCGTTGCCCAAAACACCTTCTCTACACTACACCCCCTGCGTTACTTTCCACCACCAAACCAGCTTGTGATGCCACCCTTAGCCTTCTCTGCACCTTCTTCGAATTTCCGATCAACTGCATCAATTTTCTTGTTAATGTCCTTGCTGGCGTCCTTGCGGTATTGATCAATTTCAGCCCCGGTTTTTGAGAGCTTTGATTTTGCTTGCTCGGTCTGATTGGTGGCAGTGTCAGTACGTGGCTTATGCTTGTGGTATGGTAGCTTCAAGGGACGTCTCAGATGACAAATGAACGGGGAAGAGATATAAGGGTTCGTAAAACTGGGTAGGGCCACGAACCAGAGCGTCCACCTTTGCACCAGCCTCAGTTGCCCATTTCTCACCTTCTTTCTCAACTCGATTGGCACGTCCAGGCAACTCCGACTTTATTTTGCTCGAAGCTTTGGAAAGATCATCTATTACGTAGGCGTTATTAACTGCGGGGTGCCTCGTTGTCAGGCTCACTGTGGAATGGGTGAAAGCTTACGCTCCAGCTCCTTCTCTGCGGCCTTTGGTGACCCGCCTGCTTTGTAGAGGTAGTAGCCTACGCCAGCGGCTGCCGCTGTGCCAAGGTAGAGGGGAGCTCTAGACTTTGGTGCTGCCATTGTATTGTGCGTTATCGAGGAGCTGTGAGGGATTCGGAGAGTATATATAGTATGGAGTTGATAGTTGTTGGTTGCGTATGGGAATGGGAAGTTGAAGAGGGAGAAGTAGAGCGATCCGGTGGAATATAAGGAGAAGGAAAAGCTCGGAAGGAATAAATGTGCGAGATGTATTGCATGATGTACTACGTACCGGTGCTATACGGAATAGAGAGATCGACGATTGGCTGGTACACGACAAAGCGATCAGCTTGCTGGAAACGGTGCTGTTTCTCTAGCTACGTCATCAACGTAACCGTTCAATTCCAAGCGGGGGAGAATGTGGCTGGTGAGTAGTGGCTGGTGAGTGGCTGGTGTACAAGCTTGAGGATGTATAATACTCCGTAGCGTGTAGTTGTGTGTGGCACCAACCTATTCGCCTGGCAAGATGTGACTACCACGTTTTACATACAAACTATTGTATTCCCTAGTAAGAGTAGGAAATAATAAAATGTTGTAACATTATTCTATCCGAAATACTCCGTGGCTTACACAATTCTGTGATATGTTGTTGATGTTCACGAAGTTGGAAGATTGCCAACACAACATTTGCAATCCCTGTAGTCCTAAATGCGCGTCATACAGCTCCTGTATTGATACCCTGACATGACGGAAACCTTCCACAGCACCTTGGAAAGCGTAGCTTTCAACATGGCTTACCTATCTTCTTGCACCATAATTTCCTGGACATAACCATAGCCGCCAATGTGAATACAACGGTGACTAATATCATAATCAAATCATTCCAAGTACTGTCTCAGAAGTTGCCACTGAACGACATCAACAACATCAAATCTCCATCGACTCTGAAGCACAGTCCGTTGTAGCGTAGTAGGAGTCACCAACACCTACAGTATGCATCCCCACCTATAGGAAGTGAAATGTCTCTCCTGCATTCCTCGACGCGCCGCCCTAAACCCCTCGAAGACGCAGACTGCGACCACGAAATCAGTCTCGTTGACCATACGGGACCCAATCCAGTTGGTAGCCCTGCTGAAAATGAATCTATTACGGCCATCCCCTCCGCGACTACAGAAGCTTCGGACTCCTCATCGACGAGAGATAGAGATGCTTCTCCACGAAAGACCCATACCAGACAACGCTTACATGAGCAAATCTCAAAACGGAAATACAAGAAATATCAGGATCGTGGTGTAGAAGCAGACGGGAGGGATGCGGATGGTGATGAAGGGGGCGCGGATGAGGTTGTGACAGAAGATGGCGATGGGCAGGAGCCGGCGAACGAAGAGACCGAAGATCGAGGCCGTACAAGCATCAAGGAAATCCCGAAGCCAGATTCCGCGATAGACGTCCTATACGAGAACCAGCGGGGCGGCTTTCTCTGCGGAATACCCCTATTCTCCTCCAGGGCCTTGGGAAATCTCGACCCTTCGGCCTGGACGAACATTGCTCAGAAAACAAGCGCAACAAATATAACCAATGCGCAAGTCCCTGACCCGTCCTGGAAATGGGCATGGAAAGACTGGTCCATAAACCACGAGAACGACGTGGATGAAGACGGGTGGGAATACTCCTTTGCTTTCGCCAAACAATTTTCGTGGCATGGCCCATCATGGTGGAACTCTTTCGTAAGACGGAGAGCGTGGATCAGGAAGCGGGTTAGGAAGAATGCCGGGTTCCAGGCCCCCGAAGCGCATAGATTGAACTCTGATTATTTTACGGTCCAGCCAGCTGTGGATAGGAGTCGGAGTCGGCAGTCGACTACGGAATCGAAGAGATATAGCATTGATCAACTGGCTTCCCGAAAGATGGAAGAACCTGATGCTGTGGAAGATATTCGAGATATCGAGGCCCTGATGACGGCTTTGAAACATGCCAGCATCGATAGGGAGAAACTCGAGATTGTCGAGAATTTTATTAGGAATGGTGGGGATGAGTTGTGTCATTTGAAGCAGCACAGGCATGACATTCTCAGGATGTTCATTTTCCAAGCTTCGAGGAAGATCTTACTCGCACACCTACATAAGCTATATGAGGAAGCCGCAGAAGAGCTGGGGCAGCATGATGAGGAGGGAAATGATGTAGATTCGCCTAAGCAGCGATGGCTGCGGAACTTAGAGGTGGCATTGCGAGGTGCTGATGAGGAAGTCAAGAAGTTGGAATTTTGGGGTGATGTCAAGGATCTGGCGGAGACAGGCGAAACAAAAGGGGCTGTAGATGAGTCCCAGGGTTGGAATAGCAGAATATGGGAGGGTATTGATAATAGTGGACCAAAGGATGTTTTGTCTAATCCAGAGGCTTCTGCAACAGAAAGCTGCAAAATTGGAGCCGCGGTTTTAGAGGATACGGAAAAGGGAAAATCGAAAGCGAAGGAATAGATAGCATCTTAGCACTGGCGCCCTTGGAGAGCCCTCTTTTTGCAGATGGATAAGTATTCGTCCTTAGTATAGCGATCCGATAGCTCTCACGACCCTACAGATATAATATTATTAACATATATGCCCACAGATGTAATATGCATGAGTGAAGAATTCTCTGCCAGGTGATGCGTTCGTAGAGACAGATCGAAATGTACTTGATAATATTGTCTGGGAAAGCAACATATACAACTACCGGCTCCAAATATCCTTCAAAGTAATGTATGGTATAAATAATCATTATTGAAAGAGACTCCGGACTCCTGAAGCAGCCAAGTCCAGCACGCCACTTCCCATTACCATATAGCCCTATTTCATCCCAAAACCCTTTCATGCATTCCTTCCTCTCCTAACCTCCCTCCCCATCTCTAGTCCCTCACTAATCTCCAACTCGATAACTAACCAAAGTATCCACCTTATGATTCGTCGTACTAAAACTCCTTAGTTGCACTTTCTCGCCATTTTTAATCTCCTTCGCATCGCTATCTCCCCATTCCATCGGTACCTCACTATCCGCATCCGCATAAACTAACACATTGAACGTGCAATCGCCGTCGAGCTGTGGGAGGAAGGTTACTGAAGCGGTGATTTGTCGGAAGATGGACTGTATCTCGGCTTGGATTTCTACTTCTGTTTTTTCTGGTGGTGGGGCGGGTGCGTCACTGTTTCAGAAAGAAACATATGTTAGAAGGAGGTAAATGGTAGAGATATATTGAGCGTAGGATAAGGAGGAAGGAAGCCTTACTTAGGAGTAGCGTTTTCCTTGTCAGCGCTCTTCTTCGAAGATTTCTTGGAGGAGGATTTGTTGAATATTTGGACCTGTTATCCGTCGCAAATCAGCTAATAATTCTTAAATGTTGCAATTTGGAATGCAGTTGGACATACGTCAAACTGCCATCGCTCGACGTGCTCGCCAGTATCTTTACTCGTAATAACAACAACAAGCTTCGATATCTTTCCTCCAATCATCCACTTATCGAGCTGTGACATTATTTTCTTTATGTACGCCTTGACTTGATCGTCCGATGAGACCAGCATTGTGAGGCCATACTTCTTGACACTGCGGATGAGATATTAGATATGATTTCGATATGGAGAGGGACGCAAGCAGGAGGGGAGACGGACGCTGTGAAGTCTTCGGCGGGGTAAACTCCACGCTGGAATCTATAAACGAGTCAGTGGCTGGCATGTTCGGAGATGTGTTGGAGATAGGATACATACAGTATGGTATTTATCGAGTATTGGAACTAGCTTTTGTTAACCTGCTATTCGCATACCATCTCCTACAGCGATTCAAGGGTTCACTCACGAATTCCGCAACCAGCTTCGATGACCCTGCGCCACTATATATCAGAGCTGTGCGCAAATCGGAAATCAGCAGCAAACATACCTTTCAGCGAAAGCTTATGGACCTTCGATTTATCTTTCTCTCGTTCGACAGACATCTTCGTTGGTTTGATAAGAAGTTGAATCAATCAGTATCTTGCGCCTGAGATCTGCCGGATCTCCCTGGAAAGATTAAGGTTCAGTATCGGTTGTCGGGGTGATCGGCTATTTTTCGGCAGTTCCTCGACCCTACTCCTGAAGCCGAAATGATTTTTGGGATTGCACTCAATCAACGAGCCTTGAAAGCCACCACTCATTGCCAATGCAGCGATGTCCATTGCAACTCCTCCGGCTCCCTAGCACCCTTAGAAGCCAATATGCTTCTCAATTCTTCACCTTATCCAAACAGGTGCCTTCGCGCACATTCACCACCTCAATAGCGCTCCGTGCCGCTCAAGCATCGAAAACCATTTCAGAGCTTGAGCGCCGCATCCAAGACATCCCTATCGAACGATTCCGCAACTTTTGCATAGTAGCGCACGTCGACCATGGGAAGAGCACGCTCAGCGACCGCCTACTAGAGTTGACGGGGACGATCGAGCCGGGGGGCAACAAGCAGATCTTAGATAAGTTAGACGTGGAGAGGGAACGGGGTATTACCGTCAAGGCGCAGACATGTTCTATGCTGTATAACTACGAGGGCGAGGATTATTTGCTGCATCTGGTAGATACGCCCGGACATGTGGATTTTCGAGCTGAGGTTTCGAGGTCATATGCCAGCTGTGGAGGGGCGTTACTTCTGGTCGATGCTAGTCAGGGCGTCCAGGCTCAGACGGTAGCCAATTTTTATCTTGCGTTCTCGCAAGGCCTAGTGCTTGTCCCTGTTATAAATAAAGTTGATCTGCCTTCGGCGGATGCACCTAGGGCGCTAGAGCAGATGAAAACGGCATTTGAGTTAGAACCGGAGAATGCGGTTTTGGTGTCTGCGAAGTCGGGACTTAATGTTGAGAAGATTCTACCGAATGTCATCAAGCAGATTCCTCATCCTGTGGGGGATCATACGAAGCCTCTAAGACTTTTACTGGTTGACTCATGGTATGATAACTACAAGGGGGTCATCTTGTTGGTCCGGATATTTGATGGGCAGGTCAAGGCTGGGGACCATGTGGTATCATTCGCAACAGGTATCAGATACTTCGTTGGAGAAGTTGGGATGATGTACCCCCATCAAACACCTCAGAGTGTCCTTCGAGCGGGCCAGGTTGGGTATATATACTTCAACCCTGGTATGAAAAAGAGTCAGGAGGCATTGAGCGGAGACACCTTCACCACTGTTGGGTCAGAAAAGCTGGTTGAGCCGTATCCAGGCTTCGAGGAACCAAAATCCATGGTATTTGTCTCGGCGTTCCCAGTCGATCAGGGTGACCATGGCCATCTGGAAGACTCCATCAACCAAATCGTTCTAAACGATCGAAGCGTTACCCTACAGAAAGAGTCTTCTGAGGCCTTGGGTGCGGGCTGGAGATTAGGATTTCTCGGCACACTCCATTGTTCTGTATTTGAAGACCGCCTTCGGCAAGAGCACGGCGCTACAATTATTCTTACCCCTCCCACCGTCCCTTTCAAAGTGATCTGGGGCGACGGCCGCGAGGAAGTCATTCAATCTCCCACAAAATTCCCCGATACCGATTCCCATCATCGGAAAGTTTCCGAGTTCCAAGAACCATATGTCTCGGCCACTATCACGCTTCCGGAAGAATATCTGGGAAAGGTGATAGAACTTTGCGAGGCGAATCGTGGCGAGCAGAAGGAACTCAGCTTCTTCACCGCAACACAAGTCATCCTCAAATACGACCTGCCACTTGCGCAACTGGTGGATGATTTCTTTGGGAAGCTTAAGGGCGGTACTAAGGGGTATGCGAGTCTTGATTACGAAGATGCTGGATTCCGAAGAAGTGATGTCGTCAAGATGCAATTACTCGTCAACAAAGAGCCGGTTGACGCCGTGGCCCGAGTTTTGCATAGCTCCCAGGTCCAGAGACTTGGTCGGATATGGGTGAAGAAGTTCAAAGAACATGTTGACAGGCAGATGTATGAGGTTGTCATTCAAGCTGCGGTAGGGAATAGAATCGTGGCTAGGGAAACGATCAAGCCGTTTAGAAAGGATGTGCTGCAGAAATTGCATGCTGCTGATATTGGGAGGAAACGGAAGTTGTTGGACAAGCAGAAGGAAGGGAGGAAAAAGCTGAAGGCCGTGGGGAATATCACGATCGATCATACGGCGTTCCAGAAATTCCTTGCTAAGTAGACGATGGGACTGGGGTTGAACGTGTATAATCAGATAGATGCTAATGGATATATCCTGAATTCTCAAAGGTTGAAGGCCATTTCTTGAACTTGCAACGCCTAACTGATGCACTCTCGCTTAATCTCGATCAAATCTATGCCGAGCAAAAGGGGGGAAATTGAACAAGAGCGTCGATGCCTCAACATCTTGAGGCTCTCACGAGCCAACTCAAGTATGTGATGGGAGCAACACCAACAAGCAGGAGGTGGATGTTGTAAAAGGATGCGATGCACTGCGACTTTGGATGACCATGGCTGAACCAGATGACCTAGATGGTTTGGGTAATATGGTGTGAGCGCGGTGAGCTAGATGAAATGTGAAAATGGTATAAAGATAGACTCTCCACCACCTCTACCTTGGGCGGTCTGCTATCTACAACATCATCTCCCCCTTTTTAAGGTTTTATTACCTGCTACAATTGGCCGGAAAACCCTCTCCCTGGAAGCATCCAATCAATAGAATGTGTTAACCTGGAGACACAGTATGTGGATGTATAGAAGATGATTTAAGTCCCAATCAATAGTATAATTAATTTTTGTAAGTTATTACATTATTTATCCTTAGCTAGGTATAGCCCACTTCGCATTCACCCTCACAGTTTCGATGTCGAGTGGCGCAACGTTAGTCAAGCTTGTTGTAATCTTTGGAATATCATACGGGATACCGGGCTGCAAACTCGCTAAGTCGTCGTACCAGTAGCACCTGACCGACGTATCGCTAGTAGTGCAACTAGAATAGGGGTCTTTATTCCAGTCAAATGTGCCTGAGCCGTCAAAATAAATTCTATACCTGATTAGCATAATATACAAGGGGGAAGCCTAAAAAAAGAAACTAAAGGAGAGAGAGAGGCCTACGGGTGTGCTGCATCCTTGTCGGTGCACTGCCACACTTTATCCAGTGTTAAAACCTTTTTAAATGGATCAAAGCTGAAGCTGCAATTCCAGTGGATTGGTTGACCGTCGCCATAGCTATTGCAGTTGTACCTAAAACATTAGTCAGCCTCGTCATTTTCTTTCGTTGCTATTCTACTACTATTACTGCTGCAGATTATCCTTAAAACGCAATACTTACACCGTATTTATACCACTTCCCGATAAGGGCGGCGCACTCGAAGAGAAGAAGTAGTCCGCGAAGCCTGGGCCGGTCAGGCCGCAGGTAAACTGATTTAGCGTCACGCTGTTTGGATCATTGGCTGGGAATGTGTTCGTTTCGAAGAACAGGCCGCGCATATAAAAAGTTGGGTTAACAACGCTGTCAAAGGTGCAACCGCCGTGAACGGGATCTGCCGTCACGAGGGAGAATTCTGGAAGCGTCTGCTTGGCGGTTTGGGCTCCCTTGACGGCATGGGATGGGTTCGGGTCGGTGCAGATAGTGACAATGTCGTCCGGAGTGCCTGTGATGCCCGGGGTCGACGAGCAGCTAAGCTGTAGTGAGGTGCTACCCGCAGCGGCAATGACGGTCCTTGTCTATAGTCAGCTACTGCTATATCCATTGGATCATTTGGCCCGAGGACCAGGATCAGGATCAGGATCAGACTCACGGTTTGACGTTAGTCTTAGGGTTCTCAAGGCAGTACCACAACTCCTCGACTTTGAGTTCGAAATTAGGCGCTTGGCCGGTGAAGGTCACGTCAAGCGTAATGTTGTTGAATCCTCCCCCCGTACAGCGCAAAGGACTAGGAGGGAGGAATTTCTCATATGACGGCGTGAAGCTGCAAGCTACCTCGTGCTCTATAGCGTTGTTTTTCACCTTGAAGTTGAGGTGCACGCCCTTGGGCTTGAAGCCAGTATCTGGTTGGACGAGACAGAATTGTTCTGGGATGTACCACTCTTTACACTGGCCCTTGGTATAATTCTGGTACGACACGTCGGTTACCGTCCACTGATTATCGCCAACACTCGCACATGATGCCGCGTCGTAGCCTGGGGGCGGCGATGGCTGGGCCGGCGTCAATGGGAGGGGTAGACTCAGGGTGCCGGGCACAAGGTACGGGATCGGAGAGACGCAGTCAGATCCAGAGCATTGGGTAATGGTGGTGCTGCCGCTGGCCGTGAAGGTGACCCTGTGGTTGTTGCTGGTCAATACAAGTGATTCCTCATTACTCTATATTCCGTATACTAGGTCACTTACTTGCCACCTTCGTCACCACACACCCAAATCTCGCTCAGCTTGATGACGGGGCCGTTCGGGCTCTGAGAGAGGTAGCCGCGGAGCTCATCGTTGCCGGAAGTTTGGCATTCACCATCCGACTTGCACTGGAGGTCGCCAATCCGCCCGTTCGGTTCTGAAGCACGGTTGTCCACGGTAAAGGTCGTGGTGCCGCCAGAAACCGTGTACTTGGTGATGATCCAGCTCGGGATCGTCAGGGACTTGTCCGTGCATCGTCCTGATGGCCACGTGGGCGGCGCTGCAGGAACGTCGATTGCCAAAGCACTCACTGCCAAAGCAGCAGCGGCGAGAATCACTGAAATACCCATCTTGGTTAGCAGCTGGTTTTGAAAGGGCAATTACAAAGCTGCGCAGAGGGAACGCTACCTACCTTATATATTTTATATTTGAGGCACAGGGACGCTTGACTAGCGCTTGACTATCTCTACCTCCGTAGAATTTGATCTGTTTACGGAGTAGAAAACAACCTACCAATCTTGGTGATGATTGCAAATACTGTAGATTGGAGGAGCTACACCAAGATGACTTCCACGTACAAAGACTCGCGTGTATGGTGCAGGCTAATATCGACCTATCATAACCCCGCTGCCTATACGTAAAGGCCGCCATTTAGCCGATTCGACCCCCCTAAAATTCCAAATAGTAAGCACGTCGACGTAGTACTCATTTACATATTCGTCGCTGTAGAGGCTTGGTCGGTGGTATTTCCCCTCAGCTACCATCGTTGCAGAGGATGAGATGCCTGTTGCAGAAGCGGGAGCCCTGCTCCGTCCTCCGCGCAGTATGTTGAACGTCAGGCCAGAATGCTGAATCATTGCTGATCTATGGGAATCTGCACCGGTGCAAGGATGAAAAGGCTTAAATGAAATATCTATCCTCGGTCACCACGCCATGTGTTATGCCTACCTCACGTTAAGTGGTACTTACTCCGTATACGAGAGTCGATAAGTGGAGTAATCTACAGAGTAAGTAAGTCGTACAGTAACCCAGCTGCTGGATCAGGACGAGTAATCTTATTTTACCAATGTGCCCCTTAATTTCAGAGCCCAGCTTCCTCTACCTTCCTTTATAATAACTTTTCGTTCCTCTACGGAGTACTCCGTAATTCATTGATCTTGGCCAGAAAAATTTAGACCCCAGGCAGCAAACCTGCCAAGTCACGTACCCGGTGGCCGAAAAGAGGCCTATATTTGAGCCTCGCTGGCGTACGGAGTAAGTCCGAAGGATCTCCATTCCCACACGTCCTGTATGAACCGACGGCCAGTATGGCTACGCATGGCATACTCTACATTGGAATAGGGACAGTTGCTTCTGGCCCTGCGCTCGTAGACCTGGGAAAGAGAATCGAACTCCAGCTGTCTAAATTATTTGCCCTAAAGGACGTCCATTTGTCAGCGTGTTACACTCAAATTGCACAGGGAGAAAAGCAACCTCTAGTGGTGGTGTATCATCTGGAGAAGACAGCTCTTGAACGCTTTCCTAATCTCAATGATCCCGAATTCCAGATTACGGAGCTACTTGAGACAGAAACATCACCAAATCTGGCGGCGGAAATGAGGCTGTACGAACAGATCCAGGTATATCAGCTAGATGAGGCTCGTGACCCTCAAATTGAAGGTAAGTATTTGAGAAGAGCGAGACTCATATGTCGTGCTAACCTTGTCAGTGATCATAAAAGGGGGAACCCCAGGACCTTACGCCATCTTTGCAGCAATCGAACCGGCTGCTGGAACGGACAACGATTTAGACAACTGGTATCGGCAGGAACATCTTGGACTCGTCTCAGAGGTCGGTGGTTTCATTCGAAGTAGGAGGTACAAGCTCCGAGAACTCTTCACCTTTGACCTATCCATTGGCCAGCAGAATGAAAACATTGTCCCGCGTTACCTTGCTATTCACGAATTCCAAAATGCAGATTATGTTGGTGAAACCCTCACCCCACCTACGGTGTGGTCAGCTAGAATTTTGAAATCTGTTCGGCACGTGGATCTTTCAGTCTACAAGCTGCTCAACTTCTTGGGAACCAGAGATGGATAGTTTGGACAATCATGCGTTTGTTCCTACATTTGCCAGATCTGTCGTTTAAGAGTCCGACTCAGCGGGACCGAGAATAACAAATTACGATAGCTAGGCTATCAGCTTTTGGGCTCATTGGCTGTACAAAGATACTCGGGCAACGTTTAGATTATGCATAGATGGTTCAGGTATACGCGTTGCTCTCGTTGAACCAATTACACATTTGTCAAAGAGAATCGAGTTCACATTGCACTACTGCTAAAGAACGTAAGAACACATGTAAATCCATCATATTCAAAACCTTCACTGACACCCGGGTGACATCAAGATATGTCACAACAACTCCGTCAACATTCATCTCCTCCAGCTGCTCAGCATGTAACTGACAAGTACTTGATCGCATATGAGTGAATCGAGCTGTCAAAACTGCTCGGGTCCAGCCCTAAGTGCTAGCCTCTGCTGTTGAAGCTTCGGCAGCTTCGGCATCTTCCGGGGTAAGCTGAAGAGTTGTTAGCTCATATGGGATTCGCAAACTTTGGAAGTTTGGCCTTACGAAAGCGAATCCATATTTGAATTGTCTTTTCTCGACATTTCGCTTCTCAGCGTCGGCGGCAGCTGCCTCCGCTTCCTCCGGGGTCAAGAAGGCGAAGCCGTACTTGAATTGTCTCTTGTCTAGACCGCGCTTCTCTGTCTCCGTAGCAGCGGCCTCGGCCTCCTCTGGGGTCAGGAAGGCGAAGCCGTACTTGAACTGCCTCTTTTCCACGGCACGGTTGGCATCAGCGGCGGCAGCTTCGGCATCTTCTGGTGTGAGAAAAGCGAAGCCATACTTGAACTGTCTCTTGTCGAGATCGCGCTTCTCTACCTCTGAGGCGGCAGCTTCAGCCTCTTCGGGAGTCAAGAATGCGAATCCATACTTGAATTGCCTCGCCTCGACAGCAGCATTAGCAACAGGGGCAGCAAGGCTCAAGGCGCCAAGAAGGCATGTGGCCAAAGCAATAGAGTGAAAGAACTTCATGATGAAGGAATTGAGGTTGGACAAAAATTGGCTGTGCTTGAAATTCTTTGCTACGTTGAGAGATGGGAGGAGTTGGTGAGTTATCTCTGGTCCCTACGAGGTAGCCGACTTTATAAGCTCCATTTGGAGTTTCCCATTATACAGCAGTCAAGATCTGCCGGTCACCGGTATGAAATTTCTGACGGTTAGCACTATCAAGCCAATCATACTTTCATTGCATCATCCACAATTACCTGGACGACTTGATGGACCTTCGGATCTTCCTGCAGCACCACTGGCCCGTTCCGTTCCCCGTACCTTGATACATCTACTCAAGCTTGTTGTTGCTAGGATAGGTTTCTATAAGCCCCGTGTGATTGAAACTTGTGGAGTTTGCATGCGAGGAAACGTGTTACCGTTGGAAGGCCGGCCATCTATCATGCACTAGGGTCTCGAATAGAGTGGAAACCCTGAGCAAAGCCCATGGTATGTAGGCACTTGGGAAGTGCTTGTCAACAATAACCCATGACAGTTCGGCCCTCGTGTTTTCCTTTCCAAGAGATTGATTCCTCTAGTGATGACCCGGAGGGAAAGTATGTTCCCCTAGTCAACACCAGTGATTTGATCCTGCGGTAAGCTGATAACCCGGATTCATGAAAGGAACCTGGCTGCATTAGTGAAGAAGCAGCGTACGAAACTTCTGGAGTTGGAAGGTGGATATCGAACCTTGGGTTATTGTTGTATTGTACTTTCGTGGTAGGCGTATCAATCTGCACTTAACCGTCTGTGCGCCCACTTAGAAGCTCCTCTAATGACGAATTAATGATATAACGCTTCTTTTTGAACCCAAAATAACACAGATCAATATTTGTCTTGGCTACCTCGGCATCAATGCTAAGGACCAAGCTTACCGGCTGTTGGAGAAGAATTACCAAGTATAAGCGCCTTGATATCCTCACACCCAAATTGGCTATCAACACATCACCCCCCTCGGACCTGGCGCCTTGCTTCAGCACCAACAACACCCACCTGGTATTCTTCATTTTAAACAGTCCTGTCAACGTACACGACCCTAAGACATTTCATTCAACCAGCTGAATTCTATCTTTGTCCTAGTCACAAACATGACGCACAATCAATACGTCCCTCTAGAGGATGAATCGGAGAAAGGAGAGAGTGATTCTTTTGTACCACACGAGACAGTCAAACCGAGACCTTTGAACAGAGTCCTTGGCATTATATCTTCTTGGTTCTGGGTTGTCTCAACTTTGTCTTTCGCCATACTATCATTGATTCTTACAGTTCAATTGAGAAGCTCCCATAAGGTATTTGGGACCTATGAGAGTGGTTTCAGAACAGAGATAGGTCCGTAAATAATTGTCATCGCCCCTGGCTATACCGAGTTGAATTCTTCTGCTAATATAAAGCCTCTCATTTAGATTCTCTACAATCACAGATTGAATTGCATGAGGCCTCATTTAGCGGAGGCTTGAAATTGGACGAGAATAGGACTTTGTATCACGATATCGATTCCACTAAACCACAATACTCGGGCTGGCCATCAGAGGAGCTGGATGCCAATTGGAATCAACTATTGTCCTCTCTAGATCTAGACTTGGGTGAGGATGAGGCTCAAGATGTGAAATATGGGACTGGGAGAAATCCACACACTGGAATGTATAGGATCAGGTGAGCTATCCTCGATATAACCATAACCTACTGTCTGAAACTAACACATCTACCTTAGCCTGGATGTGTATCACTCTCTCCATTGTCTAGTGTGTATCCTTACGCTTTCATCCTTTCTCCTATTGAAAAGAGAGACTAACACCTCATCTGTGAAGGACACGGTCCGGCGGGGTCTTGATCCACATTACTATCATCCAGATATGAAACTTCCCTATACTTATCGAATGCATATCGGTAAGTGATATAGTCCCTGTGTCAATCGCAGTCTACTGACAGAGATTATTTTCAGATCACTGCATAGATTATTTGCGCCAGGGCATAACATGCAACTCAGATTTGACGCCATTGGCATATCTCTGGGAGGACGACCAAGACGGGTTTTTCCCTCTATTTGGTATGACACGCACTTGCCGCAATTTCGAGAAAATACAGGACTGGACAAGGAAACGTATCCCAAATGATGAGGAACATCAGTCTTGGGTTGCTGAATGGGGCTCGTAATGGCGCAAACTTGGCATATGTTTGGAGTTTGGACTGACAAAGCTTGAGAATGACGGTTTCATTTTAAGATTCGTCTAATAGAGGCATCCATTAACTGCAAATAAGAGACTCAAATCTAAAACTTCTGTTCTCCCTTAAGTGTCCGTACATGAATGAGAAAGCGTTGATTTATCTCTAACTCATAAACAGTTCCCAATCTCTCGTAATCCCCCACTCATGCCCAGCATAGCACAACGAAGAGAGCTCTCTCTCGAAAGCAATGCATGCTAATGAACCATTAGTGTGAGTCCCTTCAGTTTGTCTTATGAGCCTATAATACCGCTGATTAGGTCTGTAAACGTGTTGTTCATAGTCTCACTTGTCGTTCGCGAAAGGTTCAGGGGTGTTTTCCCAAGCTTCAGGAGCATTCAGCATGGCGAGAGCAGCTTCCAGTCTGGCCCCTTCGAGCTTGGGAGTGGGTGAGCACATAGCTGTCCGAGTGAGCGCGAGGAAGCAGACGGCGAGGAATCCGGGGATGAGATTCATTGTGTAGAATTCAAACGGGGTACTTGGTGAATTCTTCTTCGTTCATAGAGAGTTCGAGCATAGATGGGGTGTATGAGCTGCTTGGGTGGCCTTCGTGTTGCGGAAGGGGGTGTTCCATTAGAGGTTCCTGTCTTCCAGAACACACCACGGCAAACTCGATACAGGTTATCACATGGTAAGACACCTGGAGACGACCCCGCCGAGGGTTGACTCTGTGAGGACTAATGCCAAAAGCAAAACAGGGTTGAATTGATACCTTCCCAAGAACGTTAGCGGTGCTCTAGGGAGGGGTTGCCTTTGGAGTGGTCAAGTTCTTACGGATGTACTCGTAATGTTCGTGTGCCTCTGAAAATCAATCATAGACTCTTTTTCTCACTGGCACTCATGCAGCACTGCTGCATGAGTGTAGCGGCTGGGTTAATTAGAATTCCGCCAGCATCACATGCCTAGGTACAGTACAGTAGGTAAGGTTTATAACCTTATCTGTGCGCCGGGTATCTTACGTAGTACGTCTGACATGTTACGACTTTTCCGGGTCGGCAATTGGCCATACAGCCGCATACTAGGGCACCCGCATGCACTGCGCAAACCTTATTTGCACGACTTGTCAGCGTCGTACCCTACCCAGGTAGGTACCTACCTACCTAGTACGTACTGACCTAGGTATTTTACAGCGGTAACAGTACTTATGCGGCGAAGTCTGCACCGCCGTGGTGCCCAGACGTTTGCTTCGTATAGCAATACATCCACAGCCAACGGATCTGAATCTGTAAGATGGCCGTTGACCTGCAATGCGGAAGCTCGGAAGCTCCTCCCCTAATAGACATACCGGCATAGAATGCAGAAATCTGACAGGCTTCATATGGAGGGGATTCGATCTAGGAAAGGAATCCGTTCGACGCAGTCCGTCAGGCCCGCAGCGGAACAAAGAAATCAAGATGTCATGGAAGAACAATGCCAGACTCTAATCGGTATGCCTTGTGATCATCACGTCCCGGGCCGAGAATGGTAGGTCAAAGTAAGTCATGGCAAGTCCAAGAATCAGAGCACATGGAGTGTCTGTATCAAGCTGGGCTCGAGCCGATCAACGCACATGTATGGCATCTCTTTCTTTCTGGTACGCTTCCAGTTATTCTCTCCGTTGATATCTGTTCGAAGATATCTGAAACACTCAATGGGAAACACAACCTACATTGATCCTGAGTCAAGTTCTAACTCAGACGAACTTTCGCCTTTTCGTGTGATCTCTTCTTCAATCCCTAAAATACCAAATGGTCCAGCAGATCTGGCAGACCTCATTTCTTCCGCAAAATACCATGCCTCTCTCGGAGGAAGATCCATTGTTCAAGTAAATGGCAAAAGTGCCTTCATCATATGGCTGGGAATTGTTACTGAAAGGTCTGCATGGATTTTCGAGGATGCACTCGGTCATGCCACCAATTTTTTTGATCGGGGAAATGAATCATCCACGAGTTTCCTTTTCACTGATACTGGGGAGAAAGAGGACGGGGAAGAATCTGTGGCGACTTCATATTTGGTGTCCATCTTGAAGGTTTCCGGAAAAGCTTCTGAGTCGGTTCTGTTATCATACGAAGACCGGCTCGCTCTACAAGAATCCACTGAAAGTCCTCCCTCCTGGAAGAAGAGTCTCGCTGAATTTCGAGGTCGGAATCGCTTTTTGGGGCTGACTGCAGCAGCCGTCCTCATCTTGGTCCTCACCCTTACCGTATTCTGGGCTTGGAGCCGTCAACAACCTTTGGCGTGGATTCACTGGGACACAACTGGGAGCGAAGGACCACGATATCAGCTCCAATTCACACATCATAACGTCTCCGACTGGGATGCCGCCCTCCCTCATGGTAATGATGACTGGTTCGTTCGGCTAGATGACCAATCTATGATCCCTCCACACCTAGTCGACGAGACTGAGCTGCGCTATCAGAAGTGGTATCGAAACCGGTATCCCGAAGTCGACGCAGTGAGACTAAATGAGAGCTATTCCAAAGAGTCATTCCTCTCCGACCCCTTCGCCATACAGATACCGATTGATGATCTGTTCCATCCAGCACATTGTGTGCTAGCACTGAGGAGGTATTGGCAGGCGAAAGAGACTGGAAAACATGTTTGCCCTAGAGACTTGGATCGTAGGCATATGAAGCACTGTCTTGATTCTCTGGACGAGTATCTCTTTTTCGAGGGGGAACGAGGGTCGATAAGGGAGATACCGAAAATTCAACAAGATACCTTAGTTTGGAGGACAAAAGTATGTTTTTAGCTGTAGACGATTGAAATTATAATCTCGAATACAATTATTCCGTTCATGGGCCTTTACATTTAGGGACATATAGGTTTGGAAATGAATCAACTGAGTCTATTGCGCGCTTTGATTTATTCAATATTCCTCTATATCCTTATCGTCCGCTACTGTGAAGACCGAGTCATCAACCACGTGCTCGCCCTTCACCGGCAAGTAAGACGCAGTTGAAGTTCCAGAATCAGAAGACCTCGACCTGTTTCTGGTGAAGATAACTAAAACAGTTAAGTCCAATGCTACGAGAAGTAAAACGATTGCCCAAGCTCCAATACCAGCTTGTTTCAGATAGAGACCACTATAGAGATGTCAGACAAGGGTTGATCCACCCACTTGAGAAACTCATGGACTTACCCTCCAGTGTTAATAACGCCAGCCGCAATAGATATACGTCCTATCAACTTGTGCCAGTGTGAGACACTTGATCGGGTACCTGTTTTCTGGAATTTGTAATGATGGCAGATTCCAAGGAAAACTTGAATGAACAGAGATGACATGATGAGCAGACCCGCGATTTGATGTGGGTGGTCAAAATGGGCGAACTATAAACATAGAATGGTCAGCAGAGGCTTGTCAAAGCTTCATAGACTTTCAGAGCTACAGGTTCAACGTACCCTTGGAGTAGACCATGAGAACCAGATCCCAGTCATAGCGCCAGTTAGTGCCAATGTGAGTGATATTGCTTGAAGAAGCCAGTGATGTACGAACGCTTTGTTGCCACCAATTCGTATGGCTATCACTCCAGCGGGGAACCCGACGAGGAAAGCTCCACCTAAGAGCAGCCCGTGACATAAGATCAAAACTCCGCTAGACTTTCTGGATCTTGTGTACATGTTCGTCACATCACCGGCACCATGACATCCTCGAGAATCTTGAATAAGTGGAAATTGGCGGTCGTTTGTGAAGGAAATACTCGAGGCCATATTCATGGACATTATATCTACAGAGTTCTAAATCAGTGCGATTTCTATGTGGCCTTCTTGTCGAGTGCTTACTATAATCTACATGCCGTTGCAGGGGAAGATTCAAATCAGATGTTTGAGTCGACTGGAGCCCGTTTGCGGCCCATATCCAACGCTGCTGGCCTGAAAGTACGTCCACTCCATTTTCGTCCCATTTATCACAAGAGTAGCAGATGACCTCTGCGTGGTGATATCCCTGCGAATCAATAAAGCTTCGATGAACCCGAACAGCAGGATGCTCAGGCGGGGGTTTAGGCGGATAATGGCCACTATAAAAGGTCAGCAAAGTCATTGGAGCATTTACTCGGCAGGAACATACCTAGTAGACCGAACACTAACGGTCAAATCTAAGAGTATCTCGGTGAGATGGCTGTACTGGTTTGTGTATTAAAGATGTTCGCACCATTGTTTGATTTCCCTGGATAAAAGACAAACATCATAGAACCATCCATGACTTGCCCTGTTCCAAAAGCTCCCCATCCTTTACCAAAAGGAAACAACCCAGAGAGCGTAAGGTAAAAGTCATTGTATGTTGAAGAATTACTCGGATATGATGACAAAGCAATGCAAATGTCGTAGCCGTGAACTTGACTGTTTTTGCAAAATTGCACTGCAGTGCTCATAGAGCATTGGGAGCTCGATAGAAGCAAGAAGAACAAGTATAGCCAATTTTTGAGCATCTTCGTAGTCGGCAAATCAAAAGAACATGCCTCTGGCGTTGAGAGAGCGGGAATAATTAGTTGGGGAAAATGATATGGACAGAGTCACAGAGCGCTGAAACGGATAGTAGGATTAATCTCTGAGCTACAATTCTCATGACTAGGGGCTTTTTCCGGATAGAGATCATAGATCTCATGCTTGCAAGCTGACGTGAGATTTCAACTACGGTGGCATGGCGCTACGATGCCATCTCTACAGCGTAGGAAGCTCGTACATGTACTTGGTGAGTCTTGGTCTCACGATATGCAATGATATGCAATGCTCGAATGTGGCACAACAAAGATGTCCGGCACGGTCCGGGCAGGTGGGAAAAACAAACTACGTAAAGCCTTTCCCGGCCCTACCTTATCTTCCACTTAGCTTGTCACGGTGTACTTCGTAAACCACTGTATGCATGTGCGGATGTCGCCATGGCTTCCGCCCGTCACCTTTATGCATGGTAAGGTTCAACCCGAATCCGAAGGGAGGACTGCGGACTCACGGAGTATTTTCATTTTTAAGTTAGACCTTGAATCCTTGATCATCGAAGTCTGCATTTTCTTGGTACGTACGGACGCCACCTCGAGCCTAAATGGCGGATTGATAGAGACACCCATTAGCCACCGGCTTTCCTCCCTTCCACGACTCCCCCAGGCTCATGCCATTCCCAATGTTGGGCGAGACCTGGCAGTCAAGCTCCTCCAGGCGGAAACTTCTCTGCAAATTCTCAAGATGTTTTCGTTTCTTCGAAGTCACCAACACAGTCTATCAACATCACTCTATGCACCTTTGAACCATGACTTACCGCTCGAAAAAGACGAAGTCAACTCGCAAGAGTACTCGACTTGGAGATCCTTTGTATTACCGTTTCTCGCTGGTGCATCGACATCTGTCATAGTCCTGCTGTTCGTTGGTGTAGCATATAACCACTTTATACTACCTGCAGCTCATACATCCATTTCCTTTGTCCCTGAGAGTAAGTGAAACCTCTTGTCAAGACATTAAAACGTTTATTTTAGGGAATGATGAAACTGAAGACAACTTCAGTACCCACCACGACCGTCATGTTCGATAAAGATGTTCGATTCAATGGCCCTTCTAAGTATAGCGATGAGGTGTGGGACTCAATGATGCCTGGTAAGTGCTTTCTTAAAGCACATCGACTTCTTGTAGAAGTAGAGTATGTTCTAGTCACTTACTAGAGTAAATAGATAGTAGAGGTTATGTCATTGTTCCCGAGCCAGCCAAGTACAGCCTTAAGCAAGGCCTTCTCACTCCCACCGGTCAGGAAACCTTCTCTTTGTCAGTGTTTCACCAGCTACATTGCCTCGTAAGTTAATCCATGTTATGTCACTACTATTGCTATCCAATTATTGCCAATAACTGACGTATCTCAGGGAGCGATTCGTGATGAGTTCTACAAAGACCCAGCAGTCACAAGCCAGAGACCGCTTGAAGTTCAGAACGAGGTTGCTGGCCATATGAATCACTGTTTCGATTACGTACGGCAGGCTCTGAAGTGCAATGCTGACACAACTTTGGAATGGGACCTACTCGACGAGAATGGTGGTAGTAAGGGTGGAGCGGGTGGGTGGGGAGTTCCTCATCAGTGCCGTGACTGGGATACCGTGGTGAACTTTGCAGAGAAACATCAATATCAGGGTGGGAAAATAAAGATTGGGATAGCGTGAGAGGTCATAGGGAGGCTAATAAAGAATGTAATACGCAAGATAGCATGCTCTACTGTAGACCAGCCATTCATGTTCAACAAATGAGATGCCATCATGCTACTAAGTCCATTCTCCACCGTACTCCCGTACATTCTCAGAGGATAATCGACCAACGATTGACTGGGTTCCACTAAACATAGTTCTGAGCAAAGGAGATCAAGACTAGGTCGTTCCGACTCGTTCGGCAAGCTGCCTTGTAGAGATTAGTTTAAGAAGACGTAGTCCCGATGTAGACCGAGCACTTTGCTTATTCAAAAGTGGCGTTAGCATTATGAGCAAGTAATAAGCCAAAGAGAGTGTATATAAGTAGGTAACACAAAGTACGTTGTAACCCAAGTAATGGATCAAGACCAGGAATCCAATTACAAGAGTATAAGCCCTGCAGGCGGTTATATAACCTGTGCTTACGCCAATTCCGACTTAGCAACACTAACTGTAATAGTATTCCTAGCACTAGTAAATAGGGTTTATTAGTAGAGGATTATATAGAAAAGAGCAAGGAGAGAATATACGAGCTGAGATTGTGTTGAGTTGTAGAGAAGAGTTACGTCTACAATCACCCAGAAATGTGCTTTCGGTATGGTATAGCGTGTGGTCCTTCTCTGTTTCTGAAAGGAGTGGCTGTTGCCTTTCGTCATTAACATACACCGCTGTCGACTTGTACCATTGATTTATTTCAGATCTGGGCGCGTGTCTTTCTTCAACCAAATCTCGAATTGCCTTCCTAAAATCGATACGACAATCATTAGCCTAAGGGGAACCCTCTTCAAATTGAGAATATGCCCGCGCTTTGCTCTCTATATCAGGATCTAGGTGACGAAGTGTTTTGAAAAGTGTAAAGTGCAGCGGCGAAGTGGCATTGAGCTCACGATGTACTTTTGACCTTTTCATTTAGCTTTAATCCAATTAATATCCCCCCATAATTCTAAAAGCTGGCAGTTCTTGCCTTCGATAATGCTGACTTGGAATTGGGGAGCGGGTTTTATAAATGGGGATTCAGATGGTCGTTTGGGCGTAGAGTGATACCGTCTAGACGAGAGATTCATTTTTGGTTGAACGACCCCCCGAAGGCTTTCATAGTAAGGGCAAGTTCCGCTCGAACTGCGGAATGGAGGACGCTAAAACTGCGTAAATGGTCGTCTCATGTCTTCCTGTATACATTCCAGGGGAAGTGCAACAAGAACGGACATGCCAGACTTTGTAATTGTATTTTGCCCCCTATTTTATAGTGTGTTGCTACTAGAGACGCAGCTCATCATTTGACCAAGTTAGGAGTAGCCGGGCGGTCGCACCTATCGACCCTAGTATAAGGCCCCTTTTCCCGCGATGGACCTTCACCCTCCACCCATTCCGCCTTGACCAAAACCGGTATCACTTGTCCCGTACCCAAGGAAAATTCTCGATGCCCAATAACTTTTTACACATCAGCTTCTCTTCCCAACGACAGGTTTGAGGGGTTCAGAAGGAGCATCGTACCTCTTAGCATGGATCCTATTGCCCCCGAGTGGCTAGATATACTGACATAAGTATTCTCATCACTGGAAAATATCTCATCAAATGCCTGCCTAAGCCTGATATCCATCGCAACATTCGTCTCTCTTAGCTCCGGATCCCATAGAGGGTCATTTTCGGCAAAACCTTGCTCGAATGGCCAATCTGGATATTGCTCATGAATATACGTTTTGCTACTCCGACGATCACATGTATGCGCTCCGATTGCCTCCCTAACCAGTTCTCTGATTAGGGGTATAAATGGTCGGGAGGGAGGCAGATCTAGACCGGAGAACGTGATATCGGCTGTGGCTAGACATCGCATCAAGGGGCTTGCGTAATATGATTGTGGAGTGGGTATTTGCTGCGACGAGATCTGAGAGCGCCAGAATGTATTGGCTTTCTCTGCCTGAGCGATCCCTTCGGACGTGAGATGTGCGTCGGCCCAGGTTGTGGTGCCATTGCCGTCTTGGAGGGACCAGTAACACTGCAGTCGTTAGTATAAAGTTACAAACTATCCAGGAGATGTGAGTACTAACGTCCCAATCGTGTGTACCGTACCATGCTTCAGCTACATTATGGTACCCTTCGCCATGGCGACCCACTATTAAGGTTAGTGTTATAGACTTTTAGACATGGGGGCGGAAACTGTACAGTAGAGTACTTTGTATTGAGTCTTCGGATCACTTTCGCGGTTCAACCGAGTTACAGCCCGTTCAAATCGTTGCCATTGGGATTTTTTATTTCTAGAATCGAGTTCAGAGTCCTTATCATAGTTTCTGTCGATGAGACCGAAGTTTGTCGTTGTCTAAGCAGACGGCCATCAGCGATTATTGCTCCCAATAAAGGATCGAGATGCCTACATAATCAAAATTCCGATCATCGGTAGCCGGGTCATCTTGTTGGAAATATCCTGTGACCGTGGTATATTTGAGATACTCAGGAATGGGCTTAGGGGCTTCGCCCATAATGACTAAAAATGCAACGACAACGGTCGCAAGGAACAAGAAGGGTCTGAATATGGCCATGGTAAGCTTGGTGACCTTTCAGAGGTTTTTCTTTTGATATTATCATGAGATGAGACTGGGGAAAATGCAAGCCTACATAATCAAGTCAATCCTGAATAATCGACAGGACCGTTTTCCAGGGGTCCTAGCAGGAACTTCACGCGGTTGTCGTTGAGATGGTCTGCCCATGAAGTAGATCCATAAATAATGGTGTTTTCTTGGGCGTAGTTGGTCACGTATCTACCCGAGAATGAAAATGTCCCAAAAACATAGAGGGATGAAGTCGTCAATATGAAGACAGTTAGCCTCGCAGCGGTTACCGCCACCAATGGACTTGGCAGGTCGGGGAACGTGGGCCTGGGGAAACACGGACGCCTGAGCTAGGGGTAAGCTTTACGTCCGATAGATGGATAGATAGCTGTATCTAAATTTCTGTAGACGGAGTATCAAATAGAAGCCCCAGCCTAGAAAGATCTTAAGCGCTCCCGGCTGCGAGGAAAAGGAGTAGAAAAGGAGGAGAACATGATCACATGCGATAATTTGACAATTGTCTATACTGTCCTTAGGCATCAATAGTGTGGCTGGAAAACCCCCTAGCCACATGATGTCATGCCGCGGAAGCTGTTTGGACCCATTCAACATTCCACTGCAATCGTTCAACCTGGAATATCCGCATTAAACATGGTGGCTGGAACTTCAAATGGCGTGGGTCCGTGGAAACAGGGACTCTTCATGTACGAAAGAGAGGTATTTCGTATATTGAGGGGCATTCTTGGTGGTTATGAATGTAATAGAGTCACGATAGCTCCAAGACTCCAGTTGCTGATACCCCGCGTGGCTGAGAATGTACTGTATACCTTAGGTAGGTATAGGTAAGTGCTTAGGTAGGTAGGAAAGTACAAAGTAGAACGCAGAGGTAGAAGCCAAAGCCTTGTCCATGCATCTCCGTAAAGACTACTTAATTGGCATGGGTACTCCCCACAAGTGGACAAGTGATAGGCATTATGCCATGGTTTCGTACAAGTATAGGACGTAGGTAGTACCCGCATTCCCTTCCGCTTCCTGGAAAGTTCGAGCTGTAATGGGAGGTAAAACGTCATCGGAAACAGCGACGTAGGTGAGGTACCACTAACCGAGACCGCATAGAGACATAAAGCTTGCCTGCCCCTCGATTTCCATGCATCCTACATCCATTTCAACACACCATCCATCCATCAACCAATCTGGCATCTATCCAAGTCCTCGATAAACCACCAGTGCTCATTAATCCTTTTAGAGATCCTCATTCCGCTGCAATTATGTCTCTCCACTGTATGTGTTCTCGTTTCCTTCAGGAGTCGTCTACTTTGCGTGGTTACGGATGTCTGTCTCGTGACGACATCATCCGAGCTGGCTCCTTGTTTACCGCAGCACAACACCATGGACAGTGGGATCTCGGAGCAATGCGAACTCAATTGGCGGAGAATTACACGTTTTCTGCTTTCTAGCAAAAGTCAACGGATGATTGCATTTCTCGTCGACATCTGCTAACATTCCTCTCCTCCAGACCTCCCCCCTGTGAAGCCCTCTGCCATTGCCCTTGGCACGGTCTTCAACCACGCCGCATCCCTCGCTATCCTGGGCCCCGTCTTCGGTGACACCTACCACCGCGCCCAAGCTGCCAACTCAAAGGAGGAGTTCCTCAAGTCGAAGGAGACTGCCTCTGCCGCGGCTGCATGGGGAACCTCACTCGTTGGTAGCGCCATTCAATCATATGGCGTTGGTGCATTGATCAATGCGACCGGTACCCTCAGCTATAAGGGTGCTGCATACCTTGGCTCCTTGATCTTCATGGCTAGCTCAGCTCCATCGGTATGCTCCCTGCACATATTTGCGGACTCCGTTTGTAAAACAACCACATACTAATTATGCGCTAGTTCGTTGCCCAGGTCTTCACTGAGAAGCGTCCTCTTGATACCGTTGCGGTTGGTGCTCTTGCTCGCGGTAAGTCCAAAGTCGCCCTAACAACCTACGCATGTTACTAACTCTAGGACTAGTCTTTGAGACTGTTGGTCTCTCGCTTTTCTTAACGTGGTGGGGCACTCACACAAATCCTTTTGAGTAAATGGGTAGTTGGGTGAGTTTGATGGGCATGTGAATGATAATGGAAGACGGTATTGGCTTTGGAGTCGATCCGATTCTCGCATCGATCAGTGATTTTATCATTTTAGTCATCTGCTCTCGGTGTAATATTCGGTTAAATAGAAATTGTTACTTTTGAAACCTACATAGCTCGTTGGGTATGCATTTGACGACTAGATGTTCCAGAATTGTGAAGTTGTCGAGTATCGCACTTGGCCAGCCAGCTTCTGCACTGCAAACACACCCCCATTCTCACGCCGCTTGGCATGGCTATGAGCCTAGGGCATATCTGAAAGGATTTTCGGTGCTTGATAGACGGCCATCAAGTAGTAGAAGCACTTGATCCTCAACAGGCCCAAGAACTCGAGATTTTGTCTAGGCCGTATCTATACATACCAACACAACCTTTTGAACTCCACATCATCATATAAGCCAACATCACGAAACGTATCACATTCTACACCTTTTGACTCTCGTTCTTCTCCACCAAATCCCCTACTCCTAGTCCTCGTCCCACCCTAACTTTTCGCTTCTTCTCCTTATCCTTCCCGGCATCGCCTTCCTCCTGCTTCCCCAATTGGCCCACGGGCTCCCCCTCATCCGCGTCCTCGGCTTCTTCATCCTGCTCATCCATAACCTGCTCTCGTACAAACCCCAAATCCAGCTTCATATTATAAGCATCCTCGCCATCAGCATAGTACTTCGATTCAATCTTTTCGTTCTTGAAACCAAGGGTGTCACGGTAGAGGCGCAGGGCGGCATTATTGGAGACACGGACGTGGAGGCTGACATATTGGGCACCGAAGGTTTCGACCATTGCTCGTTCTGTACGTATCTCAGTCAGCCCACAATTCCTTCCATCTATCCATTCTTCCCCTCTGCCTCAGCCCCCTTGGTATCGAGGAGGCACCGCGAATACGATGGAAACGTACGTGATTGTCTCATCAACTTCTCCGCAATCCCCAATCGCCTATGCGTCCTCATCACGCTCAAACTCGTGATATGTCCATGTTGCACTCCATCGGGAGGATCCTCCTCCATTTTCGCGAGCACATAGCCTACGATGCGCGGGTAATCGTAGGGGGATTTCTTGGGCCGGGAGACGTCTACTGCTACGTAGGAGAGCTGGGGCCATGAGAGTGCATGGTAGAGGTAGTATTTCATAAAATAGCTTCAGGAATTGTCAGTGGGCTCTGGCATTGACGGTGAGGAGGGTGGAGGGGAGGGGCAGGCTGTACTTTTCTGGCAGATTCGTTATGTTGGCATGTTGGACGTGGGGGATGTCCGAGGGGTGTAATAGTCGGATATCCATGGCTGGTTATACTGCGTGAGAGAGATGCTGATATCGGGCCTTGAGAAGGCTGCTTAAGCATTCGAGATGGAAATTCAGATGCGTGCTGATTGGGGCGCATGCAAGGGTGGAGCTCGGCTACGCTGCCCCGGCGCCGATTCTGTGAGTGCGAGGAGACGACCTCGACATACGTAGTAGCTCGACCTGTCTTACCCAGCCTTATTACCTATACAAGTCCAGGCTCCTACTTCTTACTTCCATTACAAACCATTAATCTTGGAGTTGGAAAGCAATAACCTCATGTAAGTCCGCGGATCTGTAAGGGGCATATGATATATTTTATTCCTTATTTATTGGCGGCACTCCTTTACGATCAGGATACGAACAGCCCCTCTAGCAAGAAGGTGATCCGACCAAGGCCTTATCTGCAAAGCAAACCTTTGGCAGCATGAGCAGGAGTAGGGATCCACCACAGCGGCTAATTAGAACTAGCCTGGTGTTGGATTCCCTCCACTACTAGACTCCGCTGAAACTAACACCCACTTTCCAGCTGCTGAGGCCGGGTGATATCAAAGGAGCATTCCGTGGGGCCGAAGACTGGATATATATATTCCGAGCCTCCTTCCCAAGCTCGTCTTCAATTCTCCCGCTTTCTATATCTATTAGGAAGGACATAGGAACATTCCAAATCTCATTCTTCTTTTTTCATACTAGCTCATTGTCATAAGTACAAAAGAGATCCATAATCCACATCAGGAACAACATGGCAACCGCTGGGGAAGCACGAGGCTATCGGCCTCTTGACGGCAAGCTTGCCCTTGTAACAGGAGCGTCACGAGGTATGCATATATACGTACTTTTCTATTCAAGCCCCTCATACCAATTAACCCAATTCTTACTAAACACAAACAACAGGTATCGGTGCTGCGATAGCCCGCAACCTAGCCTCCAAAGGCTGCTCCCTAATTCTAAACTACACCTCCGAGTCCTCAGCTGCATTGTGCAACACCCTCTCCTCAACCCTCACCTCGACGCACGGAGTCCGATGCCTAGTAGTGCAAGCAGACATGGGCACCCCCACCGGCGGCGCCCACATAATCAACACGAGCAAAGAGCACTTCGCGGACCCAAAAACCGGAACTTTCCAACTCGATATCCTAATCAACAATGCAGGCGTGTCGTGCAATACCGAGCTCGCCGGAATCACAGTTGAGGATTTCGACTGGCAGTATAGAATCAACGTCCTAGGTCCCCTTCTGCTAATGCAAGCCGCGCTCCCGTACCTCCCACACGACCGCAGCGGCAGGATCGTGAACCTGAGTTCCGTATCCAGCTCCCTCGGCTTCGTAGGACAGTCTGTATATGGCGGAACAAAAGCGGCGTTAGAGGCGATGACTAGGACATGGGCGAGGGAGTTAGTCGAGAGAGCTACGGTCAATGCTGTTAACCCCGGGCCCGTGAAGACTGATATGTGGTTTGGTACCACGCCGGAGTTTCAGAAGCTCCTAAAGCCTTGTATTGAGGCCACGCCGGGCTCGAGAATTAGACCTGAGATAGATGATAAGGATCTGGTGGAGAGTGCTGACAGGGCTGGCGGGAGGCCCGCATATCCGGAGGAGATTGCGGGGGTTGTAGGGATGTTGTGTACGGAGGATAGTAGGTGGTGTACTGGGCAGGTTGTTTGTGCCAATGGGGGGATGAGAATGTCTATTTGAGGTCGGATCTTACGGGAGATAGAATTTATGACTAGCGAGCTTCCCTTGGGAGGTTTCATGCTTCTTTTCACTGAATTTCAAGTTCCTACCTAAACTCAACAATGCCAAGGGTTACTATCGTACCTACCTAACATAGCTTGTTCGTCTATGAAGCAGAAGCAGAATTGGAAGCAACTCGTATAAACTATCAATTCTCTTCTGTTTAGCTGTTGAACCTAACAGAACGTTACAAGCTAACACTCGGCATGGGCATAGACAACAATTCCCAACAAATCCAGCGATCTCAGTAACTATCTCTACTCAAGTGATTCGTTCCGCATATCACATAAAACCATAAAAGCTCGCAAACTCCACCCATGCATGATTTTCCCAGTCTACGGTATCTAAGGCGCCGCAGCAGGAGGGGGAGCTTGTTCCTCTGCGACTACACCCCTCAACGGCAGTTCAGTCTTCGAGGATTCTGGCGTTGCAACAGCCTCGCCACTCTTAGCAGCTAGTTTCTTCGCCTTCTTGCGTTCCTTATCCCTCGCCTTGTCCGCGGCCTTCTTCGCTTTGGCTTCTTCTTCCGCTAATCTAGATGCCTGTGTGCCTCCATATTTGCTCCTCCACTCGTCCTCCCTTTTCTCGTCGATCCTGGTAAATAGATATTCGGCCTTGCCGATCTTGTGTCCGCCTTGTAGGGCATCTGGAGTCCATTTGTCGGGGATGGATAGGAGAGGGGCATTGAGTTGCTTGACTATAGAGGCGGCAGTTGATGGCATGTATGGAGAGGCAAGGGAGGCGAGGAGATAGGTAAGGTTCAATGCCAAGCCGATGATAGTGTGTGTCCTTGTCGGGCTGGATTGCAGATTGGTATTGTCGAGTCGGCCAGCAAGGAGGAGATTTCCTTTCCCAGATATCTGCATGAGCTTCGCTAAACCAGCACGTAATCTGACAGCTTCCATATCAGCGACGTACTCAGCCAGGAGCACGTTTACTTCGGCGATAAAGTTGGGGAAGTCGAAGGTCTCATCTGCCTGTGTGGGTGTAAATTCGGGGATGGTTCCATCTAGCTTAGCGTTGACAAACTTGACCAGGCGGTTAACAAAGTTGCCAAGGTTAGCTAGAAGCTCACTGTTGTTGGCCGCGATGAAGGACTTCCACTCAAATTGCGTGTCGCCAGTCTCAGGCCGGTTCGCCAAAAGGTAGTATCTCCAGACCGAAGGTGGAATCCCAGTGTCCTTGGCAGTGTCTCCAAATACACCGACGCCTCTAGACTTTGAGAACTTTCCATTCTCGTAATTCAGGTACTCCGTAGTAGATAAATGGTTGAGCATGGTCCACTTGTCGCCGGTTCCCATCTGCGAAGCCGGGAAAATGACGGTGTGGAATGGCACGTTGTCCTTGCCCATGAATTGGTATAGCTTGACGTTTTCAGGGTCGCGCCACCACAGTTCCCAATCTTTCGTGTAATTGGCCGTAATCGAGGGATAACCAATGCAGGCATCAAACCAGACATATAGCACCTTCTTCTCATATCCTGGAAGCGGTATAGGGGTGCCCCATTTCAAGTCTCTTGTGATACTTCGGCCCTCCAACCCTTTAGTGAGCCACGATCTTGTTATGCTAACACCATTTTGTGGCCAGCCCCCTTCTTCACTTGCCTTGGTGAACCACTTTTCAATATCCGGTTGTGCTTTGTCGAGGCGGAGGAAGATGTGGGTGGTATCTCGCGGCACGGGCGCTGCGCCGTCGATCTTGCAATGAGGATTGATCAGCTCGAATGGATCAAGAAGACTACCACACTTGTCGCATTGATCGCCTCGGGCATCGTCATATTGACACTTGGGGCAGGTGCCCTCGACGAAGCGATCGGCTAGGAAGGACTCATGCTTTTCGCAGTATGGCTGTGTCGTAGTCCGCTCCTCCAAATACCCATTCTTATGAAGCTTTGTGAAGATGTCTTGCGCGATTACCGTTTGTTGATCCGTGGTTGTGCGGCCGAAGTAGTCGAAGGCAATCTCAAACCAGTCATACACATCTTTGTGCTTCTTGTGGAATTCGTCGCAAAGCTCTTTTGGTGTTTGACCCGTCTCAAGAGCTTTAGTTTCTGTCGCTGTTCCATATTCGTCTGTGCCACAAATAAAGAGTGTTGGCCTGTCTCTCAACTTGCTGAATCTCGAGAAAACATCGGCGCTGAGCACGCTACCAACAATATTGCCAAGATGAGGCTGGTTGTTAATATAGGGAAGGGCACTCGTCACCAGAACGTTCTTCTTGCCCTTTATAGGTAGTATGATCTGTTCGGTCGCCATTGCGTGGAGCCTTTCGTAGTATATCGGTGGTTGTGGTTGGGGTTTTTGATATTCGGAATTCGTGACATGGCGGGGCAACAACAGTTGACCGATGACTCAGCGCACCGTCACTAACCCTGCAGATTTAGCGCGGGGTTCGATCGCTAAATCACGTGTCATTCCCCTCACCATAGGCACACGTGATATATATTTATTTTCCAGGACATCTCCCACTGCAAGTTCGACGACCGGAAAATCCGATTAGATTTCCAGACTTGCCAGTCCTCAACTCATTTCCTTTTCCATCCTGAAAATGTCGAAAGATACCTTCGACGAAATTCTATCTTTAGAGGAGAGGTTCTACGACGATGGATACCAAGATGGGTTAGCAGACGGAATCAAGGCAGGCCGCATCGAAGGCCGAACCATGGGCCTAGAGAAGGGCTTTGAAAAATACGTCAGAAGCGCGCGATTATATGGAAAAGCCCTCGTCTGGGCAAACCGCATGCCTGTCTTCTCAAAGGATGCTAAATCCAGCGGCCAAACACCGTCAGAGTCTAATCCTGCCTCTGCTACGGATGATGGAGGCTCTGTATCCCGAAAACCACTCCCTTCGCTACCGAATAATCAAAGGCTGGCTAAGCACATAAAAGTCCTCCATGCTTTGGCGGAGTCGGGGAGCCTTTCGACTGAAAATACCGAGGAGGCGGTAGCTGATTTCGATGACCGGCTGAAGAGAGCACAGGCCAAGGTAAAGATTATTGAGAGGATGGTTGGGGAAGTCAATGAAGGGGGTGATAGTGGTGTGGGGAAGCCGGTCCAGAGCAGCGGTGGGAATATCGAGGATGCGAATATCAGGAATGGCACCCTTTGAAAGGTGTTGAGCATGCAACAACCCCGTTTTGGGATCGTCATGCCATTAGTATGATGTTTTCCGAGCTCGAAAGAATCTTTCGACGGCACTACCGACTCTTCTGCCTCGACGATCGTGCCGAGTCTCTTTTCAAACACCTTCTCCAGAAAGGAGCAGCCCAAGAGGCGGAAGCGAGATCCAGATCAATAGATCACCAGAGTCACCTCAGAAGAGCGCTTTTCTCGCAACGCCTAATCGGGTTTCCATCCACCACGGCATGGATCTACTCATATGCGCGAGACAATTGCTTTTCAGAGGTAAAATTGGAGACATTTAACAGGTCATACATGTGATATGGGCTGAATCGGTCGAGTGGTTCAATTTGTGTGTTTTGGTAATCACAGAGCGGTTGCAGCGTTGGAGGGTGAGGTGGGCTGGTAGAACCCTAGTCTAGATGGTAGAGCCAGAGATCTAATTACAGAAATGGCAAGAGGACCCAGATATTCAGACACTTTTAATATTGTTTAATTATGTTTACTATATTCTGCGTCTCCTAGTTGCCCACAGAGGAGCTTGGGCAATTCCAGCCAGTTTCATGGCTAATGCCTCCAAACAAATACAATAACTTTTTTCTTAAAATAGAAACTCCGGGTATATAAACAGTATTGAGGGGTATATCCATCGCTTCTCCGATTTCGCCGTTTAATAGGAAAAGGTAATCACCAAGACAAATGCATCTGGAGTCTGCCAGCCAGTGTTGTCCTGAGGTCCCAACTTAGTTTTCCCGCTTTGAAAACCGCAAATAGTAGAGAGAGAACGCCGTGATAATGCAGCCGGTTTGCATTGATTTTCCTTCCGAGTTTCGTGTGTTGCGCCTTAATGTGATGATGAAAAGAGGGGAGTATAATAGCTATGGCGGAAGCATAGCGGATATTAGGGGTAGGCTAACGCTCCGGCTGATGCTATGACACCGATGTGGCATCATGTGATATGAAGGAGGCTAATTGCCAACCCATTGAGAGATGTCGATAATTTATTGACCGTCGACCATTGGCTTTAGCGGCGATCAAAGGTTTGGCTAAGACGGTGCAGGAATCCGCTGCTGCGGCTGCTCGCCGCACTGTTCGTCGAGCTGGCCGAGTCGCTGGAGGACTTGCGTGAGGGGTTTGGGATGGTGCTCGTTCTGTTTCCGGCGCCCCCTCGGCCCACATGATATGCACCAGGCGTGTTCTCGCGGGTGTTTTGGCGTTCGAGCTCCTCGTCGAAGGAGAAAACGGGGCGCTCAGAGCCGTCGTGGACGTTTCCTGCACCTCCTCGGCCGCTGATGAACTTGGAGCTGGTGGATGGGAGGCCATGCTCGAAGTGAGAGGCGGGCCCTTGGGCGATGGACCCTTTAGTTGTCTTGGGAGCCTTGAAGGTGTTCCCGGCGCCGCCACGACCAGAGTATGTGTACTTGGACACGGTCGGGTGTGGTTCGGTGATGCGGTAAGACATGATTATTGATGTGGTGTGGTGTGATTAAGTGGATGTGGATGCAGAGGGAGGTAGCAATAGTGACCGAGTGCTCAGTAGAAGAGGAGATACGATTGGAAGAAGATACCAGTCGGAGGTAGCGAGAGCATGAGGTAGGTAGGTGAGAAAGAAGCTGGCAACAATGGAGCTCTGGCAGCAGGCTGCGTTGTGATAGTTGAAGTTGTTGCTGGAACGGGGTAGTGGTAAGTGGTATGTGGAATGTGGTATGTGGTGACGGTGGGGGGGAGGGTACTAGAGTAAGGTAGACAGTGAGGTAAGCGGGGAAAGGAGCCTACATATCCTATTTATTGTTATTATACGAAGTAAAAACAATAATAATTAACTCATGCCCAGTCACCAGAGCAGTTTGAGTGCCCTGGCGCCGCATGGTGTCATCTGGGAGGAAAATGGCTGCTGCTGCAATATCCCGCCTCACGAGCCCACGCGATTTCGTAACAGATGCAGGTGCCGCGTCACGGGATGCAATTCCGCAATTGATGGGGTAACAGAAACTGCTTTTGGGCCAGTGGCCGTCTGGATCTGCGTGGATTTTCTCTGGGTGTGACTTGGTGGGCCTTGGCTATCCATGAATATCCTTGGCTACCCTTGGCTGCCCGTGGACTTTGCAACGCCCCCTTTACTCCAGCGGGCTCCAGCTTACTCAAGCCAAGCCAGGCCAGGCCAGGCCAGGCACGGGGTGAGGTGAGGTGTACGGAGTAGTAGTAGTAAGGCCCTTCGGATCCCCCGTGACCGCAGATCTCCCGAGGCACAGTACGGAGTACTTTTGGTGCTGGGTACTGTACCTGTACCTGTACCTGTACTTGGACTGCACAAAGAGAGTCTCGATACTGCACTGTACATGTACTGCTAACAAAGATCTTATTATTATTATTACAGAGCACGAGTAACTATACAGTACAGCCTGTGCTGCCCGCGTACGGACCTGCAATGTACCTGTACAGTACCTGCGTACTATACCAGCGTATGTACCTGGTGCTACAGTGCTGCTACCATGGGCACTCCGCCGTCCAAAATTAGCATCCACTGCGGCGGTGGGACCACTGAAAATTCTGCTCGACTCGCGACCCCGTGTTTTCCACGGACCACAATAATATTACCAACCGCCCCGTGAATCATCAAATGGACGAACTTCAACTTCCAAGACCACGACCAAGCCTTTTGCAAAATCCTGATTTTCTTTCCGGAGTATAGAGATCCCCCCAAACCCGAAGCAAGTCCATCCACCTATTCGCCTCTGATTCACACTTCAAAGTCCTAATAAATAATTAATGTCCCAGACTCCAAAAGCCCATGCATGATCAACCCCGTCACCAGCACGGCGGCCTAGGCCATTCCGTGCTCGGGGGATTTCCCCGCATTTCGGCTGGTGCTGCTTTGCTGCTGCTTGGGCTGCTTGGTGGGGGTTCAAAGAGGGCTTGACGCTTAACGCTTGACGCTTGACGCTTGACCACTGCTTTCACAAGTAGCTACGAAGTAGGTGGCTGAAAGCACACTGCTGCAACTTGGAGTCGTCGACATCGACTGGCACCTACCTAGCTAGGTAGAGCCAAAGGCTTAAGTGAGCATCTCGCCGTTAGTCACGAGCCAGAGAGCGGAATCGTCTTTGTCATTGGATATAGGGAAGGCAAATGTGCCGCCTTTGAACCCAACTGTCTTGGCTTTTAGGAAGAAATATAATCGCGCTCCCGGTGTGTGGGTAGGACGGGAAAGGTTGTGGCACACCACATGCCGCATATCACGTGGCATTGCAAAGGGGATAAACCCACCCTCTTGCGCTATTTGGACCTTAGTTGTCCCGACGACCGATCGAGTAACCCCTATTCCGTATAGAATGCTCCTTCTCATCACATTAATTATATCGCTACTGCCAAAAACCCAAAGACCAAGATGCCGCCCATTCCCCGGCCTGCTTGTCAATGGTCATGCCTCGTATCAATGAATTGGAGCTGGCATAATGTGCTCGATCGGCGCCGATTCGACCGAGCCTCGAACGCCTCGGAACTCTGCAGTGCAGCAGTTGATAGGCATTGGCTTAGCTATGGCCTATAGCCTATGGCCTCGGTCTCCAAATGCAAACATCAGACGATATGGCTTTCGCGATGGCGGGCACAATACCCCTCCAAAATCATCTGACCTCCCACACCTCACGGCATGGCGCAAAAGCTTACGCCTTCAAGACATCCATGAATTTTGAGATAACGAGCCGGTGCTCGAGTCGGCCTAAATTCAAGATCCTGCCCATTCATAGGCCACAATGGTCTTGGGCGAAGTGAGTCGATCGGGCCTGACCAAGGCCAGTTGGCTTGAACACCCCGTTCAGAATGCTACTCGGTTTTGGCCCAAACATCCCGAGCTCTCACCCTGCCGACCGTTTCTCTTGTCTGGGGCCAGCCCCTTCGGGACCTTAGCCACGTGAAACACCTTGAAACAGAAAGTCCTGTGGCTAGCCGTTCGACATCGAAGCCGATAAGATTTTGCTGCAATGGTTGGAGACTGGCCCTTATCTAACTTGTCCAAATCCGGCCTCTTCTCGGCCATCTAAACCGCCGTCTTCTTTCGATGATAGTCGCCCTCTGTTTAGTCCATGTTGAACGCCGGGTGGCATCCCAAATTATTCAATGCGCATTGCGCAATGCAATAGAGCTTCAGCCAACGAAAGTAAATATTGCAAGATTTTCCATCACAAACAGCCTACCTATTCAGGTTAAATAGTATTATTTTACGAGAGATAAGCGCAGTGCACTTGACAAGCCGAGGCGTAGTCCTCTCTCAATGGAGATTAGGATAAATAGGTGTTTTTGTCTAGTCCAAAGGTATAAGTTGCTACTCTAGGACCAATTCTCCCCAGGCAATGGCTTTGGTGGGCGAAGAAAACCAGGCCATCAGGGTCGGCCAAATCCAAGTCGAGTGGCTTTGAATGCAGCAATTGACGCTTAGATTGATAAGTTCGGATATCAGTGTATAATATTTGATCTCGTAAAGCCGCATACGCTCCTTTGGCGCCACGTGCCGGGAGGAGCCAGGATACATTGCATTTGAAGCCTGTCAAGCTTGTACACCTCTATGTCTCCCCTGCAGCCACAAACGAAAGACTACCACCCTCTTGACAACGGCATAGGTCTACATCTCATCGATGGCTTCAGCTTAAGATCCGGAATTCCAAATGTTGACTGTGGCGTTCGAATCCTTGTACCCGGTTCATTGTCAACACAAATCTCAACTCGGTACAACCCGCTCTCTGTATGCAGCAACGAACCACAAGAACCAAGCAAGCGCTTTGGCCTTCCATTCTCGCTATCTTACACAGCTCTCAACATTCGTGCATCAGATATATCCTCACTCCAATTCGCCCCTTCTTACAGCAGACATTGACCATATCGTCGTGGCACTGCTCAATAAGCGCTTTATCATCATTCGCTCCTCTTATATATATCCCTTGACCTTATGTCCATCCCGCGCATTTGGGTCGCCATTTGATTGAAGAACGGAGAGGTTACACCACATTCATCTCCCAAACCTCCATGCAAAGCCCGCCCCAGATTGAAAAGCCAACACAAAGTGACCAGCCCCACACTACAGTTGCGACACAGCATCGACTTTTATCCCGCTTCTGAATAGAGAAGGTCAGGTGTATCTCCACTGCGTTGCGAGGCCGAGAAAAGAGCGAGGTTCTATCGCGTTTGGCAGCAATGGATGCCCTGTTGCTTCTGTGCAACGTTGCACTACATATGCCTATGCATGGCCCTCAGATTTATCATATATGATAATTGTCAAAGAAGGATGTCAAGACATGTCGGCACCAATCATACCACGGGACGTGATGGGTGTCTGGACTCTTAACCCACTTTCGAGCATCGAATTCCAAACGGACGCTGTGCAACGGTTATGAATGGCGTAGGTGTAGTAGGGAAGTAAGAGTGGCCGATGGCATAATGCATCTGGCGGCCGGCGAAGGCAAGTCGAGAGGTGGATAGGCCGACAAAACCTTGAGAGGTGTTGCCGAGAAATAAAAAAGGGGCATAAAGGAGCATTTTTATATATACTGGAATCTTTTTTTAAGCGCCTGTCTTCGACCGATATAGAGCAGTGCCACGGTCGCCCACATAAGCACGGTCTTTCAACTACATCACATAGTAAGTACATCACACCTCTCTGGCAATTAGCTGATATATCTGAGTTTGGCTGGCCTGCCTTGTGCTACTACCCCCACCATAGCATCCAACATTGATATGGCAGAAGGTGTCTTATCCTGCATTGCCCGCATGCAGATGGCGTAGCCAATACCATGGTTCCCCTCTCAACAGGAACCTAATCCTAATATTGAAAATTTTGCGACAATTCCAGCTCGATGTGATGTGAGACAGATGACGACCACATCATCGAATAATCGTTTAATGGCTAAATTGCTCATGCCGATACAGTACAGTCCTAGTACCACGCAACGGCAAGGACCAACAACAACATAGCACCACTAATATAAGCAGGACGTTGTGGAACAAGCCCTTCCCACTCTTTGACCTTCCTTCCTTCCTCCCTCTCGTTCTCTTTGCCGTCGTTTCCCGCCTTCACCCTTGGGCCCTTCTCTCAAACGCGACCACGACACAAAAGATATGCAACGCGAATGGGCCCATCCTACAGACTAAAACAAGCGGAGAGGCAGTTGTGAGGGGTGGAACCAAAGTACAACATTGGAAGTGATATTTGAAGCACGAGGACAAGTTGGGGGAATCGGAGAATTGTTAACTTTCCTGGAAAAGACCCTGAAATTTCGGTCGGCGGTACTTATTCCCCTCGGCCTCGGTCAAAAGGAATTTTAATTCCGGTTGACAGAGCACATGAGCAGGAAGGTGGAATAAACGAAAAGGAAAAGGAAAAGGGGAAGGGGAAAAAACGAATGGGTCCTTTGCTATTTTACACGTTGCTTCGAAGAGAGTAGAAAATGGCGGGAAAGGGGTAAGAGAGAGAGAAAACGCCAACAATCCCGCTAACCAGTTCCCCAAGGTAGTTGTTCTTTCCCAATGGCCCTAGACCTGGTACCAGGAGCATATGCCAGAGCGAAGATCCCCAACCAATGCCAAAAACCCAAACAGGAAACTCCAAGGGCCAAGCAAGCTAATCCATCGAAAACCTTAGATCTATGCAGAGCGAACGTCCCAAATGCCATCCCAAATATGCCCTCAAGAACTCCAAAACTCATCATCAAGATTCAAGATACATCGGTAAAAAGCCAGGCGGAGCCGGAGCCGCTACCGACGCGTAGCAGAATCGTAGTTCTGATGGCTACTCCCCCGATGAGATGGGCCCTGCCAGTCATGTCCACCGTAGCTTTTGCTTTCTCCGCCGTGGGTAGCGGGTCCTGATGAAGCTCCGTAGCCAGCACAATGGGGGCACGGAGACCAGACGCTGCCGGCTCCTCCACATTCTCCGCATCCTGCTACGCTGTTTTGAGAGCAGGTCAGCACATGGCTTATGTTGAGTGGTCTAGTGGGAAGCAGCCAGACAAAAGGAATTTACAGTACTTACGTTCTAGGGAGACCGCCGCAGGATGTGCAGGTTTGGTAGATCCGGCCACTAACACAGCATGAGTCTGAGACTTCGGCAGAGCGGGAGTGGTAGTTGCGAGGCATGGCGATGAGAGGGGTTGTGGGGTGTTGTATTGGAATTGGTACCGAGTAATTGAGATATATATAGTAGGCTTATATTGACAAAGCAAACTGATATGTAATGCGTGGAAGAGATAAGAATGTTCAAGGCCTCTTGAAGTAATAGTAAATAGTAGCGGGGGGGTTTGGCTTATTTTCAATGGTGCTATGGGGAGTGATAAGTCGAGGGACCATACGGCCCTTTTTATACTCGAGACCAAATGAAGCACCTCATCCTGCATCCCGCATTTGCAACCCGCCCAAAGCCCTTGCTTGACACCACGATGGACACAATTGGGCAGCCAAGCACTTCATCCGGGCTGACGTCTGCCTGCCCGCGTTGCAAAGATGATGATTATTGCTCACGGAACCACGCCCCACACCGCTACGTACGGACGGACGAAAGAATAGCATTGTGATTCGGGTTCAGGCGCCATGGGGAGGGTGGTCTGCTGATTTTCGCGAATGGCTCCCAGTGGCGCTGCCGTTCAACCTATCTCCTGGGGTTATCCTTTCGTCCCAACACTGAGGAACCGAGCACCCGTCACCATGAGCTGCGGGCCGCAGCCTTGCTTGAGGTGATCGTTTGAGACAGTTGCTCCTCTGTACGGACTACATATTCATACCGGTATGAGCAGCAATATGGAGCAGCTAGAAGATTTCCTGCAGCTGGCCCTAGCTCGCTCCCGTAGGAACTACCCGCAGCTACGAGTTATTCCCAGAATCCCAGCCCGGCTGGAAGAAGTGACACAAAGGACTCTTGTCACCCATTATTGTGTGTACACCCTGCTTGGGATTCGCCGGATATGGCGTCTGCTTCCTCGGAGACCTGATACCTTCATATCCTGGTTACCAGCAGCTTGGAACGCATGATCTCGCCCGTTGCCAGCACAGGTCGGCATATAAACCGTCGGGAACGCCGCTGAGATATTGGTAACAGTGATCGTCAGCACTATGGCTGCTGTGGTCGACTGCTCGGAGGGCGCCCGGCAGCTGAGCCAATCTGCTGGTAGGTCTGTATGCTCCCGCCGAACCAGCTCTGGACGTGATCGCACGAGATCCCATATATCCGAAGTAGCATACTCGGGATGTACCCTCTGCTGCGTAGAGTCAACGTTGCGATGGACCAGATCCAGTAGGAGGGCCGTATCCATTGGCACCATCTTGTGTTGGCTGCAGAAGCGAATATGTTGTGCACTGCGAGATCCTTTTCTGGAAGCCCCCAATTGGTAGTAACCGGAAGATGAGAGACCCCGTGTCAACGGTGATGAGATCGTGTCCATACACCCTAGCCGCGCTCTAGGTGTTGTACAGTGACTGAAATGAAACATAGCGAAGTAGAGGCCAAGGAGCAAGTGAAGATATGAGGTCCAAGGTCAAGGACAGGTCTTGAGAGGACGGAGGACGAGCAGCAATTATGCTTTGTCAACCCGATGATCGACATGACGCTCTCAAGGAATCCATAAGTTCTCCGTGGACAAGGACAAGGACAAGGCACCGAAGACTTAATAAGAGGTGTCAGCTGGTGTAATCGATATCTCGGAATAGCAAAGAATGGAAAAACACAAACCTCCGTGTCCATTTCCGAGAATAGAATGCCGGATGGAGGTACGACCAAACTTTTGGTCTAATGAAACACACCGTTCTACCTTTATAGGAGCCCGACGTTCGTAGGGTCCTATAGATGTAGGTCATCCCTTGTCAGAGTTGTACGGATCGTCCGTCATCGGCCGTGCAGGATCGGCAAAAATCTGATCTGTCATTATTATGCGTTTTAGGGGGGGAGGACTCCCGACGGACCTTGTCCCCTCAGCCTCTCCCGCAGAATATGGCCGCTCATCTCCCCATCAGCGCGGATTGCTCATTCAGCCGCTGGCCACAAGCAAGGTACCCGTTCCCGGAGATTGTGGATGATATATATTCGGAGTGGGGGTGGTTATGTGCACGCGTGCTCGACATGTCGCAGACGTTGTACATGTACAATAACAAGTACGAGTTGAGAGGACAGGAACCGCAATACAACAGCACCGAGTATCCACATGTGCCGACGTAACCGTAACAGTAACAGTGATGGGAGATGAGTAGGGGTCCGTATCAGAAATCCGAAGTACGGTTTGCCTCCGAATGCGGGTAGTATACCTGGGCCAGCTGAAATTGAAAGGCCCCGAGTACCATATTCCACGTTCTTTTTCAGTGCCATCATGGTAGCATGTTTCGCATGCGAGCTCGTGGGACGGTGATTCCGTAAAAGGTGAATATAAACAAGCATGATCCTCGTAAAATATGCAAGAGGTAGAAGGGATCAAGACGAAAAGGCTTGAGTGTTTGTCGCTGTCACGCTACAGGTTTTCATTCGACCGTTTTGGATGTGAATAAAGATAAGCACATTATGTGTACCTCGTGAGCATGGCGCCGCATGATGTATTAAAAGATAAATATCTGCAATTAAGCCAAGTCTCGGACACAGCAGTAAATATACGAAACCGTTGCACAGCACAAGTAACCCAAGCGCCAACCTTGAAGGCGCCAAAATGCATAAGCCGCAGGTGATGACCAGCTTGACACAGCTCCTTAGCCACTGTGATATTCCCATTTCCATAATTGGTCCTCACCCCCTCCCAAACGTAAAGTAACAATAGCTCCGAAAAACAAAACCTGTCCCAAGTCCCCAGTCCCCTATATGATGAATCGTAATTGTGTCGCTAACCGCGTTCTAAGAGAAGTCTGGGGCGGTGGCAACCAAGCTCAAGAAGAGACCTGCGCCGACGGCAACGCCCCCAACAGCAGCAAAAGCCGCACGCTCCAGGATCGTCCTTAATCTCTTTGCTGGTCGTTCATTAAGAGCAGGAGTGGCAGCCGGCTCCGCCGATTGACAAGATATCTTAGGAGGGCAGTTGGGTATAGTTGTGTCCAAGGATTTAGATACATCCCTAGAAGAAGCCCATGCTCGCACTTCGTCTGTTAGTACGTCCGAGATGTCACTTGCTTTGCGCTTATCGCCGGCTTTTGAACCGGATACTTGAGCAGATTGATCCCGCGAGGAGCTCTCGATAATATCATGTATACTAAGTCTGGAGCGAGTAGACTTGGCTTTACTTTGATTGTACGTAACAGCGCTAGTCATGTCGTACTCTGGGCTCAGGGTAGCCGTAGGGTCGATAATTGGAGGCCGATTGTGGAGCTCGGGAGAGGAATTTGACTGCATACCTGGTACTGGAGGGGTTAGGCCGGCTTGCTTTTGTTTATAGTGGATTGACTTACCAGTACGGGTTCCAGTTAACAAACTAGATATGTTGATAAGTTCGGGGGCTCTGTCAAACGTAATTGACCTGCCCGGGGTATGAGGCAAACTCAACTCATTCAACGGGCGCTTTACTACACCAAAGTCTACCCATGAGTTTGTGGGTGCTGCTGCTCTAGCGGATTGTGGCTCCTCCTTCGACAGTAAATTGTTTGGGGGTAGTGCGGACTTGCTTGAGGCGGAGGGTTCGGTGGATCTCTCGTCTATCGTGTCAGATGGAGTAGAGAATTTGGCCTTATTCTTCTCTCTTGCTTCAAAGAAAGCCTGTTTGCCGGTTTTCTCCCCAAGCGTCTGAGAGAGTTGGCTAAATTCTTGACTTTGCAAATGATACACTGGAATATCATTTGTAATTTGCTCTGGTCGAGGTTGAGATGTAGCTTTGGCCATCGCGGCGTCAGAAGGACTCGGTTGTCTAGCTCCCAGGAACTGTGCACTCTCCATTGTGGTTGCTTTAGTCTTCAATGGCCCTTGGACAAGCTCGTTAATAGGACTGCATAGAGAGACCATCGGATGTACTTCCGGGATTAATTCCAGTGGCTCGGATTGGGATGAGATATCGTTCGGTACCTGCATAAAATGTAGGTTGTTTCCAATCTGTCGGTCAACTTCAGCCGGAGCGTTGGTAGTGGGAGCAGACTCTTGGCATTCAGTCATGCTCTGTTGTAGACCATCTTCGAATAATGCCTTAAGTCCTTCTGCGCCTGCCTCTGAGAGGCCGAAGTCGCTATCATTGTCGTCATCCATGCTGTTTCCGTCCTCTGGCAAAGTGTTGTTTTGGCTGCTACCGAAAGTAAAAGAATGACGCATCATCGACTCAAAAGGTTCTTCCTCCGTATCGAAATCGATCTCGTCACCGTCCTCTAAATCTGACTCTTCATTCGACTCCTCATCTCCATAATCTACCGGGTCATCGGAACCATCGGTATCTTCGGAGTCCGAGCCTGACAACTCAAAAGGCTCATCGTCGGAGTCGGAAGAAAGAAGGTCGTGGTCACCTACAATGTTGATGAGAGCAGGGAGTTTTTGATAATGATTATTATCACTTGCTGAGTGAGCGTTACGATCCAAGGCAGCAGGTTGGTCGGGAATTGTCTCCATGACCCGACCCTCAGTAGGATGCCCCACGGGATCATCTTCGGTGAGGTCAATCCTTGTCGAGCTCGATGGAATAGGAGAATCATCCCGGGTAAGATCAATTGCTGCGATGGCATGGTAACCTTTAATGGGCTGGGGAGTTTCAATAGAGGCATCACCATCACTGGATAGCTGACCGCGCTCTTCCATATCAGGGTTACTAGAACCGTATCCCTCCTCTTCCTCGATATCCGAGGAATTAGGAAAGGAGAAGGTACTACCGGTTCTATTGGAAGCAACGTTAGTAGTTAATCAGAAATGAATAGTAAGCCCGATATAAAAGTTCACTAACCGATATGGGGACCAGTCAATGTTGACCTGAAAGGAACAGGCCGGGAATATTTCCGGGCCACGTCTAACCTCGGCGCCAAATGCTATGACATCTCCGTCTTCCACCTCGGCGGGTTGCTCGGTTGGAACCTTTGTATCGTTCAGAAATGTGCCATGCATGGAGCCCAGGTCGCGAACGGTGACAGTCTACTTTATGTTAGTGTTGCCGTAGACAAAGAAGTGGGTGTATGGGATAGACATGCCTTGACTATAGTGTTCAGGCACAGCTCTGCGTGCTCCCGGGACATCACAGGGCTATCGAACCACGCATTGTATTCAGCACCCAGAATCCCTTTGCTAACGCTCTTCGAAGCTCTACCGACGGGGATAGTGAGGCGATCTGGGTTGAGGGTAATGGTCCGTTGCCCGAATGAGGCATCGCCGGTCAGGGCTGCGAGCGTAATATTGGCTAGAGTTTGTTAGCCTTAGTATTTAAAGGGATGCAGTTGATCGAAAAAAGGACATCACAGCTGAGCCTTGAGATGCTGATGCATAGTAGGACTTGAGGTGGCGATGCCCAGCCGAGACCACAAGGTGCCCAACTCCGCGATGCCAGCCTCGTTGCCCTTCCGCTCAGGATCAGAAAGTCACGTACCTTGGGCCATCCTGCCGCTTGGAACAGGCAAATATTATATTGTAATAGAAGAGGAACCTCCTAAGTAAGTGTGTGAATGGTGAGGGCACGCCAGACTGTGGTTGTTCGATCAACGATGAAACACGTTGTTGACGAGGGGTCCAGGCAGCTGCGGACGCTCAACGAGGGCGATAAGCTTCGGTGCCTGGATCTCGATCTACTACTACGATAACGCGGACCCGCTGCTGGTAAATGGCCAGTTGATGTTGCTGTGGGAGTTAAGTTGAAAGGTGAAGGTGAAGTTGGAGGAAGAGGACGCTGGAGTTGCGAAAGAGACTGGAATGAATGGAAGGAGGAGGAGGAAAGGAGGAAAGGAGGGGTTGTCGTTCGAGGCCGCCAGCTCATGGATGATGTGAGCCATAGGGTTAAGCGAGCAATCGATAAGGAACTCGAGGAGCACCGGATCCGCGCGATTTGCGGGTATATTATTATAGTAGTAGTTGTATAGTATTATTCGAGTACGAGTATCTCGAGTATTGCATCTTATCTGTGCAATTTACAACCTTGTAAGGCTACTTACTTGTATAGGCGTAAGTAAAGGGATAATTAAAGTGTTAACTCCTTACCTGCCTAAGGTACATGTACATTAGGTGTATCCTGAGGCATGCCGTTGACTTCCCTCAGATCCTTTGTACCGAGTGTAGGTACCTACGCTCCTATACCGACCTGCTAGGCACCTAGGTACTTTAGGAGCTAAGTATTCCTTATCCTTCCTTATCCTTATCATGCGTACATACCACATGCCTACTAGTAGCGTTCTTGGGTGGCTCTCTGTACGGAGTCGCTAGCCGTCTTAGGCTGTCTTAGCTGTCTAGTTAGGCCCCCCACACCGCACCTGGGCATACGTAGGTAGGTATGTACATGTACGGTCCTAGAACTACGTATCTGTAATGTCACTCAGCAGTTCGGAGTAGTTCCTGTGTCTACTAGGTAGGTACTTTACCCTTCGCAGCTACTTGGTATTCAGCCTAGCCCTACCGGTGTCACCTGGCGCTCGTTAGTCGCCCGAAACATCCAACAGCATCCGTGGCTTTCGCCACCTTCTCCCCACAATACCAAGCGACCACCAACTTCCATAATATTGTCATACGCCGTATATTATTCAGGTCCCCTTCTCTTCCTCTTCCTTCTTGACAACGCTGCGGAAGCCTTGTTTTATATATCTCCCCCTCATACTCACATGGATCAACTAACCTACGTCCCATTATCATCGCAAGTTCCGTACGATCGACCCTTGCGATAGCATTCAACAGCCCCGTCCGATTTGGCACTTACTCGAATACTTGCCAGCGCAGCAGTCCTTTGATACCCGGCGAGTTATTCGCGGCCGCTGCAGTCCGCGGTTTCTACAACTTCAACAACCCCTTCTCGCAGCCCCATCGCCAATATGCGCGACTTGAGACGCCAGGCTCTGGAGAGCGGAAAGACAGTCTCCAGGAAAGCACAGTCGCGCATCTCCTCTCGCGCGTCGTCGGCCACGAACTCTCGCGCAACTAGCAGAAATCCAAGTCGCCATGCCTCGGACGATGACGAGGAGAATATGAGCGACTCCACAAATTGGAGGTCTGTCAAAAGCTTCTGCCAAATTTACAGAGATGGGTATTGACTGGCCTCTTTGCAGTGTGAACTCACTTGATGAGATGCTCTCTCCCGAACTGCCCGACGATGTCGCTGGTACATGGAAGCAGGGTCTCGCCGACCGTATCGAGGAGATTATTGATCGCAAGAGAAGCAGTGTTCAGGGTAGAGAATCTACCCTGAACGTATATGTTTACTATCTTATGAGCCACTATTGTGGCGAGGAGATCGAAAATAAGGCGTCGGAGCTGTTCCCCGCACTGCTGAAGAGCGTCAAGATGGAAAGCAGCGAAAAGGAGACTTGTCTTGCATTACGAGGTTGGCAGGATGTTCTATGTCTGTCACGATCAGAGCGCTAACAACTTACACAGCTATCGCCCTCACGCTTATTACAAATCCATCGGAAACAGCTTACGATGGCCTATATCAACCGTTGAAGCGCGCATATACAGATTCGGAGTTTCACAGTGTTAAAGCTACCGCTATCCATACCCTCAGTGCAGCAGCGGTATATGGGGGTGCTTCTGATAGCGCCACCGAAGATGCTATGGACGACCTGCTGGAAATAATCGAGTCGGATGGCACATCCGTCGCTGCAGATGATAGTGGTGAAGTGGTTACAGCAGCCTGCCAAGCATGGGGATTCCTTGCGACATTCGTCGACGATCTGGAGGACAAGACCGAGCCAGCGGCGGATGTATTTGTCGAGCAGCTTGACAGTAGCGACACCACAGTCCAGGTTGCAGCTGGGGAAAACATTGCCTTGCTCTATGAAAAGAGCTATACGCCACGAGAGGCTAATGATGAGCCCGCGAGTGATGGTGATGATGATGATGAAAGTGCCACTATAGAATCGCACTTCGTCAAGCGTTACGAAGTCTATCGCCAAAAGCATCAGCTCCAGCACACGCTTTCCCAACTCGCCACCGAGTCCTCGAAGAGAATTGCCAAGAAAGACCGCAAAACGCTCCATGTCAACTTTGCAGACATCTTAAATACAATTGAACATCCAGCCCTTGGACCGAGATATTCCATGGCCCGTGACCCCGATGGTCGCATGTACGGCTCAAGAATGACGATTCGGGTTCACAAAGCTGGGATAATGAGGATCGACAAATGGTGGAAGTTGCATAGACTCCAAGCCCTGAAGCGACTTCTTGGCGGTGGTTTCGTACACCACTACCAGGACAATGAGGTCGTGTTTGATAGTTTGCCGTAAGTTCTGTATGACCTAGCGCATGTTCTCGCATTAACAAGCATTTAGAATTATGATTCAAGCCGACAATGATGACTGATCGACCTTAGCATTAGTACAAGACCGCCAAAGATAATTTTTGAGACATTTAGGCGTTAGGCAGAGGAAAAGGATTTTCATGTTTGATTTGATCGATAAAATACAATACCCGTAGTGCACTTCTATTTCGTTTCTCTTAATTTCGATGGCACGGGACTTCAGCTGTTTTTGATATCTGGTTCCGTAACACAGCACAGATTTACCTGAACCTGCGAGAATGATAAATCCGTCACCAGCTCATATATATGATCCATATCCAACGCCGTGTGCGATTTGCATGTGAATCTTCAAGGTCCCATAGCATAGCACGGGCACATGTTTAGCCGCTGTCAACTGTAAACATGGCTATTAGGCAGGCTATCGTTGCCACTTGCCAGATGGCTTTTTTTCGCGGAGCAAGCTAGTGCCGCCAAGGTTCATACCTCTAGAGAAGATTGTTATCAGGCCTTTCATCAACAGAGGGTTTGTCATCAGAAACAGTTTACCTCACCAGCATACCTAAAGTACTATTAACTAAAGAGATTATGTACCTTGTGGAAGTGTCGTAGCAGTAGAACCATTTAAGTACCTCGTTGGCTCCGGTGATGCTGAGGATCCTGGGTCGGTTTGCCCCCCTTAAGTTCTCATTGCCAAGGCAACTTTGGCATTCAAAGCATCTTGACCTCAAATTGGCAGAGAAAAATACAAAAACATTATGCCAATCCTAACTCGCCTTATTATTATCACTTAGACAGGAATAGGAGGCTACACGAAGCCACCTAAGTACCTACCTACCTATTACCTATTACCCTCGTACCCCGCTGGCCTCTGGTCCGTCACGTGACAACCCCCCAAAATCAATCGGAATATTGATACTGCCGCAACGTTTGATGTATCGCGATAGACAAGAGCGCCGCCGCGATACCTCGAGGTTACGACTGCGATTCAACCATCAGGGACTTGCTGTCGGTGAAGGAGCTGTCACTATTCAATGCGACAGCGATGACTTCACCGCAAACTTCCACGGCAACGGTCGCAGCTGCCGTAGCTGCGACCGGCAACGATGGCAGCCCGACCCCCAACATCGACCTCACCGCCGTCGAGAACCATGCCGAGGGCGAGGACGAGACGAGGCAGATGGGCCAAATGACAATTCGCGACACCGACCCCCCAGCGGGGAATAGCGAGAGCGAAAGGGTGCAAGTGAATGCAGAACACGACGAAGGTGAAGTTGGGCATGCGCTCCCGCGTGAGACAGCCGACGCAAATGTTGTCACTTCTATCGATGCCACCACAGAGGTCGAGCCCGCCAATACGATGGAAGCTGCGCAACCAGAGCTCCCGCCCCTCACCATGGCTGAGCTGGAGCAAATGAACCTGGCCTGGGCTGGACCAGACAGCGCGTTCAGTTACAACCTAAATGGCATGGGACTCCCGCAAGATCCCGCGCAAGGCTTGCTTGCCCTCCAGATGGCTATGGGTGGTGCGATGCCACAGCCTTACCTAGATCCTTCCCCATACATGCACGAAATGGACGAAACCCGCGTTCAAGCGTACGCGAAGCTTGAATTTGCAGATGGCGAATTCTACATGAACACCTACTCGGTGATATTGGGGCGCGATGTAAGAGCTACCAAAGCTATTCTACGCCGAGGCCGAGGAGAGGAGCGGCGAAGGCGAGCAGGAGGCTCTGCTGCTCCGGAGCCTAGGACGCCCAAGACGCCTGTACGAGCGGCGAACGGACAAGAGAGCCGGTATACAAAATCTATTGTGAGCGAAAGCGGTGGCATCCTACGGGAGGGCGATGATTCGGATGATGATGAGCGCCAACGACGGAGAAGCCGTAAAGCCAGCAGGGCAAGCAGAAAATCAAAGTCTACAGGATCCTCTCAGCAGTTATCAAGGAGGGGCAGTCTAGCCCAGCCAAATGGAGTTATTGCACAACAAACCGAAGCCCCCGCGCGAAGAACTGCGCCAGACATGGCAGTACCAGTCGATCCCGAGTCGCTTCGACCTTCACCACATGACTGCCCTCTGGTAGCTATCCACCCCGGCGCTACTACTCCCATAAGCGGTTACAAATCGATATCCCGAAAGCATGTCAAGATTGCGTACAATAGCAAGAAATATTTGTTCGAGGCAAAGATTGTAGGACGGAATGGAGCGTTCATTGATGAGGAGTTTTATCACTACAATGACACTATACCTCTGAATAGTGGCAGCCGGCTGCAAATAGGAGGTGTTGTCGTACGATTTATCCTACCAGATGTTGCCGTTGGCGAGACAGGGGCTGAGCGGAGAGCGGAGTACGAGGAGGATAGTATGATTGCTGATCGCTACTCAGAAGGGGGGAAGGAAATGAGTTTTGACTTTGAAGATACACCTCGAGTTGGTGCAATGGAGGACACCAGTGAAGAACCATCCCCTGAAAATGAAAGCGGCGAGGAAGAGGCTCCTGAAAGGGAGGAGGTTGAGGAAGATCTGGAGGATGAGGAAGAGGATGAACAGAGTGATCAGTCTATCCGTCCCGAAGCTGATGAGAGACAACACGATACAGCCGCTGCAAATCAAATTGATCTGCCTTCTATGCCTCCGAAAAAGCGTGGCCCAGGCCGGCCTCCTAAAAACGGCATTATGTCCAAGCGTGAGCAACAATTGATAAAAAAGGAGGCGCTGGCGCGCGAGAGAGACAAGGACGGCGAAAAAGCCTTCAAAACACTCCCAGTGCAAGGCCCTGTTCCTGGCAAGAATAAAGTTGGCCGACCACGTAAGCACCCCAGGCCAGATACTCCTCCTGAGCCGCGGGAAAAGAGGAAATATACGAAAAGGAAACCGAAGGAGCCGAAAGACGGGGAAGTTAAGCAAGAGGGCTCTGGTGAGGACCAGCCAGCCAAGGAAAAGAAGGACAAGAAGCCTCCCAAACCGCCTCGATCACCGTCCCCGCAATTTAACGAAGCGGAGCTCAGTCCAGAACAGCTCGCAAAGCCACAATCCAATTATGTTACCCTCATCCATGAGGCTCTGTCAAACTCACCTACTGGCCAGATGTCGCTACCACAAATATATCGTGCGATCCAGCGCAAATATCCGTACTTCGTCCTCAAATGCAGTACGAATGGCTGGCAGAGTAGCGTGCGACATAATCTGTCCCAACACCATGCTTTTAGAAAGGTCGAACGAGACGGTAAGGGTTGGATGTGGGCCATAGTTGAGGGTGTTTCTATTGAAAAGGAAAAGAAGAAAAGAGCTTCGCCGCCTCCTCAATCACATCCAGGGCTTATGCCTCAACAACCGATGTATCAAACAGGCCATCCTCATATGATGCCCGGCTATCCATATGGCCCTGGCATGATGGGACCGCCTCCGGGGTACCCAATGAATGCTCATATGCCACCGAATTTTCGGCCTGGCCAACCACCTCAGTATATGGGTCCTCCACATCCAATTAATGGACAAGCAGTCCCCCCAGTGCCTCATCCTTCGAATAACCCCCAAGCTCCCCCTCCTTTCGCAGCATCAATAGCTCCTCAGTTGACCGGATCTACTGGTCCAACATACAGCTCACCTTACGCACCAAAGCCAGCTGCGTCGAATCCACCACAGAACGAGCTACCACCCCCACCTCAGCAACCTCAACAACCACAACAACCACCACCACAACTGCAACAGCAACTGCAACAACAGCAGCAGCAACAGCAACATCAGCAGCAGCAACAACAGCAGCAGCACCAACAGCTGCAACAACAGCAACAGCCTCCCCAGCCTCCGCCGCCTACACCGACCCCTCAGCAACAAACGAGTTCAATGCAGCCAGCTCCTACAGCACCTCCGCCACCAGGAAGTACAAGAGAACTTATTGAGCGATCGGAAAACATCAAAGAAGCCATTGAGAAATTCAAGACGACGCTCATAAAATCCCTGAAGGAGACTGGTTCAAGTAATTCTGAAGCGATTGTAAATTCAGCAGTGAACCGGGTGCTAGGCTACTCCAACGAGAGCGCCGTTCCAGGCGAGCCCAAAGAGGACTTGATTATGAATGCATTAAGGTCGATGTTGCAGAATATTCCTGCACTGAATTTCAGATCAGATACACCATCTGCGGCCGAGAAAACCCCAGATCATACTCACACAAATGATCAGAGCTCGCCTCAACCTTTGGCGAATCAGAACGGGACACAAAACAATGTAGGTCAACAGCCCTTTAAAACAACTGGCCCCGAAAAGCGAGGACCCATTATCACGCGACCATCATTCAGCCAAGCCCGTCCAAATGGACCTTTCGTTCCTAGACCACCAATGACGACTCCTGGGATGAAGAGGGCAAACTCTGGAAGTCCCGCCAATGCGGCAGCTCGGACGAGAGCACCGTCCTCGGCCTCACCTGCACCTCCACCTACGCCAAACTCGACGAATGGAGCCAGCACACCGCAGCCTCCAGCGAGCGAGAAAGGGCAGCTTCCACCTAACGAAATGAGGCACACTCCGACGAACGAAACACAACAGCTTGCTGGTCAAAAGCGGGAGAGAACGCCAGACGATGCAGAAGATATGCCGGAGTTCAAAAAGATCGCTACTTCTGGCCTACCGCAGTTAAAAACATGATCGATCAACTCGTCTGAAATTAAATGCATAATGACAAGAAAATCGAATTGCAAATAGGGGCAGCGTATGGAGTTCAGGATTTCTAATGCTACCCGACTGCTGCCGGGTAGCATATTTGGAGCATGATGCTAATTTGGCACTTGCTTGGGCGTCGTTTTACCAGAACCGCTCCGGTTTTGTACATAACGAATGGGGTGGCGGTGGATATATTATCACTGCCATGTTGGTTAGGAGTATGTTCATATGTATGTAATTGACTACATATTATATTAGTTGGATCAATACGAGGCTTCATCCTCTTGGGTTTAGCCCCATCTAGGGCTTTCGTGGCGTGAAGGATGATTCTGGATTCTGAAGCCATCACATGATGAAGTTTCCGCAAGTGCGGGCAAGAAATATCGCCTGTTGTTTGAGGTCGTACCATCCGTTGATCACCTCGTATTCTAGGGCATTATCGCCTTGTGGTTTTACCCTTCCTTTGGATGTTGCTACACGTGCAGAGCGCCCGCAAGTGCTCGCTCGCCTCGCTATTCTCCTACTTGATATATCGTTGTGCGTTTTCGTGCATCCCAATTTGTGATGGGCCGCAGACGAATTGCAGTCCTGTATATAATGGGGCTTTGTATCGATTGGCAGGCTTCTGCTAACTTTGCTGCTTGTCCGGTTTAATTTGTCGATGAACATGAGCGCAGTGTCCCCTGAGTCCTAGGTTCATACTTTCCGATATCATGATTGATTTAGATGCTATCGACAGTGCGGTGCTTCGGTGATACAGGATGTATGCGGTACAACGTCAGACTTTTCTTGTACCCCTGATTCGCGAAGTCTTTCGGGTTTTGTGGGAATTGAAATGGAGCCAATATCTACAGACATGCGTCGAATATTGGATATATAGGTATGGCTGAATTCGCTAATATATGTGTTATGCCGATATAGGTTGATTTGACATCAGTTTGCCATAGGGCAAATACATGGAGGCTGACGTGAGACATCTTCCCTGAAGGAGGCCACTCTGAAGTATCTTCGTTCCTGAAGTGGTAGCTCATGCCAGGCATATTTCAAATGCGTCACCCACGACCGGAGATGCGTCTCCCATTGCCTCGGTGACCGAGTCTTCGGCCAAACCAAAACATCCACATTCCGCCATTCCGGAGTTCCATCTACATCCCTTGAGGGATTTGACACTCGGGAGTGCCGAAAGAGAGTTGGCACGGAAGTGTATCTCAATTCTTCTCGCCCCGTTGTGGTGATGAAGGAGCTCTCCCCTGCACTGTGCGATGCTCACGAATTCTAGATCTCCTTGTCCAGAAGTCGAACCCACCATGGCCTCAGGGGCTTGCTGCATTATTACGACCGAGCTATTGTCCTGCACGGTAGTTCTCCCCTAGAGAAAAAGAGTAAAACGGTACGAGCTTTAGTTCCGGCCTATCCGAGTTTCATAAATCATCCGGTAAATACCATCAAACACGCCCGACTGCTGTAGTCTTTTTCAACATTCTTTCGAATTACGGTGCCCCTCAGAGCCTGACTCCCTTTCTACTCAAATATTCTGATCCTAGCTGGTTCAAGGTGGACGCCTTTCTCCGCCGCGCGCGGTGTTGAATGTTTCTCAGCCCTGTCGTCAAGCGCTCCGTTCCGGGGGGTAGATGCCTCACGTGCCTCATCTGGGCATCTGCTTTGGAAAAACTTTTCCCTAGCCCAAACGATTTGATGGGCGCTCATAAATATCCATGGTATGAGGGAAAAGCTTTTCGTCTGGGGGTGGTGTGATGCCAGCCCCAATTTTTAGAGAATATCCCAAGCCCTTGCCGGACTCCGAACCAGAACCCTTTTCGACGACACTATTGAATAAGGATATATTCTTTCTTCGGTCGTCTTTTCATGGCAGGGTGCCCCAGCTGTTCGAGCTTCAGAAATGGTGCCTAGTGGACGTACATCTTGGCTGGGCAACAAGCAACAGGCGACCGTAAGACTCTCATGATGAGGGCGGGCGGCTCCGGAGCTTGCTCGGCAGGTTGGCATTTGAGGCTGTAAAAGGGTTCGAGGGATGGCCTGTCTGGGCGCCTAGGGAATGTTGTGACTACTACCACAACTGGTATGTATAGTTGTTTTCTGGTGGAATTCTAGTTTGGTTGGCGCTGCCAGGAAAGCTTGGAAATCCTGTGTCGGCTATGTCCTTCCTCGATGTGGAAATCTGCCGCACCTGAGAATAGAGTATGGCTGCAAGAAGAAAATGGGGTTATACCAACACGAATTGAGGCGCCATCTCGTCCTGAGACCCTAGCTAGGGGGGCGAGAAGGAACTGGGTGGCTTGAATCCTTTCCTTCCTTATTTCTCGCCGCGGCAATCATTGATCCAAAGAACGGCGCAATCCAGGGCGAAATAAATTACATGATGGAGGAATTGAAGCGTTCTCCAACCCCGGTTTCTTACCATTCAGGCCAATGAAAGCCAAGGATATACTCCTTACTGATCTAGTAGTAGGGATCAACGTCAGAAATGTTGGAGTATCTTAGAATTTGCAGATCATCTCCGTAAGAGAAGTAGGTGGGTTGTATGATGACAATATTTGGGGTCATCGGGGATGGAGGCTTTCTTTAAACTTGTTCAAGACTACCATTGAGGCTTCATTCTATTCCACTTGCATCCGTGCGCATTTGGAGATTATGTTTCATATCCTACGTCATTCTGCCCATGATCTATATCTGAGGCGAGCGAATGAGTGTCGTGAGGCGGAGAGATGTAGTAAAATGCACTTGCGAACTTGCGAACTTGGTCCTGGTGCAGATAAATCCAACGAGAGCTACATTCACATTTATCGATAAACATTAATCCATAAGTGCTAATAAATTGAGTTTTCTCTACGGAGGCTTGTGACAGTACCACGGCCGAAGGTATCGTGGTACCCGAGTTATATGTAACTGACTTACACAACAATTTCTCCCGCCAGCCAATACTACGTAAAAGCTATAAACTTCGCAATTCGGAACCCTTTCGCTCGCAAAAAATGCCGATTTTAGACTCCATAATTTCCATTTACGAAGTATTGGTCGAGAAAGGATTGATTGGAGGTTGCGGAAAGCAACGCTACCAAAATGATGATTGGTAGCCCTGGTGAGGCTGTCATGTCATCCCAGCGATGGCTGTTCACCGCCCCGGTTGAAAGACACTGTACACACTCACGCTCACGCTCAGTAGGCAAGCTGCACACCTACGTGGACGGCCCAGGCTACGACTTGGGTGTGATTACAACTGTCCGGTGCCGCGGTCGGGGGCTGCAGCAGAGAAATGGGCTAGGCCTGGAAGGGCAATATGGTGTCGGACGGTTTAGCTTGATGGTTGGCATGGTTTGCTAGGGATCTGGAGCTTGGTTTCATCTCCATCCTCACCTCCGAGCTGCTTGATGACAGTCAAGTTCATATAAAGACGATGTGCTCCTCTCCAACAAGTCGAGAATCCGATATCTGAAGACATTCCAAAGCATTGCCACCAGCTTCTCAACATCGAGAATATCTTGTATTATATATCCATTACCATCCGTCGTAGTATTCTTTCTTTATTTCACTTGATACCAGACGGGTTGTCGTCGTTTACTCTCTTTATGTCTTCATAGAGTCCCACTATCCGCATCTCTACAAAACCCGCATATACGTTGGTACAAATGTCGTCCGGGGAAATGAATCGGTACTGGATACCGAACCTTGAGATCAATAAGAAGGTCATTACCCAGGAGATCCAGTACTATCTTGGCCCGGAGTCTAATGTCCGGCCATACACCCGAGAAGTACACCATCTCTCCCTTGTTTTCGACTGAGGACTCTGCTAATGCAAGGCTGGTTTAGGGCGAAGATGGCTTTCTGATCACAACGTTAGGAGAGTGTTTGACAGACGTAAGCAGATAGCTTTTTACCCACTACTCGTAAGGGAGATGGATGTTAAATCTTCTATAGGAACAGATCGACGATATCTGCCGGAAGAGCAAGCAGGTGTGGGAAAAGCAAGCAGCGGCACGCTCCAAGAAGGAGTCAGACAAACACCTCAAACGGCCACTGCATCAACCCGTAATTGTCTCCAGGGGCTCGAAGAAGGATCACTCGAGAGAACATCATCGCCGTTCTAATGAGCGGAGTGACGATTCGCGGCGCCGCTCAGATGAGTACCGATATATAGATGAACGCCAATATGCAGAGAGTTCGAGAAGATGAATGATCAAAGATGATTGATCTGGGGGGGTGCATTTGTGACGTGGTTCAAATTTGGCTGCAAACAGGCATGTTGCTTTATACCCATCTTTATCTCTCAATTATAAGAGATAGAGAAATATTTGATGCCATTAGGAGAGGGTTGGTGCGCGTTTTGAAGTATTTGCATAGGGAAGTGGTCTTGAATTGCATCCATTTGACATTAAGTCGGCATTGATTTTGGAACGGATTCCACTCGGAAATCTATCTTATCTCGATCTTCGCTCATCATTGCTTCCTACTGAGTTCCTATGACATTATCACGAGATCCTCGCCTCTACTTCATATATGAGTACAAGGTTAGGGACTCAAACTTCGGTTGCCACTGCCACCGCCACACGGGCGTAAACTAAAGTTTGGGCGTCGTTTGGAGTGGAATAACGGGGCCAGGCTGCCCCTTTTATGAGACATTTCATCAAAAACCACGCCCTATAGCTTTACACAAGAATTATGCTGTGTCTAGGGCAGCCATATTCTACCCTTGACACTGAAAAATCTCTCGAGGTCATGCCAAACAGCTTTTCCAATATCAACTTAATATACCCGGTGACAAGTGAGGCAGCATACTCCTATCGCCAGACTATTTCCCTAAGGCCTTAGGTGAAAGAGTTAGGCGGGGGAAAGATATTGCAAAATTATGAAACAAAGGAGAAACAGAAGTAGCAAATCACTCAGCTTGAGTGAAGCACCTTCAAATAATTAGGATAAGTATTACTTGCTTTTCTGACTAGCCTCGAGTAGTATGCCAGAAAACAGGGCGTAATATATTCTTTAAAGCTTCTAGAGCTGGTCCCGGTGACATTATCTCTCCAACAAACTCTCAGCATTTCCTTTAATATGTTAACTGACTCGTATGAGTCGTACCTTAGTAGAGGTCCCGATGTCCGTCCCCATTATACAAGCAGTACCATAAGCTCTAAGTATTGTTAGCTTTCTGTGAATAGTGTTAGTAGCGGATAATTCTCCGGTATTAGGCAAATGACTCACACCTATACTATCCAGATGAGTTTGGCTCTTGGAATTCCACGCAACTCTCACACAAAACCAACGTTAGGCCGTAACTTGCCCATGCTGCACGGAGGAACAGTAGGAATGACAGTCTTTTGTCCACTGAAGGCTTCGGGCGTACATTGGATCGATTTGGATTAGATTGATTTTGCGGCCAATCCGAGCAAGATTGTGGTAGATCCTTGGTGATGATCGAGAGGAAATTTCAGACACATTGTGGCCCACATATTCCGACTGTGCTTCATGCCCTAGTAGATACTGAAAGGGCGAGATCTAATACTTCGATCTGGACAGCAACTCGATACCGAAGCTAGAGTGCATGGATACCGTCGCCGAATCTGTGGATACCGGGTATTCCTGGGTGGCATTTTAGTCGCTCTTTTGCTGATCTAGGCTCATTTCGTATCCTCGAAGATTAAAGGAGCCAGCTGACCATAAGACTATGGCTTGAATATGGATTCCTGTACCTCTACTAGTGCTGGAGTTTGATTTCTGCACTGCAGTAATGTAGCCGATCACATGGACCCATGCTCCAATCTGAGTCTCCTGAAGTTTCAGGGTGTTCAATAGAAGTTCCGCGTTAACGAAAGCCTTGACGCTGCTTCCGGGAGGGTGGTTATGTTCGAGGGTCAAGGTCGCGGTTTTGGTAGAGTAATTCGTCACACTACAGATTTAAGACCTTTAACACATCTTCTTCTGGCATAAAAGCCTTCCTTAAGTGGCAACACTAGCTACCATTGAAAGGAGAGCCTACGGACAATAAAAGATGATGTGCCTAGACACTACGTATAATATCCCACTTGGTAATTCTCCATAAAAGCAACAATTGTGCAAATAAAGGACAGATATCCTTCATATTCTCAATAGAGTGAGTAAGAGAAACCGCAATTCAACTCACCATCCTAGAAAGCGAACCTTTGACCCTGGTAAGGAGTCGGAAAGATCAGATAACAAAACCAATCTCGAAGGGATCGGACCATTATTAACACCTGCCATCAGCAATGATGCTTCGCAGCATGTAAAGTCAAAGAGCTATGTTCTGGACGATGGTTTAACCTTTGTTGACGGTCAGGAAAACTGGTTAGGCTGCCATGTGACCACGACCCGCGCCTTGGCACGTGATACACTAGTATGGCCTGGTCACAAGATCACCCTAGTCCCAAAATGGAATCAAGTAGCGCGCGTCATCGCAAGTCTAGTTTGGACTCTGGAGGCACGACAGTCTGTCACCACCGCCGAGGCAACAGAAGACAGTCGACGTTCCCATTACGAATCAGCGTCAGCTATCGGCATCATATTATAACACTCTACACAGACATCTTCATCTGATTACAAGTGTCCCGCCAAACCCATATCTGTCTAGCTTTGTGATCGTAGACAAAGCAGCCCCACCATCTCCAGGTTCCGATAACAAGTCTCAACGAAGCCCGATCCTGCGACTTCCCTAAACAACGAGGCTGTTTTGGGACAATACCGAAGATTATATTGTGGCTCGACGGCTCAATATCAAATTTATTGGGCCTGTAGATCATCAAACAAGATGTCCGGAGTATGGGGCTGGTTTGGGGGGTCGAGTACCCAAAAGAAGAAAGATTCGCCGAAGAATGCGATTCTCCAGTTAAGATCGCAGCTTGAGATGCTGCAAAAGAGGGAGAAGCATTTGCAGAACCAGATGGATGAGCAAGATGCAATAGCCAGGAAAAATGTGAGCACGAATAAGAATGGTATGTCCCTATGGTGTCTTTTACCTTTTATTGTTTTCACTCCCCCAGGATATCATTGTCATTGCCATATGAATTCTGAATCATAATCTAACGAACCACCTGTGACAGCTGCCAAAGCCGCGTTGCGACGCAAGAAGCAGCATGAACATACGCTGGAGCAAACATCTGCCCAAATATCAACGTTAGAACAACAAATATATTCGATCGAAGCAGCGAACATCAACAGAGAGACTCTTTTGGCTATGGAGAACGCAGGTAAAGCGATGGCTAGCATACACGGCAAACTTAACATCGATAAGGTCGATGAGACGATGTACGTCACCTTGTTTGTTTCCTTTGGATTAAGAATGAAAAGCTAACTACGCCCGCACAGGGAGAAACTTCGAGAACAACATGCACTGGGCGAAGAGATTGCGACTGCTATTACCAGCGCACCTATTGGCGAACCTATTGACGAGGCAGATTTGGAAGACGAGATGGCCGCGCTTGAGCAGGAGCAGCTTGATAACCAGATGTTGAGCCCCTCTGTGCCTATTTCGGATGAGGTTCACAAGTTACCAACAGTGGCAAATGGAGAGAGTAAGCTTCCTAGACCCATGCCTTTTTTTATAGCTCAGGATCCGTTCTAACACGAGCTCCAGTCAAACAGAAGCAGCCCGCCCACACAGTAGAAGAAGACGAAGAGGAAGAGTTCCGGAAGCTACAAGCTGAGATGGCCCTGTGAAGTATTCCGACTTTGGCTGGGGTTTCACCGCTAACCGACTTCGACCTGACGAGGGCGATCGTGCTGTTCCTATATTATCGGGGCCCGGGGTTCTGGGTGCTTAGGAGGTTGGGGTTAGGAGGTCATATTGCACACTTCCGATTCCGGTCCCTCACCGATGTTTTGCGCTGGCGTTTTAGGATCTGCTGTCCAATTTCCGAATACCAAATGTCTATTCCACAATAGCTGCTTTCCATCTGCATGTCCTTTGCAACCAGGATCCCCGTTCCCTAGGCGGGTTACCGACTTCTGTGTCACGTGTGGTTCGATGCTCACCTCCGGCGCGGCCAATAACACGACCCTACCTATATCAGGTATCTTAACCCACGTGCATTCCAGTCTGTAAATAAACCCCCACCTGCGTGTAGAACGCATCAGCAGGGTGGGCGGTCCTTCGAATCGTATTCCCCGGCGTGTTACGGAGGACCAGCTTGTTCTATGAATATATGATTTGATATGAAGGTGACAGAGCAGCGTAGAAGAGGCACGAATAGACATTTCATTGACAATCTATTCTTGACACCGAGCACACTGAACCCACCTTTTACACACAGCCCAATGTCTGGCATATGAGGATTGAATTGAGAACTGACAAGATATCTGGCCGGGTCACGGGGTCGCTACGCTGGCAGTGGCCCCTGAGTGCCACAACTGAAATAGCCGAGAGCCTGACAACTCACCAACGTCAAACCCAATCCCACCTACGAAGAAAAGGTAAACACGAGCGCCGTTCGTCGTACGCCCATACACCATGGCAGTACATCTCACTGTAGCATATCATATCATATCATATCATATCACATCGCATTACATTACATCCTCCGCGCCCCACGCTGAATCCCGCATTAACTGGCTTCGGCAGGGCTCGGGCAGCGAGGCGGACGAGGCCACCGTCGGACACGTTGCAGCAGCTCCATATCTCCCATCTCCATAGGTAGTACTTCGTGCTCCTTGCAGGAAAACCCGCGGACTTGCGGGAGGCGGGAGCTATTAAGCTCTCCCCCTTTCTATGCTCAGGAACCAGTCGGAAAGTTATTGCTGTCTCCCCAATATATCCAACCAACGGCTTCCTAGCACGCTGCAAGTAGCATGCCGTGGGGTTGCCGCAGTGGCCGAGGCAATGTGTGCATGCCGGCCCAGCCAAACTCGATGCTTTGCCTGCATTCCTTTAGCCCTCTGCGTGCTGGCCTGCAGCGTTGGGCCGCATCCAGGTTGCGATATCGCGGATATCCCATCACCTCACTTCCCTCCTCACGGCCTCTTGGATGCGACGTGGCGCCAGTGCACCGCGATGGCCAATTGAGACCAAGCACGATATTGGTCATTTGGACAATCGACTCAGTAAGTCGTGGGATGCTGCCCGTGAGGGTGGGAGGCCCGGTGTCGAGTCCGTTTCTTGCTTCTCTTGTTGCGTCTTGCCAATGAGACCAGCTCATCTACTTAATCGCTTGTTTGGCCTTTTCGTATAGGCAGCTCATTTGCCTGATGACTTGAGAGACCATTTCCTCCCAGTTTCCATTGTTGCTTAGCACCATTGTCCGCATCCAGCGCCTTTCCCGTTCCTGTGCTACGAGAATACCCTCTGTTGCTAGTCGGGTGCACCCGCATCCCCCCGAGTTCCACCGTCCCTGACCATGGGAGAAGAGAATAAAGAGGATACCCAAGGCATTCCGAGCCATCCTCTCACAGCTGTGCCTCTAAACGAGAAACAATCACCAGTATGGAACACATCATTTCATTCTGTCCATACCGGGCAAATGTATACGATAATGTATCATTTGTCCAGACCACGGAGCCTAGGGTTTTTAGGGCCAAGCCAAAATATGTTGACCTTGATCGGATAAAGCAGGGTCTCGATGACGAAGATTCGGACCAAGATCCAGAACGTGAAGCTATAGGTAAGAAGAAAGTCCAATTGCTGCTCAACACGACTAACATTCACAGATGAACCTGAGGCACCATCTGGAGAGTCCAAGCCGGACGCAGAGGAAACAAATGGCGAAGCTCAACTGGAGGGTGAAGCTCCTGTCGCCGCACCCGAAGAGCCCAGTGCTCCTAATGATATGACTCCATTGGAGCCAGAGGATCTACCTATGGAAGCACCACCGAGTCCAGTGGCCTCAGTGCACTCGGTGCATTTCGAGGAACCCGCTCCTCTACCGTCAAAGTCCAGCAAGAAATCCAAAAAGAAGGATGCGAAGAAAGGAAAGGGTAAAGCCGGGAAAGAATCAAAAGTCGAGAAAGCTCCGGAGCCAGAGGAATCTGCGGAACCTGTGGAGCCCGCTGCACCAAAAGCGTCAGAGAAACCAGAAAAGGGTTTGAAAAGCAAAAAGGACAAGAGAAAGGACAAGAGTAAAGGGAAGGGTGGAAAACGAAATCATGCAGGAGCACCACCAACACCAGACGCATCGGATTCCGCTTCGCCAGTTGAAGCTCCTGTTGAGGCTGAAGCGAGTGTAGTGCCCGAAACTGCACCTGAACCAACCGCCGAACCGGCACCTACTCCTGAAGACTCGGCCGAGGCTCCACCTGAGGCCGCAGAAGTGTCAATTGAAGCACCCGTAGAAACCGAGGAACCAGTTGCTGAAGAAACGCCAGCACCTACTCCTGAAGAGACTCCTACACCCGAAGAGCCACCCGCGCCTGAGGAGACTCCTGCTTCTGAAGAAACACCCGCTCCTGAGGAGACACCGGCATCTGAAGAGACCCCCGCGCCAGAGGAACCACCCGCGCCAGAGGAGACTCCTGCTTCTGAAGAAACACCCGCACCTGAGGAACCCCCTGCTTCTGAAGAAGCTCCCGCACCTGCTCCTGAAGAGAATCCCGCACCTGAAGAGACACTTGCACCCGAGGAGCCTCCTGCTTCTGAAGAAACACCCGCACCTGAAGAAGCTCCCGCGCCTGAGGAAGCTCCCGCGCCTGAAGAAGCTCCCGCACCTGAGGAGACACCTGCACCTGAGGAGCCTCCTGCTTCTGAAGAAACACCCGCGTCTGAAGAGCCTCCTGCTCCTGCTCCTGAAGAAGCTCCTCCTTCCGAAGAAGCTGTAGCTGCCGAAGAACCTCAAGAAGCAGAGGAAACGGAGGTCGATGCGCCTCAGGACGACCCGGCTCTGCAAGATGAAGCAGCACCCGAGGAGGATAGCCCAGCAGAAGCAAGTCGGCCAGTTGAGGATGCTGCCGCTATCGGGGAATCTGCGACAGAGGGAACCCCAGTCGTCGAAGAGCCCGTCGCTGAGGACGCCCCCGAGGAGGAACCCGCGGCACAGGAAGATGCTGCCATTGAAGAAACCACTGCCGATGAGCCTGCTCCTGAAACAGCTCCTGCTGAAGAGTCACAAGAACAGGTCGGCGAAGAGCCTGCTATTGAAGAACCGGCCGCAGGGGAGACTGTCGCGGAGGAACCTGCTGTAGAGGAGTCCACCGCTGAGGAACCTGCCGCTGAAGAGCCTGCTGCTGAAGTCACTGAAGAGGCTCCTGCTGGAGAGGCTCCTGCTGAAGAGGCCCCTACTGAAGATCCTGCTGCTGACGAACCTGCCGCTGATGAACCCGCGGCGGAGGAATCTCCTGCCGATGAGCCAGTAGCCGAGGAACCTGCCGTGGAAGAAGCTGTTGTAGGAGAGGAAGTTGCGCTAGAGCCGCCTGCCGAAGAGCCCGCTGCTGCTGAGGAACCTGCTACTGAGGAACCTGCTGCTGCTGAAGAACCTGCTACTGAGGAGCCACCTGCCGAAGAGCCAGCCGCTGCTGAAGTGGCTCCTGCTGAAGATGCTACTGCTGAGGAGCCACCCGCCGAAGAGCCCGCTGCTGCTGAAGAACCTGCTGCTGAGGAGCCACCCGCCGAAGAGC